CGGCTGAGGTGCGACGAGAAAGCCACCTCGAAATCCAAATCGGGCAGTCGACGAACGTCAATAAACCGACGCATCGTTAGTCGCTTAGCCGCCTTACATAATTCCGGTAAAACCTCGGACGACGAGTTGGGCCAGCCGTCTCATAGCGTCCTCATCCTCACCGTTCGGCTTAATCAGGAAATACAACTATAAATAAACTACATTATATAAGCCATATTAGATAACATCTTCACACACGCCCTAGCAGAGAGGATCGAGGACGCGAGACGGATGGTTCTAGGAGCCTGGATGCCTCCGTGAATATATGTTGTGAAACTGAGAACTCGGACAAAATAGGCCTTTCAAGTACGCTTTGCATATATGGTAATACAGCAAGACCGACGAACCACACGTGGGATTACAAAAAGGCAGTAATAGTAACTATTGACCTCCGGCATATTAACGCCCCAAGGATGGATTCCACCATGTAAGTTAACAAATGACAGGGAGGACGCACAGTCAATGAAAAGCTTCACAGCGTATAAAGCGGTGACGGCTGCACAGAGACCTCAAGTCAGGTCAATGATTTCTCCTGACCGGACAGCTTTGCGATCCCTCGCGCCGGGCTCTTGCTTCACTTTCTTCGTCTTGTTATCGACGACTTCTACCGTCAACTAGGAGTGGGGATAAGCACACGTAGGGATACCAATATCTCCTTATGAAGGAGTGCTTACATCTATAATGTCGTCATTCAAAGCAACCCCCTTTCGCTTCGGTTTCACATCGACATCTTTAGAATCAGCCGAAGGTGCAGCAGGTCGCGGGACAGGAGCCAAGGGCGCTATTCCATTGGCCCGAAGGACCTCTGTGTAGCAACGCAAGATGTCATCAAATAGTCACGGCCACTATACTCCTCCTTCCATACCTATGGGATTATAACGGAAGATAAAAGTTACCACCGGTACACGATCCAATTTCACTACGTTCCTTTGCCTCGTCTTAGTGCAGGGAACCTCATCTCCTAGCCTTCCCATAAATTAGCAAGCTCGATCTCATCAGAAAGCAGAAGGTTCCCTACTTGACGCTGTGGGAGCCCGCTTTCTTCGTGCGTTCGTGGACTTTCCGATCCTTCGGAGGCCCTCTTGAAACAAAACGAGAGGTCGTCTCACCAAGTTGGACTCGCCAAATCTCTAGCTTGATCTCCCCCAGTTTCTGCACGCTTGCGATATCGCCCAAGTATGCGTCATCGTCTGCAGGCATTAGCCAGACGGCATCTGGAGGTAAGCTCTCATCGGTTTATATAGAAAAAGATGACAACGTGCCGGTCAGGTCCAGTGATGAGAACACCAATGGCTTCTGTGTTCTCTCACTAGTATACATCCCGGAGAGAGCTGCCTTTATACAGCCTCTGGACGGTCTTAAGATTAAACCACCACAGGCGTAGCCATCTACATGGAGGTAGCCACTTGTGTTCCCTCCCATGTAGGACAGCCCTTGCTCCCAGTGTACTACGAAGGCCTGGATGGACGAAAGTAAGTAAGTCTCAGCAGCCTACTGATGTACACTCGTCGATAGCTATCACCTTCCCGGCCTCTGAGGCGATCCAGCAAGTTACCGTACGCGAGTCTGCAGACACCTGTTCGCTATACTGTTCCAGCTCGAGGCCATCGACGGTGACCCATGCTGAGAAGTCGTTGCATCGGCATGGCATAGAGTCTAGCTCTCCTCGAGGTGGTACTGTAATGGCACCCTAAGTACTGAGATGAAGTCAAGGAGCCAAGGCAAACGCGACTCAGCGCGTCTACGCGACTAGCGGCGTGATGCGATGACGCGGGTCACGTACGAAATCGGTAGTTGTGTTTCCTTCTTTGTCGACGTGGACGCGCTTCTCTTCCTTGGTCCTGAGCTTGCCCGTGCCACTCTTACCAGAATATACGACTTATGCTGCATGCGCGCGAGTTTGATGCTTGGGTCACGGTTGATGGCATGGAATTGCCTCAGTATGGCTGTGAATACATAGGCGATACAGTGACGTGCTGGATACCCTCAGAGGCTGGCAAGGCATGGACCAGTATAAGTACTTGAATAACCCGGAGGTGGCTCACGCATATTTCAGAGGTTTACTGTGCACTTCAAGGATAACCTCTTTGGGAGAACGGAGGCCATGTGTGGGTGGCTGCGGGTGGATGGAATACACTGTGGTTCCAATTCAATCAAGCCAGGCCAACAACCGGCCGAGAGAAATCGGAGCCATATGAGAACCTCAGATACTACGAAGCGTCTTCTCACTTTTGCGGCCCTCCAGACGACCGGTCAGTAGTCCTTGCTCCCTTGGGCGTGTGGTATGATGTGTCATTGAGTAGATGAAGAAAGTTATCTTGAGGAAGCGGGACTCAACTTGAATGATCTGGGGATCATTGAATTGCGAATTTTCAGAGTCAGACGGGTAGAAAGAAGGATGCAAGTCCCCCGCGATTACTCCCACAGGAGAAAGAGCGCTTCAACTCAGAATAAAGTGCATGAACGTATGAAGAAAGTGGGGATGCATTGTGTCGGGTAAGCTGGCATATCATCAAGCACGATCAGGGAAGCTGCTTACGGAGACGTGCAGGTTCTCGGAGGAAATTCCTGCAGAAGACGTATCGCGAACGAGCCAAATGTGGGACTGGAAAACGGTAGATCGCCAGCCCTACGTGACGTTCATGTTCAAGTACAATCCACTGGGTGCGTAGCATATTGTACGACGCTTAGGTTGTTTGAATGCCCCTGACCCGTGGCGCACTAGACGTACTGATAGCGAAGGGCGTTGCGCAATCGCTAAGGCAAGGAGCTGATCAAGGGGCGCGAAGGAGCGTCACCATTAAAAGCGAGCCAGGAGGAAACAAGGCAAGTTTTGTCGCCCTATTTGGTATCCGCCGTGGCAGAACTATTCCCTAGGGGCGCAAGAAAGTTCTTAGATCCCAGAAACAGCCCAGAGAACGTGATGTGAGCGTGTTCTGAGCCATGTAGGTATGGCTGACCCATGATACTCTGAAGGCGCGCCATAATCGAGCGGCAGAGCAAGTCAAACTTGAGCCCGAAAGGACAAGAGGCGAGTCTTCGAAGGCAACCATCATCGACCTTACATGAGAGTCAGAGATGATCTATTCCACCCGGTTTGCTAGCGCGTCAGAAACTCCTCACCCATACATCATCCATGAATCATTATGCATACGCATCATAAAGGAGCCCGATCATTGTCCGTATATTCCGGATGACCCAAGTCGCGGACGAGAGGTAAAAAATCGTACATCGACAATACATATGCAACATGGTTTCTGCCTTTAGCCCAGATAGAATGCAAGACGTGATGACTGTAGAGGGTGCACCAGGGAACGAACGACCGTCCGTGAAGCATCCAGTACGGGAGCAATAACGACCAAAGTCTATTGACGTGGGAAGATCGTATCGGGCACGTGGCGCCTCTACTATACTGAGGATGACATCACGAAGGTTCGGCTCACTTCTCGAACGGCACAGTGCTGTCCGGCAATTCTAGGTATGCATCGACAATTCGAGAACAGGCTCAGCCCCGCACCTCCTCACTATAAAGCGTCTGCTTGTCTCGCATTCGCGCTCTTCAGATTTGTATACCCATAACGACTCACGACTAACGGCTATCTTCATCTAATATGGCTTCAAACTTTGAGTTCACCGACAAGGCGCAGGAGACCCTCGCAGCTGCCATCCAGCTTGCGAAGGACTATGCGAACGCACAAGGTATGGTACATTGCTTCAGGAGCAGAGGAACAAGGAGGCTAACGTGACTTTCTGCAGTGCACCCATCACATATTGGTTTTGTGCTCTTGAACGAGAATGCCGGCGACCAGACAGCGCCGGGAGGTATCACACATACCTCGGGAACATCCCTGTTCTCTTCCGTCATCCAGAAAGCAGGAGGTGACCCGGTAAGTTATTCTCGCTACCATGCCCGATGATTGTGCTGATGCTGACTGCTGTTGTGTAGGCTCTCGTAAAGCGCGGGCTCCAGAAACTCATTGTCCGACTACCCGCCCAGTCACCACCTCCTGAAGAGACGACTCTCAGCTCCGCAGCACTAAAGGTGCTGCGTGAAGCTCAGTCGCTTCAGAAGACGATGCACGACTCGTACATCGCCCAAGACCACCTCATTCTTGCCCTCATCAAGGACCCGTCAATAGGGCCGATCTTGAAGGAGGCCGGCTGCAATGAAAACACCGTCAAGACCGCCGTCGAGCAGGCCCGAGGAAACCGGAGGGTTGAGAGCAAAACCGCTGAGCAAGGGTTTGACGCCCTGAACAAGTACGCCGTTGACTTGACGGCACTTGCGGAAGAGGGCAAGATCGATCCTGTCATCGGACGGGACAACGAGATCCGGAGAGTGATCCGTATCCTCTGCCGAAGGTATGTAGTTTTGTTTGAGAGTTGCTGTCGTACCGGATACTGACCATTGTCTAACAGGACAAAGAACAACCCGGTCCTCATCGGTGAACCTGGTGTCGGGAAGACCTCCATCGCCGAAGGTCTTGCCCAGCGTATCGTCAACCGTGATGTCCCTGCATCACTAATTGGCCGTCTATTCTCCCTCGACATGGGCGCCCTGATGGCTGGTGCCAAATACAAGGGTGAATACGAGGAGCGTATTAAGTCTGTCTTGAACGAGGTCGAGAAATCGGCTGAGGAAGGACAGACGATCATCCTCTTCATCGACGAGCTTCACCTCATCATGGCTGGTCGGGGCTCCGAAGGCGGAGGAATGGACGCCGCTAACCTCTTCAAGCCGTTGCTTGCCAGGGGGAAGCTGCGGTGCATTGGCGCGACGACCTTGGCCGAATACCGCAAGTACATCGAGACCGATGCGGCTTTGGAGCGGCGGTTCGCTCAGGTCATTGTCAACGAACCTAGCGTTCCCGAGACCATCAGCATCCTGAGAGGCATTCGGGAGAAGTACGAGGTTCACCACGGCGTACGGATCCACGATGGCGCTCTGATTGCGGCCGCGCAACTGGCTCACCGGTACTTGACGTCAAGACGCTTGCCAGACGCTGCTATTGACTTGGTAGACGAGGCTTGTGCTAGGTAGGTATTCCCTGATGTGCAGACCAACGTGGACCTGTATACTGACTTACCCCACCCAGTGTCCGTGTGACTCGCGAGACAGCTCCTGAAGCAATCGATAAACTCCAGCGCAGGAAACTCGAACTCGAGGTTGAGATCCATGCACTGGAGCGCGAGAAGGACGAAGCAAGTAAAGAACGTCTCCAGATCGCGAAGAAAGCTATCGCAGACGTCGACGACCAGCTTCGCCCATTGCAAGCGGCGTACGAGGAAGAGAAGCGTATTGGCGACCAGATCCATGAAGTCAGGCGCAGGATGGATGAGCTTCGGGCGAAGGCCGACGAAGCTGAGCGCCGCTACGACCTTGCGACTGCCTCCGATCTTCGTTACTATGCTCTGCCAGACCTCCAAAACAAGCTGGCACAGCTAGAAGCTAAGAAGGCAGAGGAAGATGCCCGCCGTGGTGGAGGAACCGATACTGTCACGCCAGAGCAGATTGCGGAGATCGTCGCAAGGTGGACGAGCATCCCAGTAACGAGGTTGATGTCGACGGAGAAGGAGAAATTGCTGAGGATGGAGAAGGTTCTCAGCGAGAGCGTCGTTGGCCAGCCTGAGGCTGTCAAGGCCGTGGCGAACGCTATCCGATTGTCGAGGAGTGGATTGAGGAACGCTCAGCGCCCCATTGCAAGCTTCCTGATGGCTGGTCCTAGTGGTACCGGTAAGACGTTGTTGAGTAAAACGGTAAGTTACTTTTGTTGTCTCTGCCGGTCGAGCGTAATTCTGACGTTGGTCTTGTCTAGCTCGCAACGATTCTTTTCGACTCACCAGACGCCATGATCCGTATCGACGGTTCTGAATATTCCGAGAAGCATTCAATCGCTCGTCTCATTGGTGCTCCTCCAGGGTACGTTGGATACGACGCTGGTGGGCAGCTCACGGAATACGTTCGGCGCAAGCCATACTGCATTGTCCTGATCGACGAAATCGAGAAAGCAAGCCGAGAATTCGTCACGCTATTCCTCCAAGTGCTTGACGATGGTCGGTTGACCGACGGTCAGGGCCGCGTCGTCGACTTCCGCAACACGGTCATCATCATGACCAGCAATCTTGGCGCTGCCTACCTGAACGACATGGGCGAAGGTCCTGTCAAGCCAGCCACTCGGGAACTGGTGATGGGCGCCATCCAAGGTCACTTCCCGCCAGAGTTCATCAATCGTATCGACGAGATCGTCATCTTCCGCACGTTGTCGCGGAAGAACGTCCTCAACATCGTTGACATCCGCATCAAGGAAGTCCAGGATCGTTTGGTGGACAGGAAGATTACTCTGGACCTGGATGACCAGGCCAAGGAGTACTTGGTGTCCGTCGGATACTCGCCGACGTACGGTGCTCGTCCTCTTAACCGTGCAATCCAGAGCGAGCTCTTGAACCCGCTGTCCGTGATGATCTTGTCGGAGCGTGTGCGCGATGGCGAGATTGTCAAGGTTAGGTTCGATCCTGCTCACAACAGGCTGGCGATCGTACCCAACCACGAAGGAAGCGGCGATGTGGACGGTATGGATGTCGACCTGGAGGATGACATAGAAATTGAGGAGATGGACTAGAGAGGGCTTGTGAAGGACTCAATAAACAAAACTGTACGAGTAGTATAGCAGCATTGTAGCATATTTCCTTTGTACTTGTACTGTATAATAATAGCATCGCAATACATTGACGATAAAATGTCTCTGAATCCAATCGAAAGCCACAACATATACCTTTTGTGGGTGCGGTTCCCACGATCTCCCCCGTCTTCGGTGTCATCGTCAAGGACGTCGAAAGTCTAGTTCGTCTACAGGGAACAAGAACGATGCTCAGTCGACGCTTGGTTTCTCGACTCGGCTCTCGCGCTGTCACAGCAACACGCACGGCGTCGACATCGTCTAGCGTCCCAGCTGCAGCGCCGGACCCTCCCTCACAACAATCCTCTGTCGCGCCTGCTCCCCAAGCTCCGAATGCGGTCAAACCATGGTCTACCAGCCAAAGGCCTCGCCCACAAGGTCGCTCTGGCCCACGCTTTGAGCAGACTAAGATGGAACTCCAACCCAATCCATTGAGCGCAATGGCGATGATCAGTGAGGAGCCAACTCGGATTGTACATGGGCGCAAGGCGGTTTGTGATGGAGGTAAGCCCCTCCTCTAAAGGACCGAATGCATCCCCAAGTTCATAATGCCTGCCTCGTATTTAGGAGGAGGTCCTTTGGGCCACCCCAAAATCTTCATCAACTTGGTGAGTGAAACCCAACTCGCTACACCTCCGTTATATGCTGATTGCTCTCAACAGGACCAACCAGGTCCCCATACTTGCGGGTACGTCCATTCAGACTCTTGGTCTTCTGAATATGCTTTAAAGCGTTCGGCCCCTGCTGGTTACACAACAGATATTGGTGCGTGTCTCCATCATCATGTAAATTGTGGTATCTAATCTGCTTCCAGTGGTTTGCGTTTCGAGCAGGCTCCACATCACGGACACCATGAATAGAGCATCTTTGTATATCTCGTCTTTCCAATACTATTTGCCATGAAATTTGGACCACCCGAATGACTGACTGATCTACTCGCGAACCCGGTGAGCGTGGATGTTATGTCATGCACCGTGATCGTCATGTCGTACCGAAATGGGGCACTTCTGGGATGTGGACCTGCGATGTGAGAAGACTGCGATGACTTCTAACACTATTGTTGCCCAGCGTATACAGCATGATCATCATTCGGGTCTGATCCTCACAGTAATAAGACAGACATCGCGTCAAGTACTGCATCCGATCCTGGCTATCTGCGTACACTGTTGCCAAGCGCTGGCCAAAAAATTGGGGTGTTTTTGAGTTCCGTATTTTATTTGGTGGACGCGACTCTGCATAATAATACAATGTATCTACTAGTATGAGTCCTCCCATAAAGCAGTCGGTGAAATAGTGAACAGTATAGTACGCTGAAGGGCCAACAAGACAAGTAGCGTGCGGGTAAGACAAATCGCAAGCTTTGGAGGGGTGCTGGTGCAAGATTCGCAATCCCTCCCTAACCGGCAGGGGAAAGGGTGATGCCTGAGTGAATGTGAGAGATAATGTAATGCTGATGATGTGCAATGGGATAGAGCAGGAGAATAAAGAGAGTGATTGCGTGCATCTGATGTGATCGGCCAGAGGAAAGCGAGCAAAATTGTAACAGAGATGACCAGAGCAAGAAGCCAACAAAACTTAAATAAGATGGAGGAAATGAGAGTGACGAGCTGCGGGCTAGGGAATATCTTCTGGCGTGGTGAAAGACATCGGGGACAAAGGCGGGTATTCCCCTTCAGCGACGGCTTCGAGGTGAGCAAATGAAGGTAGTGAGGGCGGAGAGGCGTATTCGGACGACGGTGACGGTAGTGGAGGCTTCATAGAGTTATAAGTAAATACCAACATGACATCAGGAGGCCCTTACCACTTTGACGTTGAACATGGGATTTATGGCTGACTTGGGAGCTTGACCAGGACTCGGTGGATGCCCCGCGACTTGACCACCAAGCCCAAAGACACCGTTAGGTGCCTGTAAATGCTGTGTCTGTACCGATGGAGGCATGGGAATATAAGACGGTCGGGACTTCAGCCCACTTGGATCGTCCTGTTGCCAAGTCTGGTGAGTCGGCGATAATGACATCGAATGGAGCGGAGGAGGTGACGTGGTGTGTGGTAACGCAACATTAACCATCGCTGGGTCCATGGATGCACGCAGCCGGAAGTTCTGCGCCAGCTCCTGCTCCAGTGACAATGAATTCGAGGAGCGAGGCGAACCTGGAAATGCATCGTCGCCGAACGAAGTGCGTAACGACGACGTGGACGTCATCCTATCAATGCCGAACAGACTCGGTCGTGTGCGCAACCGCATTGGACCAGGATCACTGTCCACAGTGGCGAATGAGATGACCGACATACGTCCGAGGCTACTGTGCATATCAGAGGACGACATGGAATGGTCATCGTCCCACTCTCTCCGCCTAGCCTTAGGCACCCGCTCACTATCTCGCCGCCAATCCCCAAACGATGCGCCAGCTGCATTGATTGTCGGTGAACCCAGTCCCCCCGCAGTCTGCTGTCTCATATGACCAGAGGCAGCGGTCTTGCCCTTACTTCCTCTACCCAGCGTAACGTCGCTTTGACCGGTCGAACCAAGCAAGTGCGCGGCGTTACTGGACTTCCACTCCAAGTCTTGCCCGGCAGCCTGCTGCATTAACACTTGATTGCGTTTCTGCATGACAGCCCGCGCCTGTTCCCGCTGCATCTTCTTGGCCAATTCACGTCTCTGTTTCTCGGCCTCCTGCAAACTACGCTTAGCCTCTTCCTTGACCTTCTTCGGGTCCAAGCCTAGACCAGGTGGTTCATTGACGCTGGGCGAGTCGAGAGAACGGCTATCCGTGCTGGAAGACTGCGGTCGTTTGAGGGACGACATGTGGGACTCCAGCCCTGCCATGGGCGTTGATTCATCGACAGGAGACAAGATGTTTTGCTTGTCATTGTTGCCATGACCGCCAAACATACCCAGGCCCCATTTGCTCGACTTCTTCCCAAACCCGAGTGCATTGAGTTTGCTGCCCAATTTATTGGCTTGCTGCGAGGGCTGGATGGCACCGTCCCCATCGATAGGTCGAGACGGATACTCTTGGACCATCGGAGATTGCTGGAACGCCATCGGCTGAGCTTGACCGGGCGCATACTCCTGTTGCGGCGAAGACATATCCATTGGCCAACCATCTGGAGGTCGTTGCTGCGCGTGCGACTCGAGCCAAGCGTTTGCATTAGCAACCCTATCCCCAGCACCATCGCCAAATGAATACACGGATGAAGACACTGCACTGGGGTGCATTGCAGGAACAAGGCGACCATGCGCGTCGATGTTGAGCGTTTCGGCGGAGTGGGCATATTCACGCAACTCATTGGCATACTGGGAGTTGCCAAGAGAAGGCGTCGAAGATGAAGAGGGATAGAATGACGAACGATGACTGGAGGCAGCATCGGGTATCTGTAACTGGGATGGATGCAGGTGTTGCATAGAAGTATCGAACGCTGGCTTGGCGCTCGCAGGTGAATGTGAATGGGACGGGGGCACGTTCCTTGGGGCGACGGATGGCAAACTTCCTTGTCTGCCGGGATGGGCGTGTCCATTGGCCGGGACACCATTAGCGTTAGCATTACCGTTAGGGAGTTTAGTAGGCTGCGTGGCCGAGTATATAAGGGCAGGCATAGGAGGATTATTCTTGGGCGTAGTTTCGATGAGGTACGGATGGGTCAAACATTGCTGGGAGGTCAGTCGCGCTTCAGGATCGTACTTCAGTAAATCCGCGATACAGTCGACAAGCTTGACAGGGACAGATCGGTCAAAGAGGGCATAGATATCTTTAGGATGGACCTGTTGGGAAAGACGTAAGTGCACGGCAAACCCAAGGTAACCGGCAGCCGGACCGCATAGCCGCTGACGTCGCAGGCATATCTGAACCAGACACTAACCTTGGGGAAAGCAAAGCCCACGCATTTCGCCATCTTTATACCCCGAGCCCACCGACCGCCACCGATAGATTTCCCTCTAGCATCGTGACCATAATCCCCTGCTGGGTCACCAAGCACTTCGCATATCCTCCCAACCTGATCAATCTCTCCCTGACCTGGGAAAAGCGGCCGTAAATTGACCAACTCTGCCATGATCGTTCCCAACGCCCACATATCCACGGGGTTGGAGTAATCCCGAGACCGTAGGAGGACTTCGGGGGCTCGATACCACCGAGTAGACACGTATTCGGTGTAGGGAGGTTTCGACTTGGTCTCGCGAGCCAAGCCGAAATCTGCAAGTTTGACAATCACCACCACGTCCTTCTCCATCGGCGCATTTGGTGGGGCGACAGGTGATACAGGTGTATAGTCATACAAACCCGTCGTCGTTACCAGAAGATTCTCCGGCTTCATGTCCCGATGAAAGTAACCGGAGGCGTGGATATGATGAAGGCCGGAGACCACTTGCTTGAAAATGGATGAAACCAAGCCGCCAGCAAGGGGGCGACCTTTGCGTGATTTGATGAGCTGGTACAAGTTCCCCTCCATGGATTCGAAAACGAAGTACAGCTCCTTCGACGTAGGCAGCAGGAAGGCGTCGTAGAGGGGTATGATATTTGGATGATATGGGATTGCACGTAGAGACTACGTGCCACGGTTATAGCACAGCTTGAAAGATCATAATGGAAAGGACGAACCTCAAGCTCCTTTAACTTTCTGCACTCCTCCCATCCACCCTCCCACTTCTTCTTCATCCGTTTCACAGCTACGAGTCTCTTGCCGGTCCACTCCGGCCTTGCGCCGGCACCGCACTGCATGGCGGATAGTGGAGTATTGGGGGGTAAGGGCCCATGCCAATCACATAACCAGACTGTGCCGAACGAGCCATCCCCCACCACTTTGAGGGGCGTGTACGAGCGCGTCGATCCTAAGCGCGGGAACGCGTGAGTTGACGTAAACTCAAGGACGTGTCACGAAAAGTACTGACTGCTATTCGAGTCCCCGATGAGAACGTCATTGCCACGCAACGTGACGGACGGGATCGCATCCACGACGATGGGCTCCTTCTGCGAGGCCTGCTGGGGCGCAGGGCGACCCGGTGGTGGTTGTGGTGGTTGCGGATGCGCCTGGGGCTGGTTGGTCTGCAAATGACCGGGAGGGGGAGGGATGGTGTGAGCATGGGGAATGACACCGTTGGATCCGTTGTACGGATGAGTCTGCGAGGATGTCTGCTGATGAACATGGATTTCAGGTTGGAACATGATACGAGTGCTGAGCCTCGCATCGCCCAAGGATAGAGTACTGAAGGCAAGTGTGACCTGGTGTCAGAGCAGAGCGTCAAGCCGGCATGAAACAGCGGGAATTTTAGGCGGGGTGCGTCGGGCGGGAGAGCGGCTGATGGCAGGGAAGACGGAGGCGTCTGGGGGCGGAAGGGCCTAATTAGATGGAATTACGAAAGCGACGGACTGGAAGGGGCGGGGCGGTGGGCGCTGTGAGCGACGGCGGGGAGCGAGGGGCGGCGGACGTGGAGGCCAGCGAGCACGGCGGCGACGGACTTGATGCTCGCGCAAGGGAAAGAGGCGAAAAAGAAGCGACGGCTTGACAAGGGAGCGTATGGGAGAATGCGATTGGAGGACTTGTTTGGATCACAGGAAGCATCGACAAACTGAAGATTCCGTCCCAGCCTGCCGGCGCACTGTCACACCTTGCCTTACTCGGCAGTCCGATCTCCAGATCTGGCCCCGGCCGTCACCCGGCCTGTGACCGGCGAGCAGTCGTCATATATTTTTCGTAAATTGCGGAATACAGCAATTATCGTCCGCGATCGTCAATCATGGCGTCCGTTCCACTCTGACAGCCTTCGCTCGCCAGCACGCCACTCGCCGCTGTCGCCGCCGGCCACGCCGTGCGGGGGCGCGCCAAGCGCCGGCTCGGGCCCGTCGGTCGTCCTCATCACAACTTTAGTCTGGCCTCGCCCGTTTAGTCATCTATTCCATCATGTCTGTCTCCCCCCATCAGCGGAAGATCCTCGATTAAAGTACACGGCCATCCGCTAAGTCCATATAGGCCTTTTATCCCGTAATCTTCCATCCTACCCTGACGTCTAGTATGGCACCTCGTCAAACAGCTTCGAGACGCTCTCCCCGTAGTGACTCCTTCTGATCACCTCGCCTAGCACGTTGCCAATGTCTATCACCTCTATCTTGCTGCACCGTTGCTGGTTCTCCGCCTGCGGCAGCGTGTTCGTCACCACCAGCTTCTCCAGCACACTCTCCTCCAGCCTCTGTAGCGCGTTCCCGCTGAGAATCCCATGCGTGACGATCGCATAGATTCTCGAAGCACCGGCTTCTGCAAGATGCTGCGCTGCCAAACACAGCGTGCCGCAGGTATCAGCCATGTCGTCGACCAGAATAGCAACCTTGCCAGTAGCGCTTCCGACAAGCACCATCCGGGATACTTCGTTCGCCTTCTTCCTCTCTTTGTGGAAGAGTGCGAAGTCAACGCCTAGCCGATCTGCCATCGAAGTAGCACTGTCCACGAGTGGTCGAATCAGTCAGATACATCCAGAAGCTTTGATGGAGGTCGCTAGACTTACCGCTTCGCGCCACCTGCGTCTGGTGACACGATTACCACATCCTTCGTGTCGAAGTGGGAACGGATGTATAAAATGGCCGACGGTTCCGCGTACAACTTGAAGGACGCAGTAGCGGTCATCACACAGTGCACGTGTGAAGCTCAAGCCAAAATAGACAGATAAGCACTACTTACGCTGTGCCATCAAAGATTTCCTATGAGTGTCGGTGATAGACATAAACTGCAACGACACGTACTTGTCAACCGGGACGTCGAAGAATCCCTGTATTTGTGAGGCATGCAGATCCATGGTCTACGGCCAGAGCAGCCAGAAGTAAGCCATATTTCCTTACCAGACAGCTTGCGAACTTACAATGACATGGTCGCAGCCGCTCTTTTGTATCATGTTCGCGACCAGCTTGGCCGTAATAGGTGCGCGGCTCTTGTCCTTCTTGTCTTGTCTAGCGTACATAAATAAAGGCAGGACCGCCGTAATTCGCTTCGCGCTCGCGATCTTGCAGGCGTGGATCATGATACACAACTCCATAAGAGCCGTGTTGACCGAGGTCGCGGACGGGGTAATGGAGGGCGACGGAGAGGTAATAATGTACACATCGTCGGAGCGGACGGATTCAGCTATGCGGACTTGGGTCTCGCCGATACCGGAACGAGATATATGCGCCTTCGAAAGCGGGATTCCTAGCCTAGTGTTGAAATGCGTCAGCTGCATTCCACATGTAAAGTTATGGGACAGACCGTCTGGCAATGATTTCTGCTAGCTCCGGGTGGCTAGTACCTTATGAGCTTAATATTAGCACTTCTGCTCCTCGTAAACTCGAAGAGGACCAGGCCCTCAATAGCCAGCTCACTCACCGCTGAAGATTTTGATCCCAGTACCGTTAAGCATCTTTCCGCGCAGTCCAGCTATGCCATAAACCAATTAGAGCAATCGGATGCTAATAGATAATAACGACAAGCAGCAAGGAGAGCAAGAGAAGACAAGCAAGGAATAAAAAGGCAAGAATAACCAGTGAAGAGAAAAGAAAAGAGGAAAAGGGAGCAAAACGGAAGGCAATGTCGATTAGGAGGTCATGAAGCACGTGATTGGACTTTTTGGGAGAAATCGATCGAGCCAGTGCACGTGTTGAGCCGAGATCTTGGTGCGATGTGTGGCGGGCCGGTGGCGGTGCATAGCTACCGACGCTGTTCGATGAAGGTTCCAAAGGACAGACTGATTTCCAACTGAATTCAGCGACATGAAACTGCCGCTGAGCTGTTCCAGTTGGGCGTACAGGAGGCGAAGTTGGGATAAATAAATGGAACAGCGTGGCTTTCAGCAAATGGCCTTACATACGGGATTTCTGCTTCTCTTCGGGACGTCCGTCTTTCAATGCGCCAGGCTAAGTTGTACCGTCACAGACGCCAGTTTCGCTTCGCAAATGACAATAGCTGACATCGAGACACGGAATGTAAGGTCATAGCCAAGGATGCACCTTGCAACGAGGCGTAAGATGTAATCTACGACGTTGACATGTCTCCGGCAACAATTGTGGCTGTCAGAGCCCGTCTGCTTCGGATCCTTCAAGTTCCCATTCCCACCGATTCTTGAGCATGCTCTGCTGCCTCTGCACGCGGAAATGAAACTTAGACGGTTTATTTCCACGCAGGACCTAGAACGTCAATGTCACCGTTGTGTCACCGGCCGACATCCCTGGCTTTCGGAGGTTCGAAGGTTGTAAGGGCATGACCTACAGCACCCGTAACTCGCCACCATAAATAAGAAAACCCGTAAGAGCCACATTAGATAGATAGACTTCGCAGATGGCCCGCATATGGTAGCACTAGTACTAGCGTCATGTTCGACATTGGCAACTCTTTGAGTCTCTGGCTCCCCAAATTCGTTGCCCAGCGTGTTCTGGTGGCTAAAGGACTTGCTCCATGGCTTCCACCGAAGATGTAACGCACAACGACTCGGACGCTCTCGGGCATCCATCAGATGACCTATAGCTATGTATATGATAATCATATCGCCAAAGATTATAGCGCCGCTGGGCGCTAGCATATTGACAGCCCACGACACCCTTTAGACAGCTACTCCTCTACCCGGGCGTCATGATGATGATGCATACACGTAGTGAGCTTGATGCTCGGAGTACACTCGTGCATGTGCCCCAAGGCCCCCAACGACACCGAGGAAACCTTCGGCTTATCTCGAACGAGCTCGAATGAACGAAGATCCCGAATAACAGAGTCAAACATGCGACTCTGGAGTTTGGCAAGCTCGAAGCTTGCATGCTCTTACTGTCTAGCTCCAAGCCCAGATCTTCTATGCCGGCTGGGACGCAAATCCGCAATCAAGGAGACCTTCGAAAGAAAGCTGCTATTGGATCATTTCAAGATATAAACATGCAAGAAAGAGCGTCGCTCGCCATGTTATCCCGGTGATATCGATCAGCAGCTGATCTCCCTTCTATCCTGCTACGAAATGTGCACGAGAGTTGCCAAAGAAGTTCAACGATTGAACAGTATAGGCGTCACGGCCAGTATCACTCTGTGGGCGAGCCGGAGAGCGGGCGGCCTGCACTCGTAGTCGGTTATTGCACTGGGTCCCAAGAGAAGAGGTGGGCGTCCGGCCTCGAGTATTATAACCATGAATTCGCGTGTAGTAAGGCGCTCTTGACGAAATTTTCGCTTAGCTGCGCAGGGCGAACTACTGTGTCTACCTCCCAAGAGTTGTAACTTGTCGACCCTAGGCGACTCCATATGCGTGCGCTTCCTTCTTACTGCGCACGCAGCCACCGTGGGCGAGCCGCCTAGCGATACCAGGCAATAGCGGGGCGTGCTATGTACATACAATGACCTACGTCGAGGCCTCCAGCATGCGCATCTTCCATACGGATGACACAGCTGTTTGTTAGTCGTTCGGGATCTACACCCCGATCCCGCAGCAGGGCGGTCGATGTCTGCATGATATTCGCTGGCTTGTGGAGATCCTGGATGCTTGAGACGTCTTCGGCCATCCTTCAGCGCCCCTTGCTGCGCCCGAATTATGCTATGCCATGGGTTTCACCGAAACAGCGCAGTCGTGTTAGTAAGTTACTTGGCTCCTTCGCAAGGGTGGGTTAATTCAATCACCTCTCTCACATGTTCGTCGTCGTACGACTTCAAATCGAAGGCGAGGAGGACGGAAGAGCTATAAGTCGCGACATTTCACCCTCTCGTTCTCATAAACGTCGACTGGGACATGAAGTCTGTGTTTGTGATATCTCTTGCTCTGTTGCTGGCCTTCGTGTCCGCCTCTGGCGCGTCAGCAGTTTGCAAATGCGTCTACCCGTCTTCGTGCTGGCCCAGCGCAGATGAGTTCGCATCCCTGGCTACCAAGCTGTCGCAACCGCTTGTCTATCCCAAGCCACCCGAGGCGGCATGTTACCCTGCAAATGCCACTTCCGTTTCTGTAGACTGTGCTACGGTCACCGAACACTACTACAATGGCAATTGGAGGGCTGACCAGAGCGGGGCCATGCAAGGGCCTAACTTCGAGATGTACATCCAGCTGAACTCCAGTGGGCAGGGAACCCTAGAGGCGTGCTATCTGAACAGCAGCCTCGGTATACCTTGCGAGCAGGGCAATGTTCCAGTCATAGGGGTGGATGCTAGAACGGTTGGTGACATACAGGAAGCCGTCAACTTTGCTACTCTCCACAACTTGAAAGTAGTGATCAAGAATACCGGGTGAGCATGTCGCATGAATAGCCGGGCCTAGTATGCTGAATACCTTCCTCCGCTTCTAGTCATGATTTTGTTGGCCGTAGCACGGCAAAAGGATCTTTCTTGATCTGGACTCATAACATGAAGAATATCACCTACGACGACGCGTTTTCCCCGCTTGGTGCACCGGCCAATGAGACTTACAACGGTAAGTGATCAATTCGTGGGGCCTTCCTTTACGCTAAGTCGTCTGCTCGCTTCTCTGCAGCCATCACACTGGGAGCCGGCGTACAGTGGCATGAAGCGTACGACGCTGCAAACGAACACGGTGCCCTTCTAGTCGGCGGCCTGGTGCCGGGTGGTTCAGTCGGTGCCGCCGGAGGATGGCTCATGGGCGGAGGACACAGTGCCTTGTCTCCCAGCTACGGCCTTGGTAGTTGCCCGTCCCTTGTCCTATTTTTCACCAGACTAACGGTCGGTATTCCTTAAATTAGGCGTTGACAATGTATTACAGTTCTCGGTCGTCACTTCAACAGGAGAATCCCTCACTGTGTCCTCTTACTCGCATCCCGACCTGTTCTGGGCGCTACGGGGCGGAGGCGGTGGAACCTTCGGTGTGGTCACATCCGCCACATATCGAACTCATCCTTCAGTGCCCGCTGCCACCGCTATCTTGACAGCGAACGCCACCGATAACGCCGTACTGGCGAAGCTGCTTTCGGAGTACATCCGGAGGTCCCCCACTTGGTCGGACCAAGGATGGGGAGGCTATGGTACGGTCTTCGATGGTACTCTGGAGATGCTTCATGTCGCTCCGAACGTCTCACTGGCCGCCGCAAACGCGAGCTACAGCTCATTCTTCGAATTCGCCCAGTCGCTGGTTGCCGAGGGTCTCAACTTGCAGACCACCGTAACCTTGTCGTACCCGACGTACTATGATTGGTACCAGACATACTACAACACCAGTGAACAGGACCAAGAAACTGGCACAACAGTCTTGCTAGGGTCGCGACTGATGACGAGGGAGGTGATAGAGTCCAACTATACAACCCTCGGTCAATGGATGGTTGAAGACTTTGTATGGTCGCAGTTGGTGTAAGTGCTCCCTGGAGTTGCAATGATTTTTCTCGAACTGAACGTGCATGGGCAGACTTATTGCTGGAGGCGCCGTCAATCGAACTGACCCGGACGCCATGGGTCTCAACCCGGCATGGCGGACGGCGCTTGCGGAGGTTCTTACAGCAATGTCGTGGCCCGACACAGACAATGTCACAGAAATCCAGAGTGCGAAAGGCACGCTGAAGGAAATGGTCAGTGCATTGGACAGTCTCAACCCAGGGTCTGGCGCATACCTCAACGAGGTAAGACGTGTATCTCCAATGAACAGCCTAGCAAGTTATTTAACTCGTTCAATAATAGGATTACCTGGAAGACAACTGGCAACACACGTTCTTCGGGTCGCACTACCCAAGACTGAAAGCTATCAAGGCTACGTATGATCCTATGGCTTTATTCGTCGTACGGAATGGAGTTGACTCAGAGGATTGGGATGCTGACCTGATTTGTCCGGTGTGAATTCATGCCAGGAGGGTAGATGTGGCGTAGCACGGAATTATTAACGGACATTGATTTGCACACTGATTACGAAACTACAGCAACGAAGATGTGAATTCGAAGTTATTAGGCAACCGTGAATATAGGCATCGCTAATGACTAGGGGTAAGACACTATCAAACTGGGGCGAATGCAGAATGGCTTGCGGGAGCTAAGTAACAAGGCAACGTTAAAAGGAGAGCACTTAAACCATAGTCCATGTATACGTAGTGTACACTGTACAGACCTCAACGCGATGTCATATAGGAAATGCTGCAGAAGGATAAAAAGAATGTGATGTAATGATATACACATAGGCGGACACGGGGAAGACGACTCGCCAAACTAATCAAGAACATGGGAAGCGTAATTATGGGCTACATATCTACTATCGAAGTACTAATTTACCTACTACCGATGGTATTGATAACGCCAGGTGGTGGGATAGCCACCGCCGGAGGTTGCACTCGCATAGGTCCATGAGAGTTCAGGATTGACAACAGATGAGCATTATCGGGGGGTACGGAAGAGCGAGGAGCAGTAAAGCCCATAGCATCGGAAGGACCGCGGGGCGCATACGGAGCAGGTGGTTGCATGGGCGGTAGAACATTGCTAACGCGCGGATGGTTGAAATTTTCCATTGACTGCGCAGAGTGGAGGAATTTCGAAGGCGTCGCAGACCCGGATGGATAGGCACCATAGGCCGGGCGGAGGGGAGCCACGTGTTGAGAGGGATGCGAGCTATTACCGCCCACTGGTCCATTCAGAGCTGCAAGCAGTTGTTTCTCGTGCATGCTCGATCGACCAGCTGCACGGTAGTGATGGGTAGGAGGCGCAGGGTGGAAGGACATCGATGTCTGTGAGCGCACCCGGAATGGGTCATATGGCATCGCAGCATGGGGATGCGGTACGCCTAACGAGGAACCGGCGGGTAGAGGGGTAAACGAGGGGGAAGGCAACGCCTGAGCACCCGATGAGTAGATGACTCGAGGATCTCTCGGGCTCGCATACAACGTATTGGAGGGGTGACCATGCGAGGTCGCGGACATAGGCGAGGAGGGAGCTACGGACATCCGACCATCCAGTGCACTCGTGGGGGTGACCAAATTACGATGCATGAGGACAGGTGTCATCCTGGCGGACTCATCCGCCACCGTCTCCAGCAGTGCCAGCTGTTTCAACCGCTTTCCAGAAGATGGTATTTCGGAAGGTCGTGAGAGATATGGAGAGATGTCAGCCGTGGCACCGGAACCACGACGAGCAACAGCTGGCCTAGATGATGAGGTTGTGGATGGCGCGGCCGCAGAAGTAGCGGATACAGCAGTAGGAGGGGGAGAGGTCGAGACTTGGGAGGTATTGGAAAGACCGTCTGCCTGGTCACAGATGGCATGTTCAGAATGACTGGCTACCACCGGGACAGCATGCGGCGCGCTTTCTGCCACTGAGCTCGACGGTAGCTCAAGGCTTTGCGGTGAATATTCACCAAGTGGTCTGGAGGCACCAGAAGTTGGCTCTCCAGAGTGATCGAGATAATAGGTTTGAGACGGAACACTGGATGAAGAGGCCAATACGGGATCCACAGAAGACGCGACCGCAGGAACCGGAGTCGAGGATAATGCTTCGGTGCCCTTTGTACTGGTGATCGCTGGCCCTTCATTCTTGGTCGTGAAAGTGGTACCGTTAGCGGCAGACAATGAAAGCGCAGTCAACAAGCGGGCAAGATCAGGGTCCAGAGCGGACGAGGGAGCTTCGTCGTTCCCGTTTACGACGACCTGCGTCGCAGCAGGCTCACTCCACTGCGGCGACGGAGTATCGGGCCCGCCGTTATCTACGGAAGACGAAGAACTGGACTCCTGTGTGTTATGAGTATGGGAGATGCTGATATGCGAATGCAGATCTAGGGTAAGATCGACGCCCTCCTCGATGCGTGATGCAGCACTGGGATCTTTCATTCTCGCCGGCTTGCGTCCTGTCCGTGGCCTCCGTTCGTTGATGAAAGCTTTCAAAGGACTGTGAGGTATCCTCAGAAATAGCGTACACCACAGATGTGAAGTAGACGCACCCAATGAACGGAGATATCAGATAGAACTTGCCGGGGACAGCTTTGTTTCTCCTCCACGTCGGCAAGTCGGTAAGTTTGAACCATTCTATCCTCTGTAAAATGAGGAAAATGAGTTGGACTTCAGTGGCAATGGCTTCAAACAGTAGTCCTTACACTGATTTCCTTGCGCGTTCTTGTCTTGAAGGGGTAATCCTCAGGAATGCCGGGTACAATATACAATGATATTTTCTGTTCACGGATTGACATTTCAATGACATCCTCTGGATCAATCTTGCCCGATAAATCATATCCAGTCTCCTCCAAGACCTGATACGGGGGACGTTCATGTTGGGACTGAATAGCGAACACAAGGGATAAGACGTACTTCTCGGACAGCGCATTTGTGCGGTTCTTCATCCTGATTGATCTTTCCCTTCGGAAACCCCCAGCCCGAAGAAGACTTCCATCCCTTTACAAGGATGCACTGATGCACCGTGACACAGGTTCGTAAGAACAGGTCCCGAAACAACACCCCAGTAAGTAGAACTTACCTTCTCCCAAGTGTCGTTCAACATGATCGCACCGCAGACGGGTACTCTCGTCTTGTACTGCATGAAGTTGTTGAAGGCCTGTTCGTGGTCATGACTCCACTGACGGAGCAACGGGCAAGCGTGGAACAAGAGGGCGGAGAATCTTTTGAGGGGCAGGGACGGAAATTTGGGGTTTTCTTCTCTGATAAAATCTTCATAGAACCAGTGACTAGGGACGAAAATAAGAACGTAGGACAATCGAGTGTGAGGGTGGCTCGGACATACGCTTGTTCAACCTGAAAACAGACGCGTTCTAATGATGCAAGCTCCTCGTCGGGAAGATTGAGAATAAAACGACTGGATAGTGAAATGGGTCAGAAATGGATGATAAGATGCGAAAGGAAAAGACGACGATACCTTGATAGATCCTCAAGCACTTCATCAATCGTGGAATATTTATGTGCTGACTGATCAGGAGAGTGTCTAGCAGGTGCGGCCGATATCTCAGGCGATGAGGAGGAAGACGAAGCCATAGCGATAGAAGGAAAGCGTCGCAAACGAGAGAGCCACAGAGGTCAGTTATGTACGGTCGGTGTTACAAGGTCGGTTGTGGTGGCGAACACGGCAAAGGAGGAGCCTGACGCCGACCTGGGACTACAAATAAGCGCAAACACTGCCCGCCTCCACGTGCTCGAATCAGTGGCTGAGCTTCACCGCATCTCGCCTAGACCGCACTGCTGCCTCAGTGCCTGCAGCACCCCAGTTCGACAATGTCTTTCCATCTGAACATGGAAATCAATCCCATTCAGGAGCGTGCATTTGCACTTCCTGAGGCGCTGGCTTTGGATGGCCAGGCATTTGAGCTTGGGCGTGCTGGAGACCTGCAGGGTGCGGAACGATTGCACCTGCAAGCCCTCGAGATGAAGGAGCAGAGTCTGCCTCCCTCTCACACCTCCACTGCCATAACTCTCAATGCCTTGGGAGAGCTGTACTTGAAACGGGTTGCCTAGACGAATCAGAGAATCATTTGAAGCGGGCTATTGACATTCGAAACAGCCGGTCCTCCGTTCAAGTTCGACCTAGCTGCCTCCCACGAGAATCTCGCACAGTTGTACGAGAAGAGGGGTAACTTGCAACGCGCCAAAGCGCTGAGGTTGGAGTGTGCCCCTAACCTCTGTTGCACCAATTACAAGGTAAGAATGGGCACTTCGGTTCGTGCATCCCTGAGATAACATCCTCTGCAGTGTCCGGGGCAGCTATTCCCTCCGTCGCGATTGCAGCAATGCAGCAGGTGCAAGGTACGTCGTGTAGGATCTCGTCCTTGCTAGCTTTAAATGCCTGCAGGTCGCCTATTATTGCCCCAGGATCTGCCAGGTCCTTGATAAGTGTCCTTTGTCCTGCGATATAGACTGACTATCATTGCAGACAGAAAACTGGAAGTCTCGTCACAAACTGTACTGCAAAGCTGAGTAAACGTCAGCTGCCCTGTCTGTGAAATCTATGCCTTGCTTATGCTTGTAAGGCTGTGTAACATATTCATCCTCCGAAATACGGGTGTTGTCATGCGTATGCTCCTTGACTTAAGTAACCTAATTGATACACAAATAATATACAGAACAAGTCCGGATAATGTCGCCTGTCAGTCAGACCATTGGAAACGGAAGTGTCGTGGTGCTCTGCCATATAACCTACTGGTCATAGCCCATACGCCTGGCATAGTCGAGCTGCTCTTCAACTGTGAGCCTGTCAGCACCAGTCCAGTTCGCGGAACTGGTTCTCGCTCGGAAGCGACTTTGCCTGGTCCTGAATATCTCCTCCATGTGCAGTGGTCTGACAGCCCCAAATATATGATCCGGATTGACCGTGCTCTGCTGCTCCAAAGCTTGCCTGAGGTTCGGTGACTGCGCCCAGTTAGGTGGATCGAACGTGCGTTTGCGGTTCTCGTCGTCAGAGTCAGAGTACTCGCTGTCGATGTCCGGCAGTTCGATGCTTTCACTTGGCGGAGGCGCCGCCGGAGGTTGGCGAACCTGCTTGGGTGGTGGCATCTGAGTCTGACTTGGAGTGCGTAAGGGTGTCTTCGGTCTCAGTTTCTCCGTCAAGCCCTCTTCCTGGGCCTTGGCTTTCCCCTTGTCTTTGCTCATGTTGCTAGTCGTCGGCTGAGAGGAAGCGGAAGGTTTCGCACTCGATGCACCAGCACCCCCACTATTGGCAACGGGATGCTTTGGAGTCGCAACAGACTTCAAGTTTGTCTTCGATTGCGAACGAGGCAATGCAGGCGGAGCTCGAGGTATAACGTCCTTCTTCTCCTTCGAAGGCGGCTTCTTGGATTCCACCTTCTTTTCTGGCTCCGATATTACTTTGCGTTTCTTGTTGGCAGCATCGTCCTCGACCTGCTCGTAGGAGATGTGAATATCAACTAAGAAGACTCCAACGGAAAACATCACCTTCTTTCCATTTATCTTCAGAAGTCGCTTCTCTGTATGTTCCTCTCGCTCCCGTTTGCGTTTGTCGGCTTCCTCTTTCGCCTTGCGTTCTTCCTCCATTGCGCGCGCCTTCTCTTCCTCTGCCTTCCGCTGGGTCGCTTGTTGCCGACGGGCCTCCATCTCCTTCAGTCGAGCTGTCTTCCTTTCCTGCTCTTCTTGTTGCTGCATATGTTATCAGACTCAAGATATTCGCGACAGGAAGAAATGAGTATACCTTCTTAGCTGCCGCTGCAGCCAGTTGCAGGCTCTTCACTGGCTCGGCTTTCTTCTTGTTGCTGCCCAGTGCGCTGCTCACAAACCTGGCGGCATGACCGAAGAAACCCATTTGGGAGGTGGACGTCGCAGACGACGCGACGGACATCTGACTTTCGCTCCGGCCTGTAGATTGCGAGCAACTTGATTTCGACTGTTTAGTGCCAATCAGTAAAAGTCCGCGAGCAAATAGGTGAACTCACTTCGCCCAGTTGGTCCGACAGCTTTGGCAGTACATGTGCATGATCAGCATCATCACCTTCGTCCCATTGTTCATCTTCGTCGTCTAGGTCCATATCAGGAGCATCTTTCTCATCCAACATGATACGTTGGTCTCCCGCCTCGTCGAATGCATCTTCAGACTCTGGAGCTGGATCCTCGACAGGTGCGATGGCTCTGGTATCACCAATGGGACCTGTATCCCCCTTGTGGCTCTCCGTGGCATCTGTGGTCCAAGTAATGGACTCATTCGGATCAACAAAGCCAAAAGGCGTCCAGGAAGGGTTGTTCTTGGCGAAGTCTTTCCGATATCTGTCTTCTTCGTCTTCTTCATCCAAGGGAGTACAGAGATCCTCGTCCGCTGGCTGTTCCGCTGGTGAGTTTGGTATAGTAGGGTCTGTTTCCTGAGTTGGCACCAACCACGAAGGCTGTGAGTCAAAGACAGGCTCGGAGAAAATACTGGCAGCGCTGGATTGCGCAGAAAGGGCAGGCTTATTATCTAATGCAGATGGTCCTACCTGGAAAGGGTGCAACTTGGGCGGTATGCCCAAAGATACCGGGGACGGCAACTTGAAAACCTTGGCGGTTGACGTTCCCGTGATCACTTGCTTCAGATGAGAGGTGGTGCTCTCAGCTCGATCGCTGGGAGAATTACGCGAAGGAGGTGCAAAAACTGGCGGAGGCTTGCTGAATACTTTGTCAATCGGCATTACGAAGTCCTGAGGTAGTCGATGGGGTGGCGAGTTCGGAGGTGTAGTAGAACCACTATTCCCTGCGCCATGTTCCTCATTTTGTGCCTGGTCCAGGGAGCCCGCTGGTACAGATGGCATCGCAGGAGTGCTTGAGTTTGCTTTGTGATTGACATCTTTGCTAGATCCAACAAGGTCAGACACGCTTAGCCTCGTTCTTGCATTGCTCAATGCAGGTTCTAGATGGGGCACTGGAGAAGGAGCCTTCGTAGAAGGACTATCTGGAGGCGTCGAAGCCGAAGCGGTCTCCATAATTTCTTTCGAATCGGGATCCGCACGTTCCAAGGGGTCTTCCATCTTTTTCCTCTCCGCCACTTTTGCCTCGGCGGCTCTCCTTGCCTCAGCTAAGGCTGCAACCGCGGCAGGCCCCCCGAGCGACTTCCCACCGAAGCTCTTGCCTGTCCGCCCGAATTCCTCTACAGTGCGCTTTAAGCGACCAAGGAGACCATCCTCTTGGGAGGGGTCAGCAAAATGTTGATGGACCTCAGTCTGAGGGAAGCCTAATTGGTCCCTAGAATCGCGCTCCTGAGCCTGTGGGACTTCAGGGTCTTGACCTAGTTTGGCAACCTTTGTCTTTCTATCGTTTTCCTCTGCTTGGGAATGGGAGGTGGGATCCAACAAGAAGGGGTGCGCCATTTCACTGCTCTTCCGTTTGAGGCTGGAAGATGATCCAGGCAGGTCCAAGTAGGAAGCTGTCTCTTTTGGAGTCTGCGCACGTCTAGCAGGTGCTTCAATCGCTTTCGCTTCCCTCGCCTTAGCCAACCAAGATGTCCGCTTCGCACCGGGCACCGATGACGGCCCAGCTGCATGCGCTGATGGCAACAGCCCAGCTCCGACGGATGGCTCTCTCGGGGCTTTCATGGATTTGCGTAGCGGTGAAGGAGCCCGTAACGAAGGGAACTGAGGTATACTGCCCTTTCTATTCAGGAGTTTCGGCGAATCGTGAGATTCACGCAGCGGAACCATCACAATATCCCCCGATTGGAAGGAAGGTAACGATGGAGGTTGGGTGCCACGGTCCGCGGAAGGCGCCAACGCAGAGGAAGCCGCCACCTGAGGAGTCGAGTCGGCTGTATTCTCCGATGAGGTGAGGTGAGTACCAGGAGCCGCGGATGTAGTTGACAGGACATCTTGTACTCCAATCACCTCTTCGTTGGGTCCAGTGGCATCTGGCTGCGGCATACTGTACGAGTCCGGGCCTGAAGTAGATTCAGCGTCAGGGCGTGCGCTAGACGCCTTTCGTTCCGAGGTCGTAGCGGAGATGTGCTGACTTCGGTTGTCAAGCTCGTCGTCTTCAGCGATGATACTTAACTCATTGGGTGGTTCTGATCGGATCCCCAAAAGGTCTTCGCGGGCCCGATTCATGGCTGTCGGAGATTCGGAGGTGGGACGTACAGGAGAGCTCTCCATCTCATAAATGACTACCTCGTCCTTATCTCGCGTGGGTGTGGTTGGGGGAGAATCTGCCACATCCACGATGGTCAAGGGTTGGTCAGCTTCTCTGGAGAGGAGACCAGGCGGCTGTGAGGCGAGTTTGACCGAAGGTTTCCCATGTTGAACCCAGTCTAGCACTTCCACGTCGTCCTCTGGCGGACCTGCCTTAGCATTCAGCAACGCTTGGTGGAAGCTATTAACAGGCGCATCATTCTCTTTCCCAGAGTCTTCGGCCTGAGCGCGATCAGCGATACAATCGCGCCTCGCAGGAGCATAGAAATACCTCTAGACTTGTAGAAATCACTGACTTCGCCTTGGCAGCAGCAGCTGTAGCAGCTCGTGTCCTCTTTGGCGCGTCCTTCTTGCGGCCCGGGGTCTTAACAAGTTCGATTATAGGCCTAACGGGTATGAGATAAGGGAGCCACCATAAGCCATGAGCTGCACTCACTCTCTTTTGGGCCCCTCAAGGATACTCTGAAGATAATTATCGAGAAACAGGAATCCATGCTGTCGAATTTGGTCCTCGAAGACTTGCGCGGCAGGATCGCTTGCTAATGTTGACCGAACAGACGCGACCCACGCTACAATACCAGACTGGCCGTCCCCCATCCTTACGCAGAGAGCAGGAAACACGAAGCAGATGTATGCACGGAGGCGATGGAGGTTGTTTAGCCGTTGATTGAGGCGGCGATCTTGAATTCAACGCGTACACGCCCAAGATCACGTGATACACGCGTCGAGGAACCGTGTAGTTATTTTTGGTAATGGCCTAACAGGGAATAAAAGCAGCGTAGCAGACACTAATCTGTAGCGACTCTTGCTAGTTCGTTGCATTGCAAGATGAACATAAAACGAAGGGTGTTCACGAGCAATATCTACGCCAAAAGCTTTACAGAAATGCAATAACAAAATCGCCACCGTGAAGCCAGCTTCTTCCACAGACAACAGTCAGACGTGCTCTACTCTTACAACAGTCCTCCCACGGCATGCTCCCAGATGATGCCTAGCCAGTGAATCAACAAGACAGGCCTATCATACAAGTCGATATCTGCTCACCTAGTACGCGACGATCTGGCCATTCTCGCTCTTCGTGGGCTGCTCAGCCGGTATGGTGTTCACGTCTGCGCGCTTGTTATATGCCACGATCTGGCCATTCTCGCTCTTCGTGGGCTGCTCAGCCGGTATGGTGTTCACGTCTGCGCGCTTGTTATATGCCACGATCTGGCCATTCTCGCTCTTCGTGGGCTGCTCAGCTGGCATGGTGTTCACGTCTGCGCGCTTGTCGTAGGCTACAATCTCGCCCGTGTCGCTCTTCGTGGCCTTCTCAGCTGGAATCGTGTTAACGTCGGCACGCTTGTCGTAGGCTACGATCTCGCCCGTTTCACTCTTTGTGGCCTTCTCAGCCGGCACGGTGTTCACGTCGGCGCGCTTGTTGTAGGCCACGATCGCGCCATTCTCGCCCTTCGTAGGCGTCTCCTCGGCCATGGTGTTGACATCAGCACGCCTGTAGGCCACTATTCTGCCATTCTCGCCCTTCGTGGGCGTCTCCTCGGCCACGGTATTCAGGTCCGCCCTCTTAATGTAAGCAGGGATGACCTCGAACGGTACAGCGGGTTCTCTGGCCACCAGTGCCTGCTGCAAATGCTCTCAGAACTGGATGTTTCTCACATGGACTGACGGACATACCCGCATCGGCATCGGCATAGGAGCTGCGATAGCCTGACCAGCGAACAAGAAGGCCGCGATGGCGAAAAGGGTGGAACGAGAGGAGATCATCGTGAATTGGGGTATGGGGAGGGATAGAATGCAATTGACTAGGAGGCTGAAGGAAGGTTGCGATTCGAAGGTCGACCAGCGGCCAAGTGAAAGGATGAAAGAAACAAAAAGGTGGGCGTAGACACCGACGGGGCAAGAACGAACGAAGGCGAAAGGAAAGATGTAAGGCCGAGCGTACTTAAGGACTGGCGACGCCGGCCATCAGATCGTTGTAGCAACGCACAGTAACCAGGGGCTATTACCATACTAGTCAGCGACTTGATCATCTTTCCTGATGAATTTCCCACGATTAGATTTCCTCTGAACGCCCGATCATTGGCTCTACTCTGCCGTCTGCATCAGCTCGAACACACACCGCCATGTCTGACCCGCGTTTCTCTCGACTGAAAAGTGACCCGCGTTTCCGTAGACTGAAGAGGAAAGATGCAAAGGTTGTCGTCGATGACCGTTTCAAGTCCATCTTCGACCAGAGCAAGAAAAAGGACAAGAAGCGCGGTGCAGGTACGTCCGTCCAGCTATCCTCACATGAGCACAGGACTAATAGCGATATCTTAGGTCGCTCGGTCGACAAATACGGACGACCAGTCTCTGACAATCAAGAGCACGACAACCTACGGCAGTTCTATCGCCTAGAGAATGAGGAAGAGCCTGCTGGACCGGACTATGCACGCGGAGAGGTCCTGCTGCAGTCCTCGGACGAAGAAGACAATGCCCAGGACCAAGAAGAGGGTGAGAGTGAAGACGATGGCATTGTTATCTTGGGTACGGATAAGCGGAAGCCCCAAGAGGATGAGGATGCGGAAATCAATCTGGACGAAAACGATTTCGCCGACCTTGAGGCACAGGCCGCAGAATATTCCAAGGCGCATCCAGACGAGTCACAGGATACGGATGTTATGCCAACCCGCCGCATAGCGGTTGTTAATCTCGATTGGGATCATGTACGTGCTATCCACCTCTACAAGGTCTTTTCGTCCCTCGTATCCCCCACACCGTCTGTCGCGGACAACGGGAAATCTGCGAAGAACGTCGTACGGGGGAAGATCCTGAGTGTTCGCGTGTACCCGAGCCAATTTGGCAAGGAAAGAATGGCGAAAGAGGAGAAAGAAGGCCCACCTGCTGAGCTCTTCAAGAAGAAGGCCGCCAATTCTGATGATGAACTCACCGCAAACGACATCATAGAAATTGGGGACGCACAAGATTACGACGAAGACGCCCTCAGGAAATACCAGCTCGAACGGCTGAGGTATGTTTCACAAGTACCATCTCTTGTCGGTGCTAAATCGAGTCAAGTGCAGATACTATTATGCTATCGTGGAATGTGACAGTGTCCAGACAGCGACACATGTATATAATGAACTACAAGGAACTGAGCTTGAGTACTCTGCGAACGTCTTCGATCTCAGCTATGTTCCCGACGACATGAGTTTCGAAGAAGAGTGCCGGCGAGTAACGCATGCAGCCTCGGCGGCGGCATTGACTTACAGAGTTTCTAGCGATGAAGCTAACGACGACGCGAATGTGGCATACAAGGCCCTGGATTTCGTGACCGACGTATGTAGATTGTCTACGCATTGTACATATATTGATCGTCGTCTTGTTAGGCCCTGAGACACTCCCGCGTCAAACTTACTTGGGATGAGGATGACCCCGAACGTGTCCGCGTGACAAGGCGCGCGCTATCCAAGAAAGAGATTGAGGAAGCTGATTTCAAGGCATATATTGCTTCATCCTCGGAATCCGAGGAGGACCCAAGTCATCGGGAAGAAGCTGCGAAGAAGGGGGCAAGTCGGGATAAATTGCGCGCCCTCTTGCTAGGAGGCACCGATGAACTCCCGGAGGGGTGGGGCACCCAGGACAACAACAAAGCCGATGTGGACATGGAGATCACCTTTACCCCCGGCCTGAGTGAATCGAAAGACCAGCAAGGGGATGAGACGACCCTAGAGAAGTATCAACGGAAGATGAAGGAGAAGCGCAAGAAGAGGAAGGAGGAACTAAAGACGAAGGCAGCTGTAAAGGAGGAGCCGACTAGAGCCGACGACTTCTTCGGGTCAGACAGTGAAGGCGCAAGTGCGGTGGAAGGTGACGTCTCCAGTGAGCGGAAGGGGAAGTCAAAGGGCTCTATCTCCCGTCATGTCTCCACTGCTGAAGAGCTAAGTCTTCTCGCGGCCGCGGATAACCCTGAGGCGGCGCCTCGCCACTTTGATATGAAGGCAGTGGTAAAGTCGGAGAAGGCCAGAGGGAAGAAGAGGCGCAGCAAGAAGAACCCCTTGGATGAAGGCGAAAATGAGACTCAAGAGGACTTCAAGATCGATGTTCAGGACGAACGGTTTGCCGCCTTACATGAAGACTACAACTTTGCGATCGATCCTAGCAACCCCCGGTGCGTCTCTTCCTTCCCTTTCACTAATCATGTCACTAAACCACCTCTGTCTGTAGCTTCAAGAAAACAAAGAGCATGTCGGCGCTACTTGAGGAGCGCTCTAAACGCAAGAAGGCGACGCCGCACCATTCGGATTCTGCTGCACCTAGGACCGGCGCAATAAGCAGCGACCGAACTCTGGAGAGTTTAGTTCAGAGCGTCAAGCGGAAGAGCGTGGCTACGGAGGGCCCTTCGAATGGGAAGCGGAGGAAAGCTTAGAACCATCAAGTTTCTCCAACCCAAAAGTACAGCACTCATCTGCTAGTTAACTTACACATACCGGCGCTACATAGATTCTTCGGACGAGTTTGCCGTGTATTATCAGTGGTACGCTATAGTACAATGCTCAAGCACACACACACATATATATATATAATATGCATCTATCGTCCGGATAAGTGACAGATTACTAACTCGGCACGAGCACACGGTCCTCCCGCTCTTCCTGTCTCTCCCGTGGCACGGCTTCTGGTTCTAGTGGTGTTGTTAGAGTACACGCGTGACTTAACAAAATGTGAAGTACCTTCTGAGACGACAGGCGCCGTTGTGGGTGGTGCGGGAAGGTCCACTTTCCGAGGCTCCGCTTCCTGGACCTGAAATCGGGCAGACCGGATGTGAATGCATGAGCAAGAAAGTGAACCGAGTCACGCACGCTCTCTGCTTGGAGGGCCTTGAGTTCCTCTTCCACAGCTTCCTCTTCCTCACGGCTCAGACTCTTGGACAGCATCTCGTCAATTTCCTGTAGCAGTGCATCGTCAGCTCTCCGAATGGCACGCCTAAGGGACAAAGCACGCACCCGTTGATATTCCCTGGCTTCTGCAGTCTCCTCCAGTAGTTTCTCCACGCTCTCCACGTTCATCTCCTTGTGTATCTCCTTCAGCACCTCATTCCCTTGCTTCAAGCCATGGAGTACGGAGACTTCGATCAGCGAGAACTCAATGGTCGAGACCTGAAACGTCCCATGTTAGCCTCGTTCGCGCACATACACAAGCCAGCCACCTACCAGCTGTTCCAAACTCGCGAGCTGTCCATCCGTCTTCAGCAGTAAGCTCTCCTGGTACTTCCTTCTCCGGAGTGCTATGAGGGCTCGCTGCTTGTCGCCAGCAGCCAGATGTTGTCGAGCGATCTCCTTCTCTCTATCTAGGACATGCTGTAACTGCAGACGGTATGGTATGTCTCCCAACTTGCTCCTGGGAACGCAACGGACGCACCTTCCGCTGATACTGCTTCAGCTTATCTCGCTGGAGTTTGAGGCTGTAAGTTGGCAGCAGAACTGGATCGGTATGTGTTACCTCTGAATAAGAGGACAGGGAGGCGTACGGACTCTAGTATAGCGCGATCCTGCGCGGTTACTTTGGGCGTTGACTGAGATGCGCCCATAGCGTACTATGCCGAGGACGTGTGTATTGTAGTTTGCGCCCGTGTCATACAGAGTTCCTTCTGTCGTAGTGTCAGTGTAATGGCCCCAGCATAGCCAGGAACAGCGCGGAAAGCTAGGCTGGAAAGGCAGCAGTTGACGATACTGGACGCCACTTTGGCGGCCTCGCGGTTCGAGCGCCCTTGATTAGGCTCTCTGGGCTGCCGTCGACGATGTTGCAGGGCTACATCTAAAAGGGACGCGAGTTCTACCCCCTCGGCCGACTGTCTTTTGCCAAAGAGCTCGGGGCCACAATAATGTCGCGACGGTGGCTGTTTTGGAGCGCCCTCGCTCACATCGGACGGTATGCGCTTCGCGATACTAAAGTGCCCTAAACTGCTAACTGCGAGCCAGGCTTTCTACGGTTTTGCAGATTCTGCTATTCCTCCCGCTAACGCTCTCAACGCTTTCGACGCCTGCCTTTCTCCTGCTTTCTTTCCTGCTTTTCCTGCACTCGCTCATCCACGGCACCCTCCTGCTGCTATGGGGCTCCCCTGCGCTCTCCATCCTTCAAGTGCCCATGCACCCGTTTCTCCTGCTAGTCTGCTTCAATGTGTTCTCGCAGTCCCCTAGCCCATGGCTGACGACCGCCGCGTCGTGGTGGGGAAACTTCCTCAAGTTTTCAAGCCCGGGGTTCATCATCCTCGAAGGCCTCAGTAGCCTGCTGGTCGTTCAGAAGCTGGGTCAAGAAGGGAAGGAGCTCGTCGGCCAGGGAGAGGGCTACCAGTTTGGTTTACTTATTGCAGCCGCAGCAGCTTATGTGACCTCGGCCTGGTGGATAGTCGTGGTACGTGCATCGCTGTTATATGCCTCTGCTTTCCGTTCATAGAACTCGTCCTTAGGCGTACCCATCCGCCGCATCCTCCCCCCTGTCGTCTACTCTCCTCGGCGTAGCTCTGACAGCATTCCTTTTCCTCACCTTCATCGGGTTCGGTCTCCGCCGTACGAACATCATCGAGTCCTCGGGGCTCGCCCTGTTCCTGGCGTACAACGTCTGGCTATGCGGCTTTGACCAGCAGTCATTCACCGACCCCGCGTCCTCCTAGTGCGTCCTAGCAATACATATCCCTCCACTCGGCGCGTGCTAACCACTCGCCTGTCAGCGCACCCCTGATAGAGAACATCCTCCCCCACCTGCAGACGCTCGTCAACTTCATCACGAACACGCTCCCGAAGCCCGTCCTCGTCGCGTTAATATACCGCCTCTCGATCCTCCACCTCGCGTCTCGCATACTCCCCACGATCGGTGCGGACGCATGGGAATCGGAATACGGCGTCGACGATGGCTGGGAAGGGCGGCCTGTGAGTCGTACTGCGTCTGCGTGGTGCAGGCCCTGTAACTCATGCAATGACAGACCTCAAAACTGACACGGTTACTACTAACCTACCGGCAGGCGATCTTTGTCACAGTCTATTCGAACCTCTTATGTGTGTATACCTTCCCCTTGTTTCGTTTATTCACAGCTAACGGTACTGTTCCCTCAGTACTAGACCCTTCTTCACAGATCTGGTGGCGCTGGATGAACATCTTCTTCACGCTCGTGATCTGGTCCGTCGAGCTCTTCGTGAGCGCCGAAGACGACCCGATCACAAAAGAGTGGAAAGTCGAGTAGTCGAGCCCGAGCCGTCTGAGCCCTTTCATGCTATTGGTCCCTTCTATATTATCAACCACCGGAGACATACCCATGTCTATCACGCATATCAGACACGGACAGGAGCCGCATATCGCACATAGTTGTATATTCACTTCCATTCAGTAATTCTCTCTCTCGGACGAATGCTATGACTTTGAATAACAGTTGCTGCAGCAGCGATGAAGCATTCGTCTGGTGCATCCTCAGAGGAGACATTCAGTCCTTTTACTGCCTTACACCTAGGTGACATGACAGGACACCCGTTTACAAGCTCGTCAAACCCAGGACGGACTCGAAGACGTGCAGGGCGAGCTGCGGCTGGTCCTCGGGAATCATGTCTGTAAAGCGCACAAATCAGCGTTGACATCGCCGGGCCACCAAAATCACCACTCACGGCCGGCGTTGTTCACCTCGATATACGTCAAGTTCCTGCGGCAATCTCATGAGTCCCAACATCCAGTCTCCGAACCGTGTGCTACTCACCTCTCGGAGTGGTATACCCCCTTCTGCGTGTTACCCAGCAAGAGCGGGGTGGTCGGCGGCGCCTGGAACCCCTGTGCGCCGTTCCAGGTCAGGTTCTGGATCGTGATCCTGTCGCCGAGGCTGAACAGGATCGCGTCGTCGAGCCCGTGCCAGAGGGTGATCCCCCGCGGGAGGGTGGACAGCAGGTGCGGGAAGAGGGCCTCGGTGTAGGCCGAGTTGTCGTTCTAAGGGGGACGGTTTTGGGTTAGGGATTCGCGAGGGAAGTATGCGCAGTACGTACGCCGTTGACGAACACGTCCTGCGTGCCCGTTGTGAGATGTATGTGCCGGGAGGAGAGGATGGACATACCACGTTCGAGCACTCGCTCCACTGGCCAAAGCCAGGGACATGCAGCAGCGTCTGCACATCAGAGCGCTGTGCACAACCACCACATCAGCAACCGGCGCCTACTTCCCCACTCTTGGGATGGACTCACCGAGAAGTAGTCCTCGATGGGATCGCTCGGCGTCGGGCACTTGTCCGTGACGCGGTAGATATCGAAGCAGCTGTTCGCATTCTCCGCTGCGTCTCGTCAGCCTCGAACGGAAGCGTCGACCGGCGAACGGCGCACCTGCGCTGTAGAACTGGTCGAACAGGTCGCAGCTCCGCGAGACGGTGTCCTTGTTCCCGTTCGGGAGGTCGATCTTGCCCTTGGGCGGGTACGTCAGCTGGTCGATGATCTTCTGGTAGCTGAATGACCACATTCAGACCCTCGGCACGCATTCCCCCGCGGTCAAGCACTCACCCGCAGGACACGGCCTTGCTCTGGAAAGACTTGACCTGTGCGTCGGAGAAGCCGAGCGTGCTCTGCTTGGCAGCGGAGAAATTCGCCACAGGGACTTGCTCCGAGGTAATGCTGCCATTGTCCTTAGTCAGCTCCATCGCCGAGAACATACAAGCCCAGGGCAAGTACGAACAAGCTGCTGTAAACACCATCATTGATGAGCAGTCCCTGGAGGGAGAGCGGCAGCGCCGCCTTCTCGGCGGAGCTCGCATCGACGATGCGCGTGGCGATGTACGGGATGTAGAAGCCCGCGTAGCTCTCGCCGGTGATGAACAGCTTCTTGGACTTGAGCTCGGGGAAGACGGAGAAGAATTGTTGGCTGCGCGATGAGACGAGATTCAGGTTTGGGGGGTCAGCGAGGATAGTGGGGCTCACAGGAAGCCGTAGAACTGGTCGGCCAGTTCGTTCTCGTTGTGGATGTTCGGCGTGCCCTTGGTGAATCCGGTTCCGACGGGCTTGTGGCTACAGGTCAGACGGTGGTTGCGTGACTTTATTATAAGATATCACCTGCTCGATCCAGACGACGTCGGAGACGGTCGTCCACGCGTATGGGTTCTGCACGGGCGCAGAAGTGCCGGGCTGGAAGGAGACAGGGCCGTTCTCCTGTACTCGGCAGACAGACCGCATCAGCATTTGAATTGCGGTGCACAAGTCACGAGGGAATACTGACCTCGAGGAAACCCTCGAGCGAGCTGCACCCGGGACCTCCGTTGAGCCAGATGGTCAAGAACTCGGACTCGCTGGGCTGGGACGAGGGCCAGTACCAGAAGAACAGCTCCTACATTCAAGAGTTCGACTCGACTTTCTCCTTTGCAAGAATCGAATGCACCCACCCTAGACTCATTAGAGTTGTTGGAAATGGGAAGGCGCCCCGCCCAGGAGTCCTGGAGCTCAAAGGTGACGAGCGGCAGCGCGGACGAGTTGACGTGGAACGCGTCCGCCTTCGGGTTGGCGAACTTGGGGGTGTAGAACTTGGCGGGGTCGGCGCGCCTGTGCGGGGCGGGTGCGTCGTCGGTGAGCAGGAACTTGGTCCCGCGGAGGCGCTCGATGCGGGGGTCGAGGGCGAGGACGGCGGGGAGGAGGGCGAGCAGGGGGAGGAGGCGCATCGCGGATGGGACGCTGGGGCTGGCCGGGTGTGCAGGCCGCGGACTTATCAGTACTCGGGGTCGCTAGGAGGGCCGGGGGAGATGGCGTCAGGTCGCGATGTGGCGATCGAGACCGGGACGGCTAACCATCACCCTCGGAAGCGCAGGGACCATATGCTGTGCTGGGCGAGTGGGCGGGCGCATGTGGCTGCCCACAAGGCTGGTTTCCCATTGGGCCTGCGTTCGCTTCTGTGCGCACGATCCCTCGGAGGCTACCATCATTTCGTTCACAGAAGCTGCCCAAATATGGAAAGCGTTGTAGTTCGTATGCGCAAGTCCCCGTACATGCAAGCCTAGGCATTCGCCTTCCATTCTGCATCTTCCTCTTTCTCCCCGTCGTAGTACTCCCTCTTCCAGATCTGCGCCTCCTTCTTCACCTGCTCCAGCGCCCACTCACACGCCTCGAATGCCTCCTTGCGGTGCGGCGCCGACACGGCGATGACAATCGAAGGCTGGCCCACGGGGACTGTCCCGAGCCGGTGGTGGATAGCCATCCGAGTGAATCCCCCCCCGCGCACGTCTTGTAGATGCAGATGGAAGCTGGTGCGGTTGAGAATGCTCGACATGGTCTTGATGGCCAGCTTGGAGTACGCCTGGTATTCCAGCTTCGTCACGATCTTGCCTGTGCATCATAGTCCAGTATCCCCGTCCGTAGATTGGTAGCTGTATGCGTATGCACCTTGGAAAGTATTCCTCGTCGTGCCGATGAAGACGGCGGTGGCACCCGCGCCGTCGTCTGCGACCGAGTCGATGATGGCCTGGGTGTCGAGCGGGCAGTGGGTGAGGACGGCGACGCCGTGGTCTGTTTCGTGGCGGGCATCGACCGAGGCAGACGAGGGGATTGGCAGGGACATGGCAGACCCTGACGAAGCGTTCGAGTCTGACTTTATACGCGACTGATAAGATAAGATCCGCCTTGTGCTGTCGCCCGTGCTTCGCCGCGTCCAGCGCGCCCATGGCTCTCCGCACGCGCCCCCTCCTCCGCCGCCGCCCGCCCCTTATCCGGCGTCGCTCCCTCAGCACCCTCCCGCCCTTCGTCGACGTCCACCCCGAAGTCCAGCATGCCCTGCACACCAACACGCCCGTCGTCGCCCTCGAGTCCACCATCATCACCCACGGCATGCCGCCCCCCACCAACCTCGCCACCGCCCTCTCCGTCGAGTCCATCGTCCGCGCCCACGGCGCCGTCCCCGCCACCATCGCCGTCGTCCAGGGGCGCGTCAAGGTCGGCATGGACAAGCCCCTGATTGAGAGGCTCGTGGAGACGAGCAAGCAGGGCGGCGTGGTCAAGGTGAGCAGGAGGGACGTGGGGCCGGTTATCGCGCTGGGAAAGGATGGCGGGACGACGTGCAGCGCGACGTTGATATTCGCTGCGTTGGCCGGGATCAAGGTGCGTTGTGTTCCGCTGCGTCTTTGGCTTGCGCTGACGCCGATGGATATCTCAGGTGTTCGCAACTGGCGGGTAAGACATGACCAATTATCCCGCATAACTGCATAAGACTCCCATTCTCCCCAGCCTGGGCGGCGTCCACCGCGGCGGAGAAAACTGTACGTCCCTCCCACTCACTCCCATTTCCCTTCACCCAAACAGCCCCCACAGCCCTCGACATCTCTGCCGACCTCCACGAGCTCACGCGCTGCCCCGTCGGCCTCGTCTCCGCCGGCGTCAAGTCCATCCTCGACATCGGCCGCACCCTCGAGTACCTCGTGAGTCCCCTCCGTGCCCTGCCCGCCCGCCCGCACTGAACGTTTGGGCAGGAAACACTGGGCGTCCCTGTCCTGACGTACGGCGAGACGGATGACTTTCCGGCGTTTTACAGCCCCGCGAGTGGCTTCAAGGTACGCTCGCACCCCCCGTGTTGCGCCTCACACCACCCTGACTCATCCTCGCAGAGCCCATACGCCGTCAACGACCCCACCTGCGCAGCGCGCATCCTCCGTACGCCCCCTCTCCTCTCCCTCCTACTAACCGCCCACCCCCAACCCACCCAGACACCCAATCCCTCCTGGACATGCCCACCGGCGCCCTCTTCGCCGCGCCCATCCCCGCCGCGCACCACGCCGCCGCCGCGCAGATCCAGGCCGCCGTTGAGCAGGCCGTCAGGGAGAGCGAAGAGAACGGCGTGAGCCGCCGCGGGAAGGAGGTCACGCCGTGGCTGCTGAAGCGCGTCGGCGAGCTCACCGGCGGGGGGAGCTTGAAATCGAGTGAGTGGTTGTCTCTTGTGTGTGATGCGATGGGGCTGATGTGAATGTGTAGATGTGGCGCTGATTGAGAATACTGCAAAGATCGGTCCGTGTCCTAGGGACGGAGTGGATTGTTCCCTGCTGAGCTTACTACGAATATAGGCGCCCAAATCGCGGTTGCGTACGCCAACCTGCTCAAGGACCAAAAGGAAAAGATCGGAAGTACCGGAGCTAGTGTAAGATAACCATACGCAAGTTCATGTACCGCAAATATCCAATGAAATATACCGTGTGTCCCAGGCCTCCCAGCCCTCCATTCCGTCCTCTTCACCGCCATCCCGGCCACCCGCAACTCCCCCCTCCCCCCCATCCCAACCGCGCGCCCACGCGCCCCTCGTCGTCCTCGGCGCCTCCGCCGTCGACATCACCGCGCGCCCGCACCCCACGACCGCCGACCTCCAGGCGCACTCCACCGCCCCGGGCAGCGTCGCGCTCTCCCTCGGCGGCGTCGCGCGCAACGTCGCCGAGGCCGCCTTCCGCCTCCTCGCCTCGTCCTCCGCGGTCGCGCTGGTGTCCCCGCTCGGCCGCGACGCCTTCGGCCGCCTGCTCGTGGGCGAGCAGCGCCGCGCGGGGATGCGCGTCGACGGGCTCGTCGAGGCGCACGCCGCGGAGCGGCGCACGGCGGTGTGTAATATGGTGCTGGACCAGCGGGGCGGGCTCGTGGGCGGCGTGGCGGATATGGATGTTGTGAGCGCGATGAAAGCGCAGGACGCGGTTGCGGCGCTGGAGCGGTTCAGGCCGCGCGTGGTTGGGTTGGATGCGAATCTGAATGCGGAGACGATTACTGCGGTGGTGAGGTGGTGTAGGGAGCGGAGAGTCAAGAGTGAGCGTTTTCGTTGTCGGGATATTTGTATGCATTGTTGACCGCTGCTCCCTAGCTTTCTTGTGAGCACATCTGCGTCTTTCACGCCGCTTTCGGCATAGTTTCTGACATCTCCCGCAGCGAGCCAACTTCAATCACGAAATCCACCTCCATCCTCCCAGCCATCGCGTCCTCGCTCTCCTCCTCGCCCTCGACGTCTCCCGAATCCCCCGTGACCTTCGCCTCCCCGAACATCCTCGAGCTCAAGCACCTCTACCACGCCGCCCGCTCAGAACCGTTCGAGCTCACCGCCCACCCTGCCTGGTGGCAGACCATCGACGCCTTCTCGCTCTCCTCCGAGTTCCGCACCGACCTCGAGCACCTCTCCCGGCGCGACATCCCGCATGCGCAGCAGACGCTCGGGTTCCTAGTCGACGAGGGCGTCGCGCAGATGGCAGTCAACCTCCTCCCGTTCTTCCAGCACCTCGTCGTCAAGTGCGGCGAGCGCGGGGTGGTCGTTGTGATGCGCGCGAACGCCGCTACCTCAAAGTGGGTCGCTGAGCGTAGCAACATCCACGCGCGGTGCGTCGTCGCACACGGCAAGACGGGCGCAGGGGAGATAGTGGTGCTCAAGCACTTCCCTGCCGCCGCTGTAGACCCGGCGACGATAGTCAATGTGACCGGGGCGGGTGACACCCTTGTTGGGAGTATACTCTCGAGCCTGGTGCGGAACCCCTCTGCATTCGAGCATCCAGAGACGATGGATCAGGCTATCGCCCTAGCCCAACGGTGTGCTGTGATGACGCTGCAGAGCCCTCACGCCGTCTCACCCTTGCTTTCCGAGTTGACATAGTTTATACATCAAATCAACTGGAATAATATACACATGGCTAGCTTGCTATCGACTGTTTACCAAATGTGACGTCTATGTCGCCGGTCAAAAAATTCTCAATAGGCACGTTCGTCTTCGCGCGCTTGGCAGCCTCTCTGACGGCTGCCTGCGCTTTCTTCTCGTATCGTCTCTGCGGGCGAAGACGTGAGTATCCACTTTTGCGTAGAGGGTTGATTCTGCGCTACCGTACCTGTGCGCCGTGTTTCAACCGCGTAATGATGTTGGCGGCTTCGCCCTTCGTCAGCTTCGCTATCCTCTGGTCGTACTCCTCGACTTTGCTGCCGTCACCAAAGTCTTGCAGAGAGGTGATCTTGCGGGAACCCCAACGTTTCCGGATGAACTCCTTTTGGGTATCTGTCGCCGGATGCCGCCGCCAGGCAGCTGAACGCAGTAGGCTGTCGGGATATTTGATGAGTTCTATGTCAGACGGTTGGAAACAGGAGCTTACCCCACAGCTTGTGGCCCTCGCAGGACCTTCTTCTGAGCATAAGTATCGCAGCCTCGTACGGCCTCCTCGAGAGTGTGAGCCTTCAGTATCTCTCGACTCCGTGCATATGGAGGCAGGCGCATAGAAGCGGCCGTCTGTCTATCTAACAGGATAGAATTGTAGTGGGCCTTCCAATACTCCTCTTCTCCTGGCGGACGCGCTGGTCAGGCTCGGCTCATGTCGCTGGAATATATACGACAAACCTTCCGCGCCCTTGACTTTCTCTAATCGAATCTGGCCCCTCCCGAGACATTCCAGAACATAGATGTCATCACCGCATCCTACCCAAGAGAGCGGACTAAGCGCCGCGATATGCGGTGCGCCCGAGGCCTGATCAGCGAGCTCAAACGGGTCTTCATAGTCAATGTATGTGACAGAGGTCGGGTCTGGAATATCGTCTGGGCTGTCCGCCTTGAGGCCCTGAGTGCCATCTGCTGTTGGCGCGGCCCGCTCCTGCAATGAATCAACTGTTTCACCTGCATGGGATGGTCGGGGCCCTTTCTACGACTTCGGAGGTACTGTAGACTCACCATCGATCACTTCAGAAGGATCCAAACCAAACAGTGTAGGGACGCAGACTATTCCGGCTACACGATTCCGACTATCCACGAAATCGATAATAAGACAGTCCTCCTTGCCAGTTCCCGGCGACAATCTCATGCCGCGTCCAATCTGGGAGGAGTCAGTCAAGGTCGTACCTCTCACGCACGGTGCTGTGTCACACACCATCTGAGCAAACAAGTTACGCGAACGAGTCGGCCTAGCCAGGACGACGCAATCGATGTTCGGAATATCTGCTCCTTCCGTGAGGATACCTACTTTCTGTGAGACGGGAGGTTACACTAGAAGTGGGTGTCACGCATACCACAGTTAACCAGAACCGGGAACGTTCCCTCGCGAAATTCGGTGATCAGTTTTGTTCGTTCTGCTACGGGTGTTCCAGCATACAAGTAGCGCGCATCCACTCCTGCTTCACGGAATGTCTTAGTTAAATGAGCAACATGAGCAAGATTGACGCAAAAGACAAGGGTGGACTTTCGCGTCGCTAGGTCAATGATGTCAAGCGGAGAAATCGACGGAGGACTGGTCAGGCATACAAGCTCTGTCTAACCAACTTTGCACCACCAGTTTGTTGACGGTGTCTGTATTTATTACTTGAGCGAGACTTCTCGTGACGAAGTCGCCTGAACGGGAGCTGATGCTGACGTTGTTTAAATTCATGTTGGCATGGACCGAAGTAAAGCGAACATTACAGAGCCTGATCAGGATTCAAGTTAATACACACCTATCCTTGGCTTCTGCAGTCAGGGAATGGACTCACCATTGTTCTTTCATCATCTCCAGAAAACTGCGATGGTACACTATGCGTTCAAATACCGAACCAAGAGCTAGGCCGTCATGCCGACTGAAGGTTGCCGAGAAGCCTATGATGGGTATGGTGTGAGGATGTACTTGCGACTTTATCACTCCATCTGGGCTTTTTATGGCGGGAGCAAAATGGGACAAAATATTTCGATATCTGCGACAGACAATCCAGTTGGGGCGCCGTCTATTGCGGATGATGTACTTACGATGGGGATGCTGCGTGATGGGCTTCGTCCACTACAATAGCTTTCAATCTTGCAGGATCGAACTTTCCGAGGCGGTCACCTCGGAGGAGCGTCTGGTAAGTAGCCACGGTCCTTGATGTACCCAACTTGTCAGCCGGAGGGTCGGAACTCATGGGTAATAGCACTGACACGTCTGCGCGACCTGATGCTCGGTGCTTTTGTCCCTGCTCAATATCGACCTCCCAGTCGGGACGCAACTTGCGGGCTTGTTCCGCCGCTTGATATGCCAGTTCTCTGCCATTTACAATGACGAGCGAACGGGTTGCCTCAGGGCTAGACACCGGGACGGGGATTCTCGAGAGTAAAGATACAAAGACTGTAGTTTTCCCCGAACCCGTTGGAAGTGAGACACCAACTCTGGAGAGACCGGAGTGTAATGCATGCATGCATGCATCCAGACAAGCCTCCTGGTACGGTCTCAAGAGTACGTTTGACTCTGACGCCCGGGTTCCACAGTTACGACGCGTCCTTAAAAGACGAAGGATGGCGAGCGTCCGTTGGCGGTCGAAACATATTGGCATGAACAACGAGCGCAGTGTAGAAATTCAACTTTCACCGCAAGTGCTAAGTACATCTGTGCCACAACGATAGCCACAGTAACGTTGACACACAGCGTCACGGTGACACTGTTCGAATACTCTTCAATTTCAAGGGTTTATGGCCCCCACAAATATCGATGAGCCTTGCACTCTCATGATGCCGACGACAGTCTCGTTTGGGTTCTGTATGTTTTCTGCATTCCGTATGTACTAGCCCTACAGTGGGCCTGAACCCCACGACAAAGCGCAGAGACGATAAAAAGGATATAATCTGAGTGTCTATGCGCAAGATCGTAAAATATAGCGTAAAAAGAGAAACCCAGCCAGCGCTCCGCTCTATCTCCCAACCAAGTCCTTTTAACCAGATCCTGCATGATACTGTGAGTTTCCAGTTCAAATGCGTTCCCAACACATGATATCACTTACCACCGGAGTAGACCTTGCCGAACATGACCTCCTGGAGCTTGTCGTACAAGGAGAGCACACCAGCACCAGCAACACCCCGAAGAATGTTGGCGCCAGCACCCTTGAACAGGGACTTGGCACCCTCCTTGGCGATGATTTGCGAGCCAGCGTCGAACATAGACTTGTAGTGAACACCACCACCAGACGTCATCATCATGCGACGACTAATCGACGCATCAGCAACGATGAATGACACAGATCACAGACCAAACGCACCGAATAGTGTCCAGAGGGTAGGAAGCAAGACCAGCACCAATAGTAACACCCCAGCCGAGCAAGAAGGACGCGAAGAACGAGCCTTGGAGAGCACCAGTGAGAACAACAGGCTCTGGAGAGCAACGCCGAAATATTAGCATCCTGAACATGTGATATCCGGAAACTGTACGTACTGAGGGAGTCATAGACACCGAAGTAAAGACCACGGTAGACAATGATACCAACAACGGAGGGGACGAAACCACGGTACAGGCCGGCAATACCATCAGAAGCCAAGGTCTTCTTGTAAACATCAATCAAGCCGTTGAACTGACGAGCTCCTCCACCCTTGGCAGACTTCGCGTCGTTGGCGAGACGAGTACGCGCGTAGTCAAGAGAGTAGACGAAGAGAAGGGAAGCAGCACCAGCAGCACCACCAGACATCACATTGCCAGCGAACCACTTCCAGTAACCCTCAGACTTCTTGAAACCGAACAGGGACTTGAAGTAGTCCTCTGAAGACGGCAGTGTCTTGTGTGAGCTACTTCTCGGAAGCACGAGATGCATGACTTACTGAAGGCGAAGTTCAAGGCCTGCGTAGGGAAGTAACGAATGACGTTGGCAGTGTTACCACGCCATAATGAGACTAAACCCTCGTCCCTGTACGTCCGAGCGAAACAGTCCACGATACCCTTGTAAGGGGTAGCCAGACGACCCTGCTTGATCTAAATCACAAAGTATTAGGGCTTGGGCAATGAATATCACGCGATTACTGGTACCATCTCATCCTGGTTCTGAACCAGCAACTTGATACGCTCAATGGGGGCTGCTGATGTCTTGGCGACAGCCTGCAAAGGACAGTTGATGAGTGTTACATCCAAGAGCAAACTACCGGACCACGTACCGCAGACACACCACCCATCAAGAAGTCGACTGCAGGGGAGATACGCCAGCTCAGCACGCGACACGACAAAAACTATCAGCGCAGACAAAGCTAGGAAGCATACTCACTGGTGAACTCCTTGGCGCTTTTGGTTTTCTTTACGTCGGCCATGGCTGGGAGAGGCGAAGGCCTGGGTATGAAGAGTAGGGATTGAAGGTGGAAGGAAGTTGCAAGACCGCGAAGGAAAAATTCCGCCCAAAAAGACTGCCGGACAGTTTCTATCTCCGCTCCGCTCTGCGCCGAATGACAGCCCAAGTACAGCGCCCGGCCCGATGTGGGTGCGCTTAGTAAGCATTCCCAGGCATTCCCCCACGTTCTTACGGCAAGTTGCAGTCAACTATTCGTGCGATATTCCATCATTGCGTAACAAAAACCCCGCAATACGGGAAAATTAGGGAAGTGCTAGCGGTGTACGTTTGATTGGTCCAAGACGGCTCTTCCACTAACTACGGATTCGAAGTACAAGGTGAATAGCAAAGGAAGGAGCGCCCTGCGAAATATATTCTATGTGACAAGCAGAGGCGCGGCAGAAAGGCTGCTACGATGGCCAGCGGGGAGCGGACGGCCTTGCATAAGAATTACTGCGCACGGTATTATGATAGCTGCTACTATGTCGGCCAGGAGAGCCCGGGGGTTGGTAGTAATGGAAAGCAGGCATCTCCCCGTCCGAAGCTGCGGGAGGACGCTGCCGGGGTGGAGAAGGGGGTGCAGTAGAAACTGACGTGCTCGGTGATGGAACACCAGAACTGCTTGGTCTAATCAAGTGGGAAAGCAAGCGGTTGAGGCTGTAGCCATTCCCGCCGGTGTTATTAGGAGGCGAGGCAGAAGAAGATGACAATGCTGCACCGTTGACATGTCCATTCGTACCATTTGCACGGTAGCCTGGATCTGGTCGTGACTTCTTCCATACAGGTTCTGTGGGAGAAACACCATCTGGCTCGCTTGTCTTTCTCTTCCCTGGTCTTCGCGGAGGAGGGGGAGCTTCTTCATCTGAATCCAAAGTAAGGTCGATCACAGTTTGGCTCATGCTCAATGACTGAGAACGAGGTGGTATGCTGGCATATGATTGGGTCTGCACCAGGCCATTTGTCGAACTCCGTCCATCGGCAGAAGGTGAAAGTTCTCGTTTGACTCGGTCGTCATCTTCATCATCGGAGTCAAGCACTAAGATCTCAACATTGTCAGCTTTCGCCTTTCCCTTCTCCCCGGAGGCACCATTCGTCATGTCGGCACTGGTCTTGGTGGGTGTTCTTGCCATCGTGTCCCTCCGCACAGGCTTACGCGGTGTATCAGGCACGGTCATCGCTTGCTCAGGATGTGTGGCCTTCCACCCTGGAGAAGCATACTTGTTGTCTGAAGTGTGCCACTCCCCATCAGCTTCCACGATTACGTCCTCGACATCCTCGGATGTACGCTTCAGTATGTCATCGAAGTATCTAAGACAAAGCAACATGAGCTAAATGGCAATAACTAAACTGTAGGTCCCTCACCCATCCACTATAAGCTCCTCGACGTTCAGAACACGCTCGCAGACAGGACAGAGCCATGTCGTCGTTTGCTCCATCATCGAAAACCACGAGGTAGCGTCGAAGCATTGGTGGTGAACACAAGCTGCCGATCGTGTTGGAGTTCGTATCCGCATGTAGCTCAGCTAGGGCGTTCGTCATAAGGATGGGCGTACATAGCCTGGCCAATCAAAGGACATACTGGACACTTTAACGACATCTTCTGTGCACCTGCAACGATGTCATCGTCTTCAGAGGCAGTCTGCTTCACTAGAGGGCATGCATAAGTATCTTCCCAAGGAACACGCTCAAGACGCACGCACTCTGAGCCAAAACGTCTTCACGACTCTTGTATTTGCCTTTCTGGAGTCTATCTACCAGCTGCTCCACCGTGGTTGTCTCCACCAACATCACTACCAAGTAATATTTCTGATACATAGTCATAAACCAGCGCATTGATCATCTCTGACAAAATAAGACCAACCTTAGGCGGGACTCCTTGTTGGCTATTGACGTATACCATTTCAACGCGGTTCGACATTTGGGGTGTGATCCTAACCGCTTTCCCAAGATCCGCGGGAGGCGCCGTACCTGGTTTCTTCTTCAGACCCTTGAGGTTCGCAGTTAACTGTACATTATTAACGCGGACTTCGCAAGTCGGGGGAAATTCAATCGGACAAGGGCCAGTGTTTGCACGGTACGCAGTGAGGCCCGGAGAGTAAAAAGAAGACGACGTGCAAAATAGGCGAAGCTGGTACTTTGGACTGTAAAAGAGCAGAATTGGTTAGCTGCGAAGATATGCTCGGTTCCCATGACTTACTTCGTCGACTGTAGTTTCCTAATTTGATCCAGAGTTAGAGAGAAGCTGAGATTGCCTTGTCTTCGGTCCATGGACCCAGCAGACTCTGTAGAGAACTTATTAAGTCATGATCTACTTGATCTCGGACTTCTTACCCGGACATTCCACAACGCTGGAAACGGGTTCGTCTATCCTGAAGAACGGGGAATGCTTGAATCGAATAGCTGTGTTATCCGTGAGTGACCAAATACAGAAGCAAGCTTGACAACGCCTACTAGATTTTGCGGGCGTCGCAGCAGATGAGGTGGCTACAGAGGAAGGAAGAGGCCGACGAGGAGGTGCATATGGGTCATAACGAGGAAGACCACTAGATGTGGCACCGGGAGACTGGTGGTAGCCGTTTAATTTGGTCGAACTACCAGCACCGTACTGACTATGCGTCATGGAATGGGGGTGATACGCGGTGCCATCAGGTGTAAGCTTCGCTGGACTGTAGCTAGAAAAGAGACAGGGAGGTTAGAACCAGTACCGAGTTTGCCACAATACATGCTAGCGTGACGTGATTACAACCCAGAGACTTACACTCCAGAAGTCCGCACTTGGTGAAGGATGGCCTTCGCCTTCATCCATAGTGCCGTATTATTACTCTGCTTCCAACTATCCAACTGACGGACGATCCTGTCTATGAGCTCCTGCTTCTTGCCCGACTTGGATATGAGCGTTGAACAGTCATCGTTAAGTCCTGTGATGATTTGTTTCAATCGATCCACGGTATTTTGCTTGATATTATGCCGCAAGTTCTGTCCAGTCCACAAGCCACAGATGTCAGCTCCTGAATGCCGCAAAATTGAGATTGACATGTACGTCGAAGTCATTCCAAGGATCTTGGCTAGCCATGGATCAAACTGCAGAGCAACGGAACAGCCAGAATCACCGACTCGACCAACGGTACCGAGGCAATTGACACGATAGGTTCTGAGCGGACGGACAAGTTAGGCGTCTGAGCAGGAGCCAAATGAGAGGTGCAGCGGACTTCAAGCTTCAGAGCAGGTAGGAAACCTTATCCCGAGAAAGGTGAAATGCAAAGATTATTAAAATACTCAATTAATCTAAAATATAGGGCAATGAGTTATCGCACGTGATCGATTCAAGTCGAGCACAACCACCCAACCACCATGAGCGAGAAATCCGCCGACCACGATAATCGTTCGAAAGAGGATGAAGATTCCGAGGACAGAGCTGCAAGAGCTCGAGAGGCAGCTGAACAAGCAGGTGAAGGTCATCCTCCCGGTTACACTAGCGCGTGCTACTTCAACCTGGGTTCTGCGTTCCCGCAGCTTTGCCTTACACCTGGAAGCAGGAGTTAGGCGATGTGGACATCGTAGTCCCCGTACCTAAGGGCACGAGATCTCGGGATTTGAACGTCGTCATAGGGAAGAAGAAGTTAAGCGTCGGCCTGAAGGGCAAAGACGCTATCTTGGATGGAGAACTTTGCAAGGAGATCAAGGTCGAGGAAAGTACGTGGACTATCGGTATGTCCTGTTTCCCCATCAACCTGTGCCTTCTCTCATTCGGTGGAAGAGGACCAAGAAGCTGTGCACATCCACCTGGAGAAACTCAACAAGCAGCAGTGGTGGGAGAACGTCCTGACCCATCATCCTAAGATCGATACAACTAAGATACAGCCGGAGAATTCTAAATTGAGTGATCTTGACGGCGAAACAAGGTAGGGCTATGACCAGATGTGAACGCTGATAGGTCATTGACGATAGCTCAGGGCCATGGTGGAGAAAATGATGGTGAGTCGTGCACTGTCTGGGTCACTTCATAGCTACTCATGTTAGTTTCCAGTTCGATCAACAGCAGAAGGTGCTGTAGGGTAACAGAAGAGTCTCGCTCAGAAACTGACCTTTGTCCATTTAGCAAATGGGTAAACCGACCTCAGACGAGCTTAAGAAGATGGAGGTAGGTCGTGGGCTTCGTCCATCGGGAGCTCTTACGAACAAATCATGTAGGCTCTGGAGAAGTTCAAGGCAGCTCACCCAGAGCTGGACTTCTCTAACGCCAAGATATCGTGAATTAGGATAAGATATAATACAAAATATCTTATATACGTGCCGCTCGTAGGCAGATCTACCACCCTTCAAAATCGCCAAACCCGAGCCTCCGCTTTTTCTTCCCTTCCTCCACTCCAATGTCAGCTTCTGGGGCCGGGGATGCGGCACTCAGCGGCCTTTTGTTATTTGCCTTGATGTTCAGGTACTTTCCGACACCTCCACCGGCAGCGATTGCTGGCTGGGCCTCTGTTCCGACCTTAACACCGAACCAGTTCATGTCGTGCCCGGGCTTCTTCTCGGGAGGTTTGTTCGCTTCAGGGTTGGAGTCGGCCTCAGCCCGCTTCGCGAGTTTCTTAGCAAGACGTTCTTTGTAGTCTTCGAACGGGTCTTGGTAACTATTACCACAAGTGAGCGCGAATACTGAATAGCATGACAGTATTGCACGGACATGATGACTTCGGTTATTCTGATGGGCTTCGCGGGTCGCTCCGTCCCAGGCTTCACTGGAAGTTTCTCCAAGGCATCTAGCACATCTTCTCCACCTACCACCTTCCCGAATACCGTGTGTTTCTTATCTAGATGTGGCGTAGCCTTGAACGTGACATACCACTGGGACCTGTATGAGGTTGGGGTTATTACGGCGCATGACCTGTAGAAGAAACATGAACCCTTACCCATTCGTCGATGGACCCTTGTTAGCCATTGCAACGACGCCGCGGCCATCGTGCTTCGCGGCGCCCTTCATATCGTACTCGTCCCTGAATGGTGTGCCCCAGTAGGATTCACCGCCAGCGCCTGTCCCCGTGGGATCACCGGTCTGAATCTATGTTGCGAAGTCAACGCGATGGATAACAGAGGATGATAAAGAGTATACCATAAAACCGGGGATGAGTCGATGGAACAGGTTGTCGTTATACTTGCCGTTACGGGCTAACATCAGGAAGTTGTAACATGTCTTCGGAGCCTAAAGGTACCAGTGTGAACTATGTGAAGCGAGTAGAAAGGATTAGGACTGACCTTCTCGCAGAAGAGCTCGAGGTTCAGAGAGCCGCCAAGACTGGTGACGACCCGCACGTAAGCACGCCTTTTCCCGACATCCTTCTCCTTGCCTTTGCCTTTGGGTGGATTGGAGATGGCTTCGAACATAATTTCTTCCTGGGACGGGGTTAGACGATTATTGCCGCAAACAATACGGACGTACCTCGTCCCACACGAGCCTCGAAGTAGCCGTCTGGGGGTCAACGGAAGTCGATGTTAACGAGGCACCAGGGAGACCGGTAGAATATGGCGAGACGTTCCCTGCATGATACAATGAGGATAAAATAGAACATGTGCCGCCATACGACTTACAGGGCTGGCTCGCCTTCGTCTTCGCAATAGCGGGATTCGTAGCTGCCTTGGTCACTGCCTTGGATTTCTCAGGCTGCGTGCTCGCTTTCGACGCGCTCGGGGCAGGCACCGACGCGGACGGCATTCCGTGAGGGTTCTGCAAGGTAATAACATCTGACCTATGTATCTTTCAGTCCATAGGTCTTTCGTACACCTCCTAGATACCCACTTTTTGAATGGAACATCAGCGACTAAGTCCTTGCCACCTTTGACGCTCTCCGCGAGGAAGACATTCCCAGTTGTTGCGATTGCGACAATGTGAGAATGTTGACTGAAGGGCTTGAATGAGATGGGGTCATGGATTTCTCCAGACGCTTTCCGGGCATAATGAAGCGGAATGAGGTCAGACGGTGCTAAGGGCTCTTGAGTGACGGGGTTGATGTTGTTGTGTTGCCTGAGATTCAATCAGTAAATGCAAGGATTGCAACGAGGCAAGGACGTACTTTAACCACGGAATAATGTTCGTCAACTCGAAGACATTCCCAGTTCCATCCGAGTTCCTCGCGCAAACGGGGTTTTGAAAGGGCTGCGAGGTCAACGCGCAGCAGTCAAATGGGGTGAGATTCCCTGGATGAGGTGTTTGCGGCTTCCTGGAACAGCATACCAGCTAAGAATTCGCTTGAGCACAGGTAAGGAACTATAGGCTTACTGTTTGTATCCTGATGTTGAAGCCGTATGCTGACCGAACATGCCGGAGTGCTCAGCATGGGTGATATACATCTTGTCGGAGTTCCCGTGCCCCATCTTGGTCTAAGTGTTTGGAAGAGTAAGTTGATGATGATAGCAGAGGTCGAATGCAAGTATGTACAGACCAGGCTGAGCGCTAAGGGACCCAGTGCCACTCCGGGGTTAGCTTGAATCGCCGGCCTATGCCGAGCATTGTCGTGTTTGTGGGTCCATGTGTCAAGCACCTTGGACGTCCGGATGCTATTCTTAAGCTTCCCTACTCTCAGACTCGGATGTCGACCGTCGTTGGTTTGGGGCATTATGACAGTACTTATGGCGAAGAGGTGACGAATGCTCTCGAGACTTCACGAACTCGTCGGATTCTCCGGCCTTTCATTCATTTCAGCACACTAGTACTGTCGCATGCCCTCCCCAAGGCCAAGGATGGGACTTTGATCACGACGGCATAGGCGCCGACACTTGCGCTTGCGAAAGCATACGTACGGTGCAACAAGTCTTATATATGATCCCGCCCGCCAGGTCGCCCTGGGTCGCCGAATCATCCGCTACTCCAGACCCGGTCATGGCCTTCCTCTCCACCGTTGCGTCTAGGTCTGCTGGCGTGTCTGTCTGCGTACCGAGATCGTCTCTTGCACTCTTGAATGGAGGGCGTATTAATGTCTCTCCAGCCGCTCGACGGAATTTCTTGACTGTCATAGAGCAAGGGCACGAAGCCTGGAGGCTGTCTCTGGGGCAGAATCCGACAAAGCTAGAGCCAGGATTACATCTCAACATTCCGGTCTTTCATATTATCCAGGCACGAATAGTCAGCTATTGCCTCGGGTCCACACCTCTCACGTATCTATCCCTAGGATGTTGATATGCGAGAGACTTCGGTTCGGCGCATTCTTTTATGATCTAGGAGGGTTTACTAGTGACAATGTGCCCGTCCTGGTCTCTGGGTCGTTGTTTTATCGCGTTAACGACTCGTATCATGCATGCTTCTCTGTCAACAATTTCAAGGACAATGTAAGAAATATTGGCACCTCGGCGATCCGTTCCATCCTCGGCCACTTCTCTGTACGTGTACGATCCTTACGGAAATGATTCTGGCTGGATACACAAATCTGCAGTATGACAATGTGATAAGTGACAGGAACAAGACGAATAAGAAGTTACACGAAACAATCGGAAGCAGTATTGAGAAGTGGGGCGTCGAATGTACACGGTTCGAGATCCAAACATTCAAGCCATTGAACCGAGGTACAGCTGGAACTTCAAATGGCTGCAGAACGGGAGCGTCGTAAACAACTTCTGGACACCCAGGCGCTTGTCAATGTCGCCGAAGGGCATAAACAAAGGACGATACTGGAATCAGAAGGAGGTACTGGTGTCTCTAACGCCATGTCTTTCGTGTTCATTACTGAGCAACCTGCAGCTTTGCAAGCGCAGCTAAACAAAGCCGAAGGTCAGAAACGGTCACAGATCCATGGCAGCATCCGTAAATCAAGGACAGGCCTTAGCTCAGCCAATGAGCATCGTAGCATCAGCGCTCGCTGGCGAAAATAAGGCGGCAACCTTACAAGACAGGTCGAAAGCTCTCGAAGTGCTGGTCGAGCTACGAAGACTGGAACAGCTGAAGGCGATAGCCCAAGGATCAGGGAACACGACCTATTTCTTGGATCCATTGAAGGTCGGACGGGACGCCTATGGCGTCGATAACATGGAAAAGTGGAAGCGGAGTCAGGATGACAGCGAGCAAGCTGTCCCTGCTGTCGAGCATCGTCTCTCTTCTCGTCCTACTTCCAGGACATTGTGATCTGCTTCTCAAAACTGCTATACCCGCGGATTCATCTTCTCCCTGTATTTCTATACAACTTATAGTAGAAGGATTCAGCGATGTGATAGCACCCCCACTCAGAAATGTATGCATCTCAGTTCTGATATATGGTGCTCCTTGACCGGAAACAGCCGGGCCGCTAACCTATTATACCGTTTTGAGCAGAAATACTCACCGGTCCCCAATGCTCCTGCGCCATGCCAGTAAAAGGACTCGCGTCGTTCTCTTCGACTTTCTGGCTCCAACTCTCGTACGTTCTCGCAATGCCAGTGCGGCTGGTCGACCCCTAGCCTTTACTCGTGAAGAGGTCGTCCCACCCGCGCCTTCGTCTGCCTCCCGTGATCCTGCACGCCTCCAGCAAATACGCGCACAAATCAGTAACCTCGGGTCACCTTCTGCATCGGTCCCCTCCGACTCAGACGTGGAGTACTTCAATAAGTCAACCGCTTACTTACAGAGTGCCTTGAAGGAGGGTAATCTCGACAAAGCATGGCAGCACTGGTCGGGTCTAGAGAAGAGACGCCTGTTGCAATTCCTCAGCCCCGCCCAACTCGATGCCTACTCCAGGCTGACAGAAGTTCTTCTGCCTTCCCTCGAAACCGGGAAGCACAACGACGCACACCTGCGAGCAGTCGAGACTATTGCCCTCGTAACTGCTTGCGGGGGTGCAACCACAGCCCTGCAAGCATGCATGGACATTCACGTCAAACGACAGGAGCCTGAGGCCATACTGAATCTCTGGCGGAGATACGCAGAGCTATGGGATGGTACCCACGACTTAAAGGGACCACAGGTCGACGAAGATGAGGAGGCAGAAGACTTCCGAGAGCTGATTGAACCTGCCACTGGAGGCCAATCTTCCTATAGCCCAGGCCGAGCGCAGTTATTGATTTACGCCATAACTGCTCACGCCATGCAGGATTCGTTCCACGATGCCCTTCACTTGTCCTTGCAGTTAGGCATCAGGATGAAACCGCTCACTGTGACGCTCTTCATGAAGAGGCTCTCGCATGATGAGGCCTTACAGCGGAAGGTCTCGCAATACATACGTGTACTGGACACGGCTAGGCTCGTATCTCTACCGGCAACGTTATCGAAGCAAATATCTAATCTCATGAACGACCAAGCGACAAACTCGTTGGAGAGACTCTACAGTTCTATCCACGCTGGTTTCTCTGGACCATATCCTTGGTTGGCAGCCACTCCCGAATCTGTGAGTTCCGAGAGACCAGTCCTGATGCCCACGGTCGGGTGGACTTCGTTCATCCTGGCCTTCCTAAAATGTCGGAAGCCGGAGCTCGCAGAAAAGTTATGGAATGACATGGTCGAACTTGGTATCAAGCCCGGCGTGGAGATGTGGACAGCACTGTTAGATGGCTACGGAGCCATTCGAGCTCTCGACGAGACTCTGGTGACCTGGGAATCCATGAAAGCCGCGAAAATTAAACCTGATCCCATGGCCTACCGGGCATTCATATCGACACTTTTTCATATGCGGAAGCCAGACCAAGCAATGGGCCGCTTCCGGGAGTTTGAGAAGTCGGGTCAGGCGAAAGACGCTGAGACCTCGCAGATCCTCGCCGTATACAATACCGCCCTCCACGGACTGCTCCTCAATTTCAAAGAAGAAGAGGCCCGCTCACTTTACGAGAGGATGAAAGAAACAGGACCGACACCCGACATCGTCTCATATAATACATTTTTGCGGTTCCATGCCCGTAAAGGCGACATGAAATCCTTCGCGGACTGGTTAAAAGCCTTGACGGATGCGGGACTTGTCGGTGATGTTTTCACTTGGTCGACGGTGCTTTTTGCATTGTTCAAGGCGGGCAGGAAAGACGGACCTCAGATGGTTACCAACATTATGCGTGTGCAGAACATAGAGCCAAACGTCGCAACATACACATCTATCATCGATCATGCTGTCCGAGAGCGAGACGAAGCCACTTTGAAGGCAGCGTTCGACTTATTGCGATGGATGGAACAGCAGGAGCCGGAAGTGCGCCCGAATCAGGTCACTTACACAAGTATCCTGAGTGGCATGTACCGCGACGAATGGTTGGATCCTGCAGTGCGCGAGGAATGCAGGGTGTATATCATGGAAAGTATGCAGCGACGCAAGATGCAGCCAAACCGCGTGACATACCACATCCTCCTGAAGGCTTGTCTGCGAAACCCGGGGCCGGAGGGTCTTCGTCAAGCCCTCAGCTACTACAACGAGATGGGGGAGCGAAAGATCCACAAGGACTACGATACATGGTATATCATCCTGCAGGGGCTGGTCCGGAGAGGCGACTGGGATGTTGCGCAGGAGATGGTGAACGAGATCAGGCGAACCGGATTCACACCTTCTGGTGGATTGCTAAATCTTATACATAAGGTTTACGCGAGGCCCACAAAGGTTCAGAAGGGTGGTAGACGCAGACCTGCTTGATTTGTACGGGTTCGAGATCCGCGCTATGCATAGATAGTTGACAGATGTCTTTCGCCGAAGAAGAACGCTTTGCCCAGTCCCAGCCGCACATAACGAGCATACGCTGATGAGCGCAAGGTCCGTGGTTAGAAGGTAGACGAGCGATAGTGCTTGAATATTCACCCCAATGACTCCACCGTCTGCCCAACCACTTTCCGAGGTACGGCAGCAGGACCACTGAGAGGACGAGCTGCAACTGCTGCAGGCTCTCCTGGAACTCTTGTTCAACCGCTAGTCGGTACTCTTCGTCAGAGTCGTACGAGTCATCTGACGCGACGGAGGACGTGTCGAGAGACGCAACGGAGGCGGGCATGAGCGATATGACGGTAGAGGAAGACCCGGCAGACTGGCACGTGCAGGCTCTGCCACCCGACGTCGAGGGTTCCTCGGACCAACGCCTCCATAAACACGCTTACAGCTGATACTTGACCGTCGTTTCTGTCCCTCTGTTTCCTTCCTATCCGCCGTTCATCATCAATGCAGTATGGTGGAGGCAGCTGCGCCCGGAAGTCGACACAGGCTCGTAGGACAGCCGTTGCTGTATGCTATCTCCGTATTTGCTAGCTTGGGTGTGTTCTTGGTACGGATCTCTGGTCGTTATTTAGCGTTCTGTTGCTCATGCTGCCATGTAAAGTTTGGATATGATCAAGGGTATGTGTCTGTTATGTCGCGCAAGACATGTAAATGCATATGTCCTCGCCAGTGTAATGTCTGGGGTTATCACCGGACCCCATTTCCGTCAGTTCTTCAATTCCCCGGACGCCCTTTCGCTAGGGACCATGGTTGCAGTCCTTGAGATTGGTGCATTCAGTACGACCAATATTTGCTTGATTACGATGGACAGTCCTGATATCTCACTTATTTAAGTCACTTCGCTTGCCGCTGGCAGGGTCGGGGATATCATCGGTCGCAGGGGCACGTTATTCATCGGTGCACTCGTGTTTACAGTGGGTGGAGCTGTACAGACATTCACCCTTGGCTTCAAAACCATGGTCCTGGGACGAATCATAAGTGGGTTTGGCGTGGGTCTACTCTCGTGAGTTATCAGGCTGCCGTTGCAGGCTCATGTTCGCTCGGCTGAAAATGCACCTCAGGACCATTGTGCCCATCTATCAGAGTGAGATATCTCCTCCGAATCATGCAAGTCCGAATCATGGCGCGTCCAAGAAGTATACTTATGCTTTGTCTGGGACTAGAGAGGGGCCCTCGCTTGCATGGAGTTTACCGGAAATATCTTCGGCTATGCGTCGTCGGTTGTAAGTTACCCAACGCATGGGCATATCGTATCAACGAGTTGACGGGTACCCAGTGGATTGATTATTTCTGCTCCTTTATCGACTCCGACCTCGCATGGCGCACACCTCTTTTCCTTCAATGCGTAATCGGTGCTATACTGGCAGCAGGATCCCTCCTGATGCCTGAGAGCCCCAGGTGAGTGGTCAAATGTTTTTCAAATGTTTCGGCTATTAAGACATACATTGCGTCAGGTGGCTCATCGATGTCGACCGCGACGCGGAAGGCATGCGGGTTTTGGCAGACCTGCACGGCGGAGATCCTGAAGATGTCATAGCTAAAGCTGAATATCAAGAAATCAAGGATAGAGTCATAGCTGAGGTGTGCAATATCCTCCACTCATGCCTATCCTTATTCACCGGAGTTTTTTACTCAGCGTGAATCCGGCGAAGGCCGTTCTTATGCCACAATGTGGAGGAAATACAAGCGCCGTGTCTTGCTTGCGATGTCTTCTCAAGCATTTGCACAACTGGTTCGTACTCGTTTCCTCATATCTGTCAACTGGCTAAGCGACCTGTACAGAATGGAATAAATGGTATGGTCTCCATCATTACCGCTTTATGCTCTCACCTTACTCACGAACACATAAAGTTATCTCATACTACGCTCGTAAGTTTGTCACTTCTGCTGGTAGGCGACCGCATCTAATTAACGTCTCCGCCTTGCAGCGAGAGTCTTCGAAGGTATTCGTGATATCTATCTTCGCTGTCTCATAATTAACCTGTATTTTCAGAGGCGGGCTGGTTGGGACGGGATGCTATTTTAATGACAGGAATCAATTCGATATTCTACATTGCCAGCACAATTCCTACGTTCGTAACTTTCAGATTTACTACGCATGTCATAGCACGCTCACGCTTTCGCAGGTGGTGGTTGGTAGATCGGTGGGGAAGGCGACCTATCCTACTTTCCGGCGCTGTGCTCGTGAGTATCTTACGGGGCGTCTGTTAACAGCACGAGAGTGAGCGCTCACCTAACGATGTAGACTGGCCTAGCGCTGGTTGCTACTGGCTGGTGGATGTACATTGATGTGCCGGAAACGCCTCGCGCAGTTGTCATCTGCGTTATCATCTACAATGCTGCCTTCGGCTACAGGTTAGTTGGTGTTCTCGCCTGCTGAAGATGATGCTCTGACGATGCTCTTCTCGTAACAGCTGGGGTCCCTTGCCGTGGTTGTACCCTCCCGAGGTATATTCGAAAGCGATTATTTTCTCTACGGAAGACTGACCCAACCCTAGATCATGCCTTTAACTGTGCGAGCTAAGGGTGTCTCTATATCTACCGCAACGAACTGGGCTTTCAACTTCATTGTCGGAGAGGCAACACCCATCCTTCAAGAGCTCATTGCGTGGCGACTGTATCCCATGCACGGTTCATTCTGTGCATGCAGCTTCGTTGTCGGTAAGCCTGCCTCTTCCCCCAAATCGCTCACAAGCATCTGACTTTTCACTGTAGTATATTTCCGTGAGTGGCCTTCTCGTTTGACTAAAGGATTAAGCTCAACTTGAGCCAGTGTACCCTGAGACCATGGGTGTGCCGCTGGAGGAAATGGATGCAGTCTTCGGCGAAGGTATTGATTGTCAAGAAACTACCCTATGCTTGCTCGCTAATACTCCCTTTAGAGGAGTTGGAAGAGGCGCTGGACAATGAGTCGGAGCGCGCTTCCCTCGTGAACAATACCTTGCCAACGAACCACCAGTCAATCAGTCCTCCACGGAAGAGATCCCCTGGACGACGAGGATGGGTCAGCCGTCTCATTGGTCAGTCAGACCACCGAGCTTCATACGAACCCATCCGGGACGGCGAAGAATAGGAACTCGCGAGGATGGATGGTCGCGGTTCCGAGGAAGGCAACGGTGCCTCAGAGCAATGATTGTGCTGATCGTAAGTTGGGGTAGCATGTCGTGCGTCGCTGATTATGCGCCTTGGCGGGTGCCCACTGGTGGGTGTCCTCGTCATCCCCCGAACCTTCCTTGGCTTCGCCCTTTCATCCTCAGCCACACCTCTACCCTACTGATCAGCATAACTACTTACGGCCACATTTCTAAAACTCATTGTTTCTTAGATACATTACCAACCTCCCCATTGTATATCCAACATTCTAACGACATGTCATGATTTCTGATTTGATTCGCAAACTTTATGCTGTGCCGGAAATTTTCGTCCTTTTTCCCGCTACCGTAGGTAAGTAGTGGGTCTTGGACCCCCCGGCCGTTCGCAGGTTTCCTGCGATCGTTTCAAGATCTACGCGATTTATTTGACACTATTTGGCGCTTAACCGTATATGGTGAACGGCAAGAGCGGGACAGGGCCTTGGACCAATCAAAGGTGGGGTCCCTAAAGGACCCCGATAGTTACGCCACGTGTCATTTCTCTTCCCCTTTATAGCCCAGGTGGCGGATGATTGTCAGACAGAACTGACCTTGCTTGGGGCCTTGGACCTTGCGGTCTCAAGGTGAAATCAGAATACTCCGATGTCAGTTGTTTTTCCAGCCGTTTGCAGATCGATAGGCCGTCACGTCAGAAAGTCACATATAGTCGGAGTGTGTCGGACATGGTGCCACGGATGTCCCAGAAATTAAACGAAGTCCAAGTGGTCTGATATTGGGGTCTTGGGGACTTGAATTTCCTTCTCCAACATGGTCCGACTGTAAATGATTTTCGAGAAATGGGCCCATCGAACTGCAAACGGCTGTCATATGTAACTTGTATTCTCGAAACCTGAGGGAGGGATACGGTAGCGGGCTCTGCCGTGCTCGCACGGCCCTACCGCCTTATCTGCTTGATTTCGTCCGGACGCGTACGCCTGAAAGGAAGCTCACCACGTCGCCCACGTGGGTATGCAACTCTCCTCACGCACGATCGTTCGTCAAGTATCTCAGCTTCTACGAGTCTCTGGAGTGCAATATTGTAGGACGTTGCCCCACCAGTGGGCTCCCATCAGGACCTACGGTAACTCCGGACATGCAAGGCGGGACTTGACATTCGAAGACATTGGTGTCCATCCCATTATTGTGAAAGCATTGCAGGCTGCGTTTCCGAAGGTTCGGAATCCTACCCAAATCCAAAGTGAATTTGTACCTGCAATCCTGAGTGGAAAAGATGTTCTCTTAAAGGATGATACCGGTACGGGAAAGTATGTGATCTTTACTCGCTGTTTCTGGATTCGGCTTAATATTATAACAAGGTCATTTGGGCTCATGCTGGCCTTGCTGAGCAAACCCCGCGTCCCTGCAGTCAAGAGTGAAGGCGTATTCCGGGATAAGACCACACCTGCCGCGATCACCTCCCTAGTACTTGTCCCCCACCGCGATCTAGCATACCAACTGTACCACTGGATTGAGAGTATTGTGAAGAAGTCCCCAAAGCGTCCTCATCTCCCCAGTGTTGTCCAAATGCTCGTTCGCGGCGCGGCAGTGCCTGTCAAAGATCAGATCTCGCAGTTACACGGAAGTCCGCCTCACGTTCTTGTAGGAACGCCTCAGGCTGTTCAAGAAGTCTTCAACGAAGACAGGGCAGCCCTGCAACTGGACTCGTTATCAACGGTTGTGGTAGACGAAGTTGACTACCTGATCGACGCGGTACCCAGAAATGCGTCAACTTACAAACGGGATAAGGTTCTGAAGAATATCCGGAAGCACCCCGGGCCTACGCGCGAACTGCTCAACTTCATTTATGACCGCAGGCGCGGGTCTGTGGAATCGTCTAGTGGTTGCACGGCCGGACGCAGTCCACAACTCGTAATGACGAGTGCGACATTCCGAGTCTCGTACCAGAACGAAGTCCTGCAGAGTGGCTGGTTCCAAGGCGAGGTAATAAAGGTGACGGGATCGTCTACGGCAGATACTGGCTCTGGCAGTGACGATAATGGACACTCCCCATCACTGTCTCACTGCGTCCTAGTGGTATCTCAGGAGGGCCGGATCAAGAATATCGAAGGCGCCGTGGAAGCTCAGGCGGAATCACCAGATGACGTCCGAAGTGGCCCCGAATCCTCCGAGGAAGCCTTTCCAATAAGCGACGACGACGCGGATGAGATTTTCCAACCTAAGCTGGATAGCGAACTTAGGAAGAGTGAGTGTGCTATAATTATGCAGGACTTTGAGAGAGCTAACCATATCTGTTTCGCAGAGTTCACATCTACGCCTTCCCCCTTTGATCCCGCCTTACTGGAAGCTGTGGCTGCTGCGTTCGCACTCGACGTGCCCCGGTTGGCATTGCTGGTCTTGCCGGCTGTAGGGTCAGTGAAACGGGCAGTCTTCGAGTTACAGCAGCTCGGCGTGAATGCCCAGGGGCTGGATCTTTTCGCGGAGGATCAGGGGCGCAAGCAATTGTTGAATAACAGCCCGGGCGCTCCTGTGGACAACCCCGTTCTTTTGGTCTCAACCTGGGCTTCTACTAGGGGCTTAGACCTGCCCGAACTATCTCACGTCTTCGTGCTCGGTGTTCCCGAAGGGCGCAGAGTCGATACCTACCTGCATGTTGCTGGTCGGACTGGACGGTTTGGACGCAGCGGTAAGGTGGTGACAGTGGTGGAGGATCGGCGGGAGGTTGTACGGCCTGACGGGAAGAAGATCGTACAGGATGATCCGAAGAGGATGGCGGTTGTTCTGAAGGAGATAGGAATCGTTCCTGTTAAATTCGAGCACTTTGATTGAATGTCTTGCTAGGGTGATGTCGCGCAGGCCATCACGCAGGAACTCAGCGACTGATCTTGGACGCCCTCTTGTTCCTTCAGACGTCATGACCTCGTTGACAAGGACAAGAGGTGGGACTCATCAGAGGGTATCTATTGAACATGAGTACTTACATACGGCTGCCGACCTCCACTCTCGGCTTGACCAGCCCGTGGCTGTCACGATATACATAGACTCGGTTATAAGTACACGGTTCGTCGGTTGTCAAGTCTGAACCCTTGGCTTGACTTTCTCGAGCGCGTGTTCCCTGCGAGCTCTCAGCAGTTTCCGAGCGTTGTCGCGGCCGTTGACACCAGCACCTGCAGCCCGGTTCTGAGGGTTCGGGTTGAGTCGCGATAAGCGGACATTCTAGCACGAGTGAAGCGGTTCTCCCGCGTTCCATCACAAGGAACTCACTGCCGCAAGCAGCGGCTGACCCCATGCTCGCTCTCGCGTCCTGCTCTGCCATATAATCCTCTCTTTCCCTTATTTTATTCCCTTTCTTCTTCACCAGCCTAGGTGTTCGTTTTCCACCATGGCGGCGCGCGTCGCCACGCACACGTTCCTCCTGGGCGTCCTGTTCGCCTGGCTTTCCACGATCGCCCTCGTCTCCGCGCAGTCCTCCAACTCGTCCGCTTCCACGACGCCCACTCCTACCGGAAACATTACCCTTAGTTATGTTACGACCTCTATCACGACGACGTACACGACGCACTCGGGCAACCAGAATATCCCCATCACCACCGCCGTACCCATTACCCTCGCTATCAACGTCACTGTTACTCCTACGTCCTCTGCTGCTGCAAATGCTACGACCTCGGCGACAGCTACGTCTGATCCTTCACAGTTGGCGACCGTAATCGACCCGGCATTCGGTATTCTGGGCGGTATCCTCATCTTAACGGGTATTCCCACTGCATTCCTGGGGCATAGGAACCGCTGGTGAGTTGTCAGAGATTGATACATCGCTGGCATACATGCTCATCCGCCGTCAGGACGTCATTCTTTTTGATCGGCTTCTACACACTTGCCTTGGTGTGCTTTGTCCTTATCACACGGTTTGGAGTGCTAGCGGCCATACATCCCCCTTCCAAGACCGTGCGGGGAATGTTCCTTCTCGCGTCGATTGTCGCAGGCGTAGCAGGTGGTGCTGTCACGATATTTTTCTGGAAGGCTACCAGGTACTTCATTGGCGCCTGGGGAGGCTTTGCCTTCGCTCTCTGGGTCCAGTGTTTCAGGAATGGTGGTCTCATCGGCCCAATAGGGTATCGCTGGATCATGTACATTGGTGCGCCTTCCTGCCATCATTATCAGTGCCCCATCTTATAAATCTGGGCTTGCAGCTGCCGGTGTCATAGGATTTGTGTTGTGCACTATTCCCAAGTTACACTATCACATATTACTCATATCCACGGCATTTGTCGGTTCGACTTCATTCATGCTCGGCATTGACTGCTTCACCACCGCAAATCTCAAAGAGGTCCGTGTTTGTAATGTTTCCATCAGCAGCAAGTATCTAAGCTCTTATTACAGTTTTATATGTGGAACCTTGGGTTCGACAGCCTCTTCCCGAGATTTGTGGCCGATCATATTGCATTCCCGGTCACTCAAGTCATGCAAATAGAGCTTGGTCTCATGGGCGCTGTAGCTCTGATGGGTATCGCAGTGCAGTTCCGCATGATTAAGATTCTCAAGCGGAAGCTCAAAGAGATCCAAGAAGAGCAGAAACGACGGGACGAAGAGGAGGAGATGAGAGCGGCGGAGCGCTTTGCCGAGATCGACAAGGAACGCGGGGAATGGGAGCGTGAACATCCCACACTCACAAAGCATGGCAGGCATGACAGTAATTTCTCCGGAATGCCCTTGATGAAGGATGTGGATATTCCCGCCACGCCGAGTTCCGCAGAGCTACGTGGTTCGACCTTTACTCTGGTGAATGGCACCAGGCAGAGGTATCATTCCGGTGTTTCTGATTTCTTCGCGGCTCCCCCTTCGGAGGATGAGCTGAAGAGAGCAGCCGGCCGCCAAAGCCCTGGTGTTCTCCCCACCCTTGATCTCGGTGCGGATATCGAGGAAGAAGTTCCCAAGAGTTTTATAGCCGAGGATGGACCTTCTACCTCCAAGCTGAAGGATAGCGAGATCGAAGAACTGAAACGCAAGGAAGAGTTGCTTTCGGAAATTCAGACTATTCGGCGATCGATCGACGCGCTCAAAAGTGGAACTCCGGCTCCTTCGTCCTCCTCCGAGTCACGTTCTCGCCATCCTTCCTTCTCTGCGGGATTAAATATGGGTTCGTCTATCCTTGCTGATGCGACCCACCTTCGGCCTCCTCGCCAGCCAGATCCTCGCTCGAGAGTCCAGTCTATGGAATTGTCCAGCCTCTTCCGTTCTTCGCCGCAACCAGCGGAAGCTATCGGTCGCCCCATCAGTGCTCCTCTTCGGGAAGACGACTGGGATTCCTATGTTCGAGATAGGAAGCTCTTGCAGCCGCCTTCCGGTGTTACACCTCCTATCGCCACGACACCTATTAGCCCGACGCCTAGAATCGCGGTACCGCCCGCCGTCGCTGAGGCGCTTGCGCGTCGTCAACGAGTCGAGAGCATGATTGAGATGGGGGAAATGGGCGTTCCGCCCTCATCTAGCGGGGGTTCCCACCCTTCCGCAGGCCGGTCTTCACCTGCCAGGGCTGATTACTTCGGAGAGCTACGCCAACCTACACCACCTATGACTAAGGCGCATCATAAGAAGGCCAGCTCAGGCGTTCCTCCACCTATCTCTCCGCCGGCAGCCGCTGTCACAATCTTGCCTCCGAGGAAGTCTCCACCGGTCGTGGCTCCTGAACCTCAGCGGCCCAGCGCTCCTCGCGTTATCACCTTTGAGGAACTTACCGAGAGGCACCGAGAGAAGCTCAGGGACCTGCAGGCACCTCTCACGGAAGCTGCGAAGCAGGAGGCAGAGCTCGCGGAAGCGAAGGCGAAGTGGGAGAGGGCAAAGGCCATCGAGAAGGAGGCCGTTGCGAGACGCCAGGCGGAAAAGGCCAAGGAGTTGGCTGAGAAAGAGCACCGTCGACGTCGTTCTGAAGATAAATCCCCCGAGGGTCCCAAGAAGCACGACCGTTCTAGGAGTCTCAGTGGAGACCGACTCGCTCAACTCGCTGTGACTCCCCCTTCGTCCAAGCGACTGTCGACAATGAAGGTCGAGGACTGGCAGAAATACCAACAGGAAGCTGACAAGGGTCGTCCTGCGCCAGGAGGATCAAGACGCGACTCGAGAGCTTTCAGGTCGGAGGGTGATGGGGTGCCTTTCCCTGGCACTGTCCCTCGGTCACGCGATCCCGGACATCCAGGACAAGATAGGAGGAGGTCCAACGTCCCTCGGACTCCTCCAAACTGAGACGCTCATAGCAGCTGACCACCTGCAGTGCGTATAATCGGCCTAATGTGTACCATCAGGGCGCCGCATCGATGCGCCTCGTTCATGTGCAATTTGTTTCGCATCGTTGCCATCATCAGACACACATGGAGTAATTCATAGCTTTTGTTCTTGTCACGGACTACACTTTGGACGTTGGACTTATAGAATAGCATCATGTAATCTTCAATCCGCCCCTCCTCCATCACCTCCGTTCCTTCCTCCGTCTTTTCTTTCTTCTCATTTTGTGCTCGTAGACACAAAGAACACGCGCATCAGTTACGATCACGGCGACGTGCTCTGCGACTGTCGGTTTCATGAGTATGCCAATGCGAGTTGTTGCTGCGACTGCTTTTAAGACTAGAGGGAATGCTGACAGCATGAGATCTAGATCGGACGTCACAAGACGCGATCGAGAACGCGTTCTCGACGCCACAGACGCGTTTAATTGAGAGGAGGACGCGCCGCGGAGTTTCAACTGTGCGAAGATTGGGGGAAGCTAGTTTTCATTGGGGCGAGGCTGGGAGCTAGATTCGATCGCGACTATGGGCGGAGCGTCTCGCTCTGCTGCAGTCAAGCGTCCAAGAACACTCGGCCTTGGTGCACGTCACGTATCCACACGCCTTTCTATAAGACTGCACCGGTTCAGACAGCCCAGTTCCAAAACTCTCCGCCATGTCGATAATACGCTCAAAGTCCGCTCCAACTCTCGAGATTCCGTCGGGGCTCGTTGTTCGCGATGCCGGTACCATGACCCCGCCCATTGGTCCCCGGAGGGCTCCTCGTCGCAGCAAGCAGCGACTGGCATCAACAACCGTGTCCAGTCCGCTTCGCTCACCCCTCGAGACACCTCGAGAAGAGGACCCGTTCAATATGGGTGGCTTCTTCCCCGCCCATGTGAGCGCCCTGTCCGAGGAGGACGAGGAATGGAGCTGGTTGCATCGTGCGGAGCCCGAGAAGGAGAGCCACGCGGCGCAACACAGCAGGTATCCGCTGTTCTCCCCAGTGGACTCGGAGGGGGAGTCCTCGGTACCTGCGACGCCGAAAGACCTCGAGTTCGAACTCGAAGAACAGGCGAAGAAGGTGCTCCAGGAAGAAGATAAACTCGGGATTCTGCACCTTGGTAAGTGACCATATATATTCGGTCTGAGTGCTATTAACGGAGTCGGCTTGTATCTGATAGGCAACATGTTTGTTGGTGATGCTCAGTCTAGGCTCGACGAGCAGCATCTGCTCTCCCCTTATACCGGTGACCAGCCTGAGAACGATGATGCCCTGTACAACGGGCTGCGCGCCCTTCGGTGTGCATACAGCGTGCCAGACGCGAAAAAAGCCGAAGACTACAAACTTGGGGAGCTCTTCCTCCCAGAGAGCGGGGTCGAGGAGCCGCGGTCTGCTAGATGGGTCTCATCACTTTCTCGATGGCTATGGGCTTGAAGAAGTTGGTTTCGGTTCTGGAATAGGGTGGCTTTCTGTTGGAAGCTGTCGCACTTCATAAAACTGGGTAACGTGTACGGATAATTGTTATGACCTGTATGACATGATACGACTTTGGAAGAACTGTATATCTAGGCTGTATGTCAGAAGAGCTTTAGTAACCGCACACCGCAGTTCTACCGCAGCGCTGGTAGCAAGGCAGGCATGCGAAGTACCTCCCGACCCGCGTCAGCATTCGGACACGGTGGCAGCAGGAGAGCAATCTCTGGCACGAATTGCACTGGGGGAGCAGAAATGGGATGATGGGTGCCGTAAGACGGGGTCGCGGAACACTCCGGGGACCCCGGAACCGGGTGCGTCGCTCGGGGTCGCGGGCGTATAAAGGCCGGGTGCTCTCACGGGTATGCACGTGGGACTCGTTTTCTTCCCACTCACACAGTCCCATTCCCACAGTTTGCTCTCCCCTACGCGGGAAATAATGAGGACAGTCCATCCCCTCCCTGCTAACTCCTCTTCTCTTTCTCCAATGGCCTCCGCTGCTACCGCCGACCCCCGCGGCCAGCTTGCCCCGCCCCAGAATCCTCAGCAGTCGTCGCGCTCGGCGTCGCCGGCGCAGGCAAATTTGAACTTGCTCGTAAACGCTATCTCTGCTTCTCCGTCCACCCATGTTTCCAACCATAACTCGACCCAGGTTCCTCAAAATGCGCATCCCAGCAACACCCCCAACCAGCACCAATCGGTTCCCTCCCAGCACGCCCCCATTCCTCCTCCAATCAACCCTTCTGGGTCGAGTTCAGATCCGAACGCATCACTGCAGTCCATCTTAGCATCTTCCAAGAAGCCACCGAGCACTGGTGGCGTCCAGATGCCGCCTTGGAGTTCTTCGCCCATGGTCATGCCCAGTCAGCATGGATCCGCTCCTCCCCCGTCCGTCTCGGTAAGTATCGGGCAGTTTCGGTATCCGCCACATGGACAACCAGTTCAGTTAACGCGAGCACCTCAGACAACCGGAAAGCGAAAGCTGGATGATGCTGACGCGGAGGATCCGCATCAGAAGATCCGTCGCGTCGTACGAAATCACGTTTTGCAGGATCCAGGACGCGTCGTGCCCATGACCACTGTGGTCTGCCTCCACGCTGCGGTCGCCCAGAAGTCATATGGTAGCGAGAAGCGCTTCCTTTGCCCGCCTCCCGTCGTTCACATCGAGGGACCGGTATGGCAAATGCGCAATCAGCAATTGTCGATGGCGGTCGTTTCTGAGGATGGGACTCGATCCTTCGAGCAGAAAGCACCCCTGGACAATAACATGACCGCCAGTTTCAAGTTCCTACATGTCACGGGCACGGCGAAAGCGAAGAGCTTCCAATTGTCTCTTGACATCGCCGAACCCCCTCCTCCCTCCCTCACGCCTGAGGGCGGTGAACCTCCCAGTGGGCGCACATGGGCTTCATTTGACTCCGCGCCCGTCACGATCATCTCCAAGCCTTCGAAAAAGACCGCGAAGACGCGCAATATCTCCTCGTGTATCTTGGCAGGTGGTCCTGTTTCCTTGTTCAACCGGATCAATTCCCAAACTGTACGCACGAAATATATGACGATTGACCACGGCTCGTTATGTGCGAGCAATATATCCTGGTCTGCCTTCAATGTCAATGTAGTGCGACGTCCTCCGGACGCGCCTGCTATGGGTACGTGTTCACGTGACCCTGGAATCGATCGCTTTCCGATACTCACGTTTATGAACTTGCCGCTACTTCCACAGGTGGTCCCCAGCCGGTCACTTACGGTTCGGAGGTCATATTGTCTGATACGAATTCGGGCATTTCGACATCACCGCTTTTGATCCGTAAAGTCGACAAGGGTAGGATCATCGCGGACGATGGAGGTCCTGTCAGTCAAATGCAGAAGATTGCATTGCAAAGAGTGAACCCCGATGGCTCCCGGCATTATCTGTCAGCTGCCGGACCCATGCCTGGGACGCCGGGCGTGGTTGCGCCTCCGGCGCCTGGCATGTCACAACAAGCCGGAACACATCCTCTAGTGTTCTCGTCACCTCGCATCCGCGATGAACTTAAGGATGGCGTACGTGTTATCTCAGATGAAGTTGACGACTATTTGTGTTGGACCATCGTTGGAATCTGTATGTGCTTTTCATTGTACCGTATACTACAAGTGGGACTGACATGTGTTCGATCAAGCGAAGTTCCAGTATACCTTCTTCGATGCCTTCGGGCAGAATAGCAATATCCCAGAAATGCCGATAACTCCGTTTCCCACCCTGTTTACCGCGCCTACCTACCGTCACCAGAATCGCAGTATGGATCTGACGGTGTCAAACTTCTTCTATGAGCATCCGAAGACAAGGATGCAAACCCCGTTGGATGTTTACCTTGGGAACCTAGGTCCACTCCGTCAGCGTGTGTACCAAGCGACGCCTCCGGGGCCCTTGACGGCCATCTCGCCTTTCGTGCATACATTGACTCCTTCGCACCCGCCGCAGCCGCCTCACCCGCCTATGTTGCCTCAAGATGGTTCCAGTTCGTCTGAGCCGATCTTTGTTGCTCCTCCCCGATTCATTCCGTCGGGGCCCGTGCACACGATTGTCGTCGTGGAAATGCCTCCTATTCCGGAGATCATCAAGGCTCTGGAGGAGGATGCTGCGCCGCCCAAAAGTGACGATAACCAACGAGCAGGCGACTCGTCGTCGGGTCCCTCGAATGACAGGCCGGTTGGGCCCTTGTCTGCTCAGATTTCTGGTCGGAGCCTGCCATTGTTGTTCATTCGGTCGTATGACGGTGTCGGCTATCATTCCGGGAGGACTGTCACGGTCGAGAATATCTTCCAGAGCATAGACATTGGCGGTCTTACCAATGGCTCCAATGGGAGCGGGGCTCAGATGGATTCCAACTGGTTAGCTGCTGCTCAGGCTGTTGAGGGCTCAACGCACGGTTGGGCGCTGCGAGTCCTCTGAGGGCATTGTAAATATGCGGTCCGGGTTTGCTCTTTCGCTTCCAGATTTTTTTGGATATCAGTTCTGTGGTATCGGTCCGTCGTCAGCAGCTTGTGTCTCCACTGTCTACACTTGTAATAATGGGGTTGTTGTCTCTTCTATTGGGCGTCCATGTGCTAGTTGTTCATAAGGTTTGCTTGTCTATTACTCACCGCTGAAGATGTATTTCGAGCCTGTATCGACGAATGACCAATGAAGTTGCCTTGTCGAAATCTTCAGGTGTTCAGTTCCGATCTAGGACCTATCGACGCCGCTTTATAACCTGAGAGCATGATGACTGGGCCGACATCCACACGGAGAACCCGCCGCGCCGCCGAATATAAAAAGCAATACGGAGTCGCTTGGTGGGACGGCACAAGCTCAGCCTGGGCTGATCCACGCACGACCACGCTAGAATGTGCGTATACCAATTGGTTGCACTCTTTCATTTCACATAAATACCAAGTTTCATCGATAAGCTGGGCAGTGAAGCTTGTCCGCGAACCCATCGGTCGTTGCATTTCTATTTTATTTGCCTCTCTAGCGCCACCGCCGACCATATAAAGCTGATTCGGCCACTCCCTCTTCCTCCTCGTGTAGTTGTCCACCAGTCTATCCTACCTCAGAAGCAAAAATGTCTAAAGTCTCTCGCGGAAACATTACGTCGAGGATAGAATGGCTGGGCAGCCTGAACACCGCCAATGTGCCATTGCCTTCGGAGGACACCAAGTTCCACCGCAAAGTTGGTGCTCTCTTTTCGATGCGTAGTACGGAGGCTGATGTAGACGGATGTAGACTGGCATTATTGCTACTATTGGTACTGCAATTACGCGACAGACATGGGGAGAGACGTGACTGATAGTTGTATGTAGGGCCGAAGACTAACAGCGTAGAGAGCTTGGCTCAACTCGCGCAGGCCGGCGTCAATATCGGTGAGCAACCTCAATCAGTTGATAATGGATGGGGACGGTGTTAATCCGGATGGTGTAGTGCGCATGAACTTCTCTCATGGCTCCTACGAGTACCATCAGAGTGTCATCGACAACACGCGCAAGATGGTGGCATGTGGGTAGGACATGTTCTGCCTTTTGTTCTATGCTGACTTTCGTGGAAGCCCGCCCTGGAGGTCGTCCCGTTGCCATCGCTTTGGATACTGTTCGTTGAAGGCCTCATTATTCGTCCTCTTTGTCTAATGGTCATTCGATAATCACAGAAAGGACCGGAGATCCGGACGGGTTTGATGAGGGACGGCATGGACGTGAGTTACCTCTGCTATGTCGGGAGTTTTGTATTGATTAAGATTGCCGGGTCTCCTTGTAGATCGCCATCAAAGCAGGCCATGAGTTCATCGTCTCGACTGAGGCCAAGTATGCCGAAGCCTGTGACGACAAAGTCCTGTATGTCGACTATGTGAGTTACCATAGTTATGTGCGTTGCAGGAATTAGTCATGACTGAGGACATTAGGCAAACCTGCCGAAAGTGACTGCTCCTGGCAAGCTTATCTACGTCGACGATGGTAACATAACTTCATACATGGAAGCTGTATCAAACTCACCTGCGTACTAGGTATCTTGTCGTTGTTGGTCCTGTCTATTGACGGCCCCAATGTACGCGTGCGCGCCATCAACAACGGCACTCTTTCTTCTCGCAAGGGTGTCAATCTCCCGAAGACGGAGGTCGATCTTCCTGCGCTCTCCACGAAGGATAAGAATGACTTGCAGTTCGGTGTGAAGAACGGTGTCGACATGATCTTTGCGTCTTTCATCCGCCGTGCTCAAGACGTGAAGGATATCCGTGAAGTCCTCGGGCCTGAGGGAGCCAATATCAAGATCATCGTGAAGATCGAGAACGAGCAGGGGGTCGCCAATTTCGATGAAATCTTAGCGGAGACCGATGGTGTCATGGTTGCTCGCGGTGACCTTGGTATCGAGATCCCCGCGAGTCAAGTCTTCCTGGCACAAAAGATGATGATCGCCAAATGCAACATGGTTGGCAAGCCCGTCATTGTCGCCACGCAGATGCTGGAGGTATGTCACATTCCTACCCTCGTGTGCCCAGTTCTCATGTTCTCCCTTTTTTCTCAGTCGATGACAGTAAGTGAGATGATGTTGTCTACTCACCTCATGATGACCTGATCTCCCTAGTACAACCCGAGGCCCACTCGCGCAGAAGTCAGTGACGTCGCGAACGCCGTCCTGGACGGTGCTGACTGTGTCATGTTGTCCGGAGAGACCGCCAAGGGATCATACCCCGTCCAGTCTGGTAAGTACGCAGCGTCTGGTGGTCGCTTGTCATGCTGAACTCGTGTCGTAGTCCTTATGATGGCGGAGACCTGCCTGTTGGCTGAATCTGCCATCTGTTACCCTCCTCTCCACGACGAGTTGAGGGATGCCCAGCCGCGCCCGACTGCTACCCCTGAGACAGTGGCGATCGCCGCGGTTGCTGCCGCGTCTGAGCAGAATGCCAGTGCTATCATTGTGCTCTCGACTAGCGGTTCCACTGCTCGTTATGTAGCCAAGTACCGCCCGAACGCACCGATCATTATGGGTGCGTATATACGCTTGCCGTTATGCCGTGGGTTGGCTGCTTACGTACCATGGATTTCAGTTACTCGAAACGAGCAGACTGCGCGTCAGATGCACCTGTACCGGGGAGTGTACCCGTGCTGGTACTCTGAGCCCAGGGGCATCCAAAGCCACCAATGGCAGACTGACGTGAGTGACCCTGGCAGATCTTCCCGCTAGCTGCATGTTGATTATCTCGTACCTCCAGGTCGACAACCGCATCCGGTTCGGCCTGAAGAGTGCCCTCGACTTGAAGATCATCAAGAAGGGTACCACTGTCGTCGCCGTCCAGGGCTGGAAAGGAGGATTGGGCCACACCAACACCCTCCGTATCCTGTCTGTCCCTACGGATGAGGCCGACCTGGAGATGCAGCCTTTGGGAGCGAACTAGACGCAGAAGTCGGGTGTACAAAATAGTGGCTGCTTGTGTCTGTATCGCGCGTTGCCCCTTGTACTTGATAACCATAGAATAAGACCCTTTGCGCGCAGACTGCTTGCGGGAGGAAAGGAACCACATTGCATTGAACATGGGTTGACTTTTATACCCGTCCCGCACAGGAAGTCCATGAGTCCCGTGTCCGGCCGACATGCACAACGGATTTCAGGCGCCTGGGGAGGTTTCCCACGACTACACGTACGCGTTTGGCACTGTCTTGGTATTACCATTGGTAGTAATCTCGACTTTTCCATCACGGCTCGCAGCTACGGCTGACCGTCCTCGACGTGTACTGCGCTGGCGGCGCATCCTTCATAAACCGTGGCTTTCGGTATGGCCTCGTCTTCGTTCTTCCCCTCTCCGCCCCGTGTCAATGGTACAAGCAAGCCGCGCATGTCGAACGGTCTCCCTGTCTATTCGTCCGCCGTGCAAGAGAAGCTGCACCGACATCCAAGCGGTTCTCTCATAACGTTTATTTCCCTGCCTATACCCGGGGTGCCCACACGAAGACTTCGAGTGCCTACTATCAACCCAGCCCGTTTACAGCAATGCGGCTTGCGCCCTGGTCGGAAGAGAGGGCCGATGCTATTATGCCTGGCCCTGTTCGCAATGATATACGCGACCTTCGCGTTAGCAAAGCGCTGGGGCTCACAAGAAAAGCAATGGCCTACGCCATTCCAGGGCCCGACGTCGACGTTGGTGTTCAAGCGGGAAGACTTGCAGCGGATATGGGAGTGGGAGATCTTGAGTGGTCATTTCCCTAGCAGTCGCAAAAGTGCGTTCCCGTATAAAGTCGCTCTCTCTAGCTGGCGCTTATACGTCTGCTTCAGTTCCTGAACAGATAGGATTTACGACGACACCTATTAACCCTGCCCTACCCCCTAAGAAGGCGCCCACGATTCCCTTACGCTTTCGACCACCGTTTGTTACGAATACGCAGGGCATTGGACCCAAGCGCGTATACTTGGACATCCAGAGCCGTCCACCGAATGTGGCGTATCCGCCACGACCTATACCAGGGAGTGTTGCGGATTTGGACACAATCATGGAGCATTGTGATTTCTCCAAGAAGAAGGTGCGACTCAGCATTGGCCTTGCGCCTCCAAATACTGATAGAACTTACTCTGTAGTTCGTACGGGATTGTCTTGAAGTGCTTCGGCTTGGTGCTGGTTTGGATAATCAGGCAAGGCTAAGACGGGGCAAGATGGATGAATGGAAGTATATCTACGCTGAACAAGGGGAGGTGAACTGGGCATTGAACGTGACGACAGAAACTCCGCATATGGGGAAGGACGCCGTCCGGGGGCATCTGTCTGCATCGGAACAGGACTCTAGCTCAGAACTTACGAAGAAACGAGGTGCTGAATGGGAGCCTCGCCCGGAGCTCCGTCCACCCTTGAAGTATGAGCCCTTCAATCAACTTCAATCCCCTTGTGACGATGAAAACCCTCGTATCTTCCACATGTTCTGGGCCGGGGCGTTCACTGACAAGCCGTATCTTGCGTTACTGTCTTTCCTCTTCACGCAGAATGTTGGGATACATCTCCCTGAGGACCGCCCCGACCCCAAGGTATGCCGACCGCAGTTCTGGCTCTGGATTAACCCTGGTCCAGCTGCTTCTGTGCCAAACCCCAATGCACGCAAAGACATGTATGACCAGCTGCAAGCGAATCCGTGGGCTGCTCCCTTCTTGCACCCGCGGTTTAAAGACGTTATCCAATTCAAGCTGTGGAACACTACTGAGCAACTGGACGGCGTTCCTGAGTTGAAGGAAGAATGGCGTGCGATGCGCGATACATTATTTAATTCAGGCGGGGTAATTGTCAACGTACCAGCGGAGGAGAAGGAGAAAGCTGAGAAAGCACAAGAGACGACCTCGGAGGAACTTACCGAATCCTCTGGAGATGATACCGCAGCCGCCAAGGCTGCACCTACCGGCGAAGAGACAAATCCTGATGATCCTCTTCACCGTCTTGGGTCGCAATCCCCCGACACTTACGACCGAATGTCTGTTATTTTATCTGACATGGCACGATTCGTCTTATGTCATCGTTTCGGAGGTATCTATCTGGATGCCGATACTATTTTCCTCCGGGACTGGGAGGAACTGTGGGGGTGGCATGGTGCATTCGCCTATAGGTGGTCGCGCCTGGAAAAGTACAATACTGCGGTGCTTAAGATGAACAAGAATTCTGCCTTGGGCACTTTCCTGTTCCGGACCGCTCTCAAGAATGGGCTTGACTTCCATCCGATGACTGTCTCCCGGTACACGAAAGACGCGTATTTGGAGGAACTACTTCTCCGCCTACCGGACGCCTTGTTTGACTCTGCATGGTTGAACACTGAATGGTTCCAGCGTGACCGTCCTCCACAGCCCTACTTCACTGAGTAAGTCGCCCCGGTTAGACCATTGTCTCAGTCGTTCTCACATCATACGCAGTTTCGCGGACTTCTTCGACACTCCTCAGCAGAACAGTGCCTCTCCAGCGGCTCTCGGATTTGATGGCTTCTTCAAGGGTGCTTTCTCATATCACTTCCATAATTTCTGGTATGTGGCCCTTTAAGTACAGCTGAATTGCCTTGTTAACATTCCGCAGGTGGAAGCCCTTCGATCCATCACGGAACTGGCCGGACTTGGGTCCGCGGTTCGCCGCTACGGAGCGGATCGCTCGTGCGGCTGTCGAAGCAGATGATGACAAGGAGGAGCTGGTTGCGGACGACAAGCGAGACTTGGACTGGGCCACTGTCTTGAAGAGGACATTCGAATCATATATCCGGGGAGAGCGGCCAAACATGTATGGCGAATGGATACAGTGGTGATAAGTCCGTTGCGGAGGGGTTTCGTGTACGACAGGGATCTCGGGCGGGTGACTCCGATGGTGCGCAGCGTGTACAGGCTCACGTCGGGACTTTGTCCTTAGTGTTTATCTAGACTTTCAACTTCTTTATCAGGTATTAATAAAACGGATCCTGCTAATACTATGATGGAACTGTCGTTACGGTCAAATGCTCTTCTCTGCGGTCTTGGGATTCTTTACCTTCGTATGGGTTTGGACATATACCGTAGTTTCTGGGACGTCTGTAGGTATAATACGACACTCCTCGACTTGTCATAGGACACTGGTCGACGGACGGTAAGCCAATGGCAGTATGATCACACCTTTCCACAAGAATATTCACGTATTCATGCTCCTTGGTATCGCAGGATATATCCAACTAAAAATCTAGGAGTGTCGACATTGTCTGATTGTACAATTGATACTTATTGTTTCCTTTAATTGTACTGGTGATGCTACAAGTCTGATGCGAGTAGTCACTGAGGCTGCGACTCTCGGGCGATCCTCGCTTGCGCGGTGTTGACAGCAGATTTGAGCGTCGCAATGACCTCCTCAGGCTTCTCGGCCCCGAATATGGCAGTCCCTGCAACGATGACATTGCTACCTGGGGAGATATCAATTTCAACGAACTTGAGGAGCGCGAGAAAGGCACGGCCGCTCACCTGCTTCCGCACAAGGAGCAATCGTCTTGGGTCCGACGCCCCCATCGACTTCGATGTCTTTGTTCGGGAAGCGCTTGCGCAGCTCGGCGACCTTCGGAACGCAGCGATCCAGGAATTTCTGGCCGCCGCGTCCTACATAAGGAATAAATATAGCACCGAGTAATATGAGGCCGACGAAAGGACGTACCAGGGTAGACAGTCATGACCAGGAGCATATCGGCTGCCTCGCCAACCGCGTCGGTTATAGCTGTTGAGGGGGTGTCGGGCGATATGGCCACGCCAGCTTTCATGTTCCGGTCATGAATGGCCTTGATGAGGGATAATGGATCAGCTGAGGCAGTCTGCTCAGTTCATGTTACATCTAGCGCGCTCCACGGATACTGACATGTAGCTTCGAGGTGGAAGCAGTACAGCGAGCCTCCGGCGTCTGCTATGTCATTCACCCACTGTGACGCGGGAGGAGATCAGCCAGGTGAACCGCAATGACGGAGGATGTCTAACCTTCTCAGGCTGGGCGACCATCATATGGCAGTCCATGAAGATGCCGGGTACGCCCTTGTGTACGCAGGACAGGACCGGGGCCCCTGTACTCACGTTCAGCACGACATAGATCGGTGGAATTAGGCGAATGGACCCCACCCATGGTGATATTAGGCACGAAATGGCTGTGGTGTGTGCCTTGATCAGCGAGGTCTTCCAAGGGCATGCAATGCGCAGGATATTCACCCGTCCATGACATCTGTAAAAAATATTCAATCCACTGGGACATGTAGATCTGCTGGTGAGAGTGCGCACCCATGTGAAGCCATTCCGCGCCGCCCTTGATCATCCTCTTGCATTCTGCGGTAAGCTGGCCAAAATCGGAGGCAAGCACGGACGGGGATATGATTGCGCGAGGCATAGCGCAGCTGTCAGTCAAGAAAGTTATGTACAGGAGCTGTTGAGGAAAGTACAAGTCGAGGAAATCTCTGGACGCGATGATCTTGTAAGCCTAATCCGAATCCGTGACCTCACGCGCTATATTTAGTAATTGCCTCTTAGACTGAAAACCCGGATGGCTTGTCCTCTTGCAGTCTGGTACTGCTTCTAAACTCGAGAAGCGCCGGCTATCGCCGGCCGTATACCTTGCGACTTGACTCTTGCTTCCAGCCGCTTGCAGATCGATAGACCATCAATTCAGAAAACCACGTATAGTCGGAGTGGGTCGGAGTGGGTGCCAGGGACGTCGGAAGAAGGTAGAGAAGTCCAGATGGTCTGATTTCTGTCTCTCGGGGACTTGAAATTGCTTGTCCGACGTGGTCCGACCGTAAATGATTCTCAAAAAGTGGGCCTATCGATCTGCAAATGGCTGTCAGTCCTCTTTCTCTGCGTGTCTATAGTACAGTGCCTTGCATAAGAAACTCGCATTTCCCCCACGTTGTTTGTTCCCGCCAAATATACCCTTTTCGGGTAGGTCTGGAAGGCCTCTCGCGAGACCGTTTGCTGGGCAAGGACTCGCAGACGCCCCGAAAGGGCTCGAAAGGCTTCAGAGAATGCATGAAATGTATATTCTAAAACTATACTAAGGGCTGTAAATTATTATACTCTGCCCCCAGCTGTGTGCCTAGCTACCTCCCTCTCGATGGGTCTTTGCCGCACATTCACCAATACCCGAAAAGGGTATATTTGGTGTGGGCAAACAATGTGTGCAGAAATGCGATGTTCAGTTTCTTATGCAAGGCACTGTAACATCATACCATCCTAAGGTCAAAGATTTCAAGCTGTTTGAAGCATAAAATGGTAGCAAGGAGCATGAGCATTCCACTGGATGTGTTGCCACAAACAATCACAAATCAATTAAGTTTCAATAATCGAATTCTCAATGTCTGGCATCCTTGCCAGTGCCTGGCAACACTAAGGCAGTGAGAGACTTCCAGAGACAAGAACAAAGATACTGAATCAATGGCAGTGATAGAAGTGTGAAACAATGCACATGCCACAAACAGATATAAACAAATACAGTTTTGATGGCTCAATTTCCGACAAGCAGAGACCTTGCTAGTTGCAAGGTAACGCGTTTTTGACGTGTTTTGATAGAACACCTCCCTTCTGGAAGCACCGGCAAATGGAGATCAAGGCAGGGATAGCTAAGGACAAGAGGCTGGTACCCATCAAGTCAAAAGTAACCAAGAAGGCAGACAAAATTGATGTTCTAATCAAAGCAGTTAAGAGGTATTCTGAAGGCTATCCTTTTAATTTTATGGCAGCTTCTACAGATAATACAGACCCAGGGTATGAGGCCTCAGGGTAAGAGGAATACTAATTCATGACTACCATATTGCGCTTTTTAGCCATTTAATAATTCTCTTTGTTGCATATATTACAACAATACTACTGTAGATATTATACCAGCTGTATAAAGTATCAAAGTTTCTCTTTATTGTGCAGGAATAGATCATTTAGTCCGAGGTTGGCAGAGCAGAACGGCCTGTGGCGCGAAACGATGCGCGTGTGACAATCACGGTCACACGGACATTTGGCTGGCAGGCATTTGCCGACTCTCAGTGTCTCACTTGGTGCGAAACAACAATGCACACGCCACAAACAAATATAAACAAATACAGTTTTGATGGCTCAATTCCCGACAAGCAGAGACCTTGCTAGTCGCAAGGTAACAAATCCGAGTTCGTTCTGGTCTTTATGTTGACCATGTCACCGCGGAGGAGGTACCTGAATGTCACAGCACTGTAGAGGAACCGTCCGACACTACCACGGAAACAGTTGATCGAGTTCCGGCTCGCGGGTGAACTTCTTCTGTTGCATCGGAATAGGGTGCAAATCCCGGAGCCCTGACATTGGACTCGCACCGGAACAATTTCTGAGGAGCGCTAACGGGAGTGTACATGAAATCCGCTGTCCATCCAGTGAGATGTTTCTTGGCAGTCCACAAAACAGTAGTGCACTGGAGAATTGCTCGGGCAACTTGGATAGCTCTGGCCACCCCCGCTCCAATGGTAGCCCCAGGCCTCCAGGGGTTGTCTATGATCCGTTGCGCGAGTACCGTGTCTGGGGAGGTACCAGCCATATGGGAAGCCGATGACGCCTTATACAGAAGCATTGCGAAATATGGCGAGAAGATTCCAAGACTCAAATTTTTACTATATGTTGGTGGCCACACATCCCTGCGTCTGAAATCGCCGAGTACAGTTGATCGACTGCTCCCATCTTCATCATGGTCACTGAGGTGAAGGACAAGGCTGATCTTGTTGACGTCCACGCGCGTCCTAAAGGTGAATATGCGGACAGCGAGTCTGCAGAATCGCTGTACCTCACGAGCGAATCCAGACGTCAGATCGGTCTGGTCAGCGCTATATTCTTGTGAGTAACACGCTTCCGTGTGGCAAATCCAATGTGACCCGAGGCTAATTATTCCTAGAATTTTCAATCGTATGGTCGGTACAGGTATCTTCAGTACCCCCAGCAGCATTGTGGCACTTAGTGGGAGCGTCGGCCTGGCTTTGTTCATCTGGGTCGCTGGGATGCTCATTGCTGCTGCTGGTATGGCCGTCTACTTGGAATTCGGAACCGGTCTGCCGCGGAACGGCGGAGAGAAAAATTACCTTGAATACGTCTACACCAAGCCCAAGTTCCTAGCCACAGGTTTCTACGTGAGTACGACTGCGTCCTTTAATACATACAATCATTGAGTAAAGGTCTATTTCCTCAGACTGGCTATGTCATGCTTCTTGGCTGGGCTGGCTCAAATTCCGTAGCCTTCGGGGAGTACATCCTGCACGCCGCGGACGTAGAAGTTAACCGCTGGAATCAGCGTGGCATTGGCCTCGCCTGTGTCACCGTAGCCTTCCTGATCCACGGTCTGGCTCTGAAGTGGGGTCTCCGGCTTCTGAACGTCCTCGGGGTGATCAAGCTTATCATCCTGCTCATTATTATTGTGGCTGGATGGGTTCGTTTCTCTCTCCCTACTTTGAAAACATTGGATACTAACTACGTTGAAGGCAGCGCTGGGCGGAGCTCTCCAAACTGACAAGCCCGACAATTTCTCCAACGCCTTCGAAGGCACAACAGGCTCGGCGTATGGCGTTGTGACAGCCCTGTACAATGTCATCTGGAGTTACATCGGCTACAGCAACGCGAACTACGCCATGTCGGAGATGAAGAACCCGGTGCGAACCATCAAGATTGCTGCTCCCATTGCGATCATATGCGTCGGGATCATATACATGTTGGCGAACATCGCATACTTTGCGGCCGTCCCTCGTGAGGAAATTGCCAGCAGTGGACGTATCCTGGCTGCGTCTTTCTTCCGTAACGTCTTCGGGCCGAAGGCAGACCGCGCGCTCAGCGTCTTCGTAGCGTTGTCAGCGTTCGGCAATGTGCTCTCGGTCATCTTCTCTCAGGGCCGTCTCGTGCAGGAGCTAGGGCGTGAGGGCATCCTGCCCTTCTCGAGCTTCTTCGCCAGTAACAAGCCATTTGATGCACCATTTGCTGGCTTGTTTGAGCACTGGCTTGTCTCGATCATCATCATGCTCGCACCTCCACCCGGGGATGCCTACAACTTTAGTAAGTCCGCTGTATCATTACGCGCGAGCCGTGGTAAATGTGCTAATTGCATCGGACAGTCCTCAACGTCATCAGCTACCCGCTGTCCATCGTCAACATCTTCGTGGCCGGTGCTCTCGTCCATCTCTACCTGCACCGCGAAGCCTACAATTGGCACCCTCCATTCAAGGCAACTCTACCCGTCACCATCTTCTTCGGCCTCAGCAATATTTACCTTGCCATAGCGCCGTACGTCCCTCCAGAAACGCCCGATCAAAATATCTACAAGAGCCTACCGTACTGGCTGCATTGTGTCGTCGGGACGGGCATCATTCTCGCCGGGGGTGTGTACTGGCTCATCTGGGCGAAGCTCTTACCATGGTGGGGCGGGTACACGCTCAAGAAAGAGGTGTACGTCGGCGACGATGGCTGGACGAGGAGTATATTTGTGAAGGAGAAAAAAGAGCATTGATTGCCTTCGGGTGGCTGGAATAAATTATGCGCGACGATGTAATTACTAGCGGACGGTTTAATAGAGAAGATAATGTATTCGACCAACACGGCTTCCTGACAGGAGATGATATTCCTCGCGGACAAGCCAGACGTCAGGTGAGCTGCAACGACATGAACCCGGGGAGTGGCCAGCACGTCTCGTTCCTGGTTCACTGCGAGATCATGGACCTTTGTCTGCTGCTGCAAATCAGTAAAAATATGCGTACGTGCCGCTGGTAAAGTTGAGGAAAGTGAAGTTCCTATCTCGTCCGCATACTACATTCCTTCGAGTCTTCGACGGCTCGAGTGAGGAAACTCCAATGGCGATCTGTGGCCGAGACGGCTATCTGACCAACAGTCAATGATTAATATTAATGACCTGCTGCAGCATGCGGGTTCCCGAGTCACGGACATGACATGGAACCCTGCCATGAAGAAAACATCAAAGCAAACGCTGTGGCTGGCCGGTGGAGTGAATGAGGACCAAGGCGTATAGTGAGGCTGATCCCTACCGCATAAGGAAGGCGTATTGCTAATTTTAGGATGCGTCCGAGCCACACTGTCAGGGAATCAACTGCGGGATGCGTGGCTGCCGTACAAAACCTACAAATTCATGGCGCACCGCCCTATCTCTCCTCCAGCTCGGACCCGTCAATCTCGCAGTGTTCCATACATGATGCACGGGCTCCGAGACCGTATATAAGGGTGCGGACGAAACCCGCCTTGTCTCCCTCCGAGTCCGTGGTCCCTTCATCCAGCCTCTCACAAGAATGATTGCAGTCAAGACCATACTGTGCCCACTTCTCGTTCTTGCGGGCGCTAGTGCTGCGGCAGTTGAGGAACGTCAATGTCAGTATTTATCATACACGGACGTCTGGACATTGCTAATGGCCGGTATAGTGCAGAGCAGCATAGACTCTGCAGTTTCCGTTGCAACGTCTGAAGGTGAAGGTGTGAATGCTATTTTCTGATATAATCTAATGGAAACTGCGCGAACAGCTGCGAGCGCTGCCTCACTCGCGACGTCGCTCGCAGCCAGCGCATACAGTCAGGCGACCTCACTGGCCAACAGTGTCTACTCGGAAGCCACGTCCTGGCAAGGCAGCGTGTACTCGGAAGCCACATCCTGGGATGGAAGCGTTGCCTCCGAAGCGACCTCCGCTGCTGGGAGTATCTACACCGCCGCGACTTCCTTCGCTGGGAGCGTTTATACGGATGCCTCTTCGTTCGCCGGCAGCGTGTACACCGACGCTAGTAGCTTTGCTAACGGGGTGTACGAGACCGTGACCTGTATGTCTATATTGTGGCGAACATTGTCTCCATGCTGACAGTACGTGAACAAACCTAGCCGCAGAAGGACAAGCCTATACTGTCGTAACATCCAGAGGCGGCGAAGCTATCACCCTCGCAGCAAGCGGAAGGACGACCACTTTTGCTGGTGCCACCTACACCGTAGCCAGTGGCAACGTGGCAGCCGCCAGCGGATCCAATACTCAGTCAGCCCCCTTTTATTTGCTTCTAAATGGCGTCTCTCTAATCCATGCATTGCAGGTCCCAGAATGCTGCTTTGGGGCTTGCGTCGTTTACGATGTCTACGCCCTTGCTCACAGGCATGGTCGCTGTTATCGGCGGCATTATGACTGGGGCATGGGTTGTATTCTGAATTCAGTCTGGACAAACACCTTCGACGCACCAGACCCTGTCAGCTGTACACCATCTTGTTTTCTCGGCCCCTCGACGAGTGAAATGCCTCATAGATGACCGTTAGAACTATGTATGTAGATGCTATGTAATACTATATACTGTATTGCTCCTTCCGATGTGACTGCCGGTGATTAGAGTACTATATACGACGTCTACGAGCGTCCGTGCGTTGCATTGATAGTCCGTGAGTGCATCAAACCCTAATAGTCCATCGTGGTACGCCAGCCTACCACGTCAACCACTCTCCGTACATATTCGGCCGCTCGCCGCGAATGTAGGCCTCGAACGTCCTCAGGATGACTGTGCTCCAGTCCAAGTCCCGCTTGTCATCGGACACCATATCCTCCCTGTCCTCTTCGAAATGTTTAGCTACTGCGGCAGACGACCGTGCGGCCCTCTCTGATGAATCAAAGCGAGGGCCGAGGTCTGGCCAGTTTCGAGCAGGGTCGAAAGGCCAGGACCTGATAAATGATGGTGAGTTAACGACAACGCAGGAGACCAATCACAAAGTTCACTGACCAGAAGTCACTTCCATGGTAGTGGTATGAATAGGCACCCTTGAAGAAACCGTGAAAGCCGACAGCACCCGGTTGAGCATTCTGCTGTTGTGGTGTAGAGAAGAAATCTCGGAAGCTGCATCATCGAACATCAACACGGCGGACCCGATCGCGCATGTTGCACCTTACCTCTCGAAATATGGCTGTGGCGGTCGCTCATTTTGATAGTTCTCAGTGTTCAGCCACGCGGAGTCGAATAATGCATCAGGCAGACGCAACAGCAGCTCCTCTAGATAAGCGTCCTTGGTATAATCCGATATCGTCATCGGGTGGAAATCAAAGCCGTTCTTCACCGCCGTCCTCAGGAGGAAGGTGCCCAGCGCCGAGCCCTTTCCCATCTTGAGCACGGCCGTATTGTACTTTTTCAATCGCGACCAGCGGTACGCAAAGGCACCGTGCCATCCCCAGAGCTCCTCCCAGTCTCGGAGCAGGATAGTGTCTGCGTCAAGGTATATGCCCCCGAACCGATGGCAGAGCACGAAGCGCGCCATATCCGAGAGGATGGTTGACAGCCCATCCTTTTCCTCGGGGGACTGGGACCCCACGCGGTCCTTCATGTCCTTCTTACGCTGCTTCTCCTTCTCTTTTTCTTTCCCAGCCGCGTCCCCTTCGCTTTCCTCCCCCTCTGCGCCGTCCTCATGGCTGAACGGTTGCTGCTGCTCCTCGATGGGCACGTTGTACACATGCCCGCCCGAGTTGAACAGCGAGTCGCGCCGCGCGCGCCAGTCATCCCTGAGCTCGGGCACCGCGTCGAGCTGCTCCGTCGTATTCCACATCTTGAACTGGATCGCGTCGCGGAAGCGCGGGTGCAGGAACGGCGCGGACCACGGGTTCGCGCGCAGCTTGTCGAACATGTCGCGCCGCGCGTGCTCGTTGGGCACGGACGCCGCGGGCCCGGGGTTGATCCACATCCACAACTGGGGGCGGCAGACGTGCGTCTCCGTGTGCGTTTCTGGGAGGTGCAGCCCGAGGTTCTGCGTGAAGAGGAAGGAGAGGAGGGACATGTAGGGCTTGTCGGTGAAGTCGCCGGCCCAGAACATGTGGAAGACGCGCGGGTTCTCGGGGTCGCAGGGGGAGGAGAGGGTATGGTAGGGCTCGTATTTCGGTGCGGGGCGCAGGTTCGGACGGGGTTCCCAGTCGACGCCCCGCTTTTTACTCAGTTCTGCGGAAGGGTTCCGCTCCGAGGAGATGACGGCGTCCTTGCCCATGTGCGGTGGCTCGGTTATGTTCAGATCCCAATGCACGTTGCCTTCTTCTACATAAATATATTTCCATTCGTCGATGTTTCCCCTTCGTAATCTAGCCTGGTTGTCCAGTCCTGCGCCGATGCGGAGCACTTCCAGGCAGTCGCGGACGTACTGCGGGACGGAGTGTAAGTTCGAACATGCGTTTCCCGTAGATTATATGCGCACCTTGTTCTCTGAGAAATCGCAGTGCGCCATGATCACATCCAGGTCGGCGATACTGCCCGGTATTGGTCGCGGTGGGTATCCGACGTCGGGGAATCGAGCCTGCACGTCCACATAATTGCGGTTGGGACCGATACCTTTTGTGTTGACGATGACGGGTGAGCGGAATCGGTCGGGCTTGGCCCAGTCCGCCTTTTTGAAGTTTGGAGGGTACGCCGGGTTGACGGGCGTGGTGAGGAAGTCAAGTTCCTTTGGAACTTCAGGTGGTCAGCATAAGACGGAAGTTAGATACGAGGCTGGGCACTCACGTTTGTGGCCGCTCGGATAATGACCGCTCTGTATCTCCCACCCCCATATGCGCTTCAAGTCCTCCCGCTTGAACACTAGGGTTGTGGACGCGAACGGGGAAGCATCTTTCCACTGTCTCTGCTTCTCTTCGAGATCCCACCGGCGCCGCGATGTCGGGAATATAGTCAATATAATTAGGAATAGGGCTAAGCAAGACAGGACCAGCCAGGGTCTATGTAGCGGTCGGGGTAAGTTGCACTGCTGCAGTCGAAGGGGATTTAGGACGGGTATCCTGAGTCTACGCGTCGAAACGCCAGGTATAGGGACAGATCTAATGATGAACAGAGGCGCAGTACCGTGCCGTCGCCGTTTCTCCTCTACGGCTGAGTTGGAGTATATTGGGAGGCCATTCGAAGGACGCGCGCGGTCGCCAAGACGGATGCTCATGCGGGGCGGGGGAATGGAGATGGACGGCATACTGGAACACTGGCGACTATTGTAAATGTTGCATCGAAGGACAGAAGTTGCCAGCAGACGGTGAGACTTTGCCTATAGACGAAAATTACGGCAAGTCGTATGTTGCAAAGAAACGCCGTGTCAAGCGGCTGTACACTGCCCAACTGCCTCCAACTCCCAAGTCGCGTCCGCTTTGCACGTCGCGGACCGGATGCTTTCCACAAACCATGCTCTATGCCGGACATCGACTGCGCATCAATTGGCCTCGGAGGGACTGTACTCCTACATTTGCATTTTTCACAAGTGCTGACAAGTCGTGGACGGCTGTGCCAAAACTTCGCAAAGCTGTGTTGCTCTCAGGTTAGGAGCACAAGTCCACTATAGACGTGATACTGCACGATACGTTCTACATTCTCCTAGTCAACTTGTCGGTCTTGTACTACGCTCCAAGCAACGACCCCGCGATGCATCATGCATCAGCAGCAGTGCGACCTGGAGCGAAACACCAGGTTTTGGTGGCGTGCTGCATGGCCGCGTGACGTCACGCGTATCTGCACAGCCGCCTGCGCACTCCGCCCCGATCACCATGCCTCCCGCGTACCCGATTAGATAAATTGTGCTCCCCACCCCCGTTTCCCTCTTGACCCTCCCCGTCTGATCCACCCACTTTCAACCTTTTTTCCTCATCATGGTCGCCGTCAAGTCTTTCCTTCTCACCGCCATTGCCGTCGTCGGGGCGAGCGCTGCAGTACTCGAGGAGCGTCAAGGTGAGCATCTACTGCACCTTGACATGTTCGGTCGCTGATGCCCGCTTCCCAGCCGGCTCGTACATCGATTCTGTCGTTTCCGATGCAACGTCCCTTGCTGGCACTATCGCCTCGGGAGCAACTTCGCTCGCCGGAGACTTTACGAGCATCGGCAATGGCGTGTTCGAGACCGTAACATGTACGTCCCACATTCTCTCGCTATGGCGTGCTTACCTTACTCATGTTTTCCTTCCAGCCGCTGGTGGCCATGCATACACCATTGTTACTTCCGCCGGTGGTGCTGCCATCACCTTGGCTCCCAGTGAATACGGCAAAGTCACGTCTACACTTGGCTCAGTATGGACAGTCGCTACCGGCGACATCGCATCTGTATACCAAAGTGCAACGTGAGTAGCGTGGTATCCCGTGTATCCAGCTGTAACTGATCGAAAGCCTTTAGTTCGTCCAGCGCAGCTTTGGACGTGAAAGCTTGGACCATGTCCACACAGTTGCTCACGGGCCTCGTCACCGTAGCTGGGGGCATCGCTGCAGGTGCCTGCGTTATTTGGTGATCGCACCGTCACCAGGGTGTTTCCCATATTCGCTCGTTCCGGTTTCCCGCTCCCGTAAATGAGGAGATCATTTATATCTGTATCTGTAGGACTTTCGATCTTCAGGCATCTAATAGTTTGATTATACGCACGTACCCGCATATAATGACAATACATAGCGATGCACATATTGCATGGAATGCGTCACGATGAACGTCGACTTCCGGCTGGGCGCTGTGCATAAAATCTAGGTGCCGTCCAGGTCATGGATCTGGACCTTCTGGCCTGTATGGCACACTTTGAATGAGTGAGGGGGCTCGCGTAGCTTGCGAGTTGGGAGACGCTCAGGACGGCAACGATTTCATCAATGGATTTTATTGGGGAACACAACAGTCACAGTAGAATACCGCATCTATTCCTCAGCAGCCTGGTTCATGTCCTTGTTCTTCTACAAAGCCGCGGGGGCCCAGCAATCAGCATAGCTAGCAGTCGATGTAAGATATCTTACAAACCTTGGGGTTGAAGAAAAGAGTGTTGTTTCCCCAAGGGAAGGGCTTCACGCGCTTGTTCATGTAGTCGTACGCAGGAGGTTCGGGGAGCTCGCCGCCGTGCTCCTCCTTGAGGTGCTCCTCATGCGCCTCATGCTCAGCCTCGACGTTACGGACCCAGATGGCGGTTACGATGACTGTGAGGGGGAGGGGGAGACCATCAGTATCTCCCGTCCATGCATACAGACTTCAGACTATCACGAACTTCCGGGGGCGCAGATGAAGTAGCTACAACGACTCATAAGTCATTGCATATACAACAGTCGACGAAAGTGTGCACACCTGACCCTTCTCCAGAGCTGGGTAGTCTCTGCACATCCGGATGAGTTACCGCACCTTCTCGTGCATAAATACCGCACCTTCAGCGTGATGCCTGACGGCCTCGCGCTTCGCGATCCACTCCTGTGTCGGCTGGACCTCGACGGTGGCGTACCCGCGCGCGCGGGCAGCCGAGCGAAACAGCGAACGCGTAGCGTAACGGGCGAGGGCAGCAGACATCGAAATGCAACGCCTGAGTTACAGTGGTTTAGTTTAGCAGTGACGACGGGACAGGTACGGAGCAGGCCGGTGCGCGCGCTGAAAACGGGGTCGTGGGAAGTCCAGCTGGAAAAGGCAGTCCAGCCACAAGGGGTGACGCGTCGAGTGCATTAGCGTTATAAACTCCCTTTGCGCGGAGGCCGTATTCTACGCGTTTCTGGTCCTGCTGCTTGTGCGAAATGGTGGCCCGACAACAATCCTCCGCGGCGGGTGTCCTCGCGCTGCTGTCCGAGCCCGACCCGGTGTTCAAGCAGCACGCGCTCAAGTCGCTGAATGCGCTCGTGACGGAGTTCTGGGCTGAGATCTCGGAGGACATTGCGCTCATGTGCGTGCTACGTGATTTATGAGTGGGATTAGCACTGACGTGGAAGGCTGTTTGTAGTGAGTCTCTCTATGAAAGCGAGGAGCTCCCCAAGGATGCGCGCGACGCTGCAGCGCTCTTGGCGAGTAAGGTGTACTACTACCTGGGAGAGTATGACGAAGCTCTGTCTTTTGCGCTCGGTGCTGGGAGCGCGTTCGAGGCGGAGACTCAGTCAAGACAGTCAGAGGAGTATGTCGAGACCCTTGTTTGTGAGTGGTCCGTGCTTTTGGTATAGGTATGTGCTCACTGGTCACCTTTCTCAGCCAAGGCTATCGACCGCTACATCCAAGCACGGGCAGAACAACAAGCTGGCTCATCTGACAAGCTTGACCCCCGTTTAAATACCATCATTGAGAGTATCTTCAAGCGGTGTATAGACGAGGGCGAATATAAGCAGGTTCGTACCTCCCACCGCGGGATATTGCTGAATTAACGGCTGCTTCCGCTCAGGCAATCGGTATTGCTCTGGAATCACGTCGCCTGGATGTTATCTCCACGATATACGAACGCACGCATGACACTTCCCTTCTCTCTTACGCTATGGACGCCGTCCTGGACACCGGCGTGTCCTTGTCGTACCGCGACCAAGTTCTGAACTTCCTCCTCCCCTTATTTCCTCGACCGTCTACAGATTCAAAATCATCCGACATTCACCCCTTGACCCGTCTCCTCGTCACCCTCAGCGATTCCTCGAAAGCCTTGCCCCTCTTGACCTCTCTTGTGCCGAAGGAAACGCTCTTGGCATACCAGCTCGCGTTCGATCTGGCCGAGGGTGGCTCCCTGGATTTCCTCGAAAACATACGGAGTGGCTTACCGGATCCTGCTGAGGTATGTCGTCTTCTCGCGCTGCTGGGCGGTCATGGCTGACAATACCTTTCACCCAGGGTTCGAAAGAGAAGGAAATCTACGACAATTTGCGGAAAATCCTCAGCGGGCAGGAATCTGTCAAGTTGTACTTAGAATTCCTCAAGCGCAATAATAAAGTGGACTTGCTCATTCTCAAGAACACGAAGGTATGTTATCATCTCTTCGTGTATGCCCGTATACTTACTTTGAGGCCTCGCACAGGATGCGTTAGAAGGTCGTTCATCAATCTTCCACAGCGCACTTACCTTCTCGAACGCATTCATGCACGCTGGTACGACGTCGGACATCTTCCTGCGCGAGAACCTGGACTGGCTGGGCCTGGCGTCAAACTGGGCCAAGTTCTCTGCCACGGCTGCCCTCGGAGTGATCCACAAGGGGTACTACGAGCAGGGCATGACCATCCTCGGGCCTTACCTTCCCTCTCAGAGCGCTGGAGAAAGCACTATCCCTGGCGCAGCATACTCGGAGGGTGGTGCCTTATACGCTCTGGGTCTCATCAATGCTGGGTGCGGGCGCCAGGTGGAAGGGTACTTACGGGACGCCCTGAAGGCTGCGCAGGGCGAAGTCGTACAGCATGGTGCTGCTCTTGGTCTTGGTATTGCAGCGATGGGTGGCAAGAACTCGGAGGCATACGATGACCTGAAGCAGACGCTGTTCACGGACTCGGCAGTGGCTGGCGAGGCTGCTGGCTTTGCGATGGGTCTGGTCATGCTGGGCAGTGCGGACGGTCAGTCAGCGCAGGAGATGCTGACGTACGCGAGGGAGACGCAGCACGAGAAGATCATTCGTGGTCTTGCTATTGGGTTGGCGTTCATCTACTACGGGCGGCAAGAGGAGGCCGATGATATGGTGAAGACTCTCCTGGAAGAGAAGGTGAGTGGAGAACATGTGGGTTGTCTTGCGCGTATATTCATGGCCCACAGGATCCTATCTTGCGGTATGGTGGAGTATACACTCTGGCTTTGGCGTATGCTGGTACATCCAACAACGATGCAGTTCGGAGACTCCTCCATATTGCCGTCTCCGATACGTCCGATGATGTCAGAAGGGCGGCTGTCACATCCTTGGCATTCCTATTATACAAGAACCCGTCGCAAGTACCCAGGATTGTCCAGCTTCTGAGCGAGAGTTATAACCCTCACGTCCGGTGTGGTGCGACATTAGCCCTCGGGATTGCATGTGCAGGGACAGGCTTACAGGTAAGAGCTCGATATTCTCGCGTAGAGACGTTGGTACTGATCTTGTAACGCCTCGTTATCCAGGATGCAGTGGACATATTAGAACCGATGACCAAGGATAGTGTCGACTTTGTCCGGCAAGGCGCCCTCATCTCTCTTGGCATGGTCCTAGTCGAGCAGTCGGAGGCTTCATCACCTTCGATCTCATCGACACGCGCGATGTATAGCAAGATCATTGGTGATAAGCACGAGGATCCTATGGCTCGGTTTGGTGCCGCGCTTGGCCAAGGCTTTATCGACGCTGGCGGAAGGAATACCACCATCAGTCTGCAGAGTCGGGCTGGGACGAGGAATACCAGTGCCATTGTCGGTATGGTCTTGTTCTGTCAGTTCTGGTACTGGTTCCCTCTGGCACACGCCGCTTGCCTGGCATTCGAGCCTACAGGTATCATAGGTCTCAATGGGGCACTGAAGGTATGTTCTGTCCATCGATGAGTGGGAGATGTTCTGACTGGCCAACAGCCACCCAAATTCACTTTCATTTCCAATGCTCGACCGAGCCTGTTCGCCTATCCTCCTCCCACAAAACCGCCGAAGAAAGAAGCGCCAACTAAGGTTGCTGCAGCCGTCCTTTCCACTACAGCGAAAGTCAAGGCACGGGAAAAGCGAAAGGCTCAGGATGAGAAGCTGGAACCTAAAAAGGAAATGGACATCGAAATGAAAGCAGACGAGCCATCAACTTCGACGGCAGGACAGGGCGATATCTCCCCGATCGCAGGCTCACTATCGGATCTCGCAGACGGCGCACAGGATGGTAAAGGGAAGGCGAAGAAGAATGAGCCAACGTCGGAGGAACTGTCTAACTTCTCTCGAGTAACGCCGGCACAGCTGGCATATATATCGTTCCCGCCTGATGGCCGCTATCAGCCAGTACGACCTGTCTCGACAAAATCTACTACGAGTCTGAAGGGTAAGGGTGCGGGCTCGAGAGCAGCATCGAGTCTTCCGGCCCTTGCTTCGGAGAGATATGCAGGTGGGGGAGGGATCTTGATACTTGTCGACCGGCATCCAGATCAGCCAGAGGAATTCATCGAGCTGGAGACGCAGATACCACAGCAGGCTGCGGCTGCACCGGCGGAACCTGTGCCCAATGGAAATGCAAATGTCGCCTCGGAACCATCTGGACCACACATTGCTTTGGACGAGAATGCTCCGGAGGCGGACCCTCCGGAATCCTTCGAGGTAAGCGCAACGCTTCGTCGTGCATTCTTGCCCTGCCGCTCACACTGTTGTTATTCTAGTATCCTTTTGACAACGACGCGTAGTCACGTTATATTCTTCGTAATTGTTTTGTTGCAGTCAGACTCATACAAATCGAATATTCTCTCTATTATGCGTGAGAACCGATGTCGTCGTCTGAGCTTATCCATAAGTATCGAGAGAGGAAGGAGACATTCAATGCTGATAAATGACATCTGCCTTCATCCCTACAGCTCTCATCACTGACGGATCCCACATTAGTGACTGGCGTCGTGAGTTCACTCTGATATTTCAGGCTTCTTCGCCAACATCATAACTGAAGGTTGCTTAGTAGAGACGATGTCACAGGCTCCTGAGATCCGTGTCGCTATTCTCGACGATTATCAGAATGTCAGTTTGACCAGCGCCGATTGGAGCCCTGTCCAAGGTCGCTGTATCATCGACGTATACAGAGACACTCTAAGCAGCGAGGATGATCTGGTGCGGCGACTTGAACCCTACCAGGTGATTTGCGCAATGAGGGAAAGGACAAGATTTCCTGCAAGTCTCCTTGATAGACTACCCGACCTTAAGCTTATCGCTACCACTGGCCCGTTCAATGCCGCGATCGACGTTGGGCACGCGAGATCTAAGAGCATACTAGTATCCGGCACGTCAGGAAAGGGGAACTCCACACTCGAACACATATGGACGTTGATACTGGCGAGTGCCAGATACCTCGTCCAGGAAGATGCCAATATCAAGAAACAAGCGAGGCAGTGGCAGTCTTACATTCCGCTAGGATTGGCTGGAAGAACCCTCGGCTTGGTAGGAGTAGGGAGACTTGGCTCCGCAACTGCGAAGGTGAGCCTGATCCACCTCAGCGGCCTGAAGGGTGTTTTATTCCGCCTTGCAGATTGCCAAGGCCTTCGAGATGAGGGTGATTGGCTGGTCTCCTCACCTAACGCCAGAGCGTGCAGCCCAAGCTGGTGTCGAATTCGTTGCGTCCAAAGAAGAGCTCTTCCGCCAGAGCGATGTTGTCTCCGTCCACATGGTCCTATCTGACGCAACTCGTCATTTGGTCACAGAATCAGATCTTCAATCGATGAAGCCAACGGCATTCTTCATCAATACGTCGCGGGGTCCTCTGGTCGACGAAGTTGCATTGGTCAGGGTACTCCAACAGCGCAAAATTGCGGGAGCCGGGCTGGATGTGTATGAGGTTGAGCCTCTACCACAAGATCATCCTTTAAGAACACTGGAAAACGTGACGCTGACCCCGCATACAGGATATGTGAGCGACACAATGTACGAGGTTAGTACACAGTGACTCATGTATGTGATATCTCACTCGCGGCGGGCGGTAGGCTTTCTGGGGGGATACCGTGGACAATATTCTTGGATTCCTCGAGGGTAAACCAAGGAGGCTTATAAATCCTTGAATTATTTGGCTATGATGAGGAGTTTCCATAGACTCGGACATGTACTCATACGACACGAATAAAAGTCTCTGTGCCATCCATTCGTATGGTCCTCTCCGTCTCTCTGAGACTGGGGCGGATTACGAATTCACTCACCAATGCCGGTGTTGCTCGTAATGACAAGCCAGTGGCAGCTCTTGTAGTGCCGCGCAAAGTTTGTGGCGCAGCCGACTGTGGCATTGTGTGACGTGACATTGGTGATAACTTGTGACTGCTTGCCTGTGCTTGCCCGCGTCAATCTTTGCTCTGAACGCGTCTCACCACTTGATCCTGCCCTCCACTATAACGATCTTTTTTCACGATGGAATCGATTGAACGTCGCAGAAGAGGTGAGCAGCCTTGTATCTTCCCGTACTGCGTCCTTGCTTATACAACTGTTTACGCGTAGATTTTAAAAGCAAGGGCGTGTTGAAGCCTGATGACCTCCGGCGTCGTCGAGAGGAGCAGCAAGTGGAGATCAGGCGGCAAAAGAGGGAGGAAAACATCTCGAAGAGGAGAAACTTCCTCCCTGAGTCGATGGCTGATTCCGATGAGGAAGTCCAGTCCGGAACGTGGGATCCTCCTGTATGCGCTCTTTGTCGACTGTATCAATACTGTGCCACTGACACGGATACTGTCTCACAGCTGGCGGAGGAAATGATTGCCGGCGTGTTTTCAGACGATCCTGACCGTCAGCTCGATGCGACCACTAAGTTTCGCAAGCTTCTTTCCAAAGAAAAGAATCCGCCCATCGAGAAGGTTATCGCGTGCGGCGTTGTACCCCGCTTCGTCGAGTTTTTGCGTGGAAACCACTCGTTGCTGCAGGTGAGCTTCTTTGTTCCATTCCTTCCGCGTTTCAATAGTCTAAAGCGTACTTTAGTTCGAGGCTGCGTGGGCCCTGACGAACATCGCCTCTGGTACTGCCGAACACACGCAAGTCGTCATCAACGCGAACGCCGTACCTGAGTTCATCAACTTGCTGTCTTCTCCGGTCCTCGACGTGCGGGAGCAGGCGGTTTGGGCATTGGGTAACATTGCTGGAGACAGTCCACAATGCCGAGACTACGTGCTACAGCAGGGAGCTCTCAGGCCATTGTTAACTCTTCTCAGCGAAAATCATAAGCTCAGCATGCTGAGGAATGCTACTTGGACCCTGAGCAACTTCTGCAGAGGAAAGTCGCCCCAGCCTGATTGGGAACTGGTATGATTTCGTGCAATTTATGACATATGTCCTACTAAAGCCCTCCTTCACCAGATCTCTCCTGCACTGACTGTTCTCACCAAACTGATCTATTCGTTGGACGATGAGATATTGATCGACGCGTGTTGGGCGATCTCCTATCTGTCGGACGGTTCAAATGACAAGATACAGGCCGTCATCGAGTCCGGAGTCTGCAGGCGGCTTGTGGATTTGCTTATGCACCCGTCGACATCCGTGCAAACCCCGGCATTGCGGTCCATCGGGAACATTGTCACTGGCGACGACTTGCAGACCCAGGTAGTGATTGCGTCTGGCGCTTTACCTGCATTGCTTTCTTTGCTGTCTTCTCCCAAAGAGGGTATCAGGAAAGAAGCATGCTGGACTATCTCGAACATCACCGCCGGATCGCCTCACCAAATCCAAGCAGTGATTGACGCCAACATCATACCTCCTTTGATCAATATCTTGCAGCATGCCGACTTTAAGACAAGGAAGGAAGCCTGCTGGGCCATTTCGAATGCTACTTCTGGTGGTCTCCAGGAACCCGCCCAGATTCGTTATCTCGTAGCACAAGGATGCATCAAGCCCCTTTGCGACCTACTCACTATGATGGATAACAAGATAATCCAGGTTGCTTTGGACGGTCTTGACAACATCTTAAAGGTTGGAGAAATGGACAAACAAGCGGCCGGCCCGGGTGCGGTCAACCAATATGCACTATATGTTGAAGAAGCGGGTGGCATGGTCACTATCCACAACTTGCAGCAGCATGACAACTTGGAGATCTACAAGAAAGCATTCAATATTATGGACAAGTACTTCCCCGATGAGGATGAGGACGCAGGAATCAGCAGCACTAATGTGGATTCTTCCGGCGCGTTTGCTGTGAGTCTGTTCGCATCTGAGTGTGAATCCCTTTGCTCATATTCTTACCACAGTTCCACTCCGACGTCAACGCGCCCCAAGGTGGTTTCAATTTCTCCCAGCAGTGATTTGGGTCCTCTGGACCTCGTTCAAGATTCCCGCTTCTTTCTATCCTTGTTATGTCCCGACGGTTTTCCTTTTCTCCCTGTTCCTTTGTCTGTCTCAGTCCGCTACACTTGCAATACTTCCAGTTACTCGCAGCACGCATCTCACGGCTTTGACTTCATGATTGTTGACGCAAAACAGCCTACAATATGTATCTTTCGCGCTCAAGGCGCATCATCCAATACGTCCATGTTTTACAGTAGGTACCAGAGAATTGTCGAATCTATGTGCATGTATTCCCACCCGCGCTCTCCAGAAAGTAATAGATCTGCTCTGCATTGTACTAGAGGGTATTTCATTCCATGATCGAGCTACTAGCCTATTGGCGCCTATATAGCTACTGCTTTAAATCTCTTCAAGACGGCCCACTTCGCGCTCAGGCTCATCTCCATTCTTTCCGCCATGGCGTCTCAAATCTTGCCTCTTGGTCTGTGGTGGAGTTCCCTTGTCGCAATGCAATGTGGATTGACCGTTCTACCTTCAAGAGCTGATTGACCGATGTATTGGGTCACGTATATGGGTCATAATGAAAAACGATCGTGAATTCTCCGGAACGCTTCTGGGATTTGACGACTTTGTCAGTGAGTGCTAGCGTAAGTTAGAACTGGACACAGGGATATTGATTGGTGACTTCGTAAGATATGGTGCTGGAGGACGTGACAGAATTGTGAGTTGAGCCACACATAATATCAAGCGTCAGGTTCATGGGTATCCAGCGAGATCACGGCTGAGGGCACGAAGAAGACGAGCCTGAATCAAACGCTACTGAACGGGAACAACATCTGCATGGTATGTTCTATGCGGTGTCGAGTAGTGGTTCTGCTAACCATAGATATTCCAGCTCATCCCTGGAAGCAACGGACCAGAGGATTGAAACCTCTCGCAATGAGGCTCACCATATTCAGCCTCAGTCGGAGAGGCGATGGGGCTCCTCCGTGTGTTATGCGAGACGTTGCTTGGTTCACGATGTAAAGGGTCTGCTGGTAGAACGGCCGAGTACCACCTTGGCTGGCACAACCCCTAAAACTGTTCGTACGTCTCTGTAATGGCCCTGATACTTAATCATCATCCTGAAGAAATTAGGTAGCGGATGTTCAGCACCACTCAGTGACTGTGAGACCAACCGCTTCGAGCGACGAAAGCATTAGGAAGGACAATGCTCAAATAATGTCCCTCTCCAACGGTCTGTCGTCGTGGTCGGGCTACAGTCCTCGGGACGAGGTGAGGGTAGCAACTAGAATTCATGACCTTCGACTGCCTCCAGACTTGTACGAATCATCGGTAAATTGCACTGTATAGCTAGCTACGCTCAAAGTGTATATTGTACGACGTGGATAATGTCGAAGAAACGTAGCAGCTGGGAGTCGGCTGCGAGGCAGAAATGCTATGAGATCTCGATCGTTTATGACCGCGCGTAGTGCCGTGAGCCTTTAAGTTGTAACTTTCCAAGTTCGTCCACAACCAACGTCCGGTTATCCTCCCTCCGAGCGGCATGGGCGTCCGTCTCCGTTTCTCGATGCATGGGCGACGCCATGAAAAGATCTTCCGTCTGGTCGCCGTGGACTCGCGCAAGAGACGAGATGCAAAACCAATAGAGACGCTTGGCGTGTACATCCCGAAGCCCACCGCTCACGACCACTACAAAACTGTTCAGTGGAGTGTGGACAGGATAAAGTACTGGTTGGGGGTTGGTGCTCTGCCCTCGAAGCCCGTTGTGCGTTTGTTAGAGCTTGTACGTAACTAGGTTCCTCCCTGTGTGCTGCAAATTTCGAGTGTATTCATGCTACGTTAACTCAGGGCAAAATCTTGCCACCGGATTCGAAATATCACTCGAACGCCACGAAACCACCGTCACCACCTGAACCTCCTATCTTAGACAAGTGATGTCTTGGGACGCAGGGCGTGCCCGAGCTGCTTCGTAGGACTCTATGAGCGTCCTGGGACCCGGGCGCAAGGGTGACATGTATTCAGAGAGCACACTCGGAGATATGTATAGGGATGGGCCATGACGAGGGAAATGGGAGATGATCGGTTCGTCCACGATAAACTACCTCCCGACAGCAACGGCACACTTCATATTGTAGGATAGTCTCACAGACCTCACGACATAATACATAATACAACATATCACTTACGCTCTTCCAGCAACTTCACGATATCCTCATGACCGGCGATCTTTGCTAGTTCCATTGGGACCATGTCATCAGGATCCTACCGCGACGTCAGTTCTAACCCAAGCATGGCCAGGGCGGACGCGAAACGGCACCTTTAATGTCGGATCGGCGCCTTGGTCAAGCAAGACCTTTACCATTGCCAAGTTGCCCCGATCACACGCTAGCTGAAGCGCTGTGTATCCCTGCGGAACGTGTCAGATACCTGCTGCGAGATGAAGACGTGAAAGCGCGCTAACAAACTCATCTGGTTCATCCACGTCAAGGTTAGGACGAGTGCTCAGAAACTGTTGGAGCTTTTCCGTGTCTCCGGCGAGTGCGAAGGCATGGATAGTATTTGACTGTTCTCCATCAATGGCAGGTGGCCCTGCGGTACTGACCACCGCCCCCATCCCCGATTTTCCTCTTGCACTATCATCCTCTTCATCACTCACATCCCAATCTATATCGTCTACATCGACGTCGCTTCCTTTACTTCGAGCTTTGTCCTGCGCCGCGCTGGTTGACGCATCTTCATTCCAACCTAAAGAGCGAGCTATCTCGATGTATCTCTTTTCAGCTTCCTCCTTGCGGTCTCCGTATTTCTTGCCAGTTTGACTCCACGCGTCCCATTTGGCGCGCCCGGTGAAGTCAAAGAGGGATGGTCGAGACGTGTTCGGGCTTTGCGAGACTGTCACGTACTTGAATAGCCCGTACAGCTACTGGGAATAAGAAAAAGCAGAGAAGTAGTCAGGTTGAGCAAGGAGACGGTGTAGTGTGCGTCAACCTCTAGCTTGATGTCGTTGGACACGTTGGAAGCGCTGGGAGCTTTTGAAAGGTACGAGGCGGCAGACTGGAAAACAGTAGACATGGTAGCGCTCTCGATCCTGATTTATTTCCAGCTGTTGTCTGGTCAGAGTAGCGAGCGTGCACGATGTAGTCTGTTGTTGCGAACTGACTAGGATGTCGCGGTAAGAGCTGGAGTCGGACGTCCGATCAGCTCAGCCACACGCTGCTGCCTGGATATCAATAGTTCTTCCGTAACACACCAATCCCATGGCCTTATTTCTGGCAAAGTGCAGGTTTGGAAATCCCGGCATTCCTGACTACTGCGACGATGGCTAGCATCGTTCCCAACGCAGTCACTTCCTCCAAGTTCGAGCCGCCTGTTCTGCTGTTACTCTTGCCTCAAGAGCAGTCGGCATGGTGCCACCAAGTCTGTATAGTATCCCTGCCAGATTGAACCGAAACTTATGTTGATAACTCCCGTTACAAGCTCGCGGAAGAGGGATATACGGTCGTCCTCCTGCCGTATCCTGGTCCAATCGAACCTTTCGATGACCTGTTGTCTGGTATCGCGCATGATATCTCCTCCAATGTCTGGGGGGTTATCACCTACGGTCTGAGTGCACAGGACGCGAAAGTGCTACGTCTCTGTCTTTCGCGATCCAAGCATCTGCCTGCATCGCGACTGAGATGTGTTGTGCACTTCAGTCCTCTCACTGAGGACCGAGAGGATCTGATATATATGAATGAGGCCGGCCGGTACAACCCGTGAGCATGCTCCGTCAAACTGATTGTGCTGAACGTCGCGCAAGATCTGAGCATGAACGGCAGGACAGCGGTTCATTTGCACGCCTCGCAAGAGCAGCTGCACGCGAACCTTTCCCCGCTGTGCACCCCGGAGGGTCTCGGTTACACGCTGCCTACCTCTGCTTACCATCCTGTCGAAGTCCACACTTACCCGCTCGTGCCGGCGTCACCCGCGTTTCCACTCCTCACGCAGCCTCCGATCGTACTGAAGAGTGGTACGAGTTCCCCTCAGGATCCACACGTGCAGTCGGCCACAGGGCTCTCGTACACACGGACGCTGCAGCTATTGCGTCGGGAGCTGGGCCCGCATTTCAATCTTGAGAAACTGTGGGAACAGCATACATATTTTGTGTGTTTTTTTCGCGAGATTCTGCCACCGTTTACTACTGCTTACGGCGATCATAGGAGTTCGTCGAGCGTGATGCGCCGAGTAAGTTTACTGGAATGAATCAGGCGTGTGCTTGACCTTTCGGCCAAACCTTCGAAGAAACCATGCGAACTATGGTTGGTCTGTTCTCGCCAGGATTGGTTTCTCTCTCTCACTTTACTGGCGACACAGGTCGCATCGCCTTATGTCAATCACATCCCTACCATGACAGGCGGAGTGGGCTTTGACGATCTTTCTAGGTTTTACAAGGTGAACCCTATTGGGCCTTGGTTTATTGGAGACGCCTAATATCTACCTAGTATCACTTTACCAGAGTTGACGTGTGTCTAGCTGACACTCATTCAAATACCGCATCTCACACATTGTGTATCTTAGGTTACTCCTCCCGATACAGAGATGATCACAATATCCAGGACAGGTATGAGCGCATTTTTCAAAGGGTCACAAGCCCGCTCATTCTCGAGCCTTCATAGTTGGCGCCGATAGGATCATCGACGAAATGATCTTCAAGTGCACCCATACCACTGTGAGTTACATCGTCCTGCTTCCTGCTTGGGTTGCCGAGCTTGTCGACCCAGGAAATCGACTGGCTCGCGCCCGGTATAATGCCGACAGGTGAGAAGTGGTTTAATATTTGAGGACGAGCATGCCGATTCCCTCCGTAGGAAAGCCGCTCGAGATAGCTCTGGTGGGCGTGGTCGCTTTCAGAGGAGATAAGTTGACGTTTGAGTAAGTTGAAGTTATCAAGCAGTAAGTTGCAATTGACCGATCCTTCACAGACACATGTAAGTGGTGAAATCAACACCTTGACTTTCATGACCTAACGCGGCGCAGATACTGGGACCAGGCCTCGGTCCTTGTTCAGGTATTTGCAAGTTCCTTAGCGGTGGGGGAGCCCAGCTGATGGAGGATCATCGTAGCTGGGATTACTTGACGCATCCAAACTACCTGTCGCCGGAGCGGAAGTGGCAAGGAAAGCCATGAACCCCTTCGGGCTGCCGAGCAACACACTTATGCCTAGGTGGAGCAGCAGTGCAGGACTGAGTATCGAGTAGTAGATGCCTGTCTTGAAACGGGTACCATCTGGATGTACTTTGGTTATAGTTGAGTAGTATCAATGCTATGAATTCGTGTAAATCGTGCATCGAGTCTTGAATATTAAAGCGGCTCCCTATGGACACTTCATCCTGAGAGCCACAATTGATTGTGGCCATGACGTGCCCCCTCGAGGCAGCCAGGAAGCCCGGTGGCGGTGCACAGGCAGTGTCGCTATGCTGTTCGGAATTGAGCTCGGCAACTGCGGGCTGAGCAGCCTGAAGGCAGGCTCTTTCTGGGCGCCCTTCGCCGTGTAAAACATATACACCCTTTCTTTCCCTCCCCGTCCACGAAACAGATATCGTTACCCAGCATGTCGCACCCAGACAACACGAACCACTACGAAGCGTACGACATGGACCGCTTGCGCACGCCAGGCAGCCTCCAGCCGGGTGACCGTGGCTCGCGACAGAGCACGCTCCTCGATGACTACCACAGCGAGCGGGATCCCGAAACGTCGTCGGTAATGAAGCACGGCACCGGGTTCAACGATACACAAGTCACTCTTCACGACCCGTTTTCGGCCTCAGGCGAGGACGCGAGTAGTCGATACAGTCAGCCCGATTCGCACTACGTAGACTCTAAGGGCCTGAAGGGTGCACCGTATGCGGATGAGGATGCAGTCTCCTTCGCAGGGGATCGACCCAAGTCTCTGTCGTATGCCCATGATGCGCCCTTGGTCGACAATTCCGCTGATATGGGTCGGGCGCCATACTTCAAGGACGACCCTGGTATATTCTCAGTGCTTGTGTAGCAGAATATCCTGGGCTGACTTAGCATCAGAGTACACTGGAATGCCCAATGCGACTTCCGATAAACAAACGGAAGACAACCGGCCCTGGGCAAGATTTGCTAACGCTGGTAAATACCCCCTTGAGCAACGCATAGAAAACAAGAAGCGTGGTATAGGCCGGCAGAGATACCCTTTCGTAGGTGTGTACTATGCCTCACTGCATTGGTTGCGGTATTTTCATGTAACCTGCAGTCTGGACTTTGACGGCTGTAATGGTTGCGGTGTTTATCTATGAGTTAGTCGTGAATTCCAGGGCTCAAGGGACCCCCATATCTTTCAAGGCATGTTCGACTCATATTCATCCAAGCAGCAAGTCTAATTCCGATTTCAGCCTGTCGTGAATCCCATGCTCGGCCCATCGGAGTACGCGCTCATTAACCTGGGCGCACGTTTCCCGCCGTGCATGAAGTCTGTCCAAGGACTACCCATTACAACTCAGATCCCTTGTGCGTCCATAACAAGCAGCCGAAGTTTCTGGTTACTGACACAGATGTAGGTTTGAACGATACCGCAAATCCTCCGGATCGACTTTGCTCTCTCGAAGAAGTGTGCGGGTTCGGTGGATTTGACGGCAAAGAACCCAACCAGTGGTTTAGGTGTGTTGTTTTCAGCTCTTTCTAGTAAGCGCAAACTGAATTTCATCAGATTCATCACGCCTATCTTCCTCCACGCTGGCATTATTCATATCCTATTGAACATGATAGCGCAAATGACCGCTTCCGCTCAGGTGGGATATCCCTTCTTGGCCAGTAATCTCATCTCTTAGTTCTTCATCAGATCGAAAGGGAAATGGGTTCAGGAGGCTTCTTGATCCTTTACATGGCCGCTGGCATCTTTGGGTAAGTAGATGTCTTGCCGCGCACGGGTTTACCAGAGTCAAACGACATTGTAGAAACGTCTTGGGAGGTAACTTCGCACTCGTTGGTGCCCCTTCCGTAGGTGCTAGCGGCGCAATAATGGGGACAATAGCGGTCAGTCGAGCTATGGCTTCAATTCCAGTTTCTACTCATCTGTTTATGTATAGGTGTCTTTTATTGATCTTTTTGCACACTGGAAGTATCATTTCCGGCCTGTGCGACGGGTAAGCTTGGGACACAAGTTCTTCCTCCGGTACCATTACTCACGTGAGAACTAGCTTGTGGGCATGATAATAGAGTTGATTATCACCATTGCCATCGGATATATCCCATGTAAGCTCCTTTCGTCGCCCGTAGCTCATGAGCACCTCACACTGATGCACCGTAATCCCAGACGTTGACAACTTCGGTGAGTAGCGGAAGTTGTGATTCGAATGATCTGGCGTTGAACGGCTGGCACAGCCCATCTCGGCGGTCTCTTGATTGGTTTCCTGCTGGGCATGGTGTTCTATCCTATTATCAGTACCACAACCAGGCATCGGTCAATCGTTTGGGCCTTGCGCATAGCTGCTATCCCTTTCGTGGTCATCCTCTTTGTTGTGTTGATACGGAACTTCTACACGTCGGACCCATACGCTGGTGAGTGACCTGTTCCGGTTGTCCCCTTGCGACGCTGACGCGAGATTAAGCATGCTCTGGATGCCGATACCTGTCGTGTTTCCCGACCTCATCAAATAACCATTGCAAAGGGTAAGTGGAGTAGTGGTCTTGCAGAACATTGACTAACCTATGACGCCCGCTGTGTACAGAACTGGTGAGTGGCATAACATTCATTGACGCTTACTAAGTGGCTGATCTGTTATTTTACTAGGCTTCACTACGACGACGACCAACTCCACATCTTTTTAAACTCTAGCGCTAGTGCGGGCGAAGGTTATTGGAAGGCGCATGCTGCGTGCTTAATTCCCTCACGATTTACGGACTGTTGCCACACCTCACGGACTACTATGTACAGCAGAGACAAGGACTCATCGTTATCCGGTTTCTGCAGAAGCATCCTTGTATATACAGCCTTGGTACTCATGCTAATTCAGTATTGTATTCTTGATACCTATTAATACTGCAAAGTATTCTGTGCGTGCTTGTTACGCACCGTTGTAATTACCAATTCAAGTGAAAGCCGTCTGTACGCCTCCCACGTGTCAACCATTGCTGCGACTCGCGAGACCGTTCCGTTGCAAACTCTCCCAAGTACCAGTCTCATCTCATAGCCGCGCCCAGCTCCTTCGTCTCCGACCAACCGCTGCTGTACATTGCTGGATATCTGCGGCAAGATTCTCTCCCCGTCAAATCTGTGATGTATACTATCTGAAGTCTGTAATCTGGTGTCTTCACGCGGAGTAAATCCTAGGACAGTTCTCATGCCTCCGGGACGTCTTTCCTTCTCATTAAACCCGTCATGGATGCACTATGTCTCAAGGGCAGCCTTGGCCGTAGCACTGATTGCCGGTCTACTACGGTATGCTCTGCTTGGTGAGTATCCTGTACCGTGTTCCTGGAGGAGTTCTCAGTTCTCTGATAGATTATTTCGACCCACTGCGTTGTGGGGCCCTACTGAGCAAAGGACGTTTCCTCGATGACAAGCGCCAGAATTGGCAGCCAGACGGTATGATGGTTCGAGTTCACCAGCCTCCGGCGTATTGATTTCGACCTTAAGGCTGCATGATGCACCGATATATGGAGAAGGATTCCTCGCGATGTCTCTCCGGTCGAGACGTCATATTCATTGGCGACTCTGTGACCCGGAAGCTCTTCTTCCAGTTTGCCCATGTTGTCGATCCCGCTCTTCCTACGTCGCCGCCTGCCGATGATCAAAAACACTCGGACCATACGTTGGTGTCCGACTCGGGCACCCGACTGACTTTCTATTGGGACCCATTCCTCAACTCGTCTCGGGTAACCGAATTTGTCGCAGTGGAGCGCGGTTCAGGTGTCGCCGACGGCCGACATCCACAACCTGCCCTCCTGGTGCTGGGCTCTGGTCTCTGGTATTTGCGTTATTCCGACAGCTCAGGGGGTCTCCCTGCTTGGGAGTCCAATACAGAAAGGCTACTCGGCCATATCTCCCGTGCACCGGAGTTAGTGGCGGATGAGATAGTCATGTTACCGGTGGAGGAGGTCGTATCTACCAAACTCACTCGAGAGAGGGCGGATACGATGCGCATAGCAGACATCGATGCTATGAACTCCGATCTGTACCATCGCATAAACCCACCATCTAGTGATACTGTACGCTTGTTTTATTCTAGTCATCCGCCGCTGCCAGTGTCATTCCCGTCGGCTTTCAACCTCATGCTGGATCCGTCGCGCACGGACGACGGCTTGCATTTCTCAGATGATGTTGTGAACATCCAAGCCCACATATTGCTGAACTCTCGGTGTAATGACGTGCTACCGAAGAGGTTCCCCTTCGATAAGACGTGTTGTCGAAGGTATCCGTGGCCGTCAGCGTTGTATCTGGTATTCCTATCGGTCGTCTTCCTGCTGGGGCCTTACAAATTTGCGTCCTCTTGGTATAGGAAAGGTGAGACAGGTTAGTCTCTGTCACATCTTTACCGCTGATTTCTATCAGGTTACGCCATGTCGGCTGTCTACGAAACCATGGACGAGAACAAACCTTTGTTGGTCTACAGCGGTATCCTCTGCCTGATATTCATGGCCGACAGGACTAGTTTCTGGCTCAAAGAGCAGAAGCAATTCGATGCGTGGATGTTTGGAGGCTTCAGCTTTCTTAGTCTCGTTGCCGGTCTCAGTACACTGAGGAAGTCCGACAAAGACCTCGGGTTTCTCAATCGGGAACAGACAGACGAGTGGAAAGGATGGATGCAAAGTATGCTTTACACGCATTTTTGTCCGGCTCAGTCACTGATGCATGTGGTAACAGTTGCCATTCTCATATATCACTACCTGGGAGCTTCCAAAGTCTCCGTGATATACAATCCTATCCGTGTACTGGTAGCATCATATCTTTTCATGACGGGGTACGGACATACCACATTCTATGTCAAGAAGGCAGACTTTGGTTTCAGGCGTGTTGCCCAGGTAAGATCGTGTGCCCACTCGTCCATTTGACCCTCGTTGACGGCGCAAGACGTAGGTTATGGTCCGCCTCAATCTCTTCACTCTCCTGCTCGCATATACCATGAACACGGACTACTTGTCGTATTACTTCACCCCCCTAGTATCGATGTGGTTCCTCATCATATACGGGACCCTGGCTATCGGTTGCCACTACAATGATCGCTTCCCTTTCCTGGTCACCAAGATCTTCGCATCTATGGGGTTGGTCAGTCTGTTCATGCGCGAGCACTGGCTGCTTCAGACGTTCTTCTATATCTTGCAACGGACGTGTGCGATAAGGTGGTCTGCCGACGAATGGGCCTTCCGGGTTAATCTGGACCTCTGGATCGTATACTTTGGAATGTTCACCGCGCTGGCCACAATCAAAATACGCGAATATCGACTCACCGAACACCCTCACTGGCACACAGCTGTGAAGAGTGCCATCGTCATTTCCGGTCTTGTATTGGTTTGGTACATGCTCTTCGAGGTCTCTCAACCTACGAAATTCGTTTACAACACCTGGCACCCGTACATCTCCTTTCTACCCATTGGCGCGTTCGTCATCCTACGAAACGCGAGCAATGTTTTACGTTCAGCTTCCTCTCGGCTCTTCGCGTTCGTCGGCAGGTGCTCCTTGGAAACATTCATTATCCAATTTCACCTATGGCTCGCTGCCGATACGAAGGGCATCCTGATCGTCATTCCTGCTACAAGATGGAGAATGACGAATCTAGTAATCACGACAATTGTCTTTGTCTATGCGAGCCATCTCGTAGCCGAAGCGACTGGAGAGATAACCACCTGGATATGTGGCAGTGACTCTAAGACGTTGCCTCTGACGGCCAGAGCGCCTACGACGGCACAGATCCCGCTCGCAGGAGGTCCATCTGACGAGACTGGCAAAGGGGCAGATGGCGCAGACGAACCAGAAGCGGCATCACAGCATGTACCAAGTTGGGCGGATCGACTGGCAGAGGGCAGCACAGGTTCATCTTCGTCTGCTTTTAGATTGTGGTCTTCCTCGGATAGATGGGACCTTGGATTGAAGACCAAGGTTCTGCTCGGAGTCGGACTGATGTGGCTCTTGAATGTACTGTGGCCAGTCTCATGATATATGGGCGGATCAACTGCAGCAGCATATAGATATGAATGATATTGATGTATGATATATATAGCTTCATAATACTCGCAGTCTCATACTGGCCTAATATAAGGAGTACATAAATACCACAGGGACTCATAGATACCTCTTCCATAATTTCCATTGCATCCAGACCTCCTTAGCAGATATGCTCTAGAAAGCGACGCGTCAACAATCGAATATACAGCGCAGACGAAACGACCAAAGAAATCATTAGGTTGAAGACAAAAAATCCGCCTGACGAGAGTCAATCCATTGATCGACATCGTTCGGAAATCTCGAGTAGAAAAGATACTAATCATTTATCACGAACGGTTATATCGACTGACCTTCACCAACAACGAACTGAATGACAGATTCCTGAAAAAAGGTATCAGCATACTGCCGCAATGCGAGTCAAAATACAATGAGGTCAGTATTAGCATGGATGCTCATCAATACCCGTCCTTGAGACGGATCAGGGCTTGACTTCTATTTTGTTCATCACTCGTGAAGAATGAGATATCCACTCACCGATAGAGAAGGATGGCGACTGCGAAACACCTTTTGAATGAGTGTCAGTAGCCGAAACGCGACTCCTCGTAAAGACTCAGAAATTTGGGTATAATGAAACATTCATAAGCGCGAACGCTTCGAAGTAGCGATTCATATTTTTTCTCGTCACCGTCGAGCAACATGGTGTAGGACTTACAACAGCAATAGATGAAGGATCCAAGTCGCCAGTGAGATTCTGAGAGGTGACCGTGCAGGTCGCACACAGGTCAAGATCAAATTTTGCGCAAGTTCTAATAGGTTGGAGGTAGTCACGTGGGTACTTTAGGGCAAGGGCGTCACGGTAACGCCCTCGGTAATGCGGGGCCTTGCGCGTACCAGGCTAAACCACGACCACCATTATCAACAATGGCCTATGTTATGCCACCCCATCCTCATCTCGACTTTCATGCTGGGCCAGTCAAGCAAGCCCCTTCACCGTTTGGCTTTGGCTTCGGCCTTGGTTCCTCTTCATCTGTCATGGGGATGAATCGCCCTAATCATTCACATGGACAGGTGTCGGCATTCCAGCCTGCACCAGCTGTCGTACAGCCATCTCCTGTACGAGGCTCGAAACGAAGACACGAGGCTGAGGACGAAGAGAATATACAGCCAAGAGATGAAAGCATGGATAGGAGTCCCACTCCCGAGCGACCAAAACGAGCCGTCCCCAAGAGAGCTCGTATGGTCCAGTCGGCAGACGGGGGTGGCAAAGGCGAGAAGCCGGGTAAAGACAGCAAGGGAGCGGCTTCGAATGATGGTAACGACATGGATGTCGGTGTTTTACTGGGTGAGTACCATTTCCGAGGCTTAAGGTTTTATCGACTCACCCGACCCTAGCGAGCTTACCGCCCGAAGCTCTTCTACCACTACTTACCTCCCTCATAACTGCGCAACCTTCCCTGAAACCTGTCGTTCTTTCACTTATTCCCCGGCCGACACTGGATACCGCTCTCCACGCACTTGCACAAGCCGCCAAGAAGCTTCGCGACGCCTATCCCTTTTCTCATGCCTCTTCGTTTTCCCAAGGGTCATCATCCACATTTTCAGCTGGATTGGGCAATAGCAGGCACAACATAAGCTCAAGCTCTCATGGCAGTCTAGGATTCGGCTTCAGCCAGCCATCCACCGTCTTTCCCAGTTCATCCACATCCGATAGCTTTAGCAGCGGAGGGATGCGTGACTCGTACGTCCTGTCTCGCCTGAGACCTCACATTGATGCTTTTGTCACTGCTGCTTCAACCTATCTGCCCTATTTCTCATTTGTGGCACCTGGTAACCAGTCCGCGTCGCCACCCTCCTCCGCTCCCGTTTCCAAAGACAAACTCCACCCTTCCGAGGTCTTCGTATTTTTGTCTGCTCTGACTACGCACATCCTGGAGCAGCCGCCTCTGGCGCAATCATCGCTTGCGCCTCTACTTCTTCCGCGGCTATCGGAAGAATGGAAAGCCTGGGTTCTTCGGGTGGATGATTCCGTGAACCGTCAAGGGGGGATGTACCGTGAGGAGACCGTGCGAACATGGGAGAGGGATCTGGATGCCTTTGCACAGGCGAAAGATCATGGGATGGATGTTATGCGGGACGTCAGAGACCGTTGGGTGCAGAAAGTGGGATGGTTGGTGGGACGTATGGGTCAACCTATGGAGGAATTCTAGAGTGTCGGCCGTTTTGATCGACCGAGCCTATGTTTGAGATTTATATGGACTTCCTGGTCCGCGGCATGCTTCTGTTGGCACTCATTCTATAGCATTATTGCACGCTTTTTTGTGTTCACGCATTTCCGCAACTTATACGTTCATTATTATGATATCTGTCATGTCTGCTTCCGCAATTCTCTGTGCTATAGTCAATGGAACTCGATCCTATGCCTTTCCCTGTGTGGCAGGATAAAGTGTTTGCGTTGGTTTGCCGCGTGGATCGGGACGAGTTGTGGCGAAAATTCCTGTGTCAGGTTCCGGTTAACTTTGAAGCCAGCTCGCCAGAATTCTGCTTGGAGCTGCTTTAGAGCTGGATTCCGACACTCGTTCTTACCCTGAAGCAGCTCACTCATGTCTATGTATGCTCCACCATGTCTTCCCGAAGTCTTCGAGCATAGCGGATACCCTGGGCAACATATTTCGAGTCGCGGCCGGTCGGGCATGGACGCGCAATATACAAGACCGTCATACTTCCCGAGTTTCTGGCAGCCGCCATATCAGTCGGATTGCTCTTGCTACTGAATATGCCGTGTCAGACGCAACAAGTATTTCTCGGGCGTCCGGTTCACGTTCACCGCTGTAAGTGCCAGCCCTGCGAAGGAGTCGACTTCCGTGGAGAGACCATTCATTAATCTACTCGTTAACTTAAGGGAAGTGCGAGTCCATCCATCTGATCTCAGCGGAAGCAAGATCGCCAGAGCCTGCTCCTCAGAAGCCAGTGTCTATCCTCCATTGTCACGACGTCAGCAGAAGGAACCACCCGTGTCTACAGATTGCGGTAACCAGAACGGAGCATCGTCCTTGAATACTGCAGTTGAGAGGAGCGACGGGATTCCTGCTGCACCTTATATACGTGTAGGGAGCGAGTCATTGGTCGCCAGTTTCAAAGCGGACGGTTTTGCAGACTTGGAAGCTGCATCTCTGCCCGATCCATCCCGTGTCATGGAGAACCAAGAGTTTCATCCGACGAATGAGCTTGTAGGGGTTCCTACTGTCCAAGCTGGGCCATTGCGGACCCTCCCACCACCTTCACTTCCTCATCCCAAGACGCCGGCCAACCTGTGTCAAAATTTGCTCTTCTACCTTCAGTACACCCGCAAGCCACCAAACCTCCCGGACCTCCTGACATATCATAACTCATATCCGGCCATGTACTCTGCCCGATCCTTCAACATCCTCATTCAATTGTCTCTCCGACACGCCTCTTTTGGCACTGTGCAGACTTTGTTCTCGCAGATGCGCCATGCAGGCGTCGAGCCAGACAACGAGACATGGAAGTTATGGGTCAGGTGGATGGTGAGAACTGGCAGATGGCAGGAGGCATGGGATGAATTAACACAAGAGGAAGCTACGCCTATGCCTTTCCCAGTCTGGCTGGAATTTCTTGGTTCCACCCACAGACGAGGATTCAGGACGAGGGATGAAAAAGGGAAGCTCGTTGTAGCGACTGGTTCACAGCCTTCATCGGAAGACGAAGCGGTGAGATACGCTTGCGTGATGGAATATTGGCCAAGGGTGGTTGTAGCATCGGACCATCGTGTGCAGATACAATCCCATGCTATAAGGGCGGTCGTGTCCGCTTTACTGCGGGCGAACTCTCCTTCGAGTGCCCTCCAGATCGTCCGCACATACCTAGAGACCCTCTCTCCACCTATAAACAAGAAGGAGCGGGCGGCATGCCTCGACATCGTGCACCAATTTCTTGTCTTTCATCCTGCGAAGCGCTTCAATTTTCCTGCTTATCTGTCGCTACGCGACACATTATTCTCGCTTCTCGAGCATCGGCCGGACTTGTGCCTTCGGCCTGACTCGACAACCCTCTTCCTACTCCTGCGTAGCTTGAAGCGCTCGCATCGCTGCGGGACGGCCGGGAGTGAGCTCGTGGCTGCTTTCAAGCAGCGATGGGGCCCGTCTGTGGTCGATGAGCGCGTTCGGCGACGCCTCGCATCCTTCTTAGCGAAAGAAGGCCACACGAGCCCTGCAAAGGATCTGCTGTCTCAGCAGAAACTCCTGGATACCCAGCGGCGGATGTGGAAGGTACAGAAGGAAGTAGTAGGGGGTGCATCAGGGGATAAAAGCCGGTATCGGAGGCTCCTGAGGCAGAAGTGGAAGAAAACACTGGTGAAGCGAGGTAAAGAGGCATGGAAATGGAGGATGTTGCGCAGGAAGCTTCGGACCGGACGACGTAGATATTCAGATGATGCCTTGTCAAAAAGCCCACCGGGAGTTGTTGTAGATAGGCCTAATAGACATTCTGGTGTCTAGTTCTGCAATGTGCATGTATTGGCTGCTTATTGACTCGGCACTTAAGCGCTTAATCTTTGAGACGGTGTTTGTCTTTCGGAATTCGTAGAAATGTCACAAATGTGGCCACATTGTGGCTCGGCACGTGGCTAGCGAGTTGGTTCCTTCGACGCGTCTTAGACCTGGAACGACCGCGTCGTGCGTGCCACTATTGACGCCCACCGCGCACCACACTCTGCTGGATTCTCGCGTCACGGACGCGTCTCCTCTGTATTCTCAACATGTTCAAAACCGCCGGTCCTTCCTCTGTTGTATCACGAAATGCGATCCCCGGTTCAAAATCTCCCGCCGCCCCAGACCTACCTGCCCTCCAGAGTGCAAGTAGGGTCTTGCAGGACCAAATATCAAAGGATGCTCAGTTGGTGCCGGATGTTGGGGATCTATTGACGAACCGTATGTGGACTGCATCCTCCATGTCATACTGACGAGCTAAAAGCCCATGTACCAGCCCAAATGCCATTTTCCTCGTCGTACAGCGTGTTCAACGACAATCAGCATGTCCCTTTTGCAAAGCGGAGGATAGCTCACATCCCCGACGCTGTCTTCTACCACTATGACAGTACGTCTACAATCCTCGCCCATTTTCCATTGCTAACGTCGCACTGGAGGCGCCAATGTAACCTCACATATGGGTCTGATGCCTGAAATTGATCGTGTATGGATTACCATTGACCACAAGCTCTTTCTATGGGACTACGTGGAAGGGTATTTTATTGTGATCTGCTCTGGGAATCATTGCTGACAGTACGTGAAGCCAGGAATTGCATTCATTCGTCGACCAGCCTGATGTCATTTCCCACGTCGCTCTTGTGAAGCCCAAGCCAAACATTTTCATTGACGAGATAGTCTATCTGCTTGTCATCTGCACGCCGGTGTCCGTCCTTCTCCTCGGCCTATCTGTGTCGACGCCTCCCCCCGGCAGTCGCAGTCTCAAAGATATAAAACTTTACGCGACCGACATGTCAATAACCACGGAAGTTGAAATGACATCGGTGATCGGTACGAAGAATGGCCGAATATTCATGTGCGGGGCTCACGACGGCAACTTGTACGAGTTGCATTATCAAGAAAAGGAAGGCTGGTTCGGTAAGAAAGTGCAACTGGTAAATCACTCGGTTAGCGGGATGCAGAGTTTGTTCCCTATGCTCGCTACTCCCAGATCAGAAGGTCAGTAATGTCACAACTGGTATTGTCTCCATCTGAGCAGTCACGCAGACAACTTCAAACTATTGGTTTCCGATCCGTCAAGGGACTGCTTCTATGCGCTTTCTTCCAGAAACACAATAAGCATCTACAGGCCAAACGGAGAGAAATCAGTCCAACAACTGCAGACGCTCTCGAGTCTGTACAATATCGCTCAACAGAAGGTACCTGGACATCCTGCCATCACCCCCAGTAGTTTCCAGATCGTCAGCTTGCATGTCATTGAGAAGAATGAAGCCCCACGATCAGGCGTGCAACTCATGGCTACAACAGTGAACGGTGTCCGCCTGTACTTCGGACCTTCGTCAGCCGGATACGGGTACTCCTTCAATGTAATGAATAGCAGTTCTTCCATACCTGGGCACCGGCCACTACAGCTGGTTCATGTCCGCCTACCACCCGTCAACCTTCTACATCCAGATGACGGGCTATTTACTGCCAGCGCACTGGCTTCAGGGCAACCACCTCCGCAACCTGCATATCCGCCTTACGTTGTGTCAAGAATAGAGAACGTCTGCTACACTTCTGGTCTTACGATAGCTGCAGAACCCGGCGACGGCATGGATGGGAACGATTTCATTCTCTGCATGGCGCCAGATCTCACCAAGATTGGAGAGCTTGGGCAAGTAAAGGAGATCCAGCCTCAGCAACCACCGCGTCCACCAATGCAGTCGTATTACCCCGTCACTACACCTGGCCCGTCACGCCCGCCTTTGACTGAGTACGCGACCATGATCGAGATATCTGGTCGTACTTGGGCAATCGCACCTATTCCTCGCACACCTTATCACAGCTCGACTCCGTCCGAGTCCCCTGTACCCGTGGCAGCAAACGAGCTCGCTGTCCAGTTTTGCGAGCCTCCAACGCAATTTATGATCCTGACGAACGCCGGACTAGTATATCTGTGGAAGAGAAGAGCGCTTGATTACTTGCGAGCGGTTATTGAAGATTTCCACGCAGATGGCAATCCTCAGCCTATTCTTGATTTCCGAGACAGGTATGTGTCCGTTATCCTCTCCCAGATCCTGCAAGACAATGTATAATCGCAGTTTTGGCCGAGATCAAACGTGTGCTATGTTGCTCGCACTCGCAAGTGGCAACACATTCTTGGATATCGATAACTTCGCATCACCGACGCTGAGTACTGGAAAGATAGCCAACGTTAGCTCCGAGATAGCGGCTGTAGCAAAACAAGCCTTCTATGACTTTGGGGAGCGACCCATGTGGGCAGAACGGGCAACGCTTGGCACAAGTACGTGGCTTATATCTCGATATTTTCGCATCGCTCAAGTGATACAGGTGAGAATGCGGGGAGTGCGATCTTCAGTGGCCGTCGAGAAGGATTCGCATTCTACTTTGCGAGACTCGTACGACCATTGTGGAAAGTGAAGTTGGTCCAAACCGGGTAAGAGACCCCGCAGGTTACGTCCGGCAAGAATGAACAAGGCATGCTGATATCACACAGGGCTCTCGGTTTAGCAGAGTGCGGCATACCTGAGGAGACTCTCGTGACGACACAGAAGAACCTTCACGCTCTGAAGGAATTCTTGGACAAGAATCCGCATCTGTTCCATTCCGCTCCTGGGGACAAAGCAGGTGCGAGAGGCGCCGCTGCAAGCGAGCAAGAAGCGTGGAAGGTATTATTATACACAACATGCTCTAGAGTTTGTGGGATCTAATGAGGATTTCCTCTAGGCCGAACAAAGCTCAGTTTCACAACTTCAAGCGCTGCTTGCTAGGACCATCGAAGCTATATCGTTCCTTCTCCTTTTGGTAGACTACAAGCTAGCTGACCTTATTGCCCAGTGAGTGGCGGATTGAACACTCTATACGATATCTAATCCTTTCACTTTTACAGATGTGACCCTGAGACCCAGAAGATGATTACCTCACTTACTTTTGAGGGTCTCGTGGTAACAAGTGAAGGCATTACTGCGGCCAGGGCCCTCGTGAACGTGGTGATCGACCAGCAGATAGGGCAACAGATTAGCGTCCGTGATTGACTTAGCTTTGCTTTTCAGTGAGTTGACATTAATATAGGTTGACACCATAAGCGAAGTGCTCCAGGAGCGATGTGGCTCGTTCTGTAGTACAGATGATGTCCTGTTTTATAAGGTAAATGGTGACCTGGTTTCCATAGGAGGGTGCTGAACAAGGACGGATCCTAGGCCAAAGAGAATGTGCGTAAAGCCGCGGAAACAGTCAATTTGGCGGAGAAGCAGAATTGGTTGAACGAGTCACTGCGGTGAGTGACATGGTATAGTGGCCCAGTACTACTACCAATAACGCACTATCAAGACTATTCATAAAAGCGGGGGCCATCCTGACATTAGAGAAACTTCGCGAGATATGTGGTGAATATCAGCAGCTAAGATACCCGAAAGGTTTGTATCGCTTGATATCAATGACCTACTCTCACTAATACATGACAGGGGCTGTGGAATTGCCACTGCACTACGCTCAGGTCGTCGACGCCGAACGTCTTGGTCAGGAGTACTGGTATGCCGGCTGCCCTGCGAGCGACCGACGTTCAGAGTTCTGGGAACGAAGGAAGCAATGTTATGACCTAGTGTTGGACTCCCTGACCGTATTCGAGGAGAGGGCAGGTGCAGCACCCGAACAAGGAGACGGACCGGAAGATCCGGAAACTATTCGTAGTCATGCCTTCGCACTAGCTTTCGCCAGCAACGACGAAATGTTCCATTCCACCATGTATGAATGGCTACTGGGCAAGGGAGTCGCCGATGAACTGTTGGAGGTTCGTGCATGAGCCATTGCTCCGGGATCCCATCTCATCATTTATTTACACAGATGCGTCCTCCTTACCTCGAAGCTCACTTAAGACGCGAACCGATAACAGTGCAGAAATATCAATTGTTATGGCAGTTTTATGTCAAAAATGGTCAGCCACTACGCGCAGCAGAGGTACTTGCCGCTCTCGCAGATTCTTTGCAGTCAGTGTTGCGGATTCTAAGAACGCGTGGGGTTGTTGATATCGGCTTCGTAGGCTCGGACTAACGCTGGAGGAGCGGCTGGAGTATCTGACCCTGGCCGTTGGCAACGCGAAGTCACACCCAATCTCAGCTGAGGGGAGACATGAGACGGCAATCGCTTTCCTAGCAGAATTGGAGGACAAGCTGGAGGTTGCGCAAGTGCAGCTTGAAATGTACCACACCCTCGTACCCCATATTAAAGACGCAGAAGAAGTCAGAGAGAGGATCCAGTTGCTCGGGCGACGATTGTTCACCATGACTGAGGTTTGTAGAGCCTGCCTGAATTTCTTCCCGGCGGGCGAAGCTAACGCTAGGATCCTTTGTAGCTCTTCGAGTTATACGCCGCGCCTTTCGATCTTCGAGAGATGCAATTGCTGATTCTACATGTCTCTGATCATCGAGATGAACATCTAGTGAGACCTATTTGGAACAGAATATTCGCGGATAGTGAGTTAGCGCTATACCGATTATACAAACAGAAGCATGATTTTCTCGCCAGCCACCGCAGGGGTCGATCCTAAAGAAGGCGCAGACCAGTTGATCTCAAAGGTTGTTTCGCTTGGGCACCGGTTCTACCCCTCGGAGAGCGCGTTCCCTCTGCGTGAGTGTCAAGCTCAAATTCTTAGCATCCGAGCGCACAATGAGCTTACGCCCATGCAGAATACATTGCATCTCTGCTTGTTCGCTTTGAGCTAGCTAACAAGGGTGTAATCCCGTACGGATGGGCGCCGCGCGTTCTGGTGCAGTGTGGAGTGCCTTATGGCGAGATCTGGGACATCTTTAATGAGATGTACGAATCTCAGGTGCGTTAGCAGAGCCAGTTTGACAAGATTAAGTCCTCATGACGATCTTCGCTGTTCTATGTGGAATAGGTCCCACCATTCAATGACCAATCTAATGTCCAAGCTATCTCCTCGGACATCGCGGTGCTTCTAACAGACTGGATGCAAGAAGCACAGCGACCGCTATCATCTGCTGCTCGGGAGTTCCCAGTAGATCGGATAGATGGCGCGGTGGGCCTGTATCTCTCTGAGTTGGATCCGAATAGGACAGAAACCAAAGCTGCCTACGAGGCACTCAGACGGTACGTGCGGACAGGCGGCAAGGTCTGGTGATGTTCTGGAGATACTGTATATGTATGTAGTCGCATCATTTCCATATTCTCATCGTACATATTCATATATGTGGCCGATTGCTGATCCTCCAAAACTGATGACCCCGGCTTCACCCGACTTCAAGAATAGCGTCCTCTGCCCGCAGGAGAAGACGCTGAGTGATCTTCTGTGTCCAGCCGTAGACCTTCAGGAGCGTACTTCGTACCACTCAGCACCAGGACTGGACGCACGACACGTTGCAAACTCACCGGGCAGCTCCGACAATGATAAGGACCACAATTACTATGGTCGCAAGGTCTCCGCCACCCCGCCTACTACGGGTGGCCCGATAACGAGCAAGCCACCCGATTGGGAAAGGCATTGACAACAGCATGTGCACCAGCGATCCCGCACCAACCACGGGAAGACCCAATAGAAACCGCTGCGCCAATCGCTTCAGCAGACCCGGAGGTTTCATGGGAATGGGAGTAGATGGTCGAGGCCGCCGAATTCGCCCGCCTACGAGAGTGTCGTCCAGAATGGCATCTTGATCTTGCATAATCCGAATCGCGGCACGTACAATATCTCTGACAACATCGTAGGGCCAGAAAGATACGTAGTAGTAGCCATCCACTGGACTGTCCTCTAGGGAACTCAGGAAATAGGTCGTGACGAATGAAGAGCACAGGACGAGGAGCGTAAACAATACGGACGACACTGCTCCAACAACAACTTCATCACCACTGAGCCATGTCCCATTTGATGAAAATCCGACGGGCTCACCAGGGTTGGTCGCGATGCCCACGACTCTGGTGCGTGCGAAGTGGTAACGATAGTTGCACTGTGGACACGCAAAGAAGGCGGTCTCTGAAGAGTTCCGCCAACGCTGGAGGCACTTGACGTGCACATACTATGGCTATATGGTGAACATTGACCTCAGTTCAGCTACCGCTTCCAGTGACCACTTACACTGATCGACCCTCGACACTGACACGGCCGTATGAGCCGACCCAATTCAGGATCAGGACCATCAAGACATATGCGACATTGTTTCTCGTCCGGAGTCTCTGCGGGCATCCTCACGACCTTCAAGGGTTCAGGAAAGCTGTATAGCAAGGGCCACGTCGCAGGGTATACACGGCCGATTCAAGCAGCGCTGCCGCTGGCGTGACGCGCTGTGGCGCGTTACTCATTACTTTCACGTGATGCGACGCGTCTGTCAGCGTAACCAAAGCGTAAGGCGCAACTGAGTGGCCAATAAATGAGTGGCCTCCGACTTTGTTTTGACTGGTCGGCAATATGTCTAGTAGCTGGCGTCTTAACCCATACGAAGGTTCATATGGAAGGAGCTACAGGAAGATGTTCACTCCGCTTGCCAAAAACCTCAGGTCTGGGAATCTACATCTGGCTGTCAACATGACGGAGGAATATGCGAAAGTACAAGTTTCAAAAATTTCGAGACTCAGTGGATTTGAGCTCTCGATTCCTTCAGGAGAGGTGACTTGGAGCATTCCTGTCGACACTTGAGCGCCAGGACCAAACGTCGTATATCTTGCTATCCGGGCCTACGACCTCCCCATACTCCCTTGCTCTGGCATGAGGAGGCACTACAACTATAACTCTTGAAGTGGAAAGATTATACCAAGAACCGTAGCTAAGGCTTTGATGGCGCCCAGTGGCCCGCCGTTTTCGTTCATAGGCGCATGGTGGTCCAATACTCGATTTCACACTGAAAGTTGCATCAGGGGATCTACCATCGGTCCCAAAGCTATCTGTCCCAGGACAGCTGCATTGGAGCGCAAACAGCACAGTACGTAACATCCCCGCTAGTGAATTTCAGGGTATTCATGAATTTGCTCTTTGTCTACTGAAGGACTGGCCTGGTGCGAGTCAGCTCGAAATAATGAGCCAGGGTCTTGACGTACAGTGGCAACGGCATGCACTACTGCCCGTGTTGGAATGCTAGGCTGCAAGTCTACGCGGACGGCAACCTTGTCAATCTCGCAAAAACATGGCCGTCAGGGCGGTAACGTGCACCGCCGTCCCGCGGCGACCTTCGTTGTTACGGATATATTTGTATTGCCGGGAACACGGGCAGGTGAGCCTGCCACGATCTTGACTTCTAGAGGCAATCGGACGGCTCAGTCGTATCAAGAAATTTGGTCCAGGTTCAGCCGTTTACTTTTGCTGAGTTGAAGCGCAGCATCTCGGCATTGCAGGCACGGACGTAAAATCCGTCCATTTCAGATTTCCTCGGAGTGGCTACTGAGAATATCCGCTCGTGGAGTGCGCATAGGCATGCTCCACCCGACCCCAAAGGACTTTGTTAAGGGATCTTTCCCGAAGATGTTGGTAACGCAGCCCAGCCACATGAGCGCTTGGATTTTCCGTGCTAGTGTGAGCTAGTACGGTAATTCACCCGCGTATACTCGGCTTTCCGCTACGAGAGGTTATATGAGCCGCGCTCTACTTGCGTCCATACTTTCCCGCTCTGCTTTATGACACAGCGCCCCGCCGGAGTCGGTATCCAAACCGCTGAAGGCGTTACCCCACCTTCAGCTTCGTTTATCATTCTCTGGGACTGTAAGCACCTTCACTTCCGCCCATGACGAAGAGTCTAGAACCGGCACTCCACCCGTCTACGGAACCTAGTAGACTGCCGACGTCGATAGCAGCTTCTACTACGGCTTGGGGCTTTCAGGGAGCCCACATACAGGAACCCAAGTAACCAACTCGCACCTAGAGCCGTGTGTAGGTGGGTTAGGATCAGAAACGCCTTCTAAGACGATTAATAGCCACAGTCGCCACGGGTATATATATCTGGCCTGCGTCCTGCGTACTGAACGCTGAAAGTTGAACAGTCCCCAATATTAAGTAGAGCTGGATAAATGACCTCTGTAGCTTGAGTCTGTTCACGATGTGGCACACTCAGCGCACCGGCGAGGGGATATACGACCTCGGATCTCGATTTCATAATTCACGTACACGATCGCGTCAAGAGGATACGGGATCGTTACACTCCGTTGATATGGGGGCGTACATTTCCGCTATATTCATCCTGAGACACGAACCGGCGGTTCCGGTGCCGATCCACGCAGGTGCACACTTATGGTACGCCATTTCCTCCGCAATCTCTGACGCCGCACGGGCAAACGCGGTCACTTAAAGCTGATGCTCGGGAATGAAAGAAGGCCCTCGGAGGGTGTGCTACCCGCGAAATGGACTCACCGCCGACGCTCCTGCTCACCCACTCGAGGCAGGCGGCATCTTTCCAAAAGGAGTATCTGCGTCGAACATCGCTGGTAGAAGCCAGTGTCATTGCGTCCGAAGGCACGGTACAGTCTATGTACCCTTCCCTGCGCGCTTCGGGACCCAAAGGAAATGCCGAGCGGGCTTAACAGGCGCGCCAGAATGCAGATATGTCACTTGCATCTCTGGGCATGGGCGTTGGCCCTTCTAGATGCGCAAAAGAATACCGGCACAGTCTGTAATATGGACGGATCTTGTCCAGTGCAGGCACGCTCTTCTCGTCCGATTTAATCTTTCTGCCCTGTCCCAGATTAATATTAAAAGCCGTGGAGGCAATAGCGGGAACGCGCCTCGCTCTGCAAACGCGTAATCACGGTTCGTGAACCGACATCTGCCATTGGCGACATAATTTCCTGTTCTGGCCAGTACGCAAGTCCCTGTGACAATCTTCGGCTGGTGTAACATTAGCCTGGCCGTCTTCTCGGGCACGGGACGTTCATCAGGCGATAGGTTCCTTCCCATGGATGCTCTTGGAGGACTTGTCTGCACGGACCTGCGTCCTAAAAGAAGGGTTTACCGTAATAAGCACTGGTTCGCAAATACTAGACGTAGGGTGGTTGCCAGATCTGGCTCCTCCTGTCATAAGATTACCTCAGCTTGGAGGACCTTGCCCAGTGTCTAACGGACTCTTCCGTGACATGGGCGATCGATAGATCGTCGTTAAGTGGTATGCTAATCTTGGGTGAACTTGGTACGGTCTCTCGAGGATGAATCCAAGCCACCTGCTTTGTCAGAGATGACAACTTCCAGAAAGACACTGCTGCCGCAGACGCAAGGATCGAGCCATGCTCCAAGCTACCGGAGGTAACATTGGTCGTGTCAAGGACGTGCTGCACCGAGCACTCACTCTGCGGGAAATGACTGATGGCATCCTATGGCAAATATGCTATGAGGCCAGTCAACGCGTCGACAACCTACCGAGGCCTTCAGAGACAGATGATAGTTCAAGTTAATTTACGTACTGCAATGATATAGCCGCCTCGAGCGGGGATTATGTTTACGATGCGAGGGTCCCCGGGTAGCTCAGGATTTTCGTGAGAAGAGCCTCCCCCATATTCGACGTTACAAAGGGTCCTGGCATTTCTTCCATGTATGAGTATCTCAAACGGATCGAGGGCCTTAGCTTCATGCTAGGGATACCGAAGAAGGATTGCCGTACTAGTGATCGCATACTCCAAGCCTGCAACTAGAGATACGGCCTAGACTCGCTGGAAAGAATCATACAGTAGTGTGGCCCCACAACGCCGGACGAGCGACGTGGAATTGAGTATGACGCAGGATTTGGATACTGACGCGTTGCGTCTCCATATTTTGGCTGGCGTTGTGGTACATTCGAACAGGGGGACAATATTCGCTGGGCCTCTGTGGCCAGAAAAGGCAATACAGGCTTCGCGGATCTGCCGCGGACTTGATGGCCAAGGCTGCTCCTCTGGCTGATGTCGCTCCACAACATCAATGAAGTAGTTCGATTCATGCCCGCTAGATTCACCATCAAGGGATTGGCCACCGCTCCTGCTCAAGGTCTAGAACCAGCTCCAGCAGCGCAGTACAATGTTGTGGCCATGACACAACGCAAGGCTGGAGGCCGAGATGGCCGTGGATGGCAGCGGATCGTCTGGGCTAGCGGATAGCCTATCAAGTCGCCAACGTCGGGGGCGAGCTGCACGGCGCTTCGGGGGGAGATTTGGATCTGCCGTCGCTGGAAGGCTAAATTGCATCTCCAGGATCTCCGCCTCGGACGAGGAAGCTGCGCTGGCTTGTTTTGCAGCTTTGCGACGCTTCCTTCGTCCGCGGAAATCGTGATCCCTGGCCGCTGCCTGCCCCCATCGACTCCTACGTACTTTGTAGGCCTTCTTCCTCGTGCTGCCTCCGATCGTTGATGCTTACTCTGACATTGCTGGGTGGTACCAGCAATTCATTCAAACTAGGTCTCGAAACGTTATAGAACCTCTCGCAGCGGGGTCTCTGCTATAGCCTAAACTTGACTTTATGAATGCCAACGGAGTTCACTCAAATGCCAATCCATCTCCTCCATCTCTTCTTTCTCTGTCAGGTTTTGGGAATTCGCCCTTGTCTGTCATTTAGCGTTGCTCAAGCACCCTAGAACGATGTTACATTCAACAGCCAGTGTTAAAAGACTCTGCAGCTGTCCTCAGTCTCAACTCGTTCGTATTGTCTTCACTGTTGTCTTCTTCCCAATGTCGAAAATCACTGACCCAGACAATCAAGTCATTGCCATCTCCACCTGCAATGTCGGCGTCGGTCCAGGCGGAAGCACCTCGATGCTGGCGTACGTCTTGCGTGGGCGGCGCATCAACCGGGAAAAATTGAAATTTACACTATTATGCGTATTATAGACGCGTGGCTATCGTAGACTACCGGGGTCAAGTCGTGCTTGACACCTTCGTCGCACCGAGTCCTGCCACGCCCGTAGCCGATTATCGGACCGCCTCCACAGGCATCCAGCCTCACCATCTTCGTGCGTGGATTCCTCTGTCTGGAGGTGCTATACTGACTGCCGACCTCGACAGACAATGCGCCAGCCTTCTCAGCCGTCCAGGCCCGCGTAGCGCAAATCATACAAAACAGGATCCTTGTCGGCCATTCATTGTGGAACGATCTCTCCGTTTTAGGAATTCCACATCCTGCGGTAAACACGCGTGACGTGGCCCTCTATCAGCCATTCCGGAATGCCCTCCGGGTTCAGGGCGCAGGCCCCAACCAGATAATCGGGCTCAAGACGCTCATGTGGCATTTCATGAGGCGAAGATGTGGCGACGAGAATGTATGTCCGGTGAGCGTTTCGCGTTTCCTCCCTAATAGCCAATGATTAAACGTAGGCGCAATTCTGCAACCTAGCTCGAAAATGCACGAGCCGCTATGGACCTCTACCGCTCTAGTTATCAAGAATGGGAAGTCGCTATTAACGGCGGGCATTGGCCGTGCGCTTTGCCCCCTTCCACATTCTCCCGATGTTATACATAGATATCCCAGGAAAGACTGAATACGGCGATAACAGTTGTCTTTCCGGGATTTGGGTATATAGAACTGCGCATTCTCGCACTGAAACTTACTCCTCCATTCTATAATTACATAGCCGCAAGCTTGAGTATGCTCTTGGATGGCCTTGTAAGGCACCTTGCGATAATATGTAGTATATCCGGTTTGATACATTCAGTAAAAATCCTATACGATCTTCCTAGAACATGGCTACCAGCGCTTGACTCGGGCGTTCCTCGTCACGACTCGTAGGGAGCCAATACCAGAGGGCTTTTAGTAGATGCGGCACACATGGTTGGGCCGATTCAATGCAGTCAGGCACTCGTGTTATTATTCACGAAGTGATCTTGACACACGGGACGAATTCGCACACGACCCGAGAACCTTAAGTCCAGCTGAACAACTAATCTTATCATGATGTCAGCCAACACATTAACGATCGCCGTGGAGAAAAGAAAAGAAACAAGTCACAGCCGTCAAACCCAGCCGCGATCCCGAGCCTGGCGTTAGATATTGCATGTAGGAAGCGCGTCTGTGATATATTATGTCGCGTACCACAAACTTTATGCGCCCGAAGATTCGCATTGTCACGAGTCCTGGGGAGCAGCAGATCCGACGGCTCAGCTCGACTGCGCTGCTCGCTCTTGTTCAGTACCGACGACTTGCCGCCGGGGTGAGCGTTGAGACTTTGGACGTCACGGACGACTCTACTAGAGATACCCGAGCCCGTCGCCTCGGTGCATAGAATGGCTATGGGGTCTGGCGGCTGTCAGGTAATAAGAAAGGCCCAGCCCAGGCTCCAGATAGATAGGCACGGAAGCAAGACTCTGATACCGTAGCGGGCGATGAATACGGTAGGCCCACTGAACCTTCCTTTCGTGGCATTAGAATTCGCTTCAATGCGATCATTTTCAATAGGTGCGGGTCCTCCTACAAGTACTGTTGACTGACCACGAGCAGCGTCTCGCAACTGCGCCAGGCGCTCCCGGGAACGAATAGAGTTGGACTAAGCTAGGACATGTACCTTCAAGGGTGTCCACAGCCTTGTCCATTACCGCATGACGCCGATGCGTGATTTGCGCAGCTAAGGCACGGCATTAAGCGACAAGCGTCCAGGAACGTGGGACCTGCGACGGATGGCTGATGGCTGATGGGCAAGCGTCAGTATGTACAGGTATAGAATGCTCGCTCGCACCTCTCCTCCCAAGTACGAAAAATACCATGACACTAGGATAGAACGAACCAGACGTCAAGCATTTTGGACGGGTAGGTATTGTGGTTTTTGGACTGAATGACTTTGCAGACACAGATAAAGTCATGGTTTGCGATCGGAAGTAGGTAAGCCCCGGCCGATTACAGTGGCATGGAGGGCCAGGGAACTAAGGAATAACTTACCGGAGTCTATCCCTTCTTATTTCGGAATTATATAGCAGCTTATGACGACGTACCCACTGGAGCACTGCGAGGGCACAGGCGTTCTGTAAATGAGCTTGAGCCTCGGTATCACCTGTATACACACGCTAGGAGGCAACCTCAGCGCTGGAGCCAGTCACTTCAGAAGACTACCCAAGGTCGCGGAAGGGGGACGTCATATTCTGACCAACAGAAATTGTTTGTTCGACCAGAACTTGGATCGTGACGGCGAGTTTAAACATTATCCAAGAGAGCTGAGCGCGCCGGCCGAGTCGCAGACGGCGAAGTCCGCTGCCCTCGTGGGAACAGTGTCGTCCTCGAGATATGCAACACTATCTCGGAGCATGCGCGGAGACGCGAAAAAGATTGGGGCATGGATCTCGGGAGTTCCATGAATCTCCGGAGCCATACGTGGAACGCATGTGCGGGCAGGTATATTGCCTTTCCCGAGGGCTCTCTGGACATGGTGGGATGAAGTCTGAATATTCAAGGCAGATACCTGGCCTGAACAAGAGGATGTAAATGGAAGATCAGCGGCGAGTTCTAACTTGAAGAAACATGAACACCAGACAAAGCTTGATCTCATGGACCGATGGAAAGTTTTCTCAGCCTAATCCCGTACCCTTGGCGATGGCTCCCAGTGCGTGTATAAGCATGGATTGCAGCAACCGTCAGTCCTCTCAGTTTTCGTCCAGACTGAATATTCATTTCCTCAATTAGAGCGGGCACTTCTCACCCGGGCCGGGCCCAGTGAGACGGATGTTGAACATGCCGTAACCGCACCGGGAGCGCCTTGCAGTAAGGAAACAAAGATGCGCCAACTCAACGTTCAACTGCCACAGCTGATATGGTAGATGCAGCAGTGGCAGATCAATGTTAATCAGCTGTGATCGCAGTGAATGATACTTGGGAAAAGCAAAGGAACTATTACTATCAGGGTGACCCGACCGTGGCAGTCCTGTATGATAGCGGCCCATTGCTATTTTTAGCTGACGCACGTGACAGACGCGTTCATTGTGCAGCTGATGTGACTGTGGCGACGCGTTCTTCCAAGCTGTCTGCCAAGACTCTCCTCAATCCCGGTCTCCAAACTCAACTAAACCATGCCTACGAAGCAAGCACCTACCAGACAGGCTATTACCCTGAAAGGTTCGACAAACCTAGTGACAGAGTTCTTCAAATATGCCGTTAACACGTCGGTCGGAGTTTCTTCCCTCGCATCGATCTTTGGCTAACACTTGTATCATCTATCCTTTCTACACTTTCAGGATACTGTTCCAGCGAGGAGTCTACCCTTCCGATGACTTCCATATGGTGAAGAAGTACGGGCAGACTGTGCTTATTACGCAGGACCTTGCATTGGAAAATTACCTTGACAAGTGAGTGATTCCAGCAGCGCTGAGAAAGAGTAGCCTCATGATATTTGCTGTCATCCAGGATCCTGAAGCAAGTAAACAGTGCGTATAACGAATTCTGTCGTCTGCGTTGTGATTGACGGGTGGCTCGATAGAGTGGCTTTTGACGGGATCTGTGACCCAGCTGGTCCTCGCGATCATCTCCAAGGACACCAGGATAACATTGGAGCGCTGGGTATTCGATGTCAACCTCGTCGAGCAAGAGCAGGACACAGCGGAGCCGTAAGCAAGTCATTGTTCTTCCGCAGCTTGCCATCCTGACAGCCTTATAGGAGGCAGCCAAAGCCCGAGTCCGAGATTCAAGCTGAAATACGCTATATCCTCAAACAGATTGTCTCTACGGTGACGTTCCTGCCGATTATGGACGAGCCAACCGTCTTCAATATACTGGCGTACACTTCCGAGTCAGCAGATATCCCAGCAGATGAATGGGTGGACACCGACCCTCTCGCCATCGAGGCGAGCAAGAGTCAGCAAGTGAAGCTTAGAAGCTTCAGTACCGATGTACACCGGATTGAGGCCATGGTGGCCTACCGCTACGAGGGATGATCTATTCGGGGTGTATGTGCTCGGGCATTCGGGGGTTTCTCTCTAATATTAGGCATTTCCCAATCCATCATTTGGAATACCTTGTCCATTGCTCGGGTCGATATGCCATCGGGATGTCTGCAGTGGACGTGTGACGCATTGCCATCACGATGGCGGTAAAAAGTCCATCTGGACTGCAGGTCTGGTGCGAGATCGTTGATGTGCATCAACTTGAGGCGCCGGTGTTTCTCATTACCTCGTACTCAGAATCTCTTCGTGACCTGTGTGGAGTTCACTGCATAGCGAGTGTAGGATAACGTCGACCGCAACAGTAGGCAGCTATAATTAGCGGAGTGGATTCGGAAATGACAGCGTGGACAAGTCGATTGCCATGGCGCCGGCGGTACACGGTCACGGTGGTCACAGATACATCAGCAAACTGTCTGACTTTAGATATAGCCGGCCTTGTCCCTTACACACAGCGTCTGGCTACGTTTCCCTTTCTCCCCCTCCCCTCTCTACTCTTCATCCTGTTTGTCTGGCCGGTCCCGGACGCCGCTCTTTTTCAAAGCTTTCGGAACTGTATCATTAATCGACAAGCACGACCATGGGTGAAAGCTGGTTCCGTAGAGAGTTCCTGACCCCGAGGAGGCTCGCGTTCAACGTAATATTCTATGGCATACACTTCGCACTCTTTGCATATGGGTGGTACAGCCAGGAAACCAACACGAAGCTGGCTGCCCTCAACGGCCTCAAATGGTCCGTATGGACCTCCCGAGGTGCAGGTCTCGTCCTCGCCTTCGATGGTGGTATGATCCTGGTCCCTATGCTTCGCAACGTCATCCGCGTTGTGCGCCCCAAGCTCCAGTGGTTATTCCCTGCAGATGAGAACATCTGGTTCCACAGGCAGGTCGCGTACTCTATGGCTTTCTGGGCCATGGTACACACAACAGCGCATTATGTCAACTTCTTCAACGTCGAGCGGACCCGTGAGTAATCTATATCTGATTGCGAACAATTGTCTACCACAAATTTCTAACAACACGTGCAGAGGTTCGACCTGAAATTGCGCTGGATATCCACTATACTCAAGCAGGCGGTATCACCGGCCATTTCATGCTCCTCATCATGTTCCTCATGTACAGCACTGCGCACCACAAGATTCGGCAGCAGTGCTTTGAAGCTTTCTGGTACACTCACCACCTTGCGTTCTTTTTCATGATTGGGTTGTATACCCATGCCACCGGTTGCTTCGTCCGTGACTCCGCCGAACCTGCCTACTCTAAAGTATTCCCCTTCTATACCACGGATCATTGCTTGGGTTACGAGAGTTGGAGATTCACTATCTGGCCCGGCATCCTCTACTTCGGCGAGCGCGTCTGGCGAGAAATCCGGGCCAGACAGGCGACAAGGTTGTCAAAGGTCCTCGTCCATCCTAGCGGTATGTCTTTTTTGATTTGATCAGGCTGAACATTGTCTCACGAATACTAGGGGCCATGGAGCTGCGCATCATCAAGCCAAGCTTCAAGTATGTTGCTGGTCAATGGCTCTTCATCCAGGTTCCCGAAATCTCCAAGCTCCAGTGGCATCCCGTAAGATAATTTGCTGGCAGCTAGAGCTAAATACCAGACTAACTGCTCGCTACTAGTTCACTATCACTTCAGCTCCGGAAGATCCTTACGTCTCTGTTCACATTCGTCAAGTTGGTGACTGGACCCACGCCCTAGGCGAGCGCCTCGGCGCTGGCCCTCAGGTTGTCGCTGCCATGACTAAGGCTGCCATGAATGGTACTGAGAAAGACGAGAAGCTGACAATGCTCGGCGCTACCCGCGGCGATTTCGTGGAGATTGAAGGTGGAGCCGGTGCACAAGCACTGCCGACAGTCAGGATCGACGGACCGTACGGCGCGCCTGCTGAAGATGTATTCAACGTGGAAGTGGCAGTCCTGATTGGTGCTGGTATCGGTGTTACGCCTTTCGCTTCGATTCTCAAGCATATCTGGTACCGCCAGAAACGTGGCAACTTGGGTTCTCTCCGCCGGGTAGAATTCTTCTGGGTGTGCCGTGACGCTCCCTCCTTTGGTTGGTTCCAGAGCCTTTTGCAGGAAGTCGAAGCTGCCCAGGCTGATCGTAAGTTGGAGCTTCGTCTACCTGAGGGATCGCTGATATTTATGTGCCGTTAGCCAACTTCTTACGTATCAACATCTATCTCACGCAGAAGATCAGTGAGGACATGCTGTGGAACATCGCTGTGAACGATGCGGGCGCGGAATACGATCCTTTGACTCTCCTCCGTACTCGCACCATGTTCGGCCGTCCCGACTGGAAGAGCATTTACGGTCGGATGAAGCAGGCCATCGAGACAGGCCAGTATCTCCCGGGTACGAATTCTCAGCTCAAGACTAAAGTCGGGGTAAGTCAACATAGTTCGCAAACCAAGTTTCTCTGTTAATTATCACGGTTGTAGACGTACTTCTGTGGACCCGGTGTCCTTGCGAAGGCCATCAAGGAGGCTACGGTCGAATCCTCCTCGTCCGCTGTAGAGTTCTCGTTCGCGAAGGTCCGTCCCTGTTTTCCGATCGTCCCTGAGTGATAACTGAATGTTTACTTTAACCTCCAGGAACATTTCTAGTCGACGCGCACTGTGATGCTATATTGAACGCTCGCTTTCTTATCGGACCATCTTGTCGTATTTAATGTACAGCTAGCTTTCTTGAGTTCGAATCTCATGCTTGTATACCTTACTTCTGGAAGTAGGGCTTTCGGTGGAAGCCAATGATAAAAGAGCGAGTACTGGTGAACCTACAGGACCTCTTGTGTTCATTGTGAGTTGCGAGACTGCACCTGATACTGTCGCAACCTGCAGATTGACCAGGTTTCCTGTGACCTCGGTCACGTGAAAACACCACCGACAGTCACGCCGCGAGTCTCAATTTCTTGCGCGTCGAACGCGTCTCAGCGAGGTGCGCGCAGTCGAAGACGTGCGCAACGAAACTACAGCATCCTTCTTTTGCCTGCGCCAATTACTATGGAGAAAGCCCATGAATTACTGAAGAATGTGTTTGGCTTCTCATCATTTCGCCTGTCTCAGGAGGAAGTAAGAATCTCCAGCTTCCGAGTCCGTTGGTCGCATTCATTACATCCGGATTCTAGGTCATAAAGCGTATTCTCGTTGACAACGACAATGCTCTCGTGCTGTTTCCCACCGGAGGTACTTATGAAGTAGATTCTTGGGCTTGCCCTAATGACATCGCTGTTTAGGTGGAAAGAGTCTGACGTACCAAGTGCCAGCCTTGTGCTTAGATGTGAGGTCCCTCCCTCCCTTTATGATCTTACAGCTGGAACCCTGTGTTTGTTTAGGGCTTGACGCTCGTCATCTCACCTCTCATTGCCCTCATGAGAGATCAAGTGGAAGCCCTGCGTAACCGAGGGGTGAAAGCCGCTAGCTTAGACAGCAGCCTCGATGCTGAGACAACTGCATGGGTGAAGAACGAAGTACTGTCAGGTGCACTCAAGATTCTATACGTAGCGCCGGAAAGGTGAGTGCTGCCATGCGGTGGCCCGTCCCGCGTGCAGAGACTAATCTTGTGCAGATTGAACAACGAGTCCTTCATTGCCATGATGGGTCGTGTCAAAATATCGTTACTTGCCGTTGATGAGTCACATTGCATATCACAGGTGAGCTCCTACCGTCCCATGATGGGTCGTGTCAAAATATCGTTACTTGCCGTTGATGAGTCACATTGCATATCACAGGTGAGCTCCTACCGTCTGATGTTTCAGCGTTGAACGGCAAACATGTCGGTAGTGGGGTGCCAGTTTTCGTCCGGAATACCTGAAGATTGCTCGATTTGCGGAAGAACAAGACGTAGGAAGGGTGCTATGTCTGACAGCCACCGCCACTCAGGCAGTTGCAGAGGACATTTGCAAGTCCTTCTTGATAGACCCCGTTGCAGGGGTATTCCGCACACCTGTTTATCGACCGAAGTAATGGTATTCTCTCTGCACGCTTAGTTCGGTTTCTGACATCATTCACCAGCCTGTCGTTCCAAGTCACCATCGCAACGGATTTGGATTCCAAGGTCAAACAGCTTTTACCTCACCTGAAGGCTCGCACCGGCCCCGCCATCATCTATGTCACCCTGCAGCGGCATGCGGAAGAAGTAGCGAATCACCTGAGACCCCACGGAATCGATCCCCTCGTGTACCACGCAGGCTTGCCTTCCGAACAGCGTGAAAGCGTCCAAAGCGACTTCATGCAGAAACCCGATGCTGTCGTGTGCTGTACCATTGCATTCGGTATGGGGATTGATAAGGCAAATGTGCGACTGGTGAGTATCTTTCCTATGTATAGGGCGCTTGAACATTGGTGTGATGATACGTAGGTGGCTCATCTTTACATGCCGAAGACGCTGGAGAACTACAGCCAGGAAGTCGGTCGAGCTGGTCGCGATGGGCTTCCGTCTACGTGTTTGATGTTTCTTTCAGCCGCTGACATACCAGCCTTGGAAGGCTTCGCTAGGGGCGACACATGTGCAGAAAGAGATCTCCAGCTATGGATGCATGAGGTCGCATCTAAAGGCCCAGCCGCGGATGACACATTGGATTTCAATCTTTACCAACAATCGAAGACGTGAGCGTTTCCTCTTACGAGCACTGTAGATCGGAGAAAGCTAAGCACGTATGATTTGCGTTAGATATGACATCCGGGTATGCCATCACCAACCAGGCAACTGATGAAAGGCACTAACTGACATTGGGTGTAGCCGACCGTTTTGAACCTATGTTACGCTCAGCTTGAACTGGATTATAACCATCTACGTGCAGTCACTCCGTTCTACTCAGTCTATACTTTATCACAGCGCACAGCGAGCGGATGGGCCAAAGTCATGTCGGACAACTCTCAGGCTGCTCGAGTTATCAAAGAAAACTGGTATTCCAAGGCCGGAGGCTACGAAGTAAATGTAACTTTCTGGGGATGTAAGGATCCCTATCTCACGTTGACTTGCTATAGATTGATGTCGTGAACGCGGCGACCAAGTCTGGTGTGGACCGAGCTGCGCTCACCAAGCGAATCAATGACTGGGAGTTCGATGGTAGGTCAATTTGCTTCCTAATGCATTTGGTATGGCTTAACGTCCCTTCGTCAAGGCTCGGTCTCTAGCAAAGCATCACAAGTGAGAGCGGTAAGGTGCATAAGCATTGGCAGGCGTCACTATTTCTAATTCCGACGATTCTCCCAGCGTTACGCCGTGATCAATCCGCTCCCTAAAGATACCACGAGTGTCAATGAGTTGGCGAGCAAGATGCATCAACGTATGGTTGCCAGAGAGGATGAAGCCGTGCAGAAAATCCGCGAAGTTATAAAGTTTGCCACGGACGATGACTGTGAGAATCTTGGGCTCCTCGATAGTGCTGGTTCCTCACGTCTCCGTAGGTCTCGCCCACACTCTGTCAAAGTACTTCGGAGACGTGGAGAGCGTGCCAAATCAAATGTGCGGGTCGTGCACCTTCTGCACTACCGCGGAAGCCGTCCCTTTTAACCCGACTGTCGCTGCTGTTCCCGACCGTGACAAGATCGCAGCCATTCTTGCCGCATGCCCTGAGCGAGACGACCCTCGGCTCCTTGCTCGCATGGCGTTCGGTATCACGTCGCCTAGACTGACGGCTGGCAAGTGGTCAACTTCACACCCGCTCTTTGGGAGTATGGGGGACGTCGACTTCGACGCGCTCATCAAGGCTTTTGATGCTGAGTGCGAGAAGGCGGGCTATCGGCGGACAGAAGCACCCGCGGCAGCGCCTACGAGAAAGCGATCTTATCCTCAGAGCTCGACTAGCTCAAGGGGAGGCTCGTGGGGAAGAGGCAGCGGTAGCAAACGGGCCCGAAGCTGGCGAGGAAGATACAACTGAGTGCAGGAGGGGGTTCATTCCGTTGTAAGAGGTACAGTAGATTACACCGCACTTGCGTCAGTAATGAAGTATGATAAGGCTGTATAGTAGCTAGACGCTGAAATATTACATGTAAAGCGAGTCGATCGGAAACCATTAAATCGCAGTCGTGAAGCGAAAGCTGTACTCGAGCCGGCGGTATCTTATGGTTGATCGAATCCAGGAGACAGAACCCTAGGGTAAGGTTAGTCAGCACGTGGCTAAGAGGAGCTGCTCGTGCGGTAATTCAGACCGACGTTGATGGAGAATGCACGCAGGCCTCGCTACACGTCGCAGGACGTATCACTGTTCAGTTTGTTTCTCGGGTTTCTGCTGTCTCATATCCATCTTTGTCGTCTCTAAAAAGCCCGGCGTTGCGTAAGTCGCCGTTCCCGGCGCTGGCTTTCATAGCCTCGATCATATGTTCCAAAATATAAGGGGAGAGGTCTCGTCCTTCACCCTTCATCTCGCAGACCGAATGACCCCCCTCATCAATGCCGTCAAATCCGAGCTCCAGTCTCTCTCAGACACGATATATAGCGTTGCTGGACCGGCCCCCGACACTGATTTGACTCTGTCCCTATGGGGCATGGACCGTAGTGCCTACAAGGATCTTCAGACATACCGCGGCATGCACTACCACTACTTCTCAATCCCTGCAGTAGGCAGCAAGCCTACGCTTCTGTTTCTACATGGTTTCCCATCCACATCATTTGATTGGCGGTACCAGGTCTCCTACTTCAAGAAGAAGGGGTACGGATTGATCGTGCCGGATATGCTTGGGTATGGAGGGTCGGACAAGCCATTAGAACCGGAGCATTACAAGGCTAGTCTCCTATGTCAAGACATGACGAGCATTTTGGACAATGAGGGCGTTGACAAAGTCATTGTCATTGGACATGATCTGTGCGTAGTCGCATGACGAATCCGGCGCTTGTGCTTGAGCTTATGAAGTCATCCAGGGGTTCAAGGATCGTCTCACGATTGGCGAGTTACTACCCAGAACGGTTTACGGCGTACGCCTTCCTGTCGATAGGTTATACCCCACCAATGCCCAAGTTCGACATGCACCAGGCACTCCAAATGACGAAACAACGGCTTGGGTACGAACTGTACGGCTATTGGATGTTTTTCTCGGCAGAAGGGGCAGACAGGATCGTAGACAACCACGTATGTCATAAGTTGCATTATCTCCGCACTGAGCTGATAGGTGTCCTCCGACAGTGGGACTCGTTCTTCTCCCTAGTCTACCCACATGACCCTACGCTATGGAGGACTGACCTAGCCCCGTTAGGTTGCTGCAAGGCATGGTTACTGGCAAATAAGACCGGCCCTCTTCCGCCTTACCTCTCCCCAGAGGATAAGCAGATCATGTCCACTCTTCTCCGCCCTCTCACCGGGGCTTTGAACTGGTACAAAGTCATGACGGGTGGTGTCCAAGCCGCTGACGACCGCTCTGTGGCCCCCTACCGTTATTCTCTTCCTCCCACAGCACCAGTGCTCTTTGTGGGGTGCGAGAAGGACTACATTGGCCTGGTTGCGGCGCACAAGGCGGCAACAGAGAAGTGCGCGGGGGAGGGGATGGTGCGGACAGAGGTCTTCGATTCCGATCACTGGGTGATGTTCAGCCATGCCGAACGGCTGAACAAGTTACTAGAGGAGTGGATAGGCGATGCTATGCGGCGGAAGGCAGAGGAGCAAGAGCACAAAGGCGAGGCCAATGGCGACAGCAGGCTATAGAGGTTGCGGACATACGGAACATTCATAATATAGTGTATAGGTACTGATATCCGTTTTGCTTATATCCTGCTTTCATCTGTAGTATGCAGTGTACACAGGCTATTTTGTACTGTAACTCATCTGCCTGGGATCTGGTGTAATCTATGGTGTATGAACCCTAGGTTAGGGTTGCGATCTATGTTCTAAGCACAGCCACCATCCGGCTTGTTCTCAACTGCCCCGGATCATCCGCTTCGCGCCAAAGCCCAGAGTGTATGTATCGGGTTGTTTAAGTTCACGCTGCTCAAAAAGAACAAGATATTATTTACACCCACTTCTTTAAGAAAGCATATAGGCCTGTCATCTCGTCCCCCTCGTCGCCGTCCCACCCGTGATTCTTACCTGGTACCTCCTCATAGACCCACCTGTCCCCCTCTCCCCCCGGATCCCTCTCCTTCAAGGCTTCCACGACTTCACGACTCTGCGCCACTTCGACTTTATCATCGTCATCTCCGTGGGTGATGTAGATGGGCGGCAAAGCTTTGTCAGGAGGGTACGACCGAACGAGAACGGAGATCGCATATGCCTCAGCAGGAGGGGTCGTCGAGTCGTAGAGTAGGTCGTTGAGAATTGCGTTCTGAAGCATGTAATCGTACACTGAGAATGAAATGAGTCAACACGCATTAGACTGCAGACCACACGGACTCACTAGAACCGCGATTCATGTCGGGCGTGTTATTAGTCATGACAGGAGCGTCGTGCTTCAAATATGGAGCGACCTTCTCCGTTTCAATCTTGGGAACGCCCCTCGGCCACTGCGGTGTGGTCCAAAACGCGGCGCGAGTGTCAGTAATTGGGAAAATTGCCGTGCAGGCTTTGCTGAATGAAATGTAAGCATCATTAACTGACGAATGTCTACATAGATCACCGACATATCCGCCTTGATATAAAGGGCAGCCAACAAGCTGAGCCAGCCACCCGCAGAACTGCCGCATGTCGCAACTCTGTTGATGTCCACCGTCACCTTCGCGTCCTCTTGCAGCTTCACCGGGAGCTCTTCGCCTATGAACTTAATGGCGTCCGCTACATCGGAGACTATTTCAGGCATGCGCACTTGGGGCGCAAGGCGGTAGTCTGGGGATACCAAGATATGGTTGTATTTGGAGACGCCGTTGATCATATGAGCAGCCAGACGTCCTCGGTGACCTTGCAGCAGACCTCCACCTGGGTGGAAAAGGTGTTGAGAAACAGTACGAGGGCTAGCAGCACGTTGACATACCGTGGAACCATATCAGTACAGGTAGAGGCTTGCCTTGTGCATCTATTGTAGAGGGAACGTAGACGTCAAGTTCGATAGGGATTTTGTCGCCGAATCTTTTGAAGACGTATGTCGCCCTGGGACTGACGGACATAGTTGAACTGAACCTCTTCGCTAATCCTTGTTGCAGTGGGCAAGGTTGGTCAGCACGAGTGACATGCTTGACCTCATATATGTAAGCGGGGGTTCCTCGCACGAAGCGAGTACACGCGCTAGTCCGCAATAGTGGAGGGACCAGGATAGTTAAGGGCAAAACTTGAATAGGACACGCAGAATAAACTATGGGAAGCGGGAGCAGACTGGCCAGTGGCGGATGAATCTGGCGTCCATCACGTGCCCCGGAGGAGGCCGCCTCATCGTCTGACTATGGGGAGGCGCAACGCCCGGTTCCGGTGCGAGTTGATTTGTCAGCAGATTGTGGCTGAAAGGTGGTCGCAAGTATCCCCTCGTATTCTTGTGCATTCCTCTGCTCCATTCTCACCTTATGCATGCATCAGCAATGTATATCACTATTTAGTCTCGTACCCATCCGTTCTGGAGAGGACGCGGACTGATCCGGTCGGACTTTCAAAAAGTTGTGCAAGGTCCTCTCCAGAACGTCTGGTGCACTTCGTTCGAGCACTATTATTGACGTCATAGTGTCACGTATGTCACGGCCCCGTGATCTGACGCGTTCTAATTTTATTCGCTATCGTCCTTGACATTGCTAACTAAATCGCCAGACAATTGATCGATTTCAATGTCGATGACCGATTTGATGCATTCAGCCGCGAAATGCTCCATTACCGCCCGAGCAGCCATTGGCCTCCGATTGGTAGAGCCAACTGTTCTCGGCGCCTTCCACCAGCTATGGACTATCGCAGGAAGCTCTGCACTGCGCATGAGCCTCATGTGATGATAGGACACTTGCATGTCCGATGTACACCCTGGATCACCCCAGCTGATGGCTCGCAGAAATTCTGCTAGGTCCAAGTTCAACTCGGACATTAAAGTGAGGATCTTCTTAACCTTCATGGTCAATGTCCCAGCCTCATTTGTTTGATTGAGGTCGTATTCAGCCTCTTCTTCGCTATCTGAGCTTGCCCGGGCCCCTTCCGCAATGTCTGGTTCGTCATCCGTGTCAGGCTCACTGTAGTACTCTTCATTATCGTATAGAAAGTGAAACTCCCTCCTTGGTGAAGAAAATGTTTGCTCGCTCGCCATGTTGATTTAAGATTTGCTGAGTGGTATATTGAATGCACGAAGACGCGGTACACGAGACAAAAATAGCATCTTCAAACTAACGTTTTGGGCGGGAAAAATGGCAAATCCCGACGGCCCGCTGTCACGTATGACGTCAATAATAGTGCTCGAACGAAGTGCACCAGACGTTCTGGAGAGGACCTTGCACAACTTTTTGAAAGTCCGACCGGATCAGTCCGCGTCCTCTCCAGAACGGATGGGTACGAGACTAATCACTATTGTAAACCAACAAGAAGGGTATTCTACCATTACGGACTGTAGTAGATATAAACATGTCTGTCTCTTCTTATTCCTGAGCTGACCACCATCGGGATGAAATGATGGTCAAGTTCACCGAGGTCAGCAAAGGAGTGCTTAGGGAAGTTATGTATTGTCTTTAGAAACATTTGGAACATATCTATGTGCACACCAGTGGGTGCATTCCCTATCCTTGATACAGATGAGCTTGATTTCCAGGAAGCACAAATCTGTGTAATTAATGGACAAAGCAAGTACTGGATCACAGCTGTAAAAGGCTGAATATATATCTCATGTACTATGTTGATTTTACAGTTTCAACATAGGGGAAGGGACCTGCTTCTGCTGCGGCAGGAGAGCCCGGACAGTGACCAGGATATTTGGTGTGACACTTTTTGCGATGGTGTCACAGCTTGTCACGTCCGCGACGCGTTCGGACGCGTCGTTAATTGCTCTTTACTGCCAGAAAACCTACAGCGTGCTACGTTCACATTCACGCGTCACTTGATTCATAAAAGTTAATCTATATCAACGAGCGGATGCAACGTTGGTTGTACATTTTTGTTAAATGTACTTGCGGTCTCGTTACCTCTATCTAATGAACTTGATACTGGGAAAATCAGAAATTCAAAACCAACGTTGCATCTTCTGTATCATGACATCCCTGCTGGTACATTTTATATGCGTGATTTCGACATGCGGAAGGCTCTATGAAGGCGGGGGATTTGCGACCACTTTCTTGCAGAGTCCAAACAGATGCAAACAACTCGCCGCGCGACCCGGAATTGCGCCTCCCCACTGACTAATCCGGCAGCATCTCTGAGCGCGCCGGAATCTCTCGTCAGAGCTCTCCAGCAGGGCTATTTACGCTCTTGCTCAGCACCGTCGTTTTCTCGTTTCTTACTGACTGACGAGGCCTGTGTATGCTGCAAAGGACACTTCGCTCATCTGGGCTTGCCCGCCGCCGTCTCGCCACTTCCAGCAGGATTGGATGGACACGGACGTTCGCTACTCCCACTGGCGACCAGAAGGACCCCAACTCCAATAAGGAGGTAGAGAAATCTGCAGAGGAGAAAGGCAAGGCGAAGGAGGATGTAGAGAAAGCAAAGGAGTCTCAGCAGGGGCCAGTGGAATTGCCCAAGGGCTTGGAGGGGTTCTTCCAGCGGTACAAGCAAGAGCAGGATTCTCCTAAAGACAATAGCTCGTCCAGACAGTCTTCGCAAGAAGACACCAATCAGCAACGCCAGAAACCTCCACCGCCTCCGCCTCAGGGCGGCAATAACTTGAATCCCAACCAGCTTGCGTTGCTCGGTGTTTCTGCCGCGATCATCTACGCTCTTTCCAGTTCGAATGCATCCAGCTCGCGCGAGATCACTTGGCAGGAGTTCCGGACGGCTTTCCTTGACCGGGGCTTGGTGGAGAAACTCATTGTAGTGAATGGACACAAAGTACGCATTAAGCTCCATCCCAATGCGACGTCAACCGTCTACCCGGGAGCACCGCTTGGAGGGGGTGACTTCTATTTCTCCATTGGCAGCGTGGATGCCTTCGAGAGGAAGCTTGATGAGGCGCAGGCTGAGCTTGGGATTCCCAGTCACGAGCGAATACCTGTCGCGTATCACGATGAGATCTCGACAGTGGGAACGCTCTTGCAGTTTGCGCCTACACTCCTCTTTGCGGGTTTGCTCTTGTGGATGAGCCGGCGGGCAAGCTCATCAGGCGGAGGAGCAGGGGGCATCTTCAATATCGGCAAGAGCAAGGCCAAGATGTTCAATAAGGACACCGATGTCAAGGTCCGCTTCAAGGACGTTGCAGGCATGGACGAAGCCAAGGAAGAAATCATGGAGTTCGTTAAGTTCCTCAAAGAGCCCGCACGGTACGAGAAGCTCGGTGCCAAGATCCCTCGCGGCGCTATTCTTTCCGGTCCCCCGGGGACGGGTAAGACGCTGCTGGCCAAGGCGACGGCAGGCGAGGCCTCAGTGCCTTTCTTGTCCGTCTCTGGATCTGAATTCGTGGAGATGTTTGTGGGTGTCGGTTCCTCCCGTGTGCGTGACCTGTTCGCGTCGGCGAAGAAGAACGCACCATGTATCATCTTCATTGATGAGATCGACGCCATTGGTAAAGCCCGTGGCAAAGGTGGAGGAATCGGTGGTAACGACGAGCGAGAATCGACACTCAACCAGTTGCTCGTTGAGATGGACGGTTTCTCAACCAGCGAGCATATCGTTGTTCTTGCCGGTACCAACAGACCGGATGTGTTGGACCCTGCTCTCATGCGCCCCGGACGATTCGACAGGCACATTGCTATCGACCGACCCGATGTCTCCGGACGGAAGGGAATTTTCGAGGTTCACTTGAAACCTCTCAGGCTATCACCAAATCTGCCGCCGCTCGGCGATTTCGCACAGAAACTGGCTGTCCTCACGCCAGGTTTCTCCGGTGCTGACATCGCAAATGTGTGCAATGAAGCGGCTTTGCATGCTGCTCGCGCTGGTTCCGAGTACGTGGAGGAAAGGAATTTCGAGACCGCTATCGAGCGGGTGATTGCGGGTCTGGAGAGGAAGAGCCGAGTGCTGAGCAAGGAGGAGAAGAAGACGGTGGCATACCATGAAGCTGGCCACGCTATCTGTGGTTGGTTCTTAGAACACGCCGATCCTCTCCTCAAAGTCAGCATCATTCCGAGGGGTGTTGGAGCGCTGGGATATGCTCAAGTATGTTGCCTCTCACTAACATGTCTCCGCAACTAAATGAGTGTTATAGTACTTGCCTCCGGATCGCTACCTCCTTTCAACGCCCCAAATGATGGACCGGATATGCATGACGCTCGGTGGTCGTGTGTCTGAGGAGATATTCTTTGGGCACGAGAATATTACAACGGGTGCCCAAGACGATCTTCAGAAGATCACTAGGATGGCTTTTGAAGCCTGTGCCAACTATGGTATGAATGATATCATTGGCCCCGTCAGCTACGGCGGACGGGAGGGTCAGAGGGAAAGCTGGCAGAAACCCTTCAGTGAAAAGACCGGCGAGATGTTGGACAACGAAGTACGGAAGATGATTACGTGAGTGTACTCGCATCTGAGGGTATGGTTGCCGTCTGATGACGGTCCAACAGTAACTGTCACCGACGCACGACGGAATTGCTCACAGAGCACAAGGAGGATGTTGAGAAAGTTGCTAAGCTCCTCTTAGAGAAGGAAGTGATCACAAGGTTCGTCACTCATGTGGATGCCGACGTGTACAGACGCTCAGTCGCGATGTTTTATAGAGAGGATATGATCCGCCTTCTAGGCAAACGTCCATTTGGAAGTCGATCGGATGACATGGACAAATGGTTGGACGAGCACCCTCCATCTGAGCGGCACGCGCCTCAGCCATTCCCCGAAGGGCCTGCGCAGGACGGCCTTGATCAGCCCCCTGCACCAGCACCGCTCGCCACAAGTTCGAGAGTGACGACTGTTGAAGAGTTCTTCAGGAGATAATCTTGGGTGACATGTATGGTCTAGACGGACACCATGTACTGTATCTATAGTTAATAGCACTTCCCAAGCAACCTTGTGGTTGCGCTTGTGCCCCCACTCAAGGTTTCGCCCGCTCAATTGCGCTTGCTAGGATATTAGGGCCGTCATGCCATTAGTCTACACACGACGATGGATTTTACAGAAAGCAAGTAGACTGTCCGAGCAGAACCCCCTCATTCCTCCGCCTGCTGTGTTGGGGATGGAGGTCCATGTCGCTGTTTGAAGAATCGTTTCCGCTTCTCCTCTACGGACTCATTCGCGCCGTGCCCAGCAATGGTCTGGCCTGAATAATCGAACACGCCTACTGCAGCGCCAAGGACCGCACAGGATGCGACAGCCATTGGTAGTGATCGGGCTAGTGGACATCCTGCGTCAGAATCATGACCGGTTGAGGTACACTGATGCTCACAGCGAAGGCCAGCCAAAAAGCCGGCAGCGCAGCCCCCCGCAACTCCATTAATAGGATCATCCCTCTGACGTTGGTTTGCTACGACGGACTCGGTCAAGGCAAACGCTGCACCCATGCCAGCTTCACGCACGGAGACTTGAGCATGTTCAAAGACCAAGACAACAGGGAGCGAGGCGTACCAAAAACACCAATAGTACCTCCATAACGTGTGAGGAAACCGGCTGTACCTCGACTATGCGTACCCAGTGCATTCTGGATGGTGCTCACGAAGAGGCCGACAACAGCTGCTTGCGACCCGACCTTGGCTGCATACCGGAGAGACGGCTTTGGGTCGTACGGGAGACCTTCGACGGTTACGAGCCCACCAGGAGGGCTGTAGGTCGTTGACGCAGACATCGGGACGTTGAAATGAGCGGGTGCTCAGTGGATGAGTGGATGGAAGTAGCCGGTGGCGGTCGGGATGCCGCAACTTCGCAGGGAACAAGCTAACCGATTCCGTCAACTACGAACGCGTCTCTGACTGAGATTACTTTTACCCTACTGTCGACTATGGAGTCAGAACGGGCAGACATGCCTTGGTATAGACAGCCGCAGAACCCGATCCCATTCTCTATAAACCGGAAGATAACTGTTTGTCTTCCTTCGAGAGGTTCTAATGTGGCCGAGCTGAGACAGATCTAGTCGAATGATCCTGCCCGAAGTGCATTCACTTCCGTTGCTAGTTTTCCTTGGTCTATGTCTTCCTTGTCAAACCTTTGTGACGGGAGCCTGGACAGCGGGAATGCACGATCTCAGTGGACCCAAGTCGTCCAGGATTGTTCAGGCGCCTCAGTGGTGGGCGCGAAAGGCAGAATATATATCATGCCTCGTCCTGGTGAACGGCGGACGCCTTTGTGCGTAAGGGTTCCTGAAGGGGTACGTTGTCCATACAATCATGGAACACTCTTCTAACTTGGAAGAGCAGGACAATCATTTACATAGCGCCGATATACGATGTGTTGCTTGGGCTATGTGTTCTCTTCTGGTCCCGGAAGTGGTGGTCCTCTTCGCAGCCGCAAGTTTGCTGTACGTAGTGGATGTTAGAAGGCACGGCATTATCGGTTATCTCCGTGGTCACGGCGGCGTCAGTGTGCACGTTCCCCGACTGGCTCCGCTAACTTCAGTTCTTTCAGCCAATAACGTCGATTTCTGTGCATCCAGTACATCCATACATAATCTGTACTACGTCCAGAGACTTCACCACGAGGATCTATGATCTCACACAAACTCCCGCTCAATACCCGAATAATCCGCACTGGCCTCCATCAAAGGAGCCTAGTATGGCTGGAGCTGCCTTTGGCCTGCAAATGTCGGAACCTGAGGGTCAAGGAGTCGGTCGCTGTGTAGCCGTACTGGCGGGAGGTCGCTCTGGAGGCCATCAGGCCGCCGTTCTAGGTGCAGTACGTCAGATCAGTGACTTGTCCATCCTTACGACACCGGAAAGAGGACTACATAGTGCTTCCATCCGGTCCTCCCGTTGATCGCCACCTGCGGGGTAGGTTTATTATCTATAACATCTGCCACTCCAGCTCAGTTGTGACAAGATGGACCGTGCTGCAAAAATATGGCCGATACCATCGTTAGAAAGCGAAGGGATAACTAGGGAGGACAAGCCGTTCTTTAGCACGACAATCCTGCACCAAGCCCGAATACTATCTATCACGTGGTATGTGCTGCCTACCCACCTTATTGCCCCTGCAAATAACTCCGTCTGTATTAAAGGTTAAGCCAAGATGTGTTACTCACTCACAGTGCCCCCGCTCTTCTTCGCACCGACCCGGACGACAGGAACAGTGAAGTGTACGAAGCCGAGGGTACCCTGGCTATCTGGCGATGGCTCGGCGTCGACAGATTCTTTCCACCAGGTTACGAGTCTTCCGCGTCGCAAAGGATTAAAAGAGGATGCGCTTCCGTACGTTTCTTTCTCGAGCGACATTGATATAACATAATATTGCATATTAGGATTATCAGGAGAGTGGTGAGCACGGCTGATTATCTGACGCGAGTTGCTCTACCGCGACACTAATGGCTGATCTAGCATCCTTCAAGGTTATATCCGTCCTCAAGCTTCCGACGATAACAAGGCATCTGCATGTCTATCAGTCACCGTGTCATGATCCCATAGTCATTGTCCCGCAACGGAACAAACTTAAGGTATTGAACGTTTGTCATCTCGAGCCGTGTCCTCCTCCGCAGTTTCCCTTCAAAAGCGAGATAGCAGCGCGCTTCAGGTCTTCCAGCAGCATCACATTGGACAACGGGGGCGACCTCAAGCCGGGCCTGCACGACCTTAGTCCGGGTTGTTGGGAACTCGTAGCACCTGTGGATAGGACCGACTCAGACTCTGTGAACATCGAGGCCTGCGAAGTCTCTCAAGCGGGAAGACTTATCACAGCTGTAGGGACCGATGGCCACATCTGGATCTGGCGCCTACAGGGTTAGGGTAGCGAGATCCCCTTGTCTGCATGGAGATTCTTGCCTTTCGATTACCGGCTCGCCTGATATCTTTGTACATAATCCCACTACGTGCTGGCTTATCCTTGTACCTCGCATTTGTATTGGGGTATACATATCTATTGGGAACATGGGGGAAAGTTATGGGCTATGCAAGATGAATGAGGGCAGTATGATGCGCATGCAAATATACAAGACTCGAAATCCAGTGGTCCTTTAGATACTATCCAATCGAAGCATTACACACACGTTCAATCCGCGTCCAGCGGCGTGGTCGCTCCTCCAACGCTTCCTCTACCTTTTCCACGATTCGATGGTTTCCTCGTAAACCGGGGAATATGGGACATAGTGAGTTCTTCGTCGTCACCGTCGACGCTGACATCAGAGCTGTCGTCGGAATACGTCTGAGCCCTCGGATCATCATCCCCCTCTGGAGGCAGCACCGGCCTTGTCCATCGTGCAGCTGACCGGACACCGTCGACCCATCGTAATGTCTCTATGCCGATCTGTCGTACTTTCCGGGTTCGTAAACGCCAGTGCCTAGGTCGCGCACTCTTTGAGCTGGCTGGACTCGACCTTCCGTCATCAGCTGAAAGACTAAGCCGATCTTTGGGCTCCTCTTCCTCAACGTGGCCCTTTGCTGGTACAGCCGCGAGCATGCGTGGATCTGATGGGAAGACCAAAGGCAGCATGTATCGTGAATCCAGCAATTCTCCGAGCACCTGAGGAGGTTTCGCGGGCTCCCACGCCTCGAGATCTTGTGAATTGTCGAAGAGCATGTCTATGTTCCTTTGAGCGAAGTAGAGTTGAGACGATGACACTGTCGAGACAGATTGCGAACTGTCGTCTAACGACGCTGTACCGTCGTTGAAATTCGACGAGCCGCTCTCGTCGTAGTCTCGATCTCGATCATCGATCTAGAAAGCCACAGTTATAGACGGGCGACTAAGGCACCGCCCTAACTCACCTCCTTCCTCATTGCTTCCACGCCGAGTTTAACTCGATGTCTTTCCCAATCTTTCTGTAGTTGCGCAAGGTACTGGCTACATTCTTCGGTCATTCGGCTTTCGTTAACCTCATACTTATAGTCCTTCACTGCCCTGCGCATCTGAGGGATCATGAGAAATCAGTAGATGGTTGAACGTAGACCCCTACCTGAAGCGGGTTCAGGTCCTTCAGTTGCTGGATCGTAGCAATCAAGTCTGAAAACTCGGTGACAGAGGAGAGACACTATCAGAGGTTAGCCAGAACGAGAGAAAACTGAGTGGCATGGTTGTACCTGCAGCCAGCTGAGGAGATCCCAGACCGGACCGAAGTGTGAGAGCACCCCGCGGGGAAGTCCCATTTGATTCGCCCATTGTTTCAACTGCTTCAAGTTGGCTTCGATCTGAGTGGCGCGTGATCTGCATACATTGGTGATCCGTCGTCCATGAAGATCAAGACAGACCTACCGGCAAAGGTACTTCTTCCGTGTTAGTATCCGATTAAACATTTCGCCTAACTGTCCGTCAGTCCCCCTTGTGTGAAATTAAGAGGATTGCGTGTTCTTACATGCTGTCCAGTACATTATCTGTGACCACAGTTGTGTTATGAGAGCAGGGTTTACTCCGGATAGCGTCAGTAAGGTATGCAAGGCTGTCAGGAAAGATGTAACGTCCGCAGGCGATGGTGTTGCAGAAGTCTCCTGGAACAAAGCTTGTAAAGGCGTAGTAGGACCGCGATTACGAGCGAATGACTGAGTGAAGGAAGAAAATGTCCGTTGCTGGGGAGACCCCACAGCTGGCGGAGAAGGAGGTCGCGTGAGATCTGGAGACGGCTGTGCACTGCCATTGCGTATCGTGGCCGGTACAGAAGAGGAGCCACCAGGTTGTGCCGTCTTTCTTTTCCCAGCCAGGGACCTTAAGAAGGACCATTCAGATTCGAATTGAATCGACTCGAGGTCGGACGCCGGATGGGCATAGTCTAACAGCGCAGAGTCGAGATGCTCGTCGATCTTTCTTTCAGCAAAGCGGATGATGAAAACTGTCGGAAGCGGAGAAAGAGATTGTCAACGTAAACCTGTGGAAGGAACGAGCGACGCATACCGAACACAGAGTTAATCAGCTCCTCAATGATATCGAAGGAACCAAGCATATCACAAGCCTCGCTGATCGACTGGTCACACCGCATGAGATGGAGCCACACTGTCGTGTTGTACAGCCAAAATACTAGGCACGTTATGTCGTCTGCTTGGTTCTACAAGCAACAGTTGGCGATGGTGCATCACGACAAGAGGTAGGACGCACGAAAACGGTCTCTTCGATACTGTCGGTGGCACCGATGATCAGGTCTTCGAGCCATGTGTGATCGCAGGTTAAGCAGGCAAACCGAGCCAGTAAATACAGCACATTGGCAGGCTCCGAGTTGCCCAACGCGATAGGGAAGTTTCCGATCAGCGACTGGAAAATATAGGGCAACGAGGACGGTGAGAATACGAGCATAGTGGTGAAGTCCAGAGGTGGTGTCTAAGGCAGAGTCAGCGAGTGGCCAAGGAACCGTAGCATCTACGTACAAACAAGGCATCTTCCATGTCCTCGTCTTCGCCGTCGTCCTCCGTTTCACTGAGCACGTTATCGTCTCCCCACCATCTCGGCTTGATTTGCAGAATCCGCGCAACATTGTCGCGCACGCTCCTATTCTTGCCCTTAATTTTAGCGTGTCTTTCGACGTGCCGACGTCGCTCCTCCTTCTTGCCGCCGGACCATCCCTCACTGCGCATGGCTTCCTCTAGTAGCAAGGCCACGTCTTCTCGTCCGGGCATAGTGGAGTGCGCGGTTACGATGTCCAGGGCGGTCAGCTTGCGCCGCGTCTCCGTAAACAAAGAACATCCGTGGGTCGACAGATAAGAGACCAGCGTCGGAGGAGCCAGAAGCGCAGCATAGTGCAGAGGCGTCCATCCAGCTACCGTACGTTAGCCTATGAAATTCACAAGAATAACTAGGCATACCTTTATCTGCTGCATTCACGTCCGCTCCCTGCGAAACCAGAAGCCGGACACATTCCTCCCTCTCGACATCGCGGTCCGACTCGGCCCCGAACCCCAAGGTAGTTATGCTCACAAGCCCGAGCCCATCCTCGTCCTGGGCATTGAGGTCAATGAACTGCTGGGCCTGCGGATCATTGAGAAGGAACGTCAATGATGTGATGTCGCCAAAGACGCAGGCTCGATTCAAACAATGCGAGGCTAGCTCCGTCTTCTGCGCAGGGGAAAGACCCGAGTGCGGCGAGAGCAGCGTCGCCAACTGGGCAGGCGTCGGGTAGAGGGGGTGCAGGTCGGGTTCGGGTGACAAGTCCAAGGGTGGCAACGATGTGGAGGCCATTAGCGACAGCGAACGCGGCCCCGCAGGCTCTAGTACGTTATGCTGAGAGCTCCCGAGTGTATGCGCATACGGCGTATTATGTCTAAGCTCGCTCGAATGCAGCGATCAAGGTTGTGCTACACGCATGATGGCGGATAGACCTGCGTTCCCATTTAGGCAACCGTACTCGGATCTTTTGCATTCAAAGTCGGTCGACCCGTCGCGGCTGCACACAACGATCGCACACACTTGGCCAGGCGACCTGCTCAGATGCATCCCACGAAACGACGAAGAGTCTCTGCAGAACCACCCTCAAGTCCGGCTGCCTCGGATGCAGAGGTGCTCAGTGAACAAGGCCCCTCTTCAAATAGAGAAGTCGACGATGAGCAAGATTGGGTGTCCGCCTCTGAAGAACAGTCGGCGGACGAACACGGTTCCCCAGACACAGAAGATGAGATAGCTCAGGCCAAGCGGTCCAAATCCAAGAAGACGTTAAAACGGAAACGTCGCGCGACCGACCCTTCCAGCTTTGGTACCACTTTGCAGTCTCTACTGAGCACTGAGACTCCTACCACACTTCCTTTATCATTAAAACCCTCTCTCAACCGCAAGCGTAACGATGAGAAGCTCGAGTTGAAAGCGAAGAAGGTTCTGAGGACAGAGAAAAAGGAGAAGGATGAAAAGGGCAGAATCCGTGACGTGATTGGAGGGTGGGGAGGGGAGAGCGAGAGAGCATTACGAAAAGTAGCGCAAAGAGGAGGTGAGATGCTCAACAAATGTTTGCTTACATTCACGCTAACGATCGTCTATGCAGTGGTGAAGTTATTCAACGCCATTCAGCAGACTCAGGCCGCGTCTGCGGTCGCGGCTGAGCAGGCCAAGGCGAACAGGGGAACTGGAAAGCCTACCTTACCTGCTCCTGACTTTAGCAAAAAGTCCAAGGGGAAACACAAGACTAAGAATGAAGTCTCTAGCCATAGTGGGGGTAAGGAAGGTGAGAGTGGTATTTTGTCGCCTGCATCGCTTCTGCTGACTCGATTTACAGCCACCCTAGACAAGGATAATTTCCTGGATATCATTCGCTCCGGAGGGTTAGTTTCGAAGGCGTAGTTCTTGGGGACCGTTTGTCTGTTGGAGGGCGTAGTCCAGCCGTTCACCCGGTTCTTGACCGTCTTGCCGTCATGCGTCTTGGAATATGTGCTACGAGCACAGGGCCGACGGTGTCCCTGACCAGCCCCCCATTCCATAGCTATGGCTTCGTCGGCCTCGTGTGTTCTATATAGCACTTCGTGTGTGCCGGTGCATGCCAGTGTATGCCACATGTACCCTAAAATCACGCTTATTCGGTTCCGCACTTGAAGCATGAGTATCATGTCCAGACTCTATCACATTAGGCATGCAAGGACATGAATTACTTTCCAGACTAACTATCATGGTAGTGATCTACAACGGTGCAACTTGAATGAAGTGGCTGTTACGGACGTTTCCGACCGGCCCTCAAGTAGACTGCTTCTTCCGGCCTTAAATTTCTTTCGCTCTGACCTTACCATGGTGTGTACAGTTTTTTTCTCCATGCGTCCCTATGCTCAGACTCAATGGAGGTCCCTCCCTCTGACAGTCTTCTTCGAAGACCGAGATACACAAGGAAGAATGGAACCGCCGGCTGCATGAGGTTCAGGTAACCAAAAGGTGAGCATCCTGACCCACCTCGAGCGTGCGCTGCGATCCAAGGATGAGAAAATTCATTGGGAATCTCGCTGATACTCCATGACGAGTTTTGAAAAATATGCATGTATTATCTGAATTTGCAGTGCTCGCGCTCTTTCTACATCGATCCGTAGTCATGGACTAGTGAACTGACCTACCGATTCGTACGACTAGGGACCTGAATCGTCTGATCATGGACTATTTGGTTATCGAGGGATACAAGTCGGCTGCAGAAGAGTTTAGTCAGGAAGCAGGTCTTCCCCCACCTGTGGACTTCGAGAGTATCGAGAGCCGGATGAACATTCGAGAAGCGATACAACGAGGGGACGTCGAGGACGCTATCATGCGGATGAATGATCTGAATCCAGAGGTAAGTGCTGCTGCTCTTCTCTCTCCCCACGCCTGCCCGGTGCGGGTCAGCAGGATTAAATCTTTTCATGCACCACTCTGAGACATTGTCTCTGAGGATAACCAAACACCAAAACTTCAGTCTTCAATATGATTCTTTGGATATCCATTGGTTTCAACGCTTTTATGACGCCGTACTAACATCAGCATCGCATAGATACTGGATACGAACCCTGCGCTCTACTTCCGGCTACAGCAGCAAAAGCTTATTGAATACATCCGACATAACCGAGTGGCGGAAGCGTTGCAGTTCGCGCAAGAGGAGCTTGCTCCGAGAGGGGAGGAGAGTCCCGAGTTCCTGTCAGAGCTAGAGCGGACGATGGCCTTGCTTGTATTTGATTCTGCCTCGGCGCCAGCGGGTATATCGGAACTACTATCGCCTGCTCAGAGAGTGAAGACGGCCGGGGAAGTGAACGCAGCCATTCTAGAGAGCTCTAGCCAAGGGAAGGAAGCAAAGCTCGTTGGCTTACTCAAGTTATTGTCGTGGGGGGAGGCCATGCTTTCTGAACGTGCGGAATTTCCGAGGGTATGTGACCCCAATTCGTGGAGCGTGCTCGGTATTAATGAACCATTAGGTCGATCTGCGATCGCAGCTTGTGCCTGAGAAGGAGGATATGGTGATGCACAGTTTTGTTTAGACGTGATGAAGCCTTCGTCTCGAGGGATGTACAATTGTTGGGCTGTATAGTACTCGTTTGGTCGCAACGCTATGGGGATAGTTCGGTTCCACCACTGCCGTTTGAGCTGTAGGCGTCACGGTCTCGATAGGAACGAGGAAAACAACGGACGCCTTGGATCCATACTAGCAAAGAAGGTTTCATGTATCGTTGGACCGATACCGGTGAAACGCGTGCATGCTGGAATTCGTGGAAAGGATGCGCGTATGTTGGCATCTAGATCCGTGGCTGTAATTGAGCACTAATTCCAGCGGCAGAGGAGTCTTCCGACCGCCTTCCTCGGCCGCGATATACCACCGGTCAGGCTGCATTCCCGCGGGTATCAGGATGTGGGTTCGCAACCGGACCAGATTGGCCTGCGCGAGGGCAATTAGCTGTCGCGAAATGGGCCATTGTTTGATAAATGTACAAGATCAAAGCTGCATCAGATATGAAAAGATTTGGGAGCATACGCTGCAGCACAACCCTAAACGAGCAGGGCGGCGGAGGAAATTACAGCGTTTCCGGGGAAAAGAGAAATACCAAATTTGGGCGGCATTGTCTGCCTTCCTTTTACCGCGCAGCCACAACCCGCCTCGCCAGCCCTTCCCGTTACTCCAGTATTGTGCTGGCTTGCAGGCGTCTGCCAGGACCGCTGCCGCAGCTGTTCTTGCTTTCGCTCCGTCTCCTCCTTCCGCGATACGTTGGCCTGTGCTGGTCTGTCAACGATCGTCTCCGCCGCCTACGAATTACCTGCCATACCCGCCCTGCACGGCTCCTGCTCGACGTGTCTGCGCTGCTTTTTATCACTTGACTACTCATGACGGACAACATCAGGTCTGCGACTGCGAAGGCTCGCAAGCCACCACGCAAGCTCGTCGTCGTCAATCCCAATCCAGACTCCGATAGCAATGGCGACGACGACGACGATAGACGCTCCAATAACGTCTCGCAGCCTCTGTACTATGAATATCGTGGGCATTCAGTGGCAAGCCCCTCCGCTCTTTCTCCTCCTTTCGAACAGCCGCCGCTCGCTTCCAGCTCTCACAGGCCTCATCCGTTGACGACCACTGATTTGTCTGAAACGCAAGGGATCAATTCTCGTTCACGATCCAATCCTACCCTTTCCTCCCCTTCTACTGCAAGCTCACCGGCCGCTGAGTCTACCCCTCCGCCCAGTACACCTGGGCAGTCGGTAGGCCCCGTCGATCTCACGGGTGATACCAGCCAGAATGCGGAACCCCACATCAGGTCATTTGGCTCCAGCACAGATGTCGCCAGCACCAGCTCGCAGTCCCGCAATCTTTTTGATAAGATCAAGTCTGTCCCAGGCATGGTAGCACGTAACAGTCGTCGCGGATCCAGCCACAGAAGGCCGGCTACGGTGAGTGAGTTTATAACGCTCATAATTGCAGTTGCTGATAGCGATCTACTACAGTCTCCAACGGTGCCCACAACGTCGGCAGATTCATACACGTCGCCATCCTCAACGGTCGGCGAGAATGTTATCATCTTGGTCACAACCGACGCGGATGCTTATCACGCCGTGCCGATATCTCGCGCGAAGGATCCTGTATTTATTAGGGAGAGGATATATACTAAGGTAAGCGCTAGCTGTGATAGTCACCTCTATCTTGGATCCAACGCCGTTCGCCAGTTACAGATATCTGACGAGGATCAACCGTACTATTCAATCTATCGGACCAAGATTGGTGCATACGCATTGGGAGATGCATTGTCTGACGAGCAGTTGTTCGACATATGTCGTGCCCAGGGCGACAGTTCTGGTTCTGTCATTTTCTTTGCCTGTCATTCCTCAGCTCGGATGCAGGACAATTCTGTGCATGCGAGCTCTCCGGTTACGAGGAGTTGCCCGCCTCCTGTCCCGCCTCCTGTGCTGAACCCTGGCCCACTTTCTCCTCCAAGACGCTGCAAACCCAGTGGCAGGTCTCGGTTTGATAGCGCATCCTCCACCAGTGAACCGGCCCGGGCGGACGTCGCCGCTGGTTATGAGCCTTCAGTGTCGGACGACATGGAGGATCAGGACGTTTCGTTGAACAGACGCGCAGCCCGACTTCCGATGCGGCAGCCTAGCAGTCGATTGAAGGCTGCTGCTGGGGCACCTTCCTCCCCCGGCGCGGGTGTTAAGGCTCACTATGGATACCCTTCGGGCCATACCCCCACGTCTACGAATCAGTCAGTTAGGCCGCTTTCACCGTCAGAAACGTATACTGGACGCACTCGGCCAGTCGATCCTTTGAGAATTGACAAATCTGGTGGCCCTACCTCTTCTGTTCCGCCGAATGGATGGTCCCCGGGGGCTTCCCGATACGCTACTCAGCAGGATCCTTACATATCTTCAAATTATTCATCATCCCACTTGCGGAATCTGTCTGATGCTGCTTCTGACAGAGAGCGGGCCCTGCGGGAATCCGAATCTCGTATTGAACTCGCCGGGAAATACTGGAAGCCCCAGAGGGATGGCAGAGATAGATACACCCCTAGACAGAGTGGAGAGAATGAATCCCCTGAGCCTTGGGTCGTCGTTCCCCGCGATACACCGTCAACCGCTCAAGGGCAGCACAAGGTTCGCTCGCAGCCGTCCCAAGAACTATCGCGCTCCCCGCCTTTGTCTAGAGGCGGTTTCGATAGGGATCGAGCAGAACGAAAGTTACCGAACGAGAGGTCTGTCGGTCGTCTGACCATCCCCACTGCTCCCCGTAATCCTCCTCCGGCTCCCCCAAGTGGTCGTACTCCCCAACCCCAGCGTATACCCGCGTCGTGGAATGCCTCCTTCAACCCAGCCCCCAAAGGTGAAAGCCCGTGGACTCCTAGACTGGCTACAGCCAAGAGCATGAGTGACTTGAAAAATCCTATTCCATCGTCTCTTACGCCTGGAGGCCGTCGTGGGAACCACTTGCCGGTCAGCGGTCAGCCTGGAGAACAGCGTACCGTGAAGATGCAGATGAGCAGCACGAATTTGCGAGGACCGTACGAACCGTCCCGCACAGGGGCATTCTCGCCACCTCCAAGGTCGCGACCTTTACCATCGTTGAGTGTCCCTCATACATCGGAGTTAAACCAAAACAGCCGTGCACCGACGTCCTTCTCGAGTAATTACCCGGGCCTTCTGTCCCCCAATCGAGAGCCCTTCCCTCGTCCTTCGTCTGCACTTGGTGATGTGTCCTCGCCAGAAGCACAGACCAATGGCCGGACTGGTCCTTCTCCTGCTGATATTGTGCACGAATCGGATGTCTTGCGTGCACGTTACGCAGACACTGTGCAGCCACCTTTACCTCCCAAGCCTCACTTGGATCCTCCTAACGAGAGGCCTTCCGATGTGTATGCTGGCTTGGCCGATCCAGTGGCTCCTTATCAGACGAGCCCGCCGCCCAGGAGTCCCGTCAGTCCCCTGGGGCCACGACCTGAGAAGCCTCATTTCGATACGCCATCTCCAAGCCTTGCAACACCAGTTGGAACTACACCGCATCAGGACAGCCCTGAAGAAAGCTCCGAGTCGACTCTCAAGGGTGGCGAGCATGACTGGTTCCGTCATTACCTTCAGCAGCCGCACTCTGACTCTTCCACTCTTATTCCTCCTTTGTCGGTGAAGTCCAGTCCCTTTCAATCCCATACGACAGCCTCAAGCAATGATTCTGGGGTTGATTTCGGGAATAATGGCTCTGCTTCTACATTCATGTCTCACAGCTCCAGGGTTTCCATACCTGAAGAGGGTTCGGATAGCGGGGAAGATACTGGTACTGGGTTGTGGGCTAGACCACCCCTCACAGTGCAGACGGGCTTCCCGCCACCACCACCTCCGCCACCTCCCATTCCGCCACCACCACCTCCCCAGATGACCTCTGAGAATAGCGGCAGAGGGCGACGAGTGAGCGTTTTTGTAAACAACGATCAAGATACATGGGCTGTCCGTCCGCCACCCGAAGACGTTTACGAGCGTCTGGAGGAGTTCTTCCCTGGTCACGACCTAGACAAGCCTGTCATCGATGCGAGCACCGGCGGGACCTCCCCTACCACCACGGAGCATCCCATTCCTCTTCCTCCCGAGCCTACTGAGAAACGGTGGAAGCACAAGAAATCCATTCGTGTCGTGGCTGCCGAACACAAGAAGAAGATCGACCGGACGTCACGCATGGATCCATCCTCTCTCGCCAGCGATGTCCGGAGACACAGGAGTACCAAGCTGTGGGACAAGCAGACTGAGGAGGTGACAGCGGAGAAACTCAGGTCGTCGGTCCCGGAGTCTCCGTCGCCGTCTGCTCCGCCCAAACGTAAGTCAGGGTTTCGGCGACGCACCCGTTTTATTTACTAAATTTGAGATACGCAGCCATATTCAAATGGGTTCGAGGTGAAATCATTGGCAAGGGTACTTATGGGAAAGTGTACCTTGCTCTCAACGCCACCACTGGTGAAATGATTGCCGTGAAGCAAGTCGAGATTCCTCGAACTGCCAGCGACAAGAATGACGATCGTCAGCTGACGCTTGTGCAAGCGTTGAAGCAGGAAAGCGAGACCCTGAAGGATCTGGACCATCCAAACATCGTGCAGTATCTTGGGTTTGAAGAAACTCCGACTCATCTGAGCATGTGAGTGACGACTTTCCACTAATATGTTCGAGTCTGGCTTATATTACCCTACAGCTTCCTTGAGTATGTTCCTGGTGGTTCGATTGGTGGCTGCCTCAAGAAGCACGGGAAGTTTGACGAGAACGTCACGAAGTCATTTACGTGGCAGATCCTCAATGGTCTCGAATACCTCCATTCCAAAGGCATCCTACATCGAGTGCGTGTGCTTGTCTATTTTCTCTGAACCCTCGGTGAACGTTTTGGTAGGATTTGAAAGCCGACAACATCCTAGTCGAAGCTACCGGTGTCTGTAAGATATCAGACTTCGGCATTTCAAAGAGGACAGACGACGTGAACGCCAACGGTCAATTCACGGCCATGCAAGGAACAGTGTTCTGGATGGCCCCGGAGATGATCAACTCCAAGGAGAATGGATACAATTCAAAGATCGACATCTGGAGCGTCGGCTGTATAGTCCTGGAGATGTGGGCAGGCGAGCGGCCTTGGAGTACGGAAGAGATGGTAGCTGTGATGTTCAAGGTATGTATTGCTCATTTGGGCATGAATCACGGACACTGAAGTGCTGCTGTTATTAGTTGTATGGCAAGGCCGCCCCGCCTGTCCCGCAGAATGTCCATCTGTCCGCGTTGGCTGACGATTTCCGACGAAAATGTTTCGCGATGTGAGTAATTCTTATCGCTGTTGTTGATGACAGAAGCTGACGAACTATTGTAGTAACCCCGATGACCGGCCCACGGCGGCTGAGCTTCGACGACATAAATACCTGATACTCCCACCGGACTGGGTTTTTAATGGTTTCAAGTAGGCGAGGATATACTGACATCAGGAACTGCTTCTTGTCTTCGCATCACTGTCTCTTCTCTTTGCGCGCATCTATCTTTCATCTGTTTTATCTACCTTCCATCTTCCACAACGCATCTAAGCATCCGCATCACATTTGTCCAGTATATCCCTGTACCAGCACGTTGCTTAATTTACCGTCATCGCTATATAATTCCGGGCCTGACCATGACCTGCCCTGATCACGATCGGGTGGTGGAAGCAAACCACGTCTGTCTGAGAGGCTGTGCAGAGACGTCATCCTTGTCCATCGCCCTCGCGAGCACAGGCTGCACAGCCACTGACAGGACGTCGTATCGCCCATGGCGGATGCAGACCAGGCCATCACCCAAGCCGGTTCGCCTGAGCCCAACTCGTATCACTCCCGTGCTGAAGCTGCAAGGAGGATTCAAAATGCGTGGAGAACCACAAAGCCCCGTGCAAACGACAATTATCTTACAAGCGATGTACGCTGGGAGGACGCCGCCGTACATGCCAAGCTGAAAGTGAGATTAATACCCAAAAATCTAAGGTAATGCACAACGTCCTAATCTGAGAAGGTCGACAGGAGTGCGGCCGAGCAGGGCAAGAACGACCCTCGCTCGCGATGGCACAGGGCCGCATTCGACATCAGTCGGTTGGAGGACCAGGACCAGATGCTTTCGAGCTCCGGCACCCATGATGCCACAGCTGTCCATAAGATTCTTGAGACGCAGCATTGGCTGGAACTCATTGATGGGTAAGGTGCTTCCGGCCGTTTGTTACTTTCAAGGCTTAACACCGCGTTTAGCAAGCATCGCTATGGCTCGAATCGTTGAGTATCGTCGTCTGTCATATCGTGCCCTCCGCTCATTAATCTGATAAGTCAAGGCTAGCAATGCATTCTCCAGTTGACGTTCATGTGACCTGACTTGCTGTTGGGCCCAGTATTATCACAAACGATGGCAGCAAGAGGATACTGAGGAGAACTTCTTCAAGTGGTGAATGACCAGCCAGACATATCCCATATGTGATACTCATCCAGATTTTGCGAAACGTGCAGGCTGGACCGTGGCGGAGGGAAAGATCTGTCACTGCCTGAGTGTTCCAGAGATAAATTGGAATCAGAGGTATGTCCCATTTACATCATGCCTTGCTCGAGACTGACTCCTTGGGTCAGCGAATAACGTGAATGCTAGTTAGTGTCTAGATGCGACCTATTCTCTGACTTGAGACATATTTCAGGTATCTTTCGTCCGAACAAAGTGAATTCGCTAGGGGCGCGCCTCTGATTGCATCGGTCGCTGATGAAAGGCATAGGACTCAATTATCTTGTGGAAATCGACGAGCAAGGCAAGTTGCGCTGGGCACGGAACCACGAACTCGTGGACACAACCGCAGGGCGCTGGAAAGACGCAGGCGGCGGGGCGGGGATCGTGCCTGCCGACCCCGCCGACTCCCCCGAGGATCAGTTCAAGCCGCAGAGGCGGGAGAGCTTCGCCTCTGCTGCGTCCTCCAGCTCGTCGTCCGTGTCCTCGGACTCGATGCACTACAACGGCCCGCCGAAGGGGAAGAATCCCGTCAGCAGGGCCGTGCAGAGGAATCTGACGATCAAGGGGATGACCGATAGGGTATTGAAGAAGACTCTCAAGAAGAATACTTGGATATATGTTGCGGTAAGGTTATGGTGTGCAGTTTTGTTTTGTGTTCTTACCAGTTTGGTTCGTCTTCAGGACCGGCATTGTACGTGTCTCACATCACCCAGACGTGTTCTCTCTGAAGGGGTATGCTCGATAGGCAATCTGTTTATCGGTATCAAGGGTATGTTTGCCCCTCTCACTACTCCAGATTGGAATGATGCGTATGTCCTTGTAGATCAAGGGAAATTCCAGCACTCGTCCTTCTTGGGCGGTGGTCTAGTTACCTCTGCAGGTCTGATATCGGTCAAAGACGGAGTCATCCATTCCCTATCACCGTTATCGGGACACTACAGGTTGGTGTATATATACTAGCCATCCGGATATAAATGTCAGCATTGATTATTCGCAGGACATCAATAGACGTGGGGTTGCACTTGTCATAGCGTGTGTACCCAACTAATGCGTAGTTGTGCAGCACTATCGCAAATTCCTAGAAATACTGAAGCAACGCGGCGTCGATACTCACAAGGTCGAGCAAACGAAGGCCGAGCTTGCATTATGGGGGTACGCTCTGGTGTCCCTCATGTTGATAATGAGAACTCACATCGATCTTCTCTCGTAGAATTGAGCACCTCGCGAAAGCGAAGAAATGGCCCAGTCAAGTCGCTTCAGAGGGAAAGAAGAGAATAAGCGGGATCTTCCATCCATCACCCCAGGGAGATGGCAAGGGGGAGAAGGGACACAAAGCAGAAACCTTGGAAGAGGAACTTGTGGATGACCTCAGTTCGTGGAAGAAAGAGGTGCTGTACGGGAGGAAAGGGTTGTGTGAGGAGGCCAAATCGGCGACGTCACCACATGGAAAGGAGGGTGAGAAGGGAATGTCTCAACAGCAGCACGAAGGTAACGGCCAGGAAGAGAGCGCCAATGCAGACCAAGGTGCGAAGATGGGGACCTTGTTAGGCTCTCAGCATGAAGGAGGCGCGCAGAACTGACAAAGAGTAATATCTGCGCCGTCTCGGGGGATAGGATACTGAGGCACTGATATACCCAAGGTACCACCTGGTATTCTCGGGGCCCATAGATATTTCTCTTCGACATGTTGATACAGCTTTGTTGGACACGACATATCATGCTCTTCCCCATTTGCTTTCAAATTTCATAACGCTGACCGGAAGCGATGCCTGGAAGACCCGAACATAAGCCAGGGCGCGTTGTCCGTATACACTCCGCGATTCACCTTTTCGTCATAATCGACCCATTCACCGCCCTCAAGCTCGACTTCATTAAAGACGGTACCCGACTCCGCCCCGACACACTTCCATGTCCCCTGTATTAGGCCATGCTAAACATGTGCGAAGGAGGAAAATACGCAGGTCCATACCCTAGGATCAAAGTTGGTGAACTCGAGACCGCGACAGTCGATCGTAACCAGAGGCGCGAATTGGCCAGAAGAATCAGCCGTGTAGGGCTGGGGTGGATTGGCGGGCTCGAACTTGGCCGAGCTTTCCCGTTTACAGAGACCACATCGCCACACAAAGTTAGCAGTGCTACCTTTCCCTCCCGCTACGTTCTTCTCTTCCTAGTGCGGGTTATCAGCGAACTCCAGGGCTCGGATAGCGCGCAGGTCGCAGTACCAGACGGTTTAGGGATACGTATTTGGGATGGACCTCGTTACAGCTGGTGCATTTAACCTGGGCAGCTGAATGTCAGATACATAATGCGAGCCTTGAGCACTGACCTCGAAGAAGTACTCGAAGGAGTCGGAGGCAGGGATGAGATCCGTGACATTCTCGAGGTCGGCTTTTATGGAGAGCAAGAGGCGCTGGCCGTCAGAGCATGAATGGGCTGAGCAAGCCCGCGACAAGAGCGCTGGGGCAACTCACGACCATGCCGGCAAGCCAGACAAGAGCTGGCGTTGTGGATGCAGACAAGCAGATAAAGCCCAGCGCGCAGGCTGAGATGCCAAAAATGGACTGGATCGGCGTGCACGCGACATTTCTTCGCTGCTTCGAGCACTCGTCGCTGTCCACGATGGCCGCGGCCATGCAAGCCCCCTTCGAGCACGCCATGTCCCTGTCCCAGAGCACAGCGCCCCCGACGAACATATTCACGCTCTCCGCCCAGCCTATTCGCGTCTTCGTCGAGGCATCAGGGGTGCAATCACGGCCAAAGCTTATTCGTTCCTTACGTGTATGTTTCCCTGATGCCCATGCCCACTTCCTCTCTGATACTGATGCTTGTCCCAGAATGCTGGAGCGCATATATCCCTGAGTCCAAACGATGCGCAAGTGATTCTGGTTGATTCTTCCACTCTGGAAGGTGTACAATTCGTCCGTGAATGGACCGCGGACTCTGGCAAGGTCGTGCTGGAAGCGATCTGGGCTCGCAAATGTATGAAGGCCGGGAGACTCCTCTGGGACGCAGACAATTGGGGAGGATGTCTCTGCGCCCTCTCGAGTGACGGCCAGAGTGTCGTGATCGCCACTCCCCAGGAGGAGCCCAAGTGAGTCCCCTTTACGCATTTGCTTTGTGTCATTTTTCTTACTCATCATAAGCCATCTCCCTACCCCAAGCCCGACACCAACAAGGCCTGTACCAGGTCCCAGTGCAAGGCCTGCAGCGCCCCCAGCACCAGCTGCAGAGAGTCGGCCTCTTTCCAGTAGTGGCACCGCGCATAGCAATGGTGCCGCTGCTGTGGCTCAGTCGAGTCGCCGTAGTTCCTCCGTACAATTGAACCATGTCCCATCCCCAGGACCATCGTCGTATCCGCCTCCCCCACCTCCCTCTCAGGGCACACCGCAGCTTCCATACCCTCAGTTGCAGACTCCTGCACAGCTGCTGGCCCTTCAGCAGCAGATGCAGCAAATCCCCCCCAATATACTCCCAGAACTACTCAACATGTATGCTTTGCAGCGTATGACGTATCCGGGCTTGCCTATGATGCCTTACAACCCCATGTTTTATCCCTCTCAGCCTGACCAGGCTCAAAATATCCCATACAATCCGCTGCAGCCCCATCCGTCGCAACCACTGCCGCAGCCCCAACAACAGCAGCAACAACCTTACTCGCCGCTCAGGATGTCGAACATGTCTCCACCTCCACCGGTTGCACGACCGCCAAGCGCACGACCACCCTATTCCTCGTCTTCGCAGACCTCGAGAGATGCGCAATCGCCCTTCTCTAGACCCGTTTCGTCATCTCATAAACGCAAAACGCCGCCCTCCTTGTCACCTTCTTCCTATTCACCTTCGCCCTCGCCGTCAGCGTCTGCTGCCTCTGTTTCGACCCCTATGCGATCGAAGGGTAAGGAGCCCGCTGACTCGCATAGGGACGCGACTCCCGACCTCTCACAGCCTAGCCAGACAGCCTCGTCGTCGCGAGGGTCGCCACCTCGGCGGACGATCCTTTCTCACCGGAGACCTGGTGAAATCTTCATCTCGGACGCTGGAGAGCCTCTCCTCTTTCACGTGCAGGTGGACCTCAAAAATCGGATGCAAGTATTGCAGGCCATCAAGGTAACGTTGCACGTTCCCGCGATCCACTCGAATAATCCCGCTGACTGCTCTGTAGAAGAACGGTGGAAAGATCACACCGGACATCGAAAACGCGGACTATATTATCCTGTACACGCGCTCCAAGACATTCAACGCTCTGTACGACAGCACGGAGGCCAACGGCAAGGTTCCCGTCCAGCCTACGTTTGTCCTGGACTGCGTCGAAGAGAACGCGCTGCTCGATCCTGAGAACTACATCCTCGAGCATCCGGACCCGAAACGCAGGCGGAAGAAGGCGAAGAACAAGACCAAGGCTAACGGGAAGGGGACGCCTGCGAAGAGCAAGGCTGCCTCGGCTAAGAGGACGAGGAGGACGAGGATAGTCCCGGTTTCGGGTGACGACGACGGAGGAGGCGTAGGGGATTCCCCGCCGCCCCCTACTAATACCATCCTGCTTCCCACTGGGAAGTATCTGTTTACAGACGAAGAGCGAGAGTATGCGAGGGATTACATTGAGCTGTGCCTGACGAGGGATCCTACTACGAGCGGGACGCGAATTGCCCAAAAGCTGGCAGCGAAGGTGAGAGGACTTCCGTGCACGATCTGGTTCGAGCGTTTCGTATTGAAATTCGGCTGTCCCAGATGCCCAATCACACGCCTAGCTCTTGGAGCACCGTTGTCGGTAGGATGAATGCGTGGACTGACTCCGTCAGAAAGCGGGTTTCCGCCTCACGTATGCAGCCGCAAAGTGCTGCAGACGCTCCTACTCCGGATGGTGTGTCCCATGGTACTGGAGGCGGTGGCGGGGAAGTTAGCCAAGCTGGTGGATCTGCAGATGATATATACCACCAAGAGCTCAACTATCTGGTGCATTTTTTGATGACCAATGATCCTAATGAAAGCGAAGAGCAGACGTTCCAGAGGCTGGAGAATCAAGTGAGTGCGACAGCTCTCGTGATGGATGTAGGGCCAACGATATTTTCAATTCTCAGGCACCTTGTCGAACGTCTGCAAGTTGGATCCAATTTTATGATGAACATGTGGAAGACATCACTAGAGCCTTAGGGTTCGATGCGGGAGGTGTAGCGCCTGAATCTGGTCACATGAATCCCGAACCCAAGGTCGAAGAGACGTGAGACATGAAACTAATAGACAGTAAGATTATTCTTGGTCCGGTCGTGTAGTTGTACCAAATGTATGAACTCGACTAGCAATCCTAATTTGCTCCGCAGCCTCAGGAATGGCCCAACGGCGTGGTATATTACGGGAAGGCATTGGGTACAACAAGAATCCAGAGCATATAGAGTATTCAGACCCCGTGAGTGTTCTAAGTGTTTAGGCCAAGCCTGCCGCCTTCATGATCTGGAGAGAATCAGTCGGATCGTCTTCTTTATGAATAGCGCGATAAATAGCATACCTCGAGCATCTTCGGACCGATCATTGCAGGACTGTCTACGACGTTCACCCCGGCCTTCTGCAGGGCCGCAATCTTATCTCCGGCGGCTCCTAGCGATACGGCATGAAGGAGTTTGATCCGGCTCAATTTAGACAAGTTCCGTACCTTTGCCGCCAGCGATAATTGCACCTGCATGTCCCATTCGGCGACCTGGAGGCGCTGTGCGGCCAGCAATAAAGCCGACTACGGGCTTTGGATTACTGCGAGTCTTGTTGTATTGTTCCAGGTACTCCGCAGCTTCTTCCTCCATGCTACCACCGATTTCACCGATGATGACGATACCTGAACAAACATGAGACCGCGAGGACAGGTGGCTAACACAATCTCGGGCACTAACCCTCAGTCTTGGGGTCGTCAAGGAACACCTTGATGACATCGACATGCTTGGTTCCAGGGAATGGGTCACCGCCGACGCCAACGCATAAGGACTGGCCCAATCCAACATCGGTAGTCTGAGCCACAGCCTCGTACGTCAAAGTACCGGAGCGGGAGACAATTCCTGCGAGTGTCAGTTGTCAGTCAGACAAAGGTGTATCAACTGTATGGACGCTCGGACCAATTTTGCCAGGCTTATGGATATGACCTGGTTGGATGCCCATTTTGCACCCCTCCGGGTTGATGATACCAGGGCAATTGGGTCCAACTAAACGCGACTTTGACTGACTCCTCAGCGCATGCATGACCTAGAGTCCCAATAGGAGATGTAGCCGGCAACTTAAGGGGATACTAGATACACGCACCTTTATCTCATCCGCTTGTGGGATGCCTTCGGTGATGCACACAATAAGACCAATCTCGTTCTCGATGGCTTCAAGAATGGCGTCGGCTGCAGTAGGTGGAGGAACGTATAGAACCGTCGCGTCTGGTTGCGTCTCCCGGACCGCCTTAACAAACATGAGTACAGCCCATTATAAGAAGATAACCTCATAAACACACCTCCTTCACCGAGCCAAAGATGGGTAAACCCAGATGCGTCTGCCCGGCTTTCTTAGGAGACACACCGCCCACCATCTTCGTTCCGTACGCCAAAGCCTCTCGGACATGGAAAGTACCCTAACGTAGCCTCAGCGGGAGGCGCGAAGCGTCATAACAGCACACAGCGTACAGTCTTTCCTGTCATGCCCTGACATAGGACCTTGGTGTCTTTGTGTATGCGCAAATTCGCGATGGTATCATCATAACTCTTCCGCGCCGCGGATTGCGAGAAAGCCCGACGCCCGACTGCAGGAGACACTGTCTCAGTAATTAACGGGATAGATAGGTGTCGTTGTGCGCCTTACCGCTGCTCGTCAGCGACCGGCCAGTACGGGACAACATTGTAGCAAGGTGGTAGAGCAAGCCGAAGCAGGTGAAGTGAGCTGGCGCAAACGGTCAATTTACCCGTGTTTCTTGAGGCACTCCTCGGAGCAACCGTGTGCGCCGGAGCCGATAACTGGTCGCAGCGATCGCCCTCTGCGCGAACGTTTCACGGGCTGACTTAGACTTTCTCAGATGGTTTCTCATCCATGGGTAATGTACAGTTACTCATTACAGATGCACTTCTAATTATACCAAAACACAGAGACGGGTGCAGGCGACGTGCACCATATAGGCACAGCACATTATGAATCCAGGGGTCCCATTCGACGCCGGTCTCGCGCCCTTCGCGAGGCCCGATGGAGTGCGAGCATTGCGTATTTCACCCTGTCCGGCTGTTTCGAATTTATGCACCTGATGAAAGCCAGTCAGACTAGCATCGCTCTTGAAAGGGAGTACGTACCCTGTGACGTCTGCTAAGAACTGGGTCTTAACTTGATGAGGCGCGGCGGATGTTGGTAGCTGTTGTAGTACTTGAGGTAACCACGAAAGCATTTGGGTGGGCCACAGCGTAGTAAGCACGCGGAATATTGTGACCACAACGGAAGTCGAGTCCTCCGGAAAGTCGCCCACTAGACCTGACAACAGGTAGCCCACAAGCTGCAGGCCTTCCTTCTCGACGACGGCGCGTATGGCGGCTGCGTAAATCGGGAATTTAGGAGGTGGGACAGCAGGCGGATCCAAGCAGTCGTGGGTTAACATCATACGGAATAGATCCAGTGAAGCGAAAATGATATCGGAATGAATCATGGTCAGAGCAGCCATAGCTATCCGGAAGGCCAGAGGGAAGGCGGATGATTGGAAAAATAGATCAGGAGTATAGTCAATCATTTGAAGTAGGAGGCGAAGATAATCTTCCATGACTGCGAGCAATCACAGTGAACAGCAAGTAGCAATGGAAGGCAGAGAATCCCTTACCGTCTGGCATATCCTGTGGAGCCTTCAGTTGCAGAAGCGACACAACCTTCGTCGTGGACCGCTCGTATGTATCGCGGAATGCGTTCCTTAGCTCGGGATTCTCCTCATTTCCGAACCTATTGATGAGTTTCCCAGCAATCCAAATGTAACTTGGTAGACCTGTTCTCTCGAATGCAGTGGACATCCTTGCGAGAACTGAAGGTGCAATGGGGAGCACCGCAGACCCAAAGAAGTGCATGCCATGCCGAAGCACACGGGTTGCCCGTTCGCAGACTTCGTAGTCGGCCTGATATTCCGCGAGAAACGCGTCGAAGATAGTCCATGCTTCATGGCAAGTGTTTTGACATGACGGTGGCAACTCTTCCCCGAAAGACTGTACTACGTGCAACATGACTTCCAAGTTTTCCAGTCCATCTTCAGATGATTTAGTCTCAAGTGATCGACCTAGAACGATAGAGAATTCACTTACTACAAACGTCCTGTAACTCTTGCTTGGTGGCAGGAGACCCCTTGGATACGATAGCGTGAACTTTGGCAAGGATATCCATAGAAAACGTGCGGAGTGATTGAGCAGCCTGTTCCATGGGCATTGCAGAGATAACGTATGCAATGGCTTCATAAACTTGCATCTTGTCTTCCTGGGATAGTTTAGCGCCTACTGAGCTCAAGAAAGTATGCAATTGAGGCAAGAAATCAACCAAGTGCTTGACGATCGTGAGTACATGCTTGCGCCACGGTAAGCATAGATACATACCCGCCTGCAGTCCTGACAAAGGTATTTAAGTGCTTGACCCGCTGCAGCATTCACTTCCGCATCCGCGGCCTCAAAGCCAGCAGATATATACTGCAATTGAAATTGGATATATTCTGGATGTGCGTTGATCCACTCCGTGTATCGCGAAATAATGAGCAGAGCTGCATAGCGAATCCGGGGATGGTCTGGAAGTGTCGGGATTAGATCCATTATCTTCGGAACAGCCTTCTTATCCGTCGGGTCAACTTCTGCACCCATAGAACGCATAGAGAAGAGGGGCGCTTCGATTTCCTGCCAAGATGCACCACTAGGACCGCGAGCCAGGACATTAACAATCATGTCGTACGCCGTCATCAGGCAGGTTTCCGTCCCCAAAACATAACAGCAGTCCTTGAGAGTATCACCCATGATGTGTCTGAAACTCCGGAAATCATCCGCGTCTTGCCCGACCAGTGTCTCCATGTCAGTCGGAAAATGGAGGTGCCGAATTATCACAACCATGAGAGTCTTGTATGCATCGAGGAACAGCGGGGAAACCGTTGGTTTCTTTCCGATGCTCTGAGCAAGTCTCATCCAGAAGTGGAACGTGATGGGAACCACATCCAAGTCTGGGTATGCTGAGCATTCTCCAATAGCTTCAACTATCGGGAAGAAGGTCTCGGTGTGCTGCAGGACCAGAAGACGATATGTCTCCCCTGCTTCAGTGAAGATTCGAGCGTACCCCTTGACTTTGTCGACGTCGTCCTTCACCTCCTGCAGTTTGGGCCGGAGAGCGATGACACGGGGCACGATCACTTCGATGACCGGCATGTTGTCCTCGATTTCTTGTGTCTCGTGGATAAGATCGCATATAACGTCCACGGCGGCATCAAATAATTCATCGGAGGCAAGAGCTTCGAATGCATACCCCAGAAGGGGTGTAGCAGCCATTTCCTGAGCAGATATTTCACCCGCCACGAGCCAACTGCGCAAGCAGTTGAAGATCTGCGCTTGAATAGCAGACGTAACACCTAGTCAAGGCGATAAACGTGATATGTTCTGTAAATTGAGTTCAAGATATCTCACCAGAGGCTTGGATGTACATGGACAGGAGGTCCAGCACTGTTTTCGCATTTGCAGTGAGGATTGTCTGTGCTCTTTCCCTGTACTCGTCGTCCTATCCAGAGGATCAGGGCCTGATCACGGGAATTCAAGATGGTCACTGACTGTGACAGGGATTTTGGTATTGGTCGTCAACTCCTCGGGTAGGACCGTCAAGAAATGCAGCAGAGCAGGGACGGTGACAGGATTCTTTCCAAGCTTTTCGATCAATGTTTCGACCGGATTACGCCATGCAGGTAATTGTAGAGCAAGACCTGAGACCGCAAGGCAGAGCTGGATCAGGATCGTACGGGGCCCGGAGTGATAGTGTTCGATAGCAGTCACAAGGGTGTCTCGCAGGGAGAGGAGATTTGCCTCATCTACTTGATGGAGATCGTACGTGACCTACAACACATGAGACTTGCGGTACGCGACTTCAGACAATGGAACGCACCTTCATCCGAAACGTTTGGGCCGCAAACTGCTTCGCCGCTGGTGGCGCATCTGGAGAGAGGAGAAGTACATTGCATGTTGACCATGCTTCCGGCTAGTTGATAATGAGCAAAAGCTAGGTGCGAAGGTGGCTTGAGGCGAAGTACGTACAGAATGCTGGAATTCCTGCAGCCAATTATTCGCACTGTCCAACGAGGTCTTGTCGGGCGCCCGACTAAAGACATCTAAAGCAGAAAGCAATGATTGAATCTCTGCCATCCAAGCGAATCGGGTGTATAGAGCTATAGAGTATGTATATGAAGTCCCAGATGCTGAAAGGTGCAGTCCGACGCGCCACAGAGATTTCGCTAATCAGGATCTGTTTGCCTTTATTGACATTTGGTGGCACACCCTCTATGCAGCTTCCGCTTACTACAGGTCACTCGAGCATATAGCAGAATGTCATCAAAAACCCATCATTAACTGAAAAACTCCATGCAGGACATAATATAGACAAAATCGACTGAGAGACGAGGGGCGACATGGACGCCCGGATATCCATGTTAAAAGGAGTGTGGTTTTATCGTCCGTAAGGCGGTAAGATAGAGGAAGGAGAGGGGAAGCAATGCAGCGGAGATGCCCAGTAAGGGATGAGGTACTGTACGGGGGGTTACAGGACAAGACACCAAGAGAAACTATAATGCACAAAGGCGACTCGAAATCCAGCAACGACAAGCTTACGGTATACGGTCGCTGGCTCAGGTACGGCCTGCTTAAGGACGTATCCAGCGATTCTTCTTCGGCCCAGTCTGGAAAGATGTGTCAGCGATGACCATAGACAACAGCATGTTCCACACTTACGCTGCCTTTTTCAGGTGTAAGTGGCCGACCACTCTCGATTCTGCGCTTCTTGTCCTCGAGGTCAAGGCGCTGCTTCTCGAGCGACTCCTTCATATCCTTGTGCCTGGCGTAAAGCTCTTCTTCGGACTGCGTGAGTTTCGCCTCTTTTTCTTGGACTTTCTGCTGGAAGACCATCTTCATCTCAGCCTCCATCTTCGCGAGCTTGGCCTCATGCATAATACGCTCTTCCTGCATCTTAGCAGCAGGGCTAATGGACGTAAAACGTTAAACCAGTGCGGAAATAGACACACCAGACACTCACTTGACTTCCTGGAAGACCGAAGGATCTTGTGCAATACCCATGCTGAGGAGTTTCTCTGTACGCCAGTTCTCGTAGAGAACGTCGTTGGTGTACTCCCGGAGCTCCTCCATATACGTCCGGATGAGCATCTGCCGCAGTTTAACGAAATCGCAATGGTCCTCGTTGTCGACTTCGACGACACCCCAAGGGTAGGCACGACCCCGGACTTTACGACCATCTGGAGTTTCCACTACCTTATCGGAACCTACAACTGCAAACGGAATCTTGCTCGCTATTTCCTCCGCTTCAGCTATGGCTTCCTCGTCCTCGTTCTCGTACGTTGGCGCCTCGAAGATGTGGATGTTATGGTAGGCAATATCCGCGAGCACCTGTTTGGATTTGTCAGCAATGCTCTCAACTCGCTCTGTATGGAAACTTACACGGGCTTTGAACTCCGCGACCTCTTCGTCCGTCATGGTATCCGCCTTGGCGATGATAGGAATCAGGTTAACTTTGTTGTGAAGCCGGCGCATGAATTCGATGTCAAGGGGCTTTAAGCTTCGTAGGGTCATTACTTGCTTCCGGATATTGAACTAAAAAATGTAGCTTACGAGTGACCAGTGGGCTGGATGAAGTACAGGCAAGCGTGAACGCGGTTGTCAACAATCTTGGCCCTGTTTACACGATTCTCCTGCTCCAGGTAGGAGTCGAACCGGGATTCGATGTTCTCGACAATAGGCTTCCAGCTATAGGATGGTGTTAGTACATGTCAGCAGCTAGGAACAATGGACGTGCCTATCGTCATTGTTAACGAAATCACCGAAACCAGGAGTATCCACCACGGTGAGACGAAGGCGGACACCGTTCTCCTCAATGTCTGTGACAGAGCACGGTTAGGTGGGCGCTAAGGCGGTCACAAATAGCTATTGGCATACCGGCGCTTATGCTCTCGATAGCGACCGTTTTCGGCCGTTCCGCGCTGGGAGGAGGCGGCTCCTTGGGTGCGTACAGCTGTGTCTCAAACAGCGTGTTGACGAGAGTGGACTTGCCAAGACCCGATTCACCTGCAGGTGGCGAGTCGAGGGATTTTAGTCGAATAACCTGATATGCAACATCGACGTGTCTCACGCACCGACAACCATCGCAGTGAACTGGAACCCCTTCCTTACACTCTTCCTATGCACTTGGTTCGGAAGGTTTGCGAAGCCGACATACCCCATTAGCTTTTTCCGCAATACTGGCGAGATGCCAGCGGGACCGGCAGGCGTCGCCAGAGATGGATTGGACCCGTTGGCCATGCCGTTTGGCGAGGGAGAGACATCGCCGTTTGTGCGAGAGGAAGCGTACGAGTCCGTCATCTGTACCAGGACAATGAATGAGGATTAGTCGGCCACGTAGCGACGCTGAGAGCGTACTTTAGTGTAGACTGCGACGGGGGGCAGGAAGGTTGGCTGTCGGCGTTGGCCTTGTTTTGGACCCCGCGCTTCTGTCTGTTTGCGCTCGGTGGCGTTTCCATGCACACCTGGCTTCTCTGTCTGCCTCTTCGACTTGGTAAAATGGAAAATACCTCTATAGCTCTAGGATATCCTTCCTGGATGCACTCACTGACAGCGACTACTATGCTTACCATGATTGGTACTTAGGCTTGAAAGGTGTCGTGGAGCCGATCGTGGCTCTCGAAACATTGTCAGGGCACCATGCTTCAGACGCGCTGCAGCCTTCAGGCAGGCAAACTATTCCTATTTTCAGAGCTAGCTACCATATTTGCGGATATGAATCCTGCAGCCATGCATAGAAGTCATATTCGAGATATCAGTGAACGCGTCCCTGCCGTACCGCCGAAGCTTGCATCCTTCGGTATCACTGGCAGCTTCGGGTTAGAACGCCCACTATATCATATGTAGATATAACAGTGCATTGATACGCAAGCGCTTGAATATTCTCTAATGTTTACGTCGTCTCGTGTCGCAAGCATGCCATCGCTGGGACCCCCTGATGGGTGTCGGGCAGCCGTCAAACAGTCAAAATGAAGAGCAGGGTGTCGCAGCTCCTTCGAAATAAAGTAAAGATAGCAACGCATGACCAGCCGGCACAAGAAATACAGCGAAGTACTCTGTCTAAGCCGTGGAGGCAGCCTGTGGCGGAGCAGACTGGATCTGCCTTGGTGACGGCAGCCATTCCTGTGGGAAGTCTCTAATGGACGGATGCCTGCCTTTCTGTGCTCCTCGCCCACCCTTGTTGGTCTTCTGGGCCTTGGCATCCAGATGTCTCGTATCAAGAGGAATGTCAGCAAATCGTTCATTGTTCTGTGGAAGTGGTGTAAGGTTAGGGCAAGAGATATGCGCTGAGATGGCGGACATACGTTGGCCTCGTCGATCAACCTGTCCAAGGTATCGCTGACCCACTTCAGGTTCATGGCTGGCTTAGGGAAGTCTTCGCATGATATTTTGATATACCCATGGTCCCCGGCGTTTTCAGAGGGCGATATCCCAGCGTCCCGAGGAGGTTCGGGACTCCAGCGCACACCCGCCAGCAACTTCATTTTATGGATAGCGATGTCATTCTTCAAGGGTAGCTTGGACACCGGTACGACTATGCTTCTCTTCACGCTAGCGGGGTGCTCTTCACCTCCATAGGATATGGAGCGAACGACTAGAGGGGTCGCTTCTAATGGGGGAGGGTTGAAGGGTTTCCGGAACGCTGAAACGCGAATGAATGCGATACGAAAGGCCAAATACACAAGACTGACCGACGAGCTTTGGCATTTCATGTTCAATGAGACGCATGTAATATAGGGTCTGCCGCTGCTGCTGCAGAAGGATATGACCAGCGGAGGACGTGTCGTTGGGGATGGGTTCATCCTCGAAGTCTGCTTCGAAGTCAACGTCGAGGCGATCTTCCTCGCGCAGTAAAAATTTGGGCGACCGGCGCGCAACCTGACATAGTACCGAAGCAGAAAAGTGTCTCGAGCTCGAAGCTGCGCGCACCGGCAGCGTACAACCTCTTGGGAGCCGCATCTTGAGCTCGTCTGGAATTTGGCAAGTCCAATGGCGGGATCTACTTAGAGTGACCGTCACCGTCACTCCCTTCACACCACCTTTCATGTTATCACACTTCGCAACTCCAGACGCGCTCGCATGTGAAATCCTAAGTGACATCACTTGCAACCACTGCGAGCTCAAAATGCAAGCCCTTGCAGGGAGTCCTTTGTCTGCACCGTCATGTCTGTCGCCAATGCTAGTCTCAGCATCGTACAAGAATACATATCTACGTCCCAGAAACTCGCGAAGCAAGGCCGGATCCTTCCTCTGGTCTCGCCCTGGCGAGCATACCAAGTGATCCTCCAACTGATCTACATATGGTTGCAAGGGATCATAATTCTTCTGTTCAAACCCGTGAGTGAAATATTTGAAGTCTCTCCAACTGGACTAACCACCGGAGTCCGTTAGACCCCTCCAAAATCTCCCGACCAGCCGACGAAACCGTTGGGTAGAGTGGCTGTGGTCGGTGCTGGGCTGACCGGAATATCATCTGCTGCGTGAGGTCTAGCTAGAACGTCCCTTTCTATTGACTTAATTGACTCTGTGATAGACACGCAATCGCGCACGGCTTCGATGTGGTCATTTACGAGGGTAAGTGCCTCATCGCGTTTGCTTATGACCTACCCTTGACGGTTATGCTTTCAGCTGGAGATCGCCCGGGGGGAATCTGGGCTCATGTGAATAGCACATCAGGTCTCCAACTCAACTCTCTCATCTATCGCTTCCACCCGGCCGTACTGTGGCGTCACGCGTTTCCAAAACGCGACGAAGTCCTCAGTGGTAAGAGGCCATTTATTTAAACGTCCAAAAACGTACCTAAGCTCTTTGACCGTACAGAAATACGGCGTATCTGGAAGGAATATCAGCTCGAGCCGCGGACTCGGTTCAACGTAAGTCATATCTGTCACGAACAAGGACGATAGGAACTTAGTGTTACCCACGAAGACCCGAGTAACGTCTGTCACACGGTCGCCAGCCGACTTTGTAGAGGCCGAGGACCTCGATCCCAAAAATTCGGGGCACGCTCGATGGATCATAAACGATGGTTCGGATGGTCCGTTCGATGCAGTCATTGTTACCATCGGCACCTGCGGGAAACCGCAGAAAGTAGGTTTCCCAGGCATGCCCGATTCTGAAGAGAGTGGGGACAACAGATCCGACAAAAGCGACCAGAAGCGGGAAGGCAAGGAAGACGAACACGAAGGAGAAACGTTCCAAGGTCAGGTCATCCATTCGTCTGAATTGGATGAAGCGGATTTGGAAGGCAAGACCGTCCTGGTAATTGGCAGTGGGGCCAGTGGCGTGGAAGCAGTCGAGACTGCTTTGAGCAAGGGCGCAAGAGATACACTCATGGTCGCCAGGTATGATTATGAATACCGTTAATGTGATATCATCCTCATTCAAGCCGCCTTACAGGGATGACAAGGTGTGTCGGACGACGGTGGTCACCAGCATTCATCTCACCTTTTTCCTGCATTACGCTGGTTGTAGTGGATTATACCAAGGTATTGAGTTTGCATGACTCGTCTTGGGATCACGCGGCTGAGTATTTATAGGAACATAGTATTTGATACCACGCTTTCAGCACAACCATTTGGGCGTGAGACTCCCTTAAGGTAATGCCTGCGTTCTCAGTTGTGGATCATTTCACTGACCCGCGCTCCTTTTTGTTTGTAGCTTCATCTGGGAATGGGTTCTCAAGAAATGGCACTATCGCGGCGTCGAGGACATAGCCCCGCACCATCGCGGAATCTTTGAGGGTACACCTGTCAGCATAGTAGTTGTTGGTTTTCAGCTGGGCATTCCTCTGACCAGGGTTGTAGGTCGTGAATGACGAGTTCCTGAACTACATTCGCACGGGTAGATGTACCTATGTCCGGGGAGATACCTTGCGGCTTACAAATTCTGGCATTTTGGTCAACGTGCGGTCTCGTGAATCTAAGCCGAAAGACCCGGGTGAGAAGAAGGAGTTCAAGGGAGACGTTGTAGTTCTGGCTACTGGTTTCCAGAGGCCAGAGATTGACTTCTTGCCGGAAGACCTCTTCCCCGAGAACTATCAGGTAACATCGAGGCTTCTCTGCGATTGGCTTTCACTGACAGTTCGCTCCAGAGACCCGACCTGTACTTGCAGAACTTCCCAACTGAAGACTGGTCCATCCTCCTCACGAACTCAGCTTATGTAAATGCTATTGGTAAGTTCGGATATGTTTTCTACACTGATACTCTGGCGGACTGACTGGGCACTCTGCAGGAACTGTGTAAGTACTCCTCTTGGCTCGTTTATGTTAGAAGCTCAATCTTGTGCCCCATGCTCCTCTACATATAGCGGACATTTGTGAGTTAATCATTCCTACTGTGAACCTTGTTACTCTTGCTTATCCACTGAATGCTCTAGCCACATCGGTATCTGTACGTCATCGCAGGTCATGCCCCGAGGTCTCCATTGACTTTCATGATGTAGATACCCGCATCCTCTTGACGCTCCTGCTGGACAAGGACGCTAGGCCGGCTCCCAAAGATATGAAACTCTGGGTGGACAACGTCCGATTCGTCAAACGAGGCGCAAAGGGTGGCCCCTTGAGCTTCTTCACTTACATGGAACTCAGTGAGTGGATAAGGCCAGTGTCATCTCAGCTATTCTGACGCGTACTTTCAGCTATCTGGCTACTGTTGTTCCACTTGTTCCGCCCTGATCGTATTCGATGGTATGATGTACCCAATCTGACTGTGCGTTCTAGTCTAATTCAAGAACTTCAGGCTGTTCTTCATCATGCAAGGCTGGGGTGTCGTACCGCAAGAGTATAGACAGTAGAAGTTTAGATATCAAAATTTCTCCCTTGTTTGTATAAAATATTGCTGCGCGGTTGCATTCACGAACACGAAACGCGCATATCTGACCCGTGCATTACTTTACTGAGCATACACAAGATAAGATACCTTCTTTGTATTTCCCCCATGTTCCGCGGAGAACAGCGCGGCACAATCAGTGCCGTAACTTTCATGCAAAGTAGAGTTACACAGCATGCGGCCATAGCATATGGCATAGATGACAAATGCGGTAAAACATGACGATGCAGGAAAGATACAATGACGACCGACAACCCTTAACGGTAACTGATAGACATATCTCGTCAATGGCAAATTTATGACAGGATCAAATGGTACGCACCTCTTCTGCCTGCGAGCACGCGCACCCTGTCCACCGAACTTCTTGGGCTCCATCCGTCTCGGGTCCGCAATGAGTAGTGTCCGGTCATAGGCAACAAGCTTCTTCTTCAACTCCATCGCGCTGTAGGCGTCAACGTACTTGGCGTACCAAGCAACGAGGGCCTTGGCAATCGCTTGCCGGATAGCGTAAATCTGAGAGGTGTGTCCTCCTCCCTTGACACGGACACGGATGTCAACGAGACCAAATGCCTCCTCGCCAACTACAAGGATGGGCTCATAAATCTTGAAGCGGAGGATTTCAGGCTGGACGAGGTTGATGGGTGAGGAGTTGATGCGGATCAAGCCACGGCCCTCCTTGCAGTGCGCGACAGCGGTCGCGGTCTATCCGATGGAGAATGAATCCTGGATAGTCTCTGGAATACTTGTAGAACAGCTATAGCTTACCTTCTTTTTGCCGAACGTCTGAACGGCCTTAGTTGTAGAAGCCATTTTCTTATGTCAAGAGGAAGGGCCGGGGATCGTCGGCTTACTTGAAGGTCTAACGAGAAGGAACGAGTCAGTAGCTGTCGACCAAGCTGGATGATCAAGGTATGGGTATGGGCTGGGCAAGGGTCATCCAAGGTGTCGGGTGTGCATCCATCGCGTAGAGACCAAATTTTCAAAGCTTTCCGCACGAGATGCCGACTGAAGTGCATCTCCGGGACAGCAGCACCCAGTTCAGCAGGTATTAAGCAGCAACTCACCCTCTTGAAGTCGTTGATACCGTCGATGTCGAGCCTGGTGTTTAGAAGCAGATTCTGCTAGACGAAGTCCATGGACCCGGGGGACCGCGCAGCCATTCCCACGATAGGTTTCTTTCCGAACTCCTCAGCTTATACTCGAGTACATAGTTCGACCAACAGCCTGCGACTATGCTGTCGATCTTTGGACATGCATTAGCGCAAGTGAGTCACACCTGGACCTTGTGTCTTGTTCTCGTCAGCGGTGAATATTCTGAGACGGTTGTTTACAGACTTGCCGGCTGGAACGCCGCCAACTAGCTACTGCTGCACTTAGCACGGTGGGACAGGGATCCCAGATCTTACGTCCAGAAGTTATCCCGTATGACCAGTTACAGGGCATCCCTTCTAATGTACCCCTGCAAGGTGTGTGGTGATGTTAAGTTGCCTGCCGCCATTGCCAACGATGTCGCAGCTGTCTCGGTCGTAGACCCAGTATACCTATCCTTGTCATCTCTCCTACACCCTCCAGAAGGCGCGCCGTCGCCAGAGGAACAAATCGTCGTACTAGATCCCACTGTATTCAGGCATCCCATTCGCCGCGACATCCTCCACCTCTGCGTCGTACATTACCTGGACTCCCTCCGGCAGGGCTCGGCGTCCACCAAGACGCGTGCCGAAGTCCGAGGCTCTGGAAGAAAAATCCGACCGCAGAAGGGCAGCGGTAGAGCACGTCTGGGTGACGGCCAGAGTCCTATGCTGCGCGGTGGAGGTATCGCGTTCGGCCCGAAGCCCAGGGATTTCAGCACGAAGCTGCCGCGCAAGGTCATCCAGATGGGTATGCGCGTGGGGTTGAGCGCAAAGGTGAAGGAGCGAGCATTAGGGATTGTGGAGAGCCTGGAGTGGCCCGGGACGAAAACCAGCGAGCTGGCGGCCAGAATTGAGGAGCTCGGCTGGAGAAAGACACTCTTTGTCACCGGCAAAGAGGAGGTGCCCGTGGGGTTAGCCCGGTCCATTTCTAATATCGCTAAGCTGGATGCCACTACCGCGGATGCACTGAAGGTATACGATGTTGTGCGGTGGCCAAGGCTGGTACTGGATACAGCGGCTGTGGATTATTTCGAGCGGACACTGTCAAAAAGGGTTCCTCTCTCTCCGACAGCCCTGTCATAGTAGTCTCGTATGATTTTTACTTCGATAATGCTATATGTCCACTGAAATTGCTGACGGTATGCGGGATGTCCGATCACCTATCTAAAGTATGTACACATATCTACCAAGTACACCTAACGCAGTTCGCTTTTCGCCAGACCAACGTATCATCTACGAGCCTGGATACCGGCTTCTTGTAACGCAGCCTTCACCTCCGCGATTTGGACTACTCCGCGGTGGAAGATTCCCGCAGCCAAAGCGGCCTCAACATCTGTCTGCTCGAACACCTCCACAAAGTGCTCGGCCTTGCCGGCCCCACTGCTTGCCACCACTGGTATTCGGACATTTTGCTTGACCAGTCTGACCAAGGCTAGGTCGAACCCTAGACCAGTACCATCGCGATCGATACTGTTCACTAGAATCTCCCCAGCGCCGAGTTTCTCTACTCCCTGAGCAAGCTGCACAACAGAGAGCGGACGTGCTTCCCGTCCACCTGAGACGGTACATTGGTACCACCACGCCTTCCCCTTCTCCTTCTCCAGCCCATCGGGCTTGCCATAGACAAGTTCCGACTTGTACGGCCCTGGATAGGAGGAGGGGTCGTCGACGTACACGCGCTTGGGGTCGATAGAAACAACGACCGCCTGCCGCCCATATACCCTCGCTATCGTCTCGATAGCGCTTGTCCCGTCGCCTTTCCCGCCACATTCGAGCAGGCGTTCCACAGCGTAAACTGCTTCGCTGCCGATACTGACCTTGTCAGCACCTGCTCGGAAGTATTCCCCGGCCACCTCGAGCGCCGATCGCTTCGTGCCGTCCGGGTCGACTGTGTCTTTTATCCCACCGCCGATGGTGAGGGGAACGAAAACCCGCGCAGCTGCGGCACGCACGACCGCTAGCATTGGCTGGTCATGTAATGGGGAGTGACGGAACGAAGTGATATTGAGGAGACACAACTCATCTGCGCCTGCAGCGAAGTACTGCTCTGCCAAGGCCACGGGCTTGCCGAGGTTGCGCACAGCACCCGCTGTTTTCGCCTGCACGGCGTCTGAAGAAGAGGCAGCAGCAGGTAGGACCTTTTCGCGGACGTCGTATTGGTCGCCTTTTGTGACAACCAAGTCGCCGTCGTCATTTGCGCGGACGTCCATGCAAGCAATGATCCGTTTTGTCAGTCCGTCGCGAGCTCTGGGAGGCCGTAGTCCTCGCGGTACGGCTGTCGGTGCGGACGCCTGTGCAGATTCGGATTCTCTCAGCCATGTATCCAGGATCTTGAGACCTGCGACTCCGGACTTTTCTGGATGGAACTGAACGCCAAAGACGTTGCCTCTGCGCACGGAGGCCACAAAGACCTCCCGGCCGTATTGAGCGGTCGAATGGACCCATTGCGCCGCCTCTAAATTTGACTCGTCGTACTTTGCCCGGTAGGAGTGTACGAAGTAGTAATGGGAGGACTGGTCCATGCCCTCGTAATGCTCTGTGTCTTCTGGGTCCATGAACTCTATAGAGTTCCAGCCCATATGGGGGACGGATTTGTCTTCATTAGAAAATTCCTCAATTGGCGCAGGGACACACCCAAGTCCCCGGACGGACGGTGACTCCGTCGAGGACTGGAAAAGGACCTGCATGCCAATACATATCCCAAAGTAGGGTTTCCCCGAGTCAATGTAGTCGCGTAAAGGTTGCAGCAGGCCCTTTGCCGAAAGATGTTCTATGGCTGTCTCGAATGCGCCTACGCCGGGGAAGACAAGAGTCTGGAAAGGGTCAAGCGGGGGTACTAGAAAGGATAGAGAATACTTACTGTGGCCTTGCGGAAGTCGTCCGGGTGGCTGATCCACTCGAACTCGTGGCCGAGTTTCGTTATCGAGTTGGCGATGGAGTGCACATTGCCTGCGCCGTAGTCGAGCAGGAACAGGCGCACCATGATCGGAGATTGAACGGGAAAGAGAAAGGAGAACCTGGCGCAGGCCTAGGGTATACTACGATCGTGTATCGAGTCATGTCGGTGTTTGTGGCAGTCGGCTTTACAATTTGCGGGAAATTCGGACAGAATCAGAATAGACTCATCGATGGCTCATCCTCACAAATCTTAGAATTCCGAATTTCTGCGCCTTATATAGTACCCCGGCGGGACCTGTGCTGTTTATATCCGCGACTGAAATAATCGCCTGCAATATTCCTCATGACGCCTCCTGTGAACATCCCAATGGCCGCGCCAGGCAGCAGCCAGGTATCTGCCTCCATCTCTCCGAGCTCGGTTTCTTTCCATGATAGGTTCAGGAGCAACTCCCTCGCCCTCAGCAACGGTGGCGTGCGGGTACCTAAGGTTTTGCATCCTGTAGACAATGATGACCTCAAGCTCCTCATTCTCGAGAACATTAGCCAGGAGGCAGTCAAGGCTTTCCGCGCCCACGGCTTCCATGTAGACCACTATACCAGAGCCATGTCCGAGGACGAGCTCGTGGAGAAGATTGGCCAGTACCACGCTATTGGGATACGGAGCAAGACAAAAATCACCGAGCGAGTGATCAAAGCTGCGTCTAAGGTGCGTTCTTACATTCCGACAGCTTCGAAACATCGCTGACTGCCGGACCTGCAGCTCCTCGTAATTGGCTGCTTCTGCATAGGAACAAACCAAGTCGACCTCCCGACCGCAGCCAGAGCCGGAATACCCGTATTCAACTCCCCTTTCTCCAATTCCCGCTCGGTCGCTGAGCTGGTCATAAGCGAAGTCATCGCACTCTCTAGGCAGCTGTTCGAGCGGGCTTACGAGATGCGCACTGGCGTTTGGAACAAGCAGTCGAAAGGCTGCTGGGAAATCCGAGGAAAGACGCTGGGGATTGTCGGCTACGGTCACATCGGTTCGCAGTTGTCGGTCCTCGCCGAGTCCTTCGGCATGCGCGTCCTGTTCCACGATGTCATCCCCCTGATGCCCTTGGGCCAAGCGCGGCAGGTCGACTCGCTGGAGACGCTCCTCGCGGAGTCCGACTTCGTTACGCTTCATGTCCCCGAGCTTCCTGAGACGACGAATATGATCTCGGCCAAGGAGCTCGCGCAGATGAAGAAGGGCGCATACTTAATCAACAATGCTCGGGGGAAGGTGGTCGATATCCCGGCTCTCATTGAGGCGTTGAAGTCCAAGCATCTCGCAGGGGCTGCAGTCGACGTGTACCCGGCCGAACCTGCTTCGAACGGAGCACCCTTCGACGACCAGCTCAACTCTTGGTCTTCGACTCTCCGATCTATCCCCAACGTTATCTTAACGCCACACATCGGTGGGTCCACCGAGGAAGCCCAACGCATGATCGGCGAGGAGGTGTCCACGGCCGTGACGCGATACCTGACCTCCGGCTCGACCCTTGGCGCCGTCAACTTCCCCGAGGTCGACCTGCGTGCCATTACTCCCGACCAGACCAACAACGTGCGCATCTGCCACGTTCACGTTAACCAGCCTGGTGTGCTTCGGCAAGTCAACGACATTCTGTCGCCGTACAACGTCGAAAAGCAGTACTCCGACTCCAAGGGTGACGTCGCGTACCTCATGGCCGATATCGCGGATGTGAGCCCTAGAGACGTCAACAGCTTGCAAGAGAAGATCAACAAAACAAGCGCAAACATCTTGACGCGCTTGCTTGCATAGTGTGCTCGTTTGTGGAGATACGGAAAAAGGCCGAAATGGACGGTTCATCCCCCTATAGTGTATGCATAGACAACCCCACTCAACTGGGGTTCACGCCATTCAACTGGGCATCCGTGTATCACTCTCGATATCTCGCCTTTGTAACTATAGATGTAGAGCTGTCCAGTGCGATTAATGGTACAACGTGGAAGAAGCGATTACTATACTACAACAACATAATGACGAGACGAAAAGCAACAAATAAATGATCAGTCCTCTTCCGGGTCGCCTATACCACTCGCTAAGATCGCAAAGCTGCTCTCTGACTCTGGTAGACACGGAGAATCGTAAATCTTGCATACACGGGTGTTGGCACGGCCCTTCTTCAGTTGCAACCTACGCATAAACGTGTCAGTATAAGGCAGTCCGGGCTACAGTAAATTAACGCACCGGGTAGTGGAGGCATGGGCCATGATATTGCCTCCAATGGGTTTCTTCTCGTTGGCTGTGTATGGATTGGCCGAAGCATCCGGGTTGGACATAACCTGATTTGTCACGACGACGGCCACCCCGAACTGGGCGCAGAGAACTGTGAGTCTAAACGTCATCATTCAGATGGAGGGCACTCACTTCATCAGCCAAACGTTGTAGGGTCCGGAGGAATTTGCCAAGGTGATTTTGCCGGGCAGATAACTCGCCGCGGCCGCTGAAGTCCGTTCGGTAAAGGGCAGTACACGAGTCCACAATAAGCAGGCAGAACCTAGCCCGTTGATGTCAGCATATCGACCAACACGCATATATGCGTCGAGGCTGGGGCGCACCTCGACTCTGACATAAGAGCGCTGGCGCTCGTCAGCAAGGCTTGCTGATGGTCCGCGTTGTACGCTCGTGCGTATGCCACATTGTCCAGCACCTCCTCTCCATTTAGGCCATAGCGCTCAGCGACAGCGAGCAACCGCACCGGGCGGAAGGTGCCCTCTGTGTCTATGTAGAGACACTTGCCCTCCCCGCCACCGAGCGCTACGGGAAGCTGGCAGGTGACGGCAAGTGTATGACATATCTGCGACTTGCCGGTACGGAACTCTCCAAACAGCTCTGTGATGGCGCCGGTCTCGATCCCTCCTATAAGACTCGTGAGGTCATGAACGAGAACGTAATGTACGTGAGGAACCACACTTACCTCCTAGTAAAGTGTCCAGATTCTTCGAGCCAGTCGTAATATGTACAAGTTCTGATCTCCGTGCATGTACTTCCGTTGCGCTCTGGAACCCCAGGGGTATAATCTTCTGTGCTGTAGGCAGGCTGTGAAGGGGAGAATATGACGAATGCTGTGGTTCATTTCATACCTTCAGCGATGATCTTGTCGGCCTTCTGGTCAGAAATACCCTTGATTGTCATCAACTGTTTCTTGGGGGTGTAGGCAACAGACTCGACAGTATGTAGGCCCGCTTCCACGAGCTTCTTGATATCCTGGGGGTGGATGCCGGCTTCCTGAAGCTTGCCGACAAGGAGCGGTCCCGCCATTTGAACATCCTCCTCCTCGTCTGCTTGCGAGAACTGCGAAGGTGCTTGCGACATGTTTATCCACTAGATAACAGGAGCCACGACTGACAGCAGAGAAGTGCACAAAGACAAAATCCAATAACCGTGGAATGTACGCGTATTTACGCGTCGCGGCTGAAGGGCGTGTGACAGTCACGTGCCCGCGGTGCATTGCACAGCCCTATGTCAGGGATGATCATGCAGTGCATGTCAGATACTAAGATACAGTATACTACTGGAGAAAATCAAGAATACATAACTGCAGATTGTCATTTCATCAATGGAGCAAGAATGGGGCCACTAGGAACAATTGCTATGTAGAATTTAAATAATATAATGCAGGCAATTGACCTGGGAGCTCACTTCGAGAGAGCCATAGTATCGACGATTTAACAGAAGCGAGAAGCAAGGAGGGGTACAGCGAGAACTCGATTGGCTACGTATTACAACAAGGGAGATAGAATTGGTGCAGAATATAGTACGAAGAGGGAGGGACGCAGATAAAAAGGAACAAATGTCAAGGCTGGAGATAACGCGGGACCAACATGCGTCCCGCATGAACAGACAGATTGAAACAGGGAGAGACGAATATACAGACATACATTGGTGAACTCCTGGTCTTCATTCGGGCAGCCGCGTTGTTGGGCGGGCATCACATTCTGGCGCATGAGCCGGTTGTGCGGCAGCTATGTCGCCTTTTCCCCTTCGCTTCACTTCCTCACAACACCCCTCATCTTCTTCAACAAACTCGTCTTCCTGCCCAAGGAACCACCCGGCGTCGTGGCATCTCCGCCACGCCCCTCGAAGTAATCACCTGAACCGGATCCAGAAGGAGTCCTGTCCGTGAGCGGCGCAGCAGGGAGGCTCTTCTCCCTATTCACAGAAGTGCTGCCTCTACCCGGCACCTCCGGTACATCGACGTAGACGTAGGGATCAGACCCGTCAAAAGTCGGGGAAATGTCCTTCGGATGACCGTACGCATTGGTACTGTTGCCGGGGGGCTTTGCGAACCGTCCAAGGAAGGAGTTCTGGGAACGATGAGTGGGCCTTTGCGGCGTCGCCCCGTACCCAGTGTAGTTGTTCTCCGTCGAGCTAGTGGGCGAGCCATCTCCACTGGGTACATCTTCGTATCCGACGGGAACATTGGGTGTTTCCCTCATCTTCTTGATGCGCTGCATCAGACTCCTGCTTCGCTTGGGCAGATTAATGCCGCCGGCGCCAGAACCATGACCAGGCGCGGACTGAGGGGACGGCGGATCAGCGGGAAGGTTCTCTGCGGTGTCGGGGACGAAAATAGGCTGAGGAGGGGGAAGAGCGGATCGCTTGTGTGGGTTAGGCGGACGACGAGGGGTACCATCTTGCCGCCCGTCTCTAGGTCCACTGCGTCTGCCCCGAGAAGAATCATTGCCGTGCCTTTCTCGTCCGTTGTAGATGGAGTTGGGGGCAGATTCGTCGTGGCGGCCGTTGCCGCCACCCGCGAAAAACTCTTCATACGGTTCGGGCTCATGGATGCCCCATGCTTCGGCAATCGCATCTACTTTCTTCTTCGGCTGCTCGTAGGGGCTCTCGTAGGGATTGGAAGCAGGGTATGGCGACTCGTACCCGCCGGGCGTGTAGGCATCGTTCAGCGCCTGTTGATCAGCGGGTGGCGTGGAAGTCCAGGCGAGCATAGGGGCCTTGGTGCGGTGGCGGTTACGAGAGGGGGCGCAGGCGTCAAAGGGACCATCGTGATGGAACACTAGAATTGCGTGGATGGATGAGAAATCTGAGGTCTCCGATTTATAGACTGGAAACGTACTCGGCCCAACACCAGAGAAATCCAATCTATCTATGACATCGGCGTGGACTGAGCCCTTCTTGCCAGTGCGGGTGCGCCCAGCTGAGCCCTTGGCCTTGTCGGCTGCAGCTGCAGCTCGGAGAACAGAGTCCTGGGACAGCGAGCGACGTCCCTGAGGGGGAGGACGAGCGTCTCTTGGGGGCCTGTCGATGAGTTCAAACCGGGAAAGCCAGGGCATGGAAGACGGGATGAACGTACGGGACAGCGGTCTGACTCCTGCCCATCCGGGTGCGGGAAGCATGCTCGGGGGTGCGGGCAGCAGGCTCCCTGGCGGTATCAGCCATGTGATATGTGCGATGCTGCGTCGATGAGGCTAGGGGCTGCTGACGAGAGCGCGGTTTGGGCGGCGGGGCCGGCGCAGAGCGAGGAATGGGGTCGATGAAGGGGTCGGAGGTGGATCTGGCGCGCGAGTGGTGGTGGGCGGACTGGTGCACGGTGCGCTGTGATGCCAATGCTGTAGCCATGCCTCAAATACTTGCCGGTCAGCCTAGCAATGCAGCTGTTCTGTTCGTTATCACCCTCTCGGTTCCCACGTCGGTGTATCAGGCAACAGTCCGGTCGCTGCCTTCGCAGAGCACCTGGAACAACGCTGTCGAATGTCGTCGACAGACAGCCAGCAAGGGTGTGGAAATCGATAGAGCGAAAGAGAATCGAGTGCTATAAAAGCCTCGCTGACGCGGGCTGCAACGACGGCCAGATTACATATGAGGCCAGAACGCTCACTCCAACAGGGCCCACTTGCAGGGTCCCCGGGCCCGGTCCGCAGCCCCCGTTTTCCCCGCAGTTCGCCGGCTGATTCCTTCCCCCGGTCCCCGGAGTATCCGGCTCTTCCAATGTGGCTGCTGCGCCTGTTGCCTCACCACGCTTGCCATGGGTCGTCCGGTCACTGTATGGACGCGCGAGCAGGTCGCCGCTCGCATCCTCGAGGGCGAAAACCTCGTCATCTATCGCGGCAAACTCATCCGCATTCCCAATTCCTGGCTCACGGCCCATCCCGGTGGTTCCCTTGCCATCCTTCACTTCGTGGGTCGCGACGCGACGGACGAGATTGAAGCGTATCATTATGAGGACACGCTCAAGTCGATCAGCAAATACGCCGTCGGGACCGTCGAGATAGGTGAGGAGGGATGGACACCTCTCGTCCCTCCTGTCATGGTGGGATGGGTCAGAAAGGTGTCCAGTGATGGGAAATTGGGATGGCACAACGAGGCCGCGGCCATACATAAAACGGACCACACTCAGTCTGCACCCGCGTCCCAGATTCTGCTTGTGGAGAAAACAGATGCTGTCTCTGAAAAGGAACAGGCCCCCAGTCTGTCCACTATTTCTCCTCCTCCGACGCCCTTGAGTCCGAAAGTGCAAGCCAGACATTCGGCTGCCTACAAGGAACTCCACGCCCGCATCGTAGATGCTGGCCTTTACGAGACACCCTTCGTGACGGGATATGGCCCTGACTTCCTCCGGTATATCTTGTTCGCTACTCTGTCGGCCATTGCGTATAGGTACAACTGGCTGACCGCGAGCGCGTTCTTCCTTGGCCTGTTCTGGCATCAACTGGGATTCTTTGTTCACGACTTGGGTCACACCGGCGTTACGCATAACTGGCTCTGGGACCGCCTGATCGCCATCCTCGTTGCAGATTACTGCGGCGGGTTAAGTATCGGCTGGTGGGTTGATGTTAGTATTCCTACCCTGATCAGCAATGTTCTCGTCCTCATAGTTTTGATCAACAGAACCATAATATACACCATTGTGAGCAAAGATGAGTTACCCGCGGTGAGTCAAAATGCTGATGCTAGCTGGTGAATCGAAGTGGTCACCAATCATCCTACTCAGTAAGCGTATGCGTCATCCGATGGTATGCCAGACCTGACAGTGCACCGCTCAGTGATCCTGACATCCAACATCTGCCGTTCTTCGCTTGTTCACCGGCGTTCCTCGACTCGCTGTATTCCTCTTACTACAAGCATGTCTTTCCGTTCGACGCCTTCTCACGTATCGTGATCCCTATACAGCACAAGATCTTCTACGTGATCATGAGCCTCGCGCGGTTTAACCTGTATCGTCTATCCTACACGTTCTTGTGGAAACTGAGGAACGACAAGAGACGTATCAGAGGAGGGCGGTGGACTTGGCGCTTGGAGGTTATCGGCATTTGCGTATTCTGGTGGTGGTTCGGCCACGTACTCATGGGATGCGGGACTTGGAAGAATGCGTTGTGGTTCCTGCTGGTCAGCAATGTGACGGCAAGCCCGTTGCATGTCCAGGTATGTGGTGCTCGTCTTGTGCGATGAGTGCTGTGTCTGACCGCATCCAGATCGTACTATCCCATTACTCGCGGTCCACCGAAGATCTGGGCCTCGTGGAATCATTCGTCCATCGTCAATTGCGCACCACGACGGACGTCATCTGCCCGGAATCCGTTGGCTGGATTCACGGAGGTCTGCACCTACAGGTTACACATCACCTTTTCCCGCGGTTGCCGAGACACAACCTGAAAAAGGCTAGCTTCCTTGTGAAGGAATTCGCTAAGGAGCAAGGGCTGGAGTACGCGGAGTTTGGTTTCGTGGAGGGAAATGCGGAAGTCAGAGGGGCGTTGAGGAGCGTGGCTGAGCAAGTTAAGATCATCGGGATGGTGGCGGAAGGAGAGATCAGGGAAGTAATGGAGCAGAGGAAGATCTAAATCGTTTCAAGCAACTTCCGATACTGCGCAGGACTGCGCAGACTAGCGTGCTTCATAGAGACGGCGCCTTACATGACCAGTACCATTACGCCAATAGATACACTTATCACATCTGCTTATGCGACGTGGATCCTCTGATAGCATAGCAAGAGGCATAACATGGACCATAATCCTGAGTGACGTCGCACCCAGTCTTTTGGAGGATACATGAGACAACATGACCGACAGAACAAAGAAGAAAGGGTGGGGTGAACGCAGTACAAGATTACTTCTTCTTGTTGGCCTCCTCCTCGTCTCTCTGCAGAACGAATAAACATATATATATAACACAAACAGGAAAAGGAACGGACCTTGGCGGCGTTCGCCTTACGTTTACCCTCGTGTCTCTGGAGAGCCCATGACTCACGCAGAGTCTTGTAGGCCTCGAACTCACGCTCCTCACCAGTGATTTTGCGGGGAGCCTCGTGCTCATAGGGGGTGGGAAGGGGGAGGGCAGCGCGGGTAGTCGGGGCTTTAAGGTCGTCGCCCTGATGAATGCCAGTCAGTAAGAGCTGTCCCGTGCTTGCCTTGAAGCATATAAAAACATACAGTCGAGTCACCCTTCTTAGGCTTCTTGGCGTTCTTGGGGAAGACGATGAGCTTCTCCTTGTACGCCTGCAACCGCTGCACGTTCAAGGCCTTGCCCTCCTCACTCAGGTTTCTCCGGCGGTGGTCAACGATGATACCGATACCCCGGGCCTCCTTACGCCCAATGCCAGCCTCCTTCAACTCAGCGAGAGTGAAGCCGCGGCCCTCGCGCAGTTTCCTGTTGTAGCGTACAGTCTGACCACGGACAGCGGGGCGGAGGGGAGCCAAGGGGCGGACACCAAGGGCAGCAGCCTTAGTCTTGCGGGCATTGCGTCGGCGGAGCTTGCGGCCGGGTTGGTTGAACCATGTACGGACACGGCGCTGCCAGTCCTTCCTGAAGTGGTTGTCGTGGAGAACTGATTCCCTAGTCAATACCTAGGCGAATCATAGGATTGTTATGACGAACCGTTGTTGTGCCGGAAACCCATGGCTTAGTCTGTGGAATGTACGCCGTTAGCCCTGTGTCGCAGTATACACGAGAGACGATGAGAGGCCGGGCTACATCCAGAGTACAACAGGCCCATCCACCCCCTTACGCCGCCGATTTCTCTCAAACGCAGCATCCAGGCGAGACCAGACGTGCTCCTAGCATACGATTGGCATAGTTTAACAAACTCACCTTGAGGAGAGGATTTCTCGACCGTGCTTGCGGACTGGATGTCTTTGTCGGTCGTCCTACAGCAATCTGGCGTTTCTGCTTCGCGTGGGCGCCACGTGCACTTACCGTTTCGGGATTCGATCTGTCCCAATTGATGGCCACGAGTGGCACTTCTATCCGCGACCTCGTCATGAACGCCCGCGATATTGCATAGAAAAGATAGCTTGCTCAGACTCTTTGTCGGGTACATTCAAGCCTTCGTTCTCTGGCTGCTATGCAAACGACGAAATATCCTTCGCACGTCGTGGCCACGGGCTACGAGTGTATCACCTGCCTCCGACTCGCCGTCTCCCGTAACGAAATTGGCTAGGCGATCTGACACGAGGTCCTCGATATTGATATCGTTGTACCTTCCCCAGCTAGCAGTACTCGGTGCTCCCCATCGATAGCTGGCGTGTCCCTGGATTATGTGTACTGAGGATGGCTTGCAATATAGTTATCTGTGTGGGTGTGCCTCGCACTCCAAACGACTTCTCACAGTGGTGCCAGTATCGGACTTCGATACCGGTTTGTACGGAGACGCTTGAAAAAGGGAAGCGAACAACGTGCACATCGCAATCAATAAATACAGTGTCGCCTCGCTTGATACTACCCAACGAGCGACCACGGAGTTCAGGTCCCACAGCCCTTCATTCACACCTACGACATGTCTCCACGACGCCTTAACCCTCCGTTTCGTGCTGAACATATAGGTTCCTTGCTTAGGCCTTCGGATTTGTTCGATAAACGCCAGAAGTTCGAAGCAGGTCAGTGTACGCAGGAAGAACTGAAAGCTGCCGAAGATGCAGCGATAGAGAAAGTGGTACAATCGCAGCAAGAGGTTGGTATCAAGGCAATCACTGATGGGGAGCTGAGAAGGTGCTTTCTCTTGTCCTGTTATATAGCTCACGATTGATACTGTCCGCAGGGGATTTTTCTTCGAAGGCGTGTTCGACAAACTGGAAGGGATGACCTTCATCCCGAACCGTGAGTACATGCCATGCATCACTGCATCTTTCTGAACCTGTAGCTCGAGCGTAGGGCCTCTTACCGAGTTTAAGGTATGTTTTCCGAGATGTTGTGCGTCTCCTGGATAGTCAAGAGAGTACACGCAGCCATATGTTCCGTTTATCTCAATGCTCACTGCTGCTGGCATGAAAGATTTTCCGACTGTCTATTGCACGGTATCCTGGTCTAATAGTCACCGTTGCACTATCCTTCCTAATTTGAATATCAGGGGAAAATCAGACGAACTAAACCTTGGTATGCGGAGCAGTTCATGGCCTTAAGGAGCCTTGTTCCTCAGGAGGTAGCTAATGCCTATACTTGGTCTCTTGGCCGAGCTATTCCCGTTTCTTACCTTGGGAAATCCCGTTCTTAGGACATCAAGAACTTGAAGATCACGATGTGTCCTCCAACTTGGTTCCATCAACGCCACGGATCTGACCTTACCTACGATTTATCCGTGTACAACAGCGACGGTGTGTACATAAGTTTGATCGGCGTTGACCTTTTCTCAGAAGGATGCTCTCACAGAGGAATACTTCAATGACCTCGCAAAGGCCTATCAAGAAGAGATCCAAGATCTGTATCGTCTCGGGTGCAGTAAGTCTGGTCCTTGGTTGGCTGCACCCTGGATGGTCCCGTAAAATTGGAGGAAGCTCTGATCGCCGTGCCTCAATACAGGAAACATCCAATTCGACGATGCGACTTTCTGCTTTTTCTGCGATGAGCGCATGGTGTCTGGTATGAAGGAGGCTGGGGATGACTTCGACTACTTGCTCGACACCTACATTAAAGCCATAAATTCTTGCCTCAAAGAAAGGCCGGTAGGTATGACAGTAGGAGTGCACATGTGCCGCGGAAATTTCAAGGTAGGCTCAAATTGCTATCATTTATCACCTGAGCTGAAGATACGCTCAGGGTGGGCTACATTATGCCGAGGGAGGCTACGCCCGGATTGCCGAGAAGGTCTTCACTGGCCTCGACGTGGACTGCTTTTATGTGTGATATGTTATGCAACAAGACCATCCATTCCCATGCTTATGTGAACATTCACTGTTGTAGCTGGAATATGATACTGAACGTGCTGGCGATTTCGGTCCTCTGAAGTACCTACCACTGGATAAGGTGGCGGTCCTCGGTCTTGTTACGACGAAGAGTCCTGAGGTGAGCCTGCCTCCAAGACCCTCCATTGGAGAATCTCAACCCCAGTTCCAGCTGGAGTCCAAGGAGGCCTTAAAAAGACGCATTCACGAAGCTGCCCAAATAATCTCGAAGGAAGGTATTCCAACTCGGTCGAGAGAGACGGCTCTTGACCAGTAAGTTCAGACTTCTTGGATTCTCTTTGAGCCGCCTTCTCATGTGATAACGGGTCTCCGTCTGATTCAAGGTTATGCATCAGCCCGCAATGTGGCTTCGCTTCCGTCTGGGAAGGAAATCCTTTGACAGAAAAGGTGAATATCTACGCGTGGCCTTTGCTACTGACGTTACTGAGGAATTGTTCACATAGGACCAGTGGGAGAAGTTGCGGCTTGTGGTGGATACGGCAAAGGAGGTGTGGGGTGTAACGGCTTGAGGCTCAGTAGCATTCGCGATCGTATAGTCAGCAGAAGACACCAGCCCGAAAGTGTCTAGTCCCGGTATATTACCGACAATAGGATCTATCTGACGTTTGACATCACCATATACCTACTTCCTTCCTGGTGGCCGTGCCGCATCTGCCACGCTCTACTGAGATGTAAACTTAGCCTGTGTGAAGACAGCCGCCTTCTTTCCGTCTTACAGCCATTCGCCGGGGATCTACAGACACATGGCGGGGTTAGTCAAGCCAGTCCTAACAACGTAGGCGAGATGATTGGGCTGCGTAATACGTTCAGGTAGGGCAGCATTAAAGGATCCCGTACGCAGGGTGCAGGATAACAGCATTCCGGAAGGTCACCTGGATGTACTCATGCTCTCGATTTGATTGACTGACTAACTATGAGGACTAGTCCCCCTGGGTTTGGGAGTGTTCCGATAAGCTATTTCCGCGAATAGTTGAGTCCATGTCACAAGTATGTCTCCCGACTTGCTCATGACGCCCTTTGGGGTCAGAAGTTCACCTATAGTCGGCCATCCATTTGGAAGCAGAACTACAGAGCCTGGGACAGTGGCGGCCCATTTGGCCACCTGATCGAAATGATATTCGGAGGCTGCAGTGCTGTTTTGCCAGCTGCCATACCCGACGCGGCACAGGGCCCATGGTGAACCGTTTATCCACAATTTAGAGATCGGCCGTTGCGCATATGGGTGGCACCTTAAAACCCGGTAGTTAGCTCCTCTGTGTCTGAAATCACTCCCTGAAATCGCTCATTATGTCCTCCAGCTTGAAGCTCCATCCCCCGTTCCGCGCTGACCATATTGGTTCACTGAAGCGACCGGACTACCTGTTGGCGAAGCGGGCTGAATACGATGCCGGGAAATGCACCGCCCAGGACCTGAAACCCCTGGAGGACAAGGCGATCAATGACATCGTACAGATGCAGAGGGAGGTAGGCATCAAGTCGATTACCGACGGGGAGTTTAGGAGGTGAGATGTGATGGCAATGAGTAAGGCTGGAATTCACTTCGCAATGATCCAGACACATGTTCTTTGACGGCGTATTCGACAACTTGGAAGGAATGAAGTACATCCCTGACGGTGAGTATTGATGGATCCGTCTTCACCAAGACTAATGACTGTTTATAGTGCCTCTGCACATGTTCATGGTGGGCCCTCATGATAGTCCCCGTCGTCTTGATCTGACACCATTCCTTTAGGACTATGTTCCGGATGTCCCTGCATTCAAGAAACTTGCAGAGGGCAAGGGCGGAACTTCGCACATCTGCGTGGTGCGTCCACTACTTTGGTACCGTATCGTCTCGAATTTAATCTCCCGTCGAATTTCAGGGAAAGCTCAGACGGACAAAACCTTTCTACAAGGATCAGTTCGAATACTTGAAGTCCATTACGAAGCCCGAGGTGCGTTATTCTCAGGATGTTCCAAGTATCGAGCTCTGAATGTCAAGCGTCGGTTAATAGGAGCACCGAAACCTCAAAATCACCGTTTGTGCTCCGGAGTGGTTCCATTTACGGCACGGTCCATATGCGTACGACAAGAACGTGTATTCCAACGACGGTTAGTCTGAGGGGACAGGGTTGAAAGGAAGCGCTGGTCCTCTGACAATCAGAAACTCACGCAGACGAATATTTCGCCGACATCGCCCAGGCTTACAGGGAGGAAATCAAGGATTTATATGCTCTCGGCTGCCGTGAGTACGCTATTAAAGACAAAGTATCATCAGTGTTCTGACACGCGGTTACTGCTCCTTTTGCTTAACAGGGAACATCCAATTTGACGATCCTCTTCTGTGTTATTTCTGCGCTGAGTCCATGATCAAGGGGATGACCGAAGCTGGCGTTGACCACGAAGCTCTTCTTAACACATATGTGCGGGTCTACAACGATTGCCTAAGGGATCGGCCTGCGGACATGACCATCGGGCTACATTTATGTCGAGGTAACTTCAGGGTGAGTAAGCCGCTCAACTCTGATCGTGAATTTGATTACTATTTGCCTGACCCGCATACAGGATGGTAGGCACTTCAGTGAAGGCGGATACGACCGCATTGCTGTCAAACTCTTCAATGAGATCGACGTGGATTGCTATTATGTGAGCTGGTGTCGGACCCTAAAATTGTTCGCGTCCCGAGTGCTTAGTACAAAACTTTTAGCTTGAATACGATACCGAACGCGCGGGTACTTTCGAGCCCCTGAAGTTCTTGCCCAAGAATAAAGTGGTTATCCTCGGGTTGATCACTTCAAAGTTCCCGCAGGTGAGTACATCAGGCTCGATTTATAGCTCAGCGGTTGAGACTTGGGTGTTGCCTCGCAGCTGGAAGATAAAGAAGAATTGAAAAAGCGAGTGCACGAAGCTGCCGTGACCATTGCGGAAGGCACCGAGAAGCGGTCGAAGGAGGAGGCTTTGAACCAGTGAGTTTTCCGTCTCTGAAGCGCTGAGAGTTGCGCCTTGACACTGGCGTTTCTGTCAGGCTCTGCATCAGTCCACAGTGCGGATTTGCTTCGCACGCCGAAGGGAATCGCGTCAGCTCTGAGGACATGAGGAAGAAACTTACGCTGACGGTGGAGACTGCCAAGGAGATCTGGTCGGACGTGTAAGCTTGCAAGTGGACAATGGTGGTCTATTTAGCCGCGGGTTGATGAGGGCGTGTATTACTCGGATTTTCAACAAATCCTTACCATTCTATGCATACCCAACACAATTACTATGTATCGAGTAGTTTCCTATCTCAACATTGGATATTCGCCGTTCGACGGTCGCTCTTTCTTAATATTGACAAGAACCAGAGCGACACGACAGTTACCCAGTCGTAAAGCACCTTCACTCCGTTATCTCCTGCTGAAAATAGAACCGATCTATTGGTAGCATAATTCTATGAATACCATCTCACCATAGTATCGGCGTCCAGGAAACACATATAGTATCCGGATCTTGCAGTTGAGAGAAAGGACATCCGACAGTGGGGTACGGTTGACCAGGAGTGTCAGGTCTATTTTGCATTTGCACTTCGCACTTGCGTTTGGCTGAGGGCACGCCGTGAGTTCGAATCCCGCTGAGAGCAACGGGCAAGGGGCCGTGGGAACGTCCCGGATACTGCCGTACCCCTGTTGTCACTGTGCTCGACGTTGCCCGACGCGTTGTCGACGCTGTTGTCGGCGATGTCGACAAATGTTAAGCGATGAATATTCCTAAAAATACATGGAAAAAATTGGTTCCTTCTGAGCTTATTGTACCAACCTATTTAATATCAATTATTCTGTTCATTTGAGGAGCTATGCGAGAAGTCGTTGCACAATCAATGTTGCGAGTCAAGAGGTGCGTTCAATATAAAGACAAACTCTACAATTGAGATAGGGAGCATTGACGTGCGCGCCAATGTCAATGAAACTAATCCATATCCGACGCCGTTGCGCATTCCCCCTATACTACTAGTAACGCGTCGCGGCGAATTGCAAGGGAGCAAACACACGCATGTTCGACGGTCCCGACCTGCTACCGCATTAGGTAGTCGGCAAGTGTGGGAAGGAAATTGTGGCGTCTGCCACACACCCTTGGCCAGCCTTGCGGGCTTCAGCAACATGTGTGCTCTGTTAGCTGCAAATGCTGCATGGGCAGGAGATGAGTACAAATAGCGGCAGAATAAATGCGGTGGTGTGGTATCTGTGACGCGACCCACGATGAACTTCAACAAGACAAATCTAATATGGCCACACTATCCAGCACACTCTTCGAGGGCAAACTTTCATACAACACCTATACATTTCTAGACATTTACACCCTAATAGTTGCAAATTTATGCCTGTTCAGAAGGATTGCAATTTTTTCAGTATTTGTTTGGGAGTTTCAGCACAACCTTCGTCGACATCGTCGACAACGCGTCGGGCAACGTCGAGCACAGTGACAACAGGGGTACGGCAGTATCCGGGACGTTCCCACGGCCCCTTGCCCGTTGCTCTCAGCGGGATTCGAACTCACGGCGTGCCCTCAGCCAAACGCAAGTGCGAAGTGCCAATGCAAGATAGACCTGACACTCCTGGTCAACCGTAGTGGGGACATCAAAGTACTACTTCTGACCCCAACTCAGACTAACATAAACTTTCGACCAATGGAATGCAATAGGACGCGCTAGGAAGCGAGGG